CACTTACATATAGTATCATAATAAACTGTGTAATGTGACGGTGTATACACATACTCATATACGCCACTTACATATAGTATCATAATATACAGTGTAATGTGACGGTGTATACACATACTCATATACGCCACTTACATATAGTATCATAATATACAGTGTAATGTGACGGTGTATACACATACTCATATACGCCACTTACATATAGTATCATAATATACAGTGTAATGTGACGGTGTATACACATACTCATATACGCCACTTACATATAGTATCATAATATACAGTGTAATGTGACGGTGTATACACATACTCATATACGCCACTTACATATAGTATCATAATATACTGTGTAATGTGACGGTGTATACACATACTCATATACGCCACTTACATATAGTATCATAATATACAGTGTAATGTGACGGTGTATACACATACTCATATACGCCACTTACATATAGAATCATAATATACAGTGTAATGTGACGGTGTATACATATACGCCACTTACATATCATAATATACAGTGTAATGTGACGGTGTATACACATACTCATATACGCCACTTACATATAGTATCATAATATACAGTGTAATGTGACATATACGCCACTTACATATAGTATCATATGCTCATATACGCCACTTACATATGGTACCATAATATGCTGTGTAATGTGATGAATTGTATACACATACTCATATACGCCACTGTAATGTGACGGTGTATACACATACTCATATACGCCACTTACATATAGTATCATAATATACAGTGTAATGTGACGGTGTGACGGTACATACTCATATACGCCACTTACATATAGTATCATAATATACAGTGTAATGTGACGGTGTATACACATACTCATATACGCCACTTACATATAGTATCATAATATACAGTGTAATGTGACGGTGTATACACATACTCATATACGCCACACACATACTCATATACGCCACTTACATATAGTATCATAATATACAGTGTAATGTGACGGTGTATACACATACTCATATACGCCACTTACATATAGTATCATAATATACAGTGTAATGTGACGGTGTATACACATACTCATATACGCCACTTACATATAGTATCATAATATACAGTGTAATGTGACGGTGTATACACATACTCATATACGCCACTTACATATAGTATCATAATATACAGTGTAATGTGACGGTGTATACACATACTCATATACGCCACTTACATATAGTATAATAATATACAGTGTAATGTGACGGTGTATACACATACTCATATACGCCACTTACATATAGTATCATAATATACAGTGTAATGTGACGGTGTATACACATACTCATATACGCCACTTACATATAGTCATCATAATACGGTGTAACACATGTGACGGTGTATCACAATATACTCATACATACGCCACTTACATATAGTATCATAATATACAGTGTAATGTGACGGTGTATACACATACCATATACGCCACTTACATATAGTATCATAATATACAGTGTAATGTGACGGTGTATACACATACTCATATACGCCACTTACATATAGTATCATAATATACAGTGTAATGTGACGGTGTATACACATACTCATATACGCCACTTACATATAGTATCATAATATACAGTGTAATGTGACGGTGTATACACATACTCATATACGCCACTTACATATAGTATCATAATATACTGTGTAATGTGACGGTGTATACACATACTCATATACGCCACTTACATATAGTATCATAATATACACACATACTCATATACGCCACTTACATATAGTATCATAATATACAGTGTAATGTGACGGTGTATACACATACTCATATACGCCACTTACATATAGTATCATAATATACTGTGTAATGTGACGGTGTATACACATACTCATATACGCCACTTACATATAGAATCATAACATACACTCACATTACACACATCCGTGACTATTGACATGAAACATAGGAAAACGTTTCCCTTGGCGGGGAGTTTGACACTTCTGTGCTGACAGATTCCATATGAAAAGGCACGTGGTGAGTTTGTTTTTCACCCAGATCATTCTTCCCACATTTTGAGCTTGTAAACAACAATAACCCTGGTTACCTGACTGGACAAAGATGCAGCGAACCAGCATCAGCACCAGAGAGGTTGGTGATGTCATGGTGTGACGTAATGGAAACGGTCTACAGTAGGCATTCTGTTGCAACCTAATTCCAACGATATCACCTAGGAGATATCACAAAACCTCACCCAAGCGATATCCTATATAGAATCCAGTTTGGGATGATATTGAATATAATTACATCCTGGGTGTTGCACGGGGAGAGGGAGATGAAGGCTGGGGGTATTTTGTTATCCTAGGAGAAACTAATTTAGCTGATCATTCTGTCTCGATTGAAAACATAGTTCGCTGTACAAAGGCGTATGAATTCATGCATATGTACATAGACCATTTATATGGGGTATATGCATGTATATTACTGCTTGCACATTTGGTTAGCCCTTAGTAAAGTTATGAATACACAATGCCTTTTAGAAAATGGTCAAATGTAACACCTGTTACATTTCAGATTACACTTTCTCAGTAAAATACATATTCTAGTATTTTTGTTAGGTTTAGTACCACCCGGGAATCGAACCCACTACTAGTAAAGTCGTAAATGATTAATAATGCGACTTGTAAAATTATCTGAACAGGTTCACGTGTACCTGTAGGTTTAGACATACGTTTCCGGTCTATCTGCAAATCGCCTGTCTTCTCCTGTATGTACAAAAACGCTCTCAACAATTAATTTTTTATCCGCCATCGATCACACTTTTGTGCTTGCCAATCGTTCGGCTTCGCTGCCTTATCAAAACTAACACACGTCAGCCTAAGAGAGTCGCTGGGTTCTTGCAAACTACTCTGGGATGTAATTGTACCCATGCTTACAACATGCACTGACATAGAATGCATGGGTGCATTAGGTACACATATGACATGCAAATATGTTTCTCAGGAATAAGGTTACAGGGTGTATTCTGGCACAGCGCATAATGCACGTTAAGATGTAATTCCTATTTTCATTGAATGTGTTACTCTTTTTAGCGATTTTTGTTATTTGACAGATTCTTCATCTTGAAAGCTATGCTATTTCTCAGGTCAGTGTATTTTGTTTGATGTTTAACTCCATACTCAGCAATATTAAAGGTATAGTACGACAGCCTGTAAATAATTGTTCCTGGATCTAACAACCTAGTGATTGATATCAAGGGCGCCGGTTTTAGCAGTAGGTATACTATGACATGCATCAAGTCACCAAGCATGACCAACCGATCCCTTAAGTTAACTCTTACGGTTTAGTTTGGATGTAATAAACGCCGCACTCAGCAATATTCCAGCTATATGGCGGCGGTCTGCTCATGGATTCACCAGACAATCCAGGATCATCGATCTACGCAATTGGGATACGATGACATATGTCAACCAAGTCAGCGAGCCTGACCACCCGATCCCGTTAGTCGCCTCTTACAACAAGCATGGCTTACTGAACCCGGATCTACATGGATTCAACTCTTATACGACAAACATATGGGTTGCTGATAAATGATAAATGATAAATGCAGTTCACGACGATAACACGCTAAAGAAGCATTGTGTTTCAAATATGTAATATGATCTTATATCAGTGAGTGAGTGAATTTAGCTGTTACGCCTATTTTAACACCATTTCTGAAAAATCACGAAGTGTGACAGTAGAAATAGGCTTCAAACATTATACAAGAAGGGATCGAACCTTGGCCCCGGCGTGAGGAACGAACTCAATAACTGCAGTGCTATCAAACGGCACCTGGACTACACTCGAAGGATATATCACGTATATTGCGTGGGCGGTGGGGTAGCCTAGTGGTCAAAGCGTTGGCTTGTCGCGCAGAAGACCCGAGTTCGATTCCCAACATGGGTACAATGCGTGAAGCCCATTTCTGGTGTCCCCTGTCGTAATATTGCTGGAATATTGCTAAAAGCGGCGTAAACCTAAACTCAGTCACTCACGTACATTGCATGAATGCATTTGAGTGTGGGTAAATCACCTATCACAGCAATATTCAAGCCATAGCGTGGCGGTCTGTAAATGAAGGTTTGGACCAGGTAAACCATGTTGTAACCGAAGTTGGAGAAACAATCCACACCAGTTGGGCTTGGTAACAGGCAACCGTCTCCCTGGACATTCGGGGCAGTATTGTTCCATAGCACAGACAAGCTCACGTTTTCGGTTGGTTGATGTGAGTCTTTGCTCATGATATCAGTCATTGGTTTGTAATGTCCTCACTCCACTATTTACAGGCCAACGCCGTGTACCGATAGCCCGAATATTGATGACTGCGGCATCAAACAACATTACTCAACAACAGACAACAACAGCAAAATCACTCAGCTTGAACAGCATATATATATTTCTAGACATAAATTATGAACGGTCCATAAGGACCGATGTAAACGCTAGCTACTCCACATCGTCCAGCTGTTGGGGGCTGGCAACCATTTCTTGGAAAAACCCAAACTGTTATATTTTCTTCAAAACAATACTCGGTTTTATTTTAATAACATGACTTTAATTTCATCTGCATGAAATATTCCATTATAATCAAATGCATTGTTTTGCATTCAACCTGCCAATATATTCGACGAAGAATTACATTTAATTCTGACAAGGAAGACGGTTAACATAGGATATGAATGTCGAATTATGACAAGCTATATTTCGATGACATAAATTATATAAACGAATATCTGTGGGACGATAAATTGCAGCTAACTGCTGTGTAACATGTATGTAACTACCATGTAACCGACGACATATTTAATTACATACAAGTGTAGTGCTTTCAAACCTGAAAACAAAGTCGAAGATCGGTGTTGGTGTACAACAAATATATACCTGTGCACTGTCCAACATACCCCGTGTGCTGACAAGCGCTTACATGACAATAACGATTAGTTTACTTACCTCGCATGCAACACAAACTCTCACAATAGATGAATGGGTAAAAACAGTTGATTTTCACCCTCGGACCCAAGCGAGCCCTCCGAAAAATAACTGTCACAGCTGCCTCTGACCATATTGATAACCGTTCATGACTAGTCTGGTCGAGTAAAGATAAAAGGCGGGATGGCTATCACTGTGTAATACACTTGTCAGTATATCCTCGTCCGAACATTGAGAGACCCATTCGGCCAAACCTCACCTGACAGGAACAGGTGACATCGCGTGCTGACATTTTAAGCCGTCCTTAATGTGGATATGAGTTTATTTGCTTGCACAGCGCAATCATTTCAAGTCAGAAGCATGTTTGAATCGCGGCGCGTAATTATGAACAGTTCGATATAATCAAGGCGATGTAAAATATTAGTCCGTGATGTCAACGGTCTATTAATAGGCAACAGTATTGGACGTAAATAATCAATAAACAACGGTTGGCTTCGGTGTGAATTGGACGCTCTTTGGTTAAAGAGGTCGTGTCGAGCATGTGTACAAGTTAGTTTACACATGCTTATAATATGAATGCGTTATGGCAATTAAAAACATTCGATTGCCCACACGTTTATGAATACGGTCAAGACAGCCTCAATGTTTTGATCGGGATTGCTTGGAGATTGTATGTCACGTGACATACTGCACATGCGGTTTGTTACTATTTATAGCCAGACCAAAATAAACAAAATACTTGCTCACTGACATTTCATTAAATGTTCTCTGGCAGCTCTTGTGCATTTCCATGTTTCTAAAATGAAATTGTTGGGTATTTGGTGCATTGAAATTAAATAATATGCTAAGATTATTCAGATTTTGCGTTTTGTGGACTTATTGCCACAGCCCTGCGCAGAAACCGTATCTAATACTACCCACAACACTAGTTATATATGTATTTGTTTAAGAACTATATTCTGTACAAAGATTTCTATTAGTATACTTATTAATTCATACAATACGTTGTGACCAGTTCCTAATTTATTTTCATATACTTTTGTGCTCAAAATGTAATGATTCCCTATATGGAGACAAGAAAGTGGTGAAATTAGTGGTGTTTTAACAAGATACCAGTATTTCAGACCAATGAGAAGCAACAATGGCGGATGGCATACGAGACTCGACTCTTGTTGATTTTCAGGTCTGTCCCAGTGGTTATGGGGATATCTATGTTTTGTTTATATGTATCAAATAATTGTTGGTAGTTAGGACTTTAATTTCGAGTCTTTCTTTCAAGTTTCTTATGCCTGAGAAGGAAAATCTTGATCTCTGACACATCATTAACAAACGCTTTGCCAGTCATTGAATCAGCTGTTCATGTTTGGAATTTATGACGCACAAGGCTTTGGAATCATCTCGATCGTGCATTTTATAGTACATCTTCATGCTTCAAGCTTTAAGGAGGTTTCGGCTGAAATAGCGGACATGGCTCTTTAGATGTATATTTAATACGGAATGCGTTAGGATTGTACCCCAGTGACTGAATCGAATGGTAATGTTACTGACAATATTTTCATGAAAATTTTTCAATCTTAATGATATTATTTGTTTTCAGTTTTTAACAAGATAGTGAGTTAGTGATGTGTAGGCAAAACTTACAAGTCATAGATTATTTTAGTAGAGATGTTTTGAGTATCAACACAATTAATTCTAATTGATGATTGATCAGTTACACAGACCTGATACATTGACCAGTTACTATCAAATGTGAAGAATGATTAGTTTTACCAAAATATTGATAAGAAATAATGGTTGTTGATGACCTAATATGTAACTGACATTAATATGTGCAAGTGAATCTATTAGAAGTAGCAATGTTATTATGATTACGTCTTCATGCTTGCTACCACTATACATAGATTTGAGGACATGTCATTACATGTAATATTGTTTTGAGAATGTATCTGTTATTTGTGAAAATATGAACTGAAGACTGCAAAAAACTTTTCCCTCTAGAAAACTGGAAATTGTTGTCACCATTTTACATTCTTCCATAACACTCATTTAGCAGAACTGATCTTTCACAACTGTCAGCGTAATCCAAGTGTATAGTTTAATGCTCTTCTTAATCACTGGATTGGCTGGACCAGATTCGATTATTTTTGCTGTTGGACATCATATGAATGGCATGTGTGGTGTTAGACAACAAATAAATTAATCATACTGTAGTGTAAGGCCCCACAGTCATAGTTTGAGTCCCTTAGATGTATTAGGTAATGCTTATATTTGATTTGTATACTATGGGCCTGTGGCCGTCGTCAGTATGAATAAAGATTGATTTGAATTGTCTATCAGCACCATACTTGTGTTTTAGGGTTTCACTATGTCTTTTGTAGCTGAAAGTGGAATCTACTTTTCTCCCATATGAGTTAGTAAGTTTTACGTCACTTTTAACAATATTCCAGCAATATAGTGGCGGGGGACACCAGAAATGGGCTTCACACATTGTACCCATGTCAGGATCGAACCCTGGTCTTTGGTGTGACAAGAGAACGCTTTAACCACTAGGCTAGCCCACCACCCCTTCTCCCACATGAATGGAATGTAGCTGCCAAAAGCAGATATGATTGATTTGAATTGCTGCAATAAAACACATGTTAAACCTGAATAGGTTCCAGAAACACTGGAAGTTAGTTTACTTGGACTCAATTTCATCAGTGTAATATTGTTTAGGTCACTACCATACACTGTAATGATTTTTAGCTTTAAGGTATTGTCATTATGTCAATGCTTCAATGTCTTATAAACACTATGTTCCTCCCACCACATACCAATAGAAAAGGTCTGTTGCTGTGTGCTTGCTTTTGTTAACCAGTATATCAAGCAAGGCCTAGTTCCTACAAGATGAAAGTCATTGGATGCTCAGACCAATGAGTGCTGAGGTTAAATCCCACTCACATTAATGTCTCTCCGTTGACAATGTGTGCCATAGCTAGCAGCCTGCTCTACACATCACATGTACACCAGGCAATGGTAGGGTTGCATAGATTAGGGCTTGTTTGGAGTCCATCATAAATACTTAATACATTTACTTACTTTAGTAAAACTACATCACTACTACAGTCCATAGTGTCTGTTTATATACACAAGTAATGGAGCCTGTTAAGTATTCAAAATAATTTGGTATATATTAAGTTTAAGCAGTGCTTTTGCACTTGTCCCCTGAAGTTCACCAATGTAAGATATATCAAGATACACTAGACCAAGTTAGAATTGATCTTCACTTCAGCAACCCATGCCTGTCATGAGTGGAGACTGAACTGGATTGGGTATTGAGGCCTGCTGACTGTTGGTACATGTCACTGTTATGAAACAGCAAGATACACTGACCGGAAAAATAACATAGTTTCCATGATCAAAGGATTTGTCTGACACCGTGCAATATTTGACTATTGAAGATCTCTCAGAAATTTGAACCACAATCAGCATGTTGATCAAGTACTGTTTGAACTGAGAATTTCCAAGATGAAGCTCTCTATGTATATATTCACATTTGTAACTACTTATATTTGAACAATTTGAACACATCATGACTTCTGTTGATCAGTTTTAGCATACCAGTATTTCCTGTTGAAAAACAGTGAAAAGAAAAAATAAACAAGAAAAACATGTTTAGACAAAGTGAATTGGGTCAGTGTAGTCACTGCAGTGTCTTGTGTGAAACTAGGCTCCTCATTCACGTCAGAATCACCATGCAAGGGTAACCATTAAATCTAAGTTGATATAAATCATAAAATTGAGGTAGTAGAGAGGCCAGTAAAGTCTACGTTCAGACTTACGATAACTGTAAATAGTTAATATCTCCTGATAGGTGTAAAACAATTTTGGCTCTCTCTCTTTGTGTTGTTTTCTGAGACTGAAAGCGTTGCATTGCATAGACTAGGCACCCTGGGTAAAAAATAAAGTCACCTCCTAAGAGGCAGATAGAATGGATTAGTGATTAGGTTTAGTTTCCTGGTTAACTTTGTTTCATCGTACAGTTTAAGGCTCATAATATCAACTGCACATTCTTTGGCCTAGTAGTTTACAGTCTCTCATAATGAAATTGCATTAATGCTGACAGCAGCGTAAAAAACACGCTAACAAAGTGAATATGCTGATCTAAGCAATCTCTGCCTCGTTTGTGAAAAAATAATTAGCTAGTCTTTGCAGCTTTGTGTGATCTATGTAGATCAGGTGAATGAGTCCACAAGTCAGTGGGGTCTAATCATGGATGGAGACAATGAATATACACTTCTGTTTATGGCTAGAGAACAAGTTGATGCCCTCGTCACCAGCCTGGAAATGTACATGAATAATTGATACTGTACTCACTAGCATGCTTATATGGGCTAGTGCTTGCTGACTAAACAAGTTGACAGGTGTACTTGCATGAACTGACACAAGTATATCATCTGGTATTTCTGTATTGGGCTGGATAAGACATGTTCAGTGAAATTAACACAGAGCAATAGAAGGGAAATTAAGCACATGGAATGGATGATGTATACAAATGTCAATGTTAACATGCTTGACATGACTTGAATAATTATCATCATCATCAACCTATAATTCAATATCTAGAGTAGAAAAACTAGTGAAATCGCCAGTTTTAGCTGGACTGTATGTGTACTTTAGTAATAAATCTTGGCTATAAAACAAAGAGGACGATACATGAATGTCCTGTGGCCTCCTTTCAAAAGCACTAAGGTGATCGTAAGTCACAAAGGTGACCTTAGTGCAATGTTAAAGAATGGGAGATAAGGTTAACCTTAGTAAAGGTTGCATCGTGAAAGGAGCCCCTGGGTGATATATCACTGCAAGCACATATTCTAGCAATTTACATATTAATGTGGTTTGCAAGTGTCCTCAGAATTTCAATCAGATTTCAAGTTTGATTTTGCCCATTACACAGCCATATCTGCATATTTATTGTGTAAATTGTTATGCAAGAAAGGATGTAGTCATATATCTCAGTGGGGGATCTGTGATGTATTAGGCACCATTTGTGCCTGCTCTGTTACTTCAGGGACCATGGAACTTCAAGATGTCTGCTGGGATGGCTTACTGCCATACTCAGTCTACCATGTTTTGGGAGTCCTTTAATGTTTGATGACAATTTTTATGTCAGTCTGTCACTGTTATGAATCATAGTCATAAATGATATAAGACATGTTACAGGCAGTAGGAAAGGAAGGTGAATCAAGTTTTGTCTTGCCCTAGGGATGGTGGTTAAAGCATTTGCTCATCTTGCCAAAGACCTGGGTTCAATTCCAAAGTACAATGTGTGGAGCCTATTTCTGGTATCCCCATGGTGATACGGGCTGGAATATTGCTTATAGAAATGTAAAGCTTGCTCACTCCCTCACAACGTTCCCTGTATTGTGATGACAGGAGTGTTGCATGTGTTAAATTGAGTGAAATATGTACATGCACATGTTTTGGTACACTTGATCAAAGGGCAGTGGGATAGCCTAGTGGTTAAAGCGTTCGCTCGTCACGACGAAGACCCGGGTTCGATTCCCCACATGGGTACAATGTGTGAAGCTCATTTCTGGTGTCCCCCGCCGTGATATTGCTGGAATATTGCTAAAAAGCGGTGTAAATCCATACTCACTCACTTGATCAAAATTTGATACACAAAAAGACAAGTATGGTGGTTTCTTGTAATTAAAGGGCCGGTGGGGTAGCCTAGTGGTTAAAGCATTAGCTCGTCGCTCGGAAGACCCGGGTTCAATTCCCCACATGGGTACAGTGTGTGAAGCCCAACTCTGGTGTCCCCTGCTGTGATACTGCTGAAATATTGCTAAAAGTGGCGTAAAACTCAACTCAATATGTCGGAATATTTTATTGTAATTAGAATACTATTTCTTGTGTATTGTGCAAAACAGCTCACACAGTGAGTGATTTCACTATATGCCTCTAGAGATTGAAAAAGTGCTAATTTGCATGTCATGGCACAGTAAATATTGAAAAGGCACAGTTGAAATATTTTCGGATTCATTTAATGGAAAATACAATATATTTGGCCAACTAAAATTATTCAAAAGCTATTTTTGCACCCCATCAAACTGCTTACCGGTGACATTCTCAATCTCACAGCTTAACATGGGTGTGGCCATTTTGACAAAATTATATATGTGGTGCCCTAAGTCACTATGTTGAAAAAATTGCATTCACATCCTTGACCTCGATTTTAAGTGTGAATTCAACACCTCTTTCTTGATTTGGACTGTTAGATTTATTGAATAACAACGTCTGTAGATAAACATCAGGAACAAGCCAGTGGTCATACTTAACTTTACATTGGTCATATCAACAATCGCATGAAAGTATGTTCACCATGCTTCAGAATGGATAAATTGTAAACAATTTCACTTACGCATTTGTACTATTTCCATTAAGTAACCATTGGGTGTGTTTTCATATGCAATAATTCATGTCAATGTACTAAACAAAACCACAGCTATGTATGGTATAAGTTTCGACCCTATTTTAACCTTTATCTTAATGGACCATTCAGTTTACTGTTAGTTATAGTATTGTAATCCTGTATCAATGGTCTCTATGGTACTAGAAATCAATATATTGATATATCGGGATACTTCTCAGCATGTCCACTCAATATATTGATGTTGCATTTTCACCAATTAATCCTCAGCCATTCCTTTTATTAACTGAATCCATGTGTTACAATTATGGCAGTTAATATCTGCTTCATTATTCTATTGCTCTGTATTCATGCATCTTTTCTCCAGCTGTGTCAACGTAGTAAGCAATTACAGTTAGTAGTTAGTTTTGAAATCTGAATAAAAATCTTGTGTCACAGGACATGGTTAATGGTAGGCATGATAGTCAAGGGCTTTGTGCCATGTATACCTCATTTTAAAAAATTAAACATATTGGGTGTCTCCCTAAGTTGATATTGAACATGGCAGTGATTGAAGATCGTAGGACCCCATGGACTTACTAACAATGATTACAGATCCGTCTATGGACATTTGGTACTGTTGTAGGACAGATTTATTCATTGAACTTGGAGCAGTTGGTTGTTATTTGTATTTGCTTCTCTGTTTCAGGCATTTACTGGAATTGATGACATCGAGACATGTGTGGCAATACTGGAACAGCATGACTGGAGTCTAGAGGTGAGCTGTAGCAAACAAACCCATTGCACACCTAGATTAAGGTCGGTCACATCTGTGGTCCAGTATAGGTAGACTGATGTCTGTGGAGCAGATTATTTGTAGAAGCAGAAACTGGCAAGTCAATTAGTAACAGCCTGAAATACAAACAGAAATGTCTATATTCATTATGTGAAGGCTAACCGATCTGACCTGTTTCTGTACCTGATAGTAACAAGTGTGACATCTGACATTCTGAAGAAGATATTTCAAGGTCAGATAAAAATACCCATCCCTTGTTTAACAGTGGGTCCTCTGGCGCTATCTCACAATTTTCTTACCGATGAATGATTTCATGTTCAAATACACAATAATCCAACTCTATGATCCAGTGACCTTCAGTAGTGTCAGCAGGGCATTCATAGCAAGGCAATGATTGATTTATATGAGCTTGACCATTTGACTGTGACGTTTTTTCTTCTTATTCTGACCAGGATTTTCATAAGGCCTAAAAAAAATTGTTGTAGTTCCGATTTCCCGACCGACCCTTGAATTCTGGTGCCGACCCTATTTTTTTTAAGCGGATTGAATAAAATATGCTTTCAGATACCACTGGGGTTTTTCCGGCACCAACAGATATCGGTCATTCTGATAGAGAAAGTTGATATGATGGCCGCAAGCTTGATTGAATAAACAATTACACATTAATAAATGTGTTATTACTTTGTACTTTACTTCTAAAAAAATATGTAAAAAAAAAATTCTGACCCACCTACCCTAAATTTTAAAGAGGTGTAATCGGAACCACAACCATTTTTTTTATTTGGCCTAAATTGTCATTAGGAGAAGAGGATTGTAACCTTCATCAAGTTATTGCCATAGCAATGACAGACCGTTATCTGAAATGATCCGTCATGCAGTTGAATTCAATTAATTCCACAGTAATTATTACATAAGTACACACAGCAAATAGTGTGAAGGTCTGGGGTAGGACTGGCTTTCAATAACCCATGCTTGTGATAAGAGGTTACTGTCGGTAGATATGCATGACGTTAATCAGTGGATTGTCTGGTCCAGACTTGATTCTGTACAGACCACCATCATATAGTGGAGTATTTCTGAGTGGTTTTATACAACAATCAAAGCACAATCAAATATATATGTCACCATGGTTACTGTGTTGAATGTTCTTCAAGATGCACTGCTTAACAAGTGTGTCCCTCTGTTTGTGATGAATATGGGGTCGATGTCTCATCTTTCCAGTAAACTGAACCCCAGATGTTACTGTTCTAAGTCAGGGATAGAAATACTTGTTTTCTAAGTGTGCCTTAGGGCACCAGACACATATTTTAGATGTGCCTTTCAGAAACCAAGTGTGCCCACATGTTTAGAATGAATGACTGTAGCAATGATGATGATCACTTGAATTCTTTTTCATAGAGATCGTCCTTGGGGTACATATATGCATTTTCTGCGCTGAAAATGTCCTGTGACAGTTGTATCAATGTTTTAATAAAAATATTGTACAATAAATAAAATCTTTTTTATCTATTATACGGCCCCAACCCCGTGGAGTTACCTCCCGCTATGCATGCGCAGCCAACCAGGTAAGCACCTAGGCCCGTATCATCATTCCTTCTGCTGTCACTCCACAGTCAAGACGTGTAGAGTACCTAGCTGAATACCTTGTCTACGATAAAGAATAATGTCTGAGACTCCACCACCTGTATGTATGGTCTTTATTTGTCCTTGAATGGAACAGCTAAGACTTTTGCGGTCGGTTTTCTCATAATTGTGACTTTGTATTAAATTTTTTACGCTAGCTTTCCTGTGGTTTACGCACGTGTTGCTTTGCCATGGCGGGAAGTTTAGCGTGCCACATGGTTGTCATATTGCGTTTTAACCAAGTATTTCTTCCCGTGGTCGCATTCACGTAATTTTCAATGTTTTGTACGTGTATATTTATGCTGCTGGCTCCGCTGTTAGCTACATGCTTGCGTGTTTGCTTTCAGGCGTTTTCTGGATGTTCTCTCTGCGGACAGAGCATTCCTAGAGCTGACCAGCACGACAAGTGCTTAAGTTGTCTGGAGAAAGTCGGCCATAATCCCGACGCTTGTGAGCTTGTGAGCCGGAAGGCGCTTTCCTTTCTCGACGGCTCTGCGGGAGGTACGGCAACGTATTGCTGAGTATATCCCCAGGCCGCGGTACCTACCAGCCGCTCGGACTCGTCTGAGTTCCGCCTGCCGGGCGAGGCGTTTGCCCCTAGGCAACCCTCGCAGACGCTTGCCGTCCCTGGTGCAGGACGTGGTGGATCCTCTCCTGGTTGGGACACGCCTCCGGTTCGACTTGTCAAGAGGTACCAGCTGGGGGACAATTCCCTGTTCTTTGTACCAGTGGTCGACGAGTGTGTTTTTACTTCGGTCGCCCTGGGGGAAGGCTCGGCTTCCTCCGGTCCAGTCCCGGCTGCCAGGCAAGGGCGTTCAGTGCCACCGTTTGCCCTTGCGGGCGCCCCCCTGCAGCAGGCTTACCCCCTACGCAGCAGGCTTACCATGACCTACGAGGAGGTCTATTGGAATGCCATGCAGCTGGTGCGGGTCAGGTCACGGCTTGGGGATGCCTGGCTGCGGTCCTCTGCGTTCCCCTTCCTTTCTTTTTCCTCCGGGGTGCAGCCTACACCCGAAGTTCTGCCGGTGGCCGGACGCTTCTCGCTTCCCTGCCCTCCCTGGCAGGGTGCAGGTGGAGAGTCTGCCATCCCGGACGCTGGCAAGGGTAAGGGGCAAGGAGCAGTCCTCTTCGCCTGGCTCCCAGCCTTTTCGCGGGTGCGGGAGGTTTGCCCCGACCTCCCGTTAACCCAACAGGCTGTCGCCGTGGGTCTGTCCCAGTCAGTTCATCTACTCGGGACCACTCACGCTCTCTTACCACACGTCCCGCCGGGGCCGCCTCTCTCTATTCCTACCGGAGTGGAAAAAGTCTACCAGCAACACTTGGGTGCTTTCCACCGTCAGTGTCGGCCATCTACTACTGTGGAAGCGAGGCCCGCCAGAATTCACCGGCATACGTCGCACTCCGGTGCCGTCATGTCAGGTCAGGGCGGGTATACTGCGCGACGAGGTTCAGGCTTTGCTGGACAAGTCTGCAATAGAGCGCATACCACCGGGCGAGGAACAGGCGGGATTTTATTCCACGTACTTCCTCTTTCCGAAGAAAGACGGCGGGTTCCGTCCCATTCTCAACCTCAAGGGGTTGAATCGCATGCTAGAGGTTCCATCCTTCAAGATGGAGACACTTCGCTCGGTGATCTCCTCTGTTCAGCCCGTCGATTGGCTTACGTCGATCGACCTAAAGGATGCGTATCTACATGTGCCCATTCATCCATCGTTCAAGCAGTACCTCCGGTTCTCTTATGACGGGATGAATTACCAATTCACGGTGCTCCCCTTCGGCATATCCACTGCCCCCAGGGTGTTCACCAAGCTCATGTTAGTGCCAGCTACCCTCGCTCGATCGCAAGGAAGGCATTGTTACCCTTACCTCGACGACTGGTTGCTCAGCGCGCTAACTCAGCCAGCAAGCCTAGATTCTACTCACACAGTGATAGACATTCTAGTTCGACTGGGGTGGATCATCAACCTCAAGAAATCCGACCTGGTACCCACCCAGGACTTGGTTTTTCTCGGCGCGCGGTTCCAAACTCACAAGGATCTTGTCTCCTTGTCAGCCGACCGGGTCACCAGAGTACGGGAGATGGTGTCTTCGTTCCTCTCCCAGCCCCAGGCACCAGCACAGACTTGGCTCCGTCTACTGGGCCATATGGCGGCGACTATCTCTGTAGTGTGGCGGGTGCGGTTTAGGATGCGCCCTATACAGCAAGCTTTGGCAAGTCTGTGGGCTCACTCGAGGACCTGGAGCGGAGTCTCACAGTCCCGAGTGTTTGTCTCCTCACCTTCAGTGGTGGACCAATGTCGGGAATCTCTCCAAGGGGATCCCTTTGGAAATCCCAACGCCAGCTCTTACAGTTCAAACCGATGCGTCCCTCACGGGCTGGGGGTGTGTTCTGGGCAGTCTGTCGGTGTCCGGAGTCTGGTCCGAAGCCGAGGCCCGCCTTCACATCAACGTCTTGGAACTGAGAGCTGTGTGGTTGGTTTTCAAGCGCTTCCGGGAGCATGTTCAGGGCCAGGTGGTTCGTCTTCAGTTGGACAACCGTATGGCCATGACGTACATCCTGAAGCAAGGCGTCACGGTGTCCCTAGCGCTTTCTTTCGGGAGACGTGGGAGTTTCTCCTCTGGTGTGACCAGTGCGACTGTCAGGTGCTTCCTGTTTATCTCCCGGGGCTGGAGAACGTGCGAGCAGACCCTCTCTCTCGCCAGATCCTGGCCCTGCACGAGTGGATGCTCGACCGGCAGAGATTCGGAGTTATCTCCCAGTTGTACGGATCGTTCCAGGTGGAACTGTTTGCGTCCAGCGGGACGAATCAGATACCCGTGTTCTGCTCTCGAATACCGGACCAGAGGGCGCTGGCTTCCGATGCCTTCCTGCTGGATTGGACGGGCAAAGTGCTCTGGGCGTTCCCGCCGTTACCACTCATTCCCCGGGTCCTCTCCCAGCTGTCCACCCAGCCAGCTCGGCTACTTGTGCTACTGGCACCGCTATGGCCGTCACAGAGCTGGTTTCCGGTAATTCTCAGGTTTCTGGCTCAGCCTCCTGTTCTATTACCTTTGCAACCGGACATTCTCACTCAGAACGGCGCGCCATACCCCAATCCAAGGATTCAGTGGGTGGCTTGGCCTCTGACAGGTCTAGCCTCGAAGCACGCAGAATTCCTGCAGCAGTTGCAGACACAATTCTGGCTTCGAGGCGGGATTCGACAAACGTTCAGTATGAGGATAGGTGGTCCCGCTATGCGCGCTGGTGTTCAGATAGGGGGATTGCAGATCCCTTTTCTGCGGATTTAGTCCGAGTAATGGAGTTTTTTGCAAGCTCGTTTGGAAGAAGGCCTGGTGGCTTCGACCATTCGTGGCTACTCCACCGCTATTTCCACTTTTCACACCCCTGTTGATGGTGCTCTTCTGGGGCAGCACCCTCTTGTGCAGCGCTTTTTAGCTGGCATGGATCGGGTTCGACCTGCTGTCAGGCGAACCAGCCCACCTTGGGATTTGTCAATTGTGCTAGATTGGCTGTCCGGTCCTACGTTCTCACGTCTATCGGCTATTTCCATTCAGTTGTTAACATGGAAGGCTGTATTTCTGGTGGCGGTAACATCTGGGCGTAGGGTCGGTGACTTACATGCTATATCGGCAGACCCGGCGCTGACTGTGTTCCATCCAGATCGTGTCAGTATTCGCCTCCCAGATACTTACTGCCCGAAGATCGATCACGCTTTCCATGTGACAGCTCCTATCGAACTTCCTACTCTTACCCAGTCTTCCACATCGGGGACCTCTCCTACGAGCACTCACCCGTTGGATGTCCGAAAGACACTCAAGGTCTATATCAAACGAACACAGGGGATCCGTACGGGTACCCATCTGTTCTGCTGTTACGGTGGCGGAAAGGCTGGGGTGCCGGCAAGCAAACAGACCCTGTCTTGCTGGCTTGTTTCGGTCATTTGTGCTGCTTATCAGGCTAAGGGCCATCCTCCCCCTGAGGGGTTGAAGGCTCACTCGGTCAGGGCAGTAGCCACGTCAAAAGCTTTTGCATCGGCAGTACCCATTGAAGAGATCTGCTCTGCCGCTATTTGGAGCCGGCCTAGCACTTTTATCAGGCACTATTAGCTCGATACACATTCACGTGATCTTGCACGCTTTGGACGTTCTGTTCTCTCCAGTGGACAGGGTCCTGCCACCTTGACCGAGTGAGTCTTGGTTATCTGGTTTAGTTGACGCTGCTTTCAATTGTGTTTTATTGATATGTCCGCTGTTGTGTGATCTAACTCCTTTCATTTCTCTACGGAGATTATGGTCGGTTGTAAGTTGGTTTTTCCCCCCTACGGTGCTCTCTAATAGACCATGAGGTGGGTGGGGTTGTTTACTTTCGCACTTCGGGCGATCTTGTTATGCTTAACCTACGAGGTTGACTCTCAGTACCTTTCCCCCTAGTCGGTTACCCTCCCATCATGCCTCTCGCGGAAGCTACGGGACACGTGACAGGTGAGTGTTGTGGCGTCTGTTTCTTTATTCTAAACGATTGCTATTCATGTGTACTTTGACAGAATTCCCTCCTCCCTGGCCTCCGGTCTTTGGGAGTCTGAGTTTATGCATATATGTACCCCAAGGACGATCTCTATGAAAAAGAATTAACCAAACCTGTAGAGGTTTTCAATTCTTTGAAGAGAGTCGTCCTTGGGGTAGGGCCGCCCGCCTCCCCACAATTCTGTTCACTGATTTATTCAGCAGAAGGAATGATGATACGGGCCTAGGTGCTTACCTGGTTGGCTGCGCATGCGTAGCGGGAGGTAACTCCACGGGTGGGGATGTATAATAGATAAAAAAGATTTTATTTATTGTACAATATTTTTATTAAAACATTGATACAACTGTCACAGGACATTTTCAGCGCAGAAAATGCATATATGTACCCCAAGGACGACTCTCTTCAAAGAATTGAAAACCTCTACAGGTTTGGTTAAATTTATTGTTAGTAAACAACAAATGTAACCTGTTTTCTGTTATCACTGATATGTCTTCTGTTTAAGATGGCTTTTTTAAGCTTCATTTGTTCTGCTTTCCCAGCCCCTTTAACAGCTAAGAATTTTGTGACAGGTTCACTTGTTCAATATATCTAGCATGCACAATTTCCTCTTCAATATCCCAAGCATCAGTACTTTCATTATTATGAATGCAAAAACAACCAGATTTCCTCACATCATCCATCATAATTCCAGTGATTTCCTGGGCAATAAAGTCAATAAATGTTTTTGCTTGTTTGTCATTTGTGTACATGTTTTGTTTTGGGGATTAAATGACTAAAGGTGAGTTATGTCTCTAAAAAATTAGGCGTGCCATCAGGGCACCGAGAACATTATTTATCCATGCCATTTCAATATTTACTGTGCCATGGCACACTAATATATGGAGTATTTCAAATCCTGTAAGTTCATTCGTGGCAGTACTTCAACATAAATTATTCATTGATATATATAAGCTTTCTTGTATAGTATTCATTCCAAGCTGCACATCGTCTGCTCATAAGGAACTTGATTTAACTTGCACAGGTGCATGTAGTCGTGAAAACCAGGTTGCACCCTAGTCCTATAAATTATTCAAAGTTGAAACATGCACATAATTTTGATGTATCAACTTTCTGAAGTTATGGTATATAGACACAACTATTGAGTTGCATTTTTCAATAATAGATTGTACTTGTGCATGTTTTGTGTAACTAAATCAATCACTGACTCCCTGAAAGTCTGATAATGGAACAGTTGCATAGTTTATAACAGGTCACACCCTTAACAGATCATGTATTTGTCCAGAATAACCGTGGTAACTCATACTTGTCGTTTAAGTCAACAAGTTGAATTGGGTGGTCAGGCTTGGTGCCTTGTGTATATCTTTGAATGACCGTGGGAGCCATGCCAGTTTAGACTTATCAGATGGGTACACAAAGTCCATAGTTTAGACTACCAGTTGTCAGACTCCTATTTTTGTGGAAGGAGCGGTGGCTGAGTTGGTTAGGCAGCTGACTTTGTGTTCTCTGAGGGTGTGGGTTTGAATCCAGGATGGGACTCAGCCCAACGAAAGTACTACAATAGGCACTTTACTGAGAAAGTGTAATCCCAAATATAACATGTTACATTTGATCACTTTCTAAATAGCATTTTGTATTCATTTGATTGAGTGGTTTGCATAAACCAGATTTTATTGTTGGACTACTGCTGACTGTGTCATTCACTCACTCATTCACTCACTCACTCTAACATGGCCATGACAATACACACACGTTGCATGAAACATGTGTTCAACTTTGAGCTTCACCAGAAAATGCAGGGTTGACTTGTCATATAGCAAGTTGAAATGTACCACTTTTTCAGTAAATGTCACTTGGATTAAACAGTGAAAAGTCTACAATTAGTTCAAAACATTATTTAGAAGCACAGACATAACTTTGTGTTTTGCATGAAAATAATAAAACTATTTCATCAGAGTAGTGTATCTATTGTAATGTACCAATAATATAACATATGATAATGAAATTCAGTAAATAATGGCACACACAAATTTTCCTCTTACATGATTAAGCTGAAACATGAAGAACAATAAGCTGAAACATGCAGAAGAATAAACTGAAACATGCAGCAGAATAAACTGAAACATGCAGCAGAATAAACTGAAATATGCAAAAGATTAAGCTGAAACATGCAGATTAAGCTGAAATATGCAGAAGAATAAACTGAAACATGCAGAAGATTAAGCTGAAACATGCAGAAGATTAAGCTTTAATATGCCGACAAATATAAACTGAAACATGCCGAAGATTAAGCTGAAACATGCAGAAAAATAAACTGAAACATGCAGAAGATTAAACTGAAGCATGCAGAAAAATAAACTGAAACATGCAGAAGATTAAGCTTTAATATGCCGATGAAAAAACTGAAACATGCAGAAGATTAAGCTGAAACATGCAGACTGAAGCTGTGTATGTGTACATGCATATGCATATTTAGTGTACAAATGTATGTTGTTTTTGTTGTCAGACTGCAGTGAACAGCATCCTCCAGGATGGAGCATCTGCAACCATCAACCCTGTTCCCCCTTGCAATGCCACAGCTGGGGAGACGACAGAGATGGCAGACTGTATCATGGATCCAGACGACCACAATAAGGGGTTTGTGTCCGATGACCCAGCACTGGTCGTAGAGGGTGCTTCGAGCAGCTGGCCCCTCCACAAGTTTTGCAGGACGCAGTATGACTAGAATGTTGCACTTCCAGGTGGAATATCGGGACAAGAATATACCAGTCATCTTGCCAGACACAGAAACCATTGGTACGTGGCTTGTCTGGTAAATCATATCTAATGTTGGTTAAGTGAGGTGAGGAGGGTTCAAAGCTGTGTTCAAATTATTGCACTTGTATAAAAATGTGCATGTATGTGTTTAACTGCTTATTGAATACCCACATATTTTTAAGCACTGCATCTCCATGTCACAGTTTAGTATAGATACCCATCTCGGACAAAGTTTAGAGAGTCTGTGTCAACCAGTCCTTGTTTTTTGGACATAATACTGAGCCTCAGCCAGGGTAACAAGTACCATCTTGTAGCATCATTTGGTGTGAAGAAGGATCCACCCTTCTGCCTTCTGGACAAATGTTCTGTTCACTAGACAAAAGGGGCAGTATATTTCAAAAGGAACTGTTCAGTGACATGGCCTCTTCATGAATGCATTTGTCTGTCAGTGTCATTCTAAAATATGGCATCGTTTGGTAGTCTCTTCACTTGTGATACAGTAGTATATTCCTTTCAGGCAAGATCAAAGAAACGCTGAGTGTTGAACTGGGGATACCAGTTGACCAACAGGAGTTGAAGGGACTAGTCAAACGAAAAGTTGAAGACAGGGTAGGTACTCTATATTTTTCCTTATCCTGACTCATGCTTATTTGGTTATCTTCTTCCTCTATGCAAATGGTAGTGGAACACTTGAATCCCTTGTAGTTCCCCAAAGAGGACGTAAAAGTTCACTCACCCATGAGTTGCCTCCCTTTTCCCACCAAAACAGTCATGTGACTTGCCATGCTTGTCACTCTCTCCATCACCCAAGTGGATGGTTGGGCGAGCACTGGAGTCCCCTATACGGCACCATATCCTTTAATATTTAGATCCTTTATCCAAATTAAGCTGTGTATGGTTTTTGGTTATATTTAGCTTTCATCGTATGTCAAAATTTTGAGAAAATTATTCATATATTTTTCCTTATCCTGACTCATGCTATTTTGCTTATCTTCTTCTTCTATGCAAATGGTAGTGGAACACTTGAATCCCTTGTAGTTCCCTAAAGTGGACGTAAAAGTTCACTCACCCACGAATTGCCTCCCTTTTCCCGCGCAAACAGTCATGTGACCTGCCATACTCTCTCCTTCATCACCCAAGTGGATGGTTGGGCGAGCACTGGAGTCCCGTATACGGCACCATATCCTTTAATATTTAGATCCTTTTATCCAAATTAAGCTGTGTATGGTTTTGGTTATATTTAGCTTTCATTGTATGTCAAAATTTTGAAGAAATTATTAGTATTTTGTGACATATTTTCATCACAATGTTTACATTTGATGAAATCTTGCAGTGTTTGAAGGTGCCGGCTGTGAGTGGCTGATCCTCACCCCCAATGCCCGTCATGCATTAATCCATATTCTTCCAACTTACGTTGCAGATATTGTATTAATTTTGTCAAATTTGCAATTTAATCAATACTTGTCTTACATCTATAGACATGCGATGGACCTGGTGAGGAAGTCATCTCAAGTCACTGGTGATAAATCCGGAGATAATGCCAGCAACCGTATGTTGTTTGCTACTGCTGAAATACATAATTCAGGTGATTTGCCGAGTATGTTGCAGGGGCAGTCGTCTGTTGCTGTCTGCGAACCCTCAACATGCGATAACGTCAAGAAGGTCCTCTCCGAGATTCAGTCACTCCACATCTAGATCCCGCAGCCCCAACAGAGGTTCGGAGGAAGGTCGCGAAGGGAAGGTTTCGTGAAGGCACAGTTAAACGGACCCGGAACTATCTGATGAACAGGGAGACTACGTCTTTTCGGAAGCAGAGGTCACATCCTGGATTGCAAATGGATTGGACTTAGAGTCTCCCTCCAAGGAATCGGATGAAGCATTCACATAAAAGATGTGGAAGGACGACTTCAACACCCTCACAATTCCACCGATTGAACCGATCTCCAAGGTGTGTGCGAACCAACATACAGCTTTTGAGAAAACAACCCGGTATCAGAATCAACATTTACCAATGTTCAATGGCTCAACTCGACACCACGACTAGAAGAACATTATTCGGCTTAGCAAGATCTAGAGCGATCAATGAGGCATTGATATCCAGATTCCAGAACTCCAAGACGGAAGAGGATAGGATGATCCTATCAGCACTGTTAACTCAGAAGAAGGACCAACACTTCATGTGTGATCACTTGGCCTCAACGTCAGCGGGTCTCACCTTATTACGTAGACAGGGTCTACTATCGTCATGTTCCTGGAGTGACAGATTTACCAAACCACTACTAAGAGTTCCTTGGGCGGCGCCTACTATCTTCTGTGGGGAGATTGATGAAGCTGCTAAGGAAGCCACACATGATTCTAGAGAAGTCATGATGATCAAGTCCATAGACACATTGGCCAATGTCATTCATCAAACATCACAGAGGTACAGCAACAAGTCAAAGTTCTCCGGAGTGCAGAAGGCAAAGGAGAAGAAATAGTCCAGCTTCAGGGGCTGAAAGAGATCTTTTCGTCACCCATCCGGAAACAGCAGGGGAAACTCTGGGAGAGGACGTAATCCCAGAGGTTTCAGAGGATCTAGACTGTGAAGATGGGGTTCGGAACGACTGGACACTTCCACCCCCAGCCGTTCTTGTACAACCGTCCACAGTGGGTGGACGTCTACAAAGGTACTGGAAAAATTGGGGAATATTGGAGGACGACTACGTCTCACAAGTACTGCGAGGAGGTTACAGAGTGCAGCCGAAGGCCACACCACCGTTGACCCTGGACCCAGTAGTCTTCAACTACGCAGATGACCAGGCAGAGAAGTTAAAAGAAGCCATCAACTTGCTATTGACCAAGAACACCATAGAAGTGATAGATCAACATCATCTCACACCCGGTTTCTACTCCCCAATATTCCTAGTACCCAAGAAGAATTCGAAAGAGAAGTTCAGGTTGATATACAACATGAAGATGATCCACCGCCTCAACTCAGACAACTCGTCCGTCCAGCAGATTACTTGGCCAGCATAGACCTGAGATTCGTGTTCAGAGGTTGACACTTCCAGTGGAGCGTCCTGCCGTTTGGAATATCGTTGGCCCTTTGGTTATTACACGAGTGACCAAGTTCATCGTCTCCTATTTACATCGTTGAGGTGTACGCAGTGCCTTCTACCTGGACGACGGGATACAAATTCATCAAGAAGCCAATCAACTCAGACGGCAGCTAGACTTCACCATCAAACTGCTTGCACAACTGGTATGGCTAGTAAACTTGATGAAGTCAGAGTTGGAACCAAAGCAAGATCTTCAGTTTCTGGGAATAAGGTTCATCACAACACAGAATCGTATTGTGGTTCCAGAAGATCGTTGGGTCAAGATTCAAGCCATGATTCCAGAAGCAGTCATCTCACCATCACCACTACGAACATAGCAGTGTCTCCTCGGTCTACTCACCTCAGCGCAGGTTTTGACTCGCAGAGGAAGACTACAGTTACGTCCGCTGCAATGATTCCTGGCAAGACACCTGGACAGCACGGACCTGATCTCTCTACCAGATAGTCTCAAAACGTACCTGTTATGGTGGACTCAAAAGTCAAATGTCTGCGGAGGGACCTATTTAGAAGAGCCGGTTTTCGACACGCACCTCTACGTAGATGCCTTACTACAAGGATGGTGAGCTCATCTCGACAACGAAGTGGCATCAGGGAAGTGGTCGAAACAAGAACAACATCTTCACATCAAGATGGGAGATGAAAGCTGCGATCAACATGATAGCAGACGCTCTATCTTGACCATTTCATCCGTCACCCACGGAATGGATGCTCCACCCTGAGGCGTTCCGGCTCATCATAATGAAAATAGGATCTCCCTTCATAGCCATGTTCGCCACAAGGTTCAACAAACAACTACAGACATTCGTCTCACCAGTACCAGATCCTCAAGACTGGACAACAATCGCACTGAGCTTGTCATGGGAAGGACTAAACGCATACACGTTCCCACCTCTGGTTCTACTACCTCAAGTACTATTGAAGATCAAGCAGACCCAATGCTACAACTCTACTGGCCAGCGAGAGTCTGGTTCCCAGATCTCATACAAGTCCTCGGAAGTCCAACCCTGAAACTACCAGATCGGCCAAACCTGCTAGTACATCAGCACACCAAGCAAGCTCACGGGAAACCCGCAAACGTTCCAGCTACACGTTTGGATCCTGTCAAGACTTGCTTGAAGAAAAGAGATACTCCGCCAGAGCAGCGAAAGCAGTAATCCTAGCTCTACACAGATCAACTCGCAACTTGTACGACAACAAGTGGCAGAGAGTTCAACAGTATGCAGTGTGAAAAGGCTTCACAGCAATGAAAGCGACTCATTCTCAAGTGGCAGAATATCTATGTCACCTTAGATATACGAGGCGATTGAAAGGTTCACCACTATCTACATACCTGGCAGCTATCAGTACAGTCATCATGATGAAGACGAGCATCAAGCTGACGAAAGTGCCAGAACTACTTGCTCTACTACGGTCCTTCAAGCTGGAAGACCAGCAGAAGAAATTCAGAGTACCAGTCTGGGATCTGAACATGGTTCTACATCTCACGAGTGATGTCTACGAACCACTAGAGCAGATTACCTTCGAGCTACTCATACAGAAAACTCTGTTCCTCCTCGCCCTAGCCACGGCAGCTCGGATGTCAAGAGATATATGCGCTGGACTTTGGACAAACTAGATTCAACATGGGAAACTGTGCTGCAGTACATCTAGGACTTAGATGGGACTTCATTGCAAAGAATCAGTTACCTGGCCAACCGGACAGACAGTTCCATTCATCCCAGTCAGCATCTACGATCCTATCATTTTGGATGTGACCAGAGGACACCTCCAAGACTTATCCTTGTGTCCTGTCATGAAGCCAGCTGAAGATATGTCTTCAAAGACATCACCACTGAAGACTAAAGCAGTTTGGAGAAGCAAAATTCAAAAGCTTCGAGTTTCATCCCCCTTTATCAGCAGAGGAGAGTTTTGGTTGAGAGTCGCACAATATCATTTTGACTCTGATGTGAGCTTACCTGACAAGGGGTCGTAGCAGGACTAGAACCTCCAAGAGCTTCCTACTAAGTATATCAAAAATCCACATGAATCTATGAGATTCACTTGTCTTAGAGAAGTATGACAAGATGTGGTCCCCGAGTTGACAGCGAAGTGTGAGAAGAACAGGATCTAGGAAGTGCTGTTCAAGAGTTCCCATGGGGGGAATACAGGACATATCTAAGGATAGCTGATGGCCTGACCAACCACCGATTCCTCTGGATTCTTGAAGCAAATAAGCATTCCTCAGGATAAGGAAAAATATGCATGAGTCAAGATAAGGAAAAATAATTTATTTTTATCCTGACTCATGATGTCAAGCCCTCCCAACCTCCCAGCAAACCCAGGTGTTACGGCTTATTCAGGAGAGAGTGACAAGCATGGCAAGTCACATGACTGTTTTGGCGGGAAAAGGGAGGCAACTCGTGGGTGAGTGAACTTTTACATCCTCTTCAAGGAGAACTACAATGGATTCAAGTGTTCCACTACCATTCGCTTAGAGGAAGAAGATAAGCAAATAAGCATGAGTCAGGATAAGTATAAAATATCAATTTTACTTAAAAAATTACATCTTTATAGACAGAATCCGAGACGAAGCATGTAGCCTGTATGACATCAGTACTCTCTTCTTAGTTCTTTCTTGCTATGTGGCTGATCAGTCAGCCCTGTTCAAGGGTATACTGATAATAATAAACTTTGCAGATTTTTTTTAGAAATAAAACTATTGTTGAAGTGTCAGAGCATGTCTATTTATGAAGGGTTGGCCAAGCAGACATGTTGGACTATGTGTTGTTGAGTCATACATTGTTTTTTGTAGACTGTGTTACGAGACCTGCACCTGCCCAAGCAGAACAAGCTCTATCTGCTGACACCACAGATCAACAACCCAACGCTCACAAAACCCAATGCTCCAGTCAGAGAGGAGTAAGATCACTTATCAGTTAATTCATATTTTCAGCAGGAGAACTTGGCAATTCTTCCCATTGCTTAGTTGCATCCCTTTGCCATGCTATACTCTGCTATATTCTGATTACTGATGCTTGGTATGTGAAGTCATTGGATGCTTCTCATATCAGTTTTTGGTTGTGTCCAGAGTTGGTTACATACATGGAGAATACTACTTGAGGTCTCATAACATACGAATTATACGAAACAAGTGTCCTTCCTATGGTATCTGACCGAGTGAAAACGAGGTCAGAAACCATAGGAAGGTCACGTGTTTCGTATAATTCGTATGTTATGAGACCGAGTGTGGTATTTTATTTATTACCCACGTCTTACATGCTTTAAATTGACAAAATAGCATATTTTTGTTATTTTTATGGTTAAAAACCGAAACCGGTTTCATAAAGAGGTTGCGGAAGAATGTTGTTCTGTGGTACACTTTTTGCATGACGTCACACTATAATGACGTCACTACGCCTTGCTGGTCTGCCCCCTTGGTAACCGACATCACGATGTATGTCAGTTGTCATCGCCTCGTACAACCTCCTACATGAAACTACTCCGTAGCACCCCTGTTTCTTAGTTTGCATTTGCTTCACTCGGCTAACATCACTGGTAGAAACTTTGCGTTTATGTTTTTCGACGCATATAATGTCTCAGCTCAACTCACAATTAAACAGCGATACGGCAACGTTCGCAATGTTTGCATTCCCACAATGCATTTAAGTTGTAGAATGAATTCACGTGTTTGTTATGAATGAAAAAGTAGTTCCATCACAACGTGACCTTATTGAGAGGTCAGCGGTTATCCAATCAAATCATCAGAATCTCAGGTCAAGTCCTTATGACACAGGTCAACACAATACGACACTTGTGTGACGTACAAGATTAGTATGCACCTACCCATAAGTTGACCACATGGGTAATAAAGGCCAATATCATTTATCTGGACTATTGTTGACTGTAGCATAATTCAAACTGCTAGCCTGATACCCTTGCAGCCTTTCTCCAGGTAGTTAATATCTACACCTGTGGTCCTCCTACACAATAGTTCATCAGGTAGTTAACATCTACACCTGTACTCCTCCTACACAATAGTTCATCAGGTAGTTAACATCTACACCTGTGGTCCTCCTACACATTAGTTCACCAGGTAGTTAACATCTACACCTGTGGTCCTCCCACACATTAGTTCATCAGGTAGTTAACATCTACACCTGTACTCCTCCCACACTTTAGTTAACAAGTAGTTAACATCTACACCTGTACTCCTCCCACACATTAGTTAACGAGGTAGTTAACATCTACACCTGTACTACTCCTACACATTAGTTCATCAAGTGGTTAACATCTACACCTGTACTCCTCCTACACATTAGTTTACGAGGTAGTTAACATCTACACCTGTACTACTCCTACACATTAGTTCATCAGGTAGTTAACATCTACACCTGTACTCCTCCCACACATTAGTTAACAGGTAGTTAACATCTACACCTGTACTCCTCCTACACATTAGTTCATCAAGTAGTTAACATCTACACCTGTACTCCTCCCACACATTAGTTCACCAGGTAGTTAACATCTACACCTGTACTCCTCCTACACATTAGTTCATCAGGTAGTTAACATCTACACCTGTACTCCTCCTACACATTAGTTCATCAGGTAGTTAACATCTACACCTGTGGTCCTCCTACACATTAGTTCACCAGGTAGTTAACATCTACACCTGTACTCCTCCTACACATTAGTTCATCAAGTAGTTAACATCTACACCTGTGCTCCTCCCACACATTAGTTCACCAGGTAGTTAACATCTACACCTGTACTCCTCCTACACATTAGTTCATCAGGTAGTTAACATCTACACCTGTACTACTCCCACACATTAGTTCACCAGGTAGTTAACATCTACACCTGTACTCCTCCTACACATTAGTTCATCAGGTAGTTAACATCTACACCTGTACTCCTCCCACACATTAGTTCATCAGGTAGTTAACATCTACACCTGTGCTCCTCCTACACATTAGTTAACAGGTAGTCAACATCTACACCTGTACTCCTCCTACATATTAGTTCACAGGTAGTTAACATCTACACCTGTACTCCTACACATTAGTTAACAGGGAGTTAACATCTACACCTGTGGTCCTCCTACACATTAGTTCATCAGGTAGTTAACATCTACACCTGTACTCCTCCTACACATTAGTTAACAAGTAGTTAACATCTACACCTGTACTCCTCCTACACATTAGTTTACGAGGTAGTTAACATCTACACCTGTACTACTCCTGCATTAGTTCACAAGTGGTTAACATCTACACCTGTACTCCTCCTACACATTAGTTTCACGAGGTAGTTAACATCTACACCTGTACTACTCCTACACATTAGTTCATCAGGTAGTTAACATCTACACCTGTACTCCTCCTACACATTAGTTCACCAGGTAGTTAACATCTACACCTGTACTCCTCCTACACATTAGTTCATCAGGTAGTTAACATCTACACCTGTACTCCTCCCACACATTAGTTCACCAGGTAGTTAACATCTACACCTGTACTCCTCCTACACATTAGTTCATCAGGTAGTTAACATCTACACCTGTGGTCCTCCTACACATTAGTTCATCAGGTAGTTAACATCTACACCTGTACTCCTCCTACACATTAGTTCACCAGGTAGTTAACATCTACACCTGTACTCCTCCTACACATTAGTTCATCAGGTAGTTAACATCTACACCTGTACTACTCCTACACATTAGTTCACCAGGTAGTTAACATCTACACCTGTACTCCTCCTACACATTAGTTCATCAGGTAGTTAACATCTACACCTGTACTACTCCTACACATTAGTTCATCAGGTAGTTAACATCTACACCTGTACTCCTCCTACACATTAGTTCATCAGGTAGTTAACATCTACACCTGTACTACTCCTACACATTAGTTCATCAGGTAGTTAACATCTACACCTGTGCTCCTCCTACACATTAGTTCACAGGTAGTTAACATCTACACCTGTACTCCTCCTCACATTAGTTCATTAGTTAACATCTACACCTGTAGTTACACAGGCAGGTTAACATCTACACCTGTACTACTCCCACACATTAGTTCATCAGGTAGTTAACATCTACACCTGTACTCCTCCTACACATTAGTTCATCAGGTAGTTAACATCTACACCTGTACTACTCCCACACATTAGTTCACAGGTAGTTAACATCTACACCTGTGCTCCTCCTACACATTAGTTAACAGGTAGTTAACATCTACACCTGTACTCCTCCTACACATTAGTTCATCAGGTAGTTAACATCTACACCTGTGGTCCTCCTACACATTAGTTCACCAGGTAGTTAACATCTACACCTGTACTACTCCTACACATTAACATCTACACCTGTACTACTCCTACACATTAGTTCACCAGGTAGTTAACATCTACACCTGTACTCCTCCTACACATTAGTTAACAGGTAGTTAACATCTACACCTGTACTACTCCTACACATTAGTTCACCAGGTAGTTAACATCTACACCTGTACTCCTCCTACACATTAGTTCATCAGGTAGTTAACATCTACACCTGTACTCCTCCTACACATTAGTTCACCAGGTAGTTAACATCTACACCTGTACTCCTCCTACACATTAGTTCACCAGGTAGTTAACATCTACACCTGTACTCCTCCTACACATTAGTTCACCAGGTAGTTAACATCTACACCTGTACTCCTCCTACACATTAGTTCACCAGGTAGTTAACATCTACACCTGTACTCCTCCTACACATTAGTTAACAAGTAGTTAACATCTACACCTGTACTCCTCCTACACATTAGTTTACGAGGTAGTTAACATCTACACCTGTACTCCTCCTACACATTAGTTCACCAGGTAGTTAACATCTACACCTACACATGTGGTCCTACACCTGTGGTCCTCCTACACATTAGTTCATCAGGTAGTTAACATCTACACCTGTGCTCCTCCTACACATTAGTTCATCAGGTAGTTAACATCTACACCTGTACTCCTCCTACATTAGTTAACAGGTTAACATTACACCTGTGGTAGTTAACATCTACACCTGTGCTCCTCCTACACATTAGTTCACCAGGTAGTTAACATCTACACCTGTACTCCTCCTACACATTAGTTAACAGGTAGTTAACATCTACACCTGTGCTCCTCCTACACATTTAACATCTACGTTCACCAGGTAGTTAACATCTACACCTGTGCTCCTCCTACACATTAGTTCACCAGGTAGTTAACATCTACACCTGTGCTCCTCCTACACATTAGTTAACAGGTAGTTAACATCTACACCTGTGCTCCTCCTACACATTAGTTAACAGGTAGTTAACATCTACACCTGTGCTCCTCCTACACATTAGTTCACCAGGTAGTTAACATCTACACCTGTGCTCCTCCTACATTTAGTTAACAGGTAGTTAACATCTACACCTGTGCTCCTCCTACACATTAGTTAACAGGTAGTTAACATCTACACCTGTGCTCCTCCTGCACATTAGCTAATAGGTGGTTAACATCTACACCTGTACTGAGCAATGAGGAATTAATGATTATTGGTCCTGATAGAACTAACTATTAACTTCTGCGGCAGGGCACAGAGCTTTCCACATTGATTCTTTAGGAACAGACCTGTGATCCGGGTTAGAACTGATCTTCCCGTAACCCATGCTTGTCAGAAGAGGCAACTAACGAGATCAGGTGGTCAGGCTCGCTGACTTGGTTGACACATGTCATCGTATCCCAATTGTGTAGATCGATGCTCATGCTGTTGATCACTGGATTGTCTGGTCCAAACTCAATTATTTATAGACTGCTGCCATATGGCTGGAATATTGCCAAGTGCGGCGTAAAACTAAACTCACTCACTCACTCTTTAGGAACAGATAATTCGTAATACTCATTACTTGTATTATATTGTATACGTTTCTCATAATCTTTTCTAACAAGTTATTTTAAGAAATATGGGTTTGTAATTTCAAATTGAGACAGTAGCTCAATTATTCTATTGTTGGAACTAAATCACACAAAGTCATAATGAACAGTGGATGTCAGCATCTGGCGATATGTACGTGTGACATCCCATTATGATAATCCTGGCACATAATAAAAAACATTGGAACAGTTTTTATAATACTAAGTGACAATTACTGATAAGATATTCACCTATGTCCATTATGGGTAATGATGTTATACAACTACACAACTGTTCAACTTCAGTCACTGTTTGTTAATTTTTAGTGTCATGATTATCATGATTCTGTATTTCAGTCCATGTGAAATGTTTGACCGGGAGTACACCCTGAACATCAAGTACATCGATGGCAGCAAGTACCAGTATTTCCCACTCAAGTTTCAAGGGAGTAAATCAGTCCGAGAGGTTTGTTGAACCAAATACTTACAATCTGTTTGATTGGCATTTAATTACTTACAAGTTTCACTTGATACCGTTTATGATATTTGGCCTAGTGAACACAATCATTACATAAAAAATATATGCACATAGAATAACTGTAACAGTTTTTGATTGAACTTCCTCGTCATTTAATTGCGTCTTTGAAACAGGTTAATGTTTGTGTATGAGACTTGATTAGCTTTGTGACACTGAGTGTAATTGTTCTGTGTGTAGATCAAGCAGGCAGTGTTTGTGTTGACTGACGTGGCCTCCAGATTCCAGATGTGGTCAGGCTGGCCGGACGGCGTCAAGGATGAGGTGGGTGTGTTAGGCACCGACTTTTCTAGCTGCAAAAACGTTCACGTGAGATCCCTGGTGATTCGGGACCCAAATATTAAATTGCCTAGTACTGTATAAATGGTAATGATGAATCACCTGGATTACTGTATGTCATTGTGCCCCTACAACTGATCAATGCTCATGCTGTCAACCTCTGGTTAGGTGGGTCCCATTACAGGCCAGTGTGATATCATTTGAAAATTACTGGCTGTGGGTTTTTTTTTATCATTGTTAACATTGATATGCAAACTCAGAAAACAACACACAATAAACAAAGTGAACTGACTCACGCTTTTCCTCAAGTCTGATAGATTTCTGTGCCTTCAAGTCTGAGCCTTCATTTGTGTATTTTGAACCTCTCTCCCTCTCCTTCTGTCCCATCTCTCTCTTTCTTTCTCTGTCTCCCTCTGTCTGCCTGCCCAATCTCTCTAACACACTTCCTCCCCTTATCTCCTCTCTTCCTGACCGCCTCCGTGGTGTAGTGGTTAGAGCGTCCGCCCGGAGAGAGGAAGGTCGCGGGTTCAATCCCCGACCACGTCATACCAAAAGACGTTAAAATATGGTACTTGTTGGTCCCTGCCTGGCCCTCGGCATTAATGGGTACAAGAAGGACTGGTCCACGCGGAGTCAGTATAATGTGTCTGCGTGGGGTATTCATGCTTCACTGCGGCATGGTATCTCAGTGGGCTAGCACTATAAAACCAGCTTAAGTCTGGGCTAGTACAAGCAGCTGCACATACACATACACACGCATGCACGTCGTCATATGAGCGAAATATTCTCAAGCACGACGTAAAACCCAATTTCACCTCACCTCTTCTCTTCCTCTCTGTTCCTTCCTCATCCTTTCTCTCCTCTTCCTCATCCTTTCTCTCCTCTTCCTCTCCCTCTCCCCCCCTCTCCCTCACACACCATGTCTGTCCCATGTCTCCTTTTCCTTCCTCTTCCTCTCATCTTTCCCTTCTTTCCGCTCCCGTTCCTGTTCCCTCTCCCTCATACTCCCTCTGTCCCATGTTTCTTCCTCCCTCTTTCCCTTTCTCTAATCTTCCCCCTTTCTCTCCCTCTTCCTGTCCATTTCTCTTCCTCTCCCCCTCTCTGTTCCATGTTTCTTTCTCTTCCTCTCTCCCTTCCTTTCTTTTCTCTCTTCCTCTCTCACTCACCTCATGCTCATTGTTCCATGTTTCTTTCTCTTCCTCTCCCTTCTCTCTCAGCCTCTCCCTCTTTCCTTCCATTCCCTCGCACTCCCTCTGTCCATCTCTCCTCTTCCTCTCCCTTTCTCACCGCTTCCTCTCCCTTTTCTCCTTTCTGTACCTCTTCCTCTCTTTCTCACCCTTCTTCCTCTCCCTTTTTCTCCTCTCTCACTCTTCCTCTCCCTTTTTCTTACTCTCCCCCTCGCAATCTCTTTCCCTCTTCCCCTCCCGCTGCCCTTTCCCCATCATGTTGACACATGTCATTGTATCCCAATTGCGTAATCTATGCTCATGTTGTTGATCACTGGATTGTCTGGACCAGACTTGATTATTTACAGACTGCTGCCATATAGCTAGAATATTGCTGAGTGCAGCATTAAACAACAAACAAACAAAACATATTGAAAGTTTTCCTCCAGGTTTTTTAAGGATGTATTAGGCTTCATGTTCTAAATATTCTTTGTGCAAACTTTCCTATACGTTCCCACTTCAGGACCTCTTGGGCAGGACAGGTGTATGTTATCCAAAGCATGATTTCGAGATGTACAGGGCCTCATCTTCTTCTCAGAACAAATCAAAGATGACAACTGAGGTATTGTTTCTGTTTCATCTTCAATGCTAGACTTACAAATCAGCAAGTGCTGTACTTACGATAGTACTGGTACTACAACTGAATTGGCATTGCTTGATAATAGCTTTCATTACAAAAACTGAAAGATCTTTGGCAGTGAATTATTTGTTTATTAATCACTGTTTATTTGTATATTAGTCACCACCCTCACCCTGGCTGACAAATATTAAAGAATCTACTTGAATCATGGAGACCCTGACTAGCATGTTTCCAGTGATGTCCTTGCAGATGGAGCAGTAGATGCGTGCCATGTGTGACTGGTGTCTGACTGTTGCAGGAAGCTGTGATGGAGATTGATAGCAGTGATGAGGACACAACCATGGAGCCCTACACGCTAGAGGATGACATCTTCGCCCCGGAATCGGAACTTCCCCAAAGCAGGAAACATGAACCACTAAGTAGGTTAAACTGACAATAACAGGAAAACAAAATGCTACCAAATCTACAAAAACAGGAAACTCATCCGGGTTTTATTTAGCGATTATGAAATGTGCTTTAACCCTATGAAAGATAATGGTTATTTTATGCAGTGTGTATAGACAGTATCTAGGGCAGATGAATTATCTTAGGCAGAAACTGATACTTGATACTTGACTTGACTTGATACTCAGTGGAAGTAATATGTTTGTGAGTGAGGTCCTGCTGATGATGTCAGCAATATTGACAGAATGTTTGTTTTGTATATTATTAATCATGTCATGGACACCAGTGGTTGATAGCGTAAACAACAAGCCACTCCAATACCATCACACACCGCCTAGTAATGATCACTTGATCACTAAGTTGTCTCTTACATGGGAAGGTGAAGGGTTAATCTGGCCTGCCCTTTAAAGCAACAGTGAACAGAAGGAAACAGATGTTTTTGTTCTTTAGCCATTGGTCAGCTCGCCCGAATACACCCAGTGCTATATGTTATGCATGTGGTTTTGAAAATCTCATGCATTTCATGACGACAGCGTTGAACAGTCAACAATGATGAAACATGTTATGGCTGAGGGACAATGTCGTCCTTGAACTCCAGTCAGGAGAAATCATTTCTGATATAGGGAAGATAGTAAATGGGGAATTTTTCCTTGGTTTTATTTTTTGGCTTTCTGTTTCGACGTGTTTAATGCCAGACATCATTAATTTTGACTTGTCAATTATTGTTATTTAACGGGGAATAAGAATAGCCTCATTCCCAAACAGGAAGTAACATTTATGGAGATAAAATAACCCAATGAAGAAAATTATGCTGACACAATCATGATGCTAGTAACCTACATGAAAATTTAGAATATAACTTAATACCGTATCATATCATGCATTGTTTTTGTCAGTGGGTCCATCATGGTATGTCTGTGTCTGTCTTTGTCAGTGGGTCCATCATGGTATGTCTGTGTTTTAAACTGTGGGGGCAAATTGCCTTATACATTTTCATGATTTCTTATATATCCTTGGCATTGCTAAATAAATTTGAAAACTAATCAATAGCACATTTTGCATGACTGTCAGTTAGTGTCTTGACTGTTAACCAGTCTGAAACTCAACTGTAGAGTTAGTGTACATAGATTTTTCCTTATCCTGACTCATGATCTTGTGCTTATCTCCTTCCTCTATGCGAATGGTAGTGGAACACTTGAATCCCTTGAAGCGGACGTAAAAGTTCACTCACCCACAAGTTACCTCCCTTTTCCTGCACAAACAGTCATGTGACCAGCCATACTTGTCACTCTCTCCTTCATCGCCCACGTGGATGGTTGGGCAAGCACTGGAGTCCCGTATACGGCATTATATCCTTTACATTTAGATCCTTTTATCCAAATTATGCTGTGTATGGTTTTCAGTTATAACTATCCTTGCATTATTTGTCAAAATGTTGAAGAAATTATTTGTATTTTGTGACTTATTTCATCGTTATGTAATTGTTTACATTTGATGAAATCTTGCAGTGTTTGCAGGTTCCGGCTATCAGTAGCTGATCCACACACCCAATGCCCGTCATGCATTAATCCATGTTCTTCCACCTTGTGTTGTAGATATTGCATTGAGTTTGCAATTTAATCAATATTTGTCTTACATCTATAGACGTGCCATGGATCGGGTGAGGAAGTCGTCACAAGTCACTGGTGATAAATCCGGAGATCAATCCGGTAACCGTATGTTGTTTGATACTGCAGAAATACATAATTCAGGTGTTTTGTCGAGTACGTTGCAGGGGCAGTTGTCTGTTACTGGGTCTAAGAAGAGGTCTGCTATGACCGAGTTGACGACATCGCAGAATAAGAAGAAGACATCTTCATCATCTGCCACGCAGAAGAAGTCATCTGCAACTAGATCGTCGTCAAAATCAACTCATCCCAGTAAGACAACACATCAGAGGTCGTTTAATGAAGGGATTGTCCCGCCTGACGAAGCAGACGTGTTTGCTGACCCTCCGATACTTCTACCTGAAGTACCTATTAGACCTGCCAGAACGGCGACACAATCATCCTCCACGGTGACACAATCATCCTCCACGGCGACACGATTGTCTCCTGCAACTACAACAGCTGCTAAGCTGTTCGACGACCCACCACCCACTATGCAGACGTCTGTCATCAGAGACAACATCAGCGAAGTAGACGCACACAACACCTCAGCATTCGCGAATGCTTCGTCCACGCCGCATCAGTTCCAGACAACACAGAACTTTGATCCGTGTGACTTTATGAGACAGTTTACTACGCAGATGATGGCCATGATGGAGCGTCGGTCGCCGAGGAAGCAGAGGCACGGCAGAACCCTTCGAGGGCAAGCAACGTTTGCAGACCCTCGGACCTTCGCGAACCTGATAGACCCACATCTACGCCTCACAGGTCTACAACTGAAGATAAAGTTCCTCACAGTCAGACGACTCAGTCATCATGGATGAAGATGGAAGGTTCACGAACGTCCCTGAGACTACAAGAGATACGTCTGCGAACCCTCAACGTTTGAGAACGTATAGGAAGCCCTCATGGATGAAGATGGAAGGTTCACGAACGTCCCTGAGACTACAAGAGATACGTCTGCGAACCCTCAATGTTTGAGAACATCTAGGAAGCCCTCTCCAAGATCCAGCCATTCCACATCTAGATCCTGCAGCCCTCACAGACGTTCGGAGGAAGGTTCGCAAAGGGAAGGTTCGCGAAGGAAAGAATCCAAGATGAAGGTTCGCGAAAGGAGGGTTTGCGCGAAGGCACAGTTCAACTGACTCGGAACTATCTGATGAACAGGGTGACTACGTCTTCTCAGAAGACCCTTCTTAGAGTGCCCCTTCAAGGAATCGGATGAAACGTACATATAAGATGTGGAAGGACGACTTCGACTCTCTTACGATTCCACCAATTGAACCGATATCCAAGGTGGCTACGAACCTACGCACAGCTTTTGAGAAAGCAACTCGTTATCAGAATCAACATCTACCATCGTTCAACGCGAGGAAGTTTCCTCTACATCATATGGATCCCTTAATGACTCACGGAACAAGGCCTATAAGGTGGAGGATAAAAAGTTGGCTCAACTCGACACCTCAACTAGGAGAACTTCTTCGGGTTAGCCAGGTCTAGAGCGATCAATGAGGCATTGATGACGAAATTCAAGAACCCTAGGTCGGAAGAGGATAGGATGATACTATCAGCTATACTAACTCAGAAAAGGACCAACACTTCATGTCGGATCACTTGGCCTCAACGTCGGCGGGGTCTCACCTTATTACATAGACAGGGTCTACTAGCATCTTGTTCCTAGAGTGACAGATTTACCCAACTGCTACTAAGAGCTCCTTCGGAGGGGAGATTGATGAAGCTGCTAAGGAAGCTACTCACGACTCAAGAGAAGTCATGATGATCAAGTCTATATATACTTTGGCCAACGTCATTCGCCATACTTCACAGAAGTACAGCAACAAGTCCAAGTTTTCCGGTATTCAGAAGGCAAAGGAGAAGAAATACTCCAGCTTCAGGGCCGGGAAGAGCTCTTTTCGTCGCCCATCCGGAAACTACAGAGGGAACCCTGGGAGAGGACGTAATCCCAGAGGTTCTAGAGGAGCTAGACGCTGAAAATTGGGTTCGGAACGACTGGATACTTCCACCCCCAGCTGTTCCTGTACAACCATCGACAGTGGGTGGATGTCTACAAAGGTACTGGGAAAATTGGCGAATATTGGAGGACGACTACGTCTCACAAGTACTACGAGAAGGGTACAGAGTGCAGCTCAAGGCCACACCACCGTTAACCCTCAGACCGATGGTCTTCGACTATGCAGACGAGCAAGCAGACAAGTTAAAAGAAGCCATTAACTAACTTCTAACCAAGAACGCAGTAGAAAGAATAGATCAACATCACCTCACACCAGGCTTTTACTCATCAATTTTCCTAGTACCCAAGAAGAATTCCAAAGAGAAATTCAGGTTGATTTACAACATGAGGAAATTCAACCAACACTATCTACTCTAACCGACAGGTTCAAAATGATCCACCTACCTCAACTCAGACAACTCTTCCGTCCAGCAGATTAAATGGCCAGCATAGACCTTCAGGATGCATATCTGCACATCCAAATACATCTGGAATCAAGAAAATATCTAAGGTTCCTATTCAGAGGTCAGCACTTCCAATGGAACGTCCTACCATTTGGAATATCGTCGGCTCCGTGGTTATTCACACAAGTGACCAAGCCTATCGTCACCTATCTACATCATCGAGGTCTACGCAGTGCCTTTGATCTGGACGACGGGATACAGGTTCATCAAAATGCCAATCAACTCAGACAGCAGCTGAACTTCACAATCAAATTGCTCACACAACTGGGATGGCTAGTGAACCTGATGAAGTCAGAGTTGGAACCAAAACAAGATCTTCAATTTCTGGGAATAAGATTTATCACAACACAGAATCGTATTGTGGTCCCAGAAAATCGTTGGGTCAAGATACAAGCCATGATTTCAGAAGCAGTCATCTCACCATCACCACTACGAACATGGCAGTGTCTCCTCGGTCTACTCACCTCAGCTCAGGACTTGACTCGCACAGGAAGATTACAACTACGCCCGTTGCAGCGTTTCCTGGCAAAACATCTGGACAGCGTCGACCTGATCTCACTATCAGACAATCTCAAGACGTACCTACTATGGTGGACTCACAGGTCGAATGTCTGCGGGGGGACCTATTTACTAGAGCCGGTCTTCGACACACACCTTTACGTAGATGCATCACTACAAGGATGGGGTGCGCATCTCAACAACCAAGTAGCATCAGGGAAGTGGTCGAAACTAGAACAGCATCTTCACATAAATATGCTGGAAATGAAAGCCGTGATCAACGCCTTAGAACTTTGGTCGAGCTCACTGATCAACAGAATGCTGATGGTCCACACGGGACAACTCAACAGTGGCATTCTCCATAAATCGGCAGGGATCAACGAGATCACCAAGCCTACTTCAGCTCTCATTCCAGTTGTTCAACATCACAGAGGAAGCAAACATCTGGCTAAAGGCGTGTCACATACCAGGAGCCAAGAACGTACTAGCAGACGCTCTATCTCGTCCACTTCATCCGTCACCCACGGAATGGATGCTCCACCCAGAGGCATTTCGGCTCATCAAAAGGGAAATAGGATCCCAATGCATAGACCTGTTCACCATGATGTTCAACAAACAACTACAGACATTACGTTTCACCAATACCGGATCCTCAAGCCTGGGCAACAGATGCACTGAGCCTATCATGGGAAGGACTAAACGCATACGCGTTTCTGCCTCCGATCTTACTACCGAAAGTACTATTGAAGATCAAACAGACCCAGGTGCTACAACTGACCTTGGTCGCGCCCTATTGGCCAGCGAGAGTCTGGTTCCTAGATCTAGTACAAGAACTGGGAAGTCCAACCCTCAACTACCAGAATGGCCGAACCTACTCATACATCCACACACCAATCAAGTCTACGGGAACCCACTAATGTTCCAGTTACTCTTGTGGACAGTATCAAAACTTGTCAAAAGAAAAAGGATACTCCGCCAGAGCAGCGAAAGCAGTAACCTTAGCGTTACGCAGATCAACTCACAATTTGTTCGACGACAAATGGCAGAAATTTGAACAATATGCAAGGCGGAAAGGCTTCACAGCTATGAAAGCATCTCATCTCATCAAGTGGCGGAATATCTATGTCACCTTGGATATACAAGGCATTTGAAAGGTTCGACATTATCTACATATCTGGCAGCGATTAGTACAGTCGCCACTCTGAAGACAGGCATCAAATTGATGAAAGTACCTGAATTACTTGCTCTGCTACGCTCTTTTAAACTGGAAGACCAGCAAAAGAAATTCAGAGCACCAGCTTGGGATCTGAACGTAATTCTACGACATCTCATGAGTGATGCCTACAAACCTCTAGAGCATACTGCCTTTGAGCAACTTACACAGAAAACTCTGTTCCTCCTTGCCCTAGCCACGGCAGCTCGAATGTCAGAGATACATGCGCTGGATTTTGGACGAACTAGATTCGACACGGGGCACCGTGCTGCAGTACATCTAGGACTTAGATGGGATCTTATTGCAAAGAATCAACTACCTGGTCAACCAGATAGACAGTTCCATGTACCACCGTTATCTACAATCCTCGGTCCAGAGGACACCCAGGACTTATCCGTGTGTCCTGTCAGAGCTTTGAAAATATATCTTCAAAAGACTAAAACAAGGAGAAGAAAATTCAAGCGCCTATTCATCCCCTTGTTGACGGAAACATCGGTGGAGGTCTCAAGAACGACAATATCGTTTTGGATGAGAGCCGTTATACTAAGAGCCTGTAAAGCAGCAGGATTAGAACCTCCAAGAGCTTCCAACCCACATGAAGTCAGAGCACTGGCGTCTACACTTGCTCTGCATGGAAATTGCTCAATATCATCAATAATGGAGGGCTGCTTTTGGAAGTCGGATACGGTGTTTGCCAACCACTACCTCCGAGACATAGCCACTGAAGACGTCTCAGGCATTCACCAGTTTGGGCCTCTTGTTGTAGCACAACAACTAACAGTTCCACAAAGGTACTGAGTTGGAAATCTCAACCTTTATCACGTTGACTTGTTGATAACCTTTACTACGGAAAAAAGTATTAGTTTGAAAGCCCATGCACACAGTCTAGACTAGACTAGCATGAGTGATTAAGACTCTGTACGGGTAACGATCCTACCTGTACGTTAAGGGGTCGCAACTCATTTATGATAACGATCTTTTCATAATCTATGGGTTGTTATAGATAACTAGTAAAAAGAAGATACTAATATATCTAAAATCCACATGAATCTAGAAGATTCACTTGTCTGAGAGAGAAGTAAGACAAGATTGTGGTCCCCCTGAGTTATAACGGAAGTTGGAAGAATAGGATCTAGGAAATGCCGTTACGCAGTTCCCATGGGGGGGGATACAGGACGTATCTAAGGACAGCTGATGAATCCACGAAGTGGCTTGACCCACCACCAATCCGTCAGATTCTATAAGCAAAAGATCATGAGTCAGGATAAGGAGAAATATGTAATTTTTTAAGTAAAATTGATATTTTATACTTATCCTGACTCATGAGGTCAAGCCTTCCCAACCTCCCCACTGAAGAAACTTAGGATTTCACAGTAGATCCCAGTGCATGGGCTAAGTTCAGGAGAGAGTGGCAAGTATGGCTGGTCACATGACTGTTTGCGCTGGAAAAGGGAGGCAACTCGTGGGTGAGTGAACTTTTACGCCCGCTTTAGGGAACTACAAGGGATTCAAGTGTTCCACTACCATTCACATAGAAGAAGGAGATAAGCAAAATAGCATGAGTCAGGATAAGTATAAAATATCAATTTTACTTTAAAAATTACATTTCACTGTTGAAAATGAAAAGTGGACAGTATAATTATTTTATGTTGTAAATAAAGCATAGATAATGTGCATTCAGATTCAATCCGCAAGTTGTGTCCAGGGATTTGAGTTAACTACTTTGTACCAGGCATCTATTTTTCAATGGAGTTATAATTTGCAATAAGAGATTGTAGTCATTTGCAAGTGACCACTGAAACATATGCCTTGGTCAGATATCGGTATTAGTTGTCATTAATTATGCATATCAGACAATTTCTGGGTTGTTTTTGCAATCTGGACTTGCAGGCTAATGCCACCTGAATTCTTTTAACCATTGTTACATTCATGTTTAATGTAGGTTTGGCTAGAGTAATACTTTGGTGACTATGTGCTTCAGTAGTGTTGTACTTCCAGTTGTTTGTTTGAGTGTATGTTGTGTGGATGACAGGTTTTGTGTAAGATGTTACATGTTAGGAAATTAAATGTAGACTTAATGTGAAACTTGGCCATCTATGAGTTTTTAGAAATTTGCTTTTTATTTTACAGTGCCTGAATCAGTAAATGATGAAACAGAGGCCTTGGAACATTTTACCAAAGAATTCAAAGAAAGGTAGGAATTTGACTCTACAACCAAAATGTTGTGGCAAGATAGTTTAGATGTCACAAGATCAAATGCAATGTTAAGAAGGCTATCTGTGTCTCTATATATATGGGATGGTGATGATTGGCCAGTTGCCCAGGCATCCCTCTTCTTCCGTCTCCCTCCCTCTTCCTCTCTTAAAGAGTACCTGCATGGTCAAGTGGATAGTGCATCTACCTAAGAAGTGGAGGATCGGTGGTTTGATCCACTAAGGGAGATAACACAAGAACTTGTGTGACTGAGAGTCAGTACGCTCTGTCTGGAGTTACGTAGCCATGTTAAACTGCAGTTTCGTATCTCCATGTACTAGCACTATTAAATTGGCACTAGTCCGGACAAGCAACCACAAAAAAACCTACTACCATCTATGTCACACACTTAGAAACTCCAACCACCTCCGTGGTGTAGTGGTTAGAGCGTCCGCCAGGAGAGCAGAGGTCGCAGGTTCGATCCACGGCAGTGTCATACCAAAGGACATTAAAATATAGTACTTGCTGGTCCTCGCCAGGCATTAATGGGTACAACAAGGTCTGGTTGGCTTGGAGTCAGTCTGTGTCTGAGTGGGATATTCATGCTTAACTGAGACATGGTATCTCAATGAGCTAGCACTATAAAGCCAGCTAAAGTCTGGGCTAGTACAAGCAGCCACACACGCTTGCACGTCGTCATATGAGCAAAATATTCTTGGTACGACGTTAAACCCCATTTCACCTCACCTCAGAAACTCTCTTTATCATCTTCTCCCCACTTCATTCTTTTTTTCCCCCTTTCCTCGATCTTGCTATTATCTGTTAGTGAAGTTAAACCATCATCCGATTTGTGCTAGCATTATCATATATTATCCCACCAAGTGAACACTGCCTATATTGCAGGTACGGAGACTGCCATCCTGTGTTCTACATAGGCTCATTAGACGATGCTATCCGTGATGCCTTACAAGTGAAAGCTAAAGATGTGAGTCAGTATCATACATACATCGATCCTCACTGCAGTAACTGTATTGGGAGATGGCATTGGGAAATGTGTCAATACAAACAAGCATCAACATGATCCCATGATGTTAAGAGTAACACTCTGAAGTCCCGATACATGTGGCAAGTCAGAATACCACCGTGATCACAACGCACTTCTTTTGAGTAACAAAGTGTGAACACCTTATTTGTTTGAAAACTAGAAAACAAAACTGCATTTTTTCCCGCATTACGTTTTCATGTTAAGTGTTTATGTCTTTTAGGTTAGATCAATCCATGTGATGAAGTCAGAATGGCAATCAGTACAAGTTTTTAGACCCTATGATCTCCAGATAATATAAACAGTAGGGGTGACTATTGAAGGGGAAACAACTATTGCGATCACAATAGTCTATTGAAACATACTATTGCGATAGCGATAGTCTATTGCAACCAACTATTGCAATAGTGTTATTCTCCTTGAATTGTCTCATTTGAAGTCATTTGCCAAAAGAATGTATAGTTCATATGAAACAAAAACAAGCTGAAGTAGTTTCGGTCTCTTTTAATAACTGACAAGAAACTTGAAACCCAGATCAAGTTTGTTTAAGAGGTAACAGGGGCAGATAACTCTAAAGCAAAGTGAATGAATCTGGAATCTGGTACTTCCTGTATTTGGCACTGCACATTTATCAACGAAAGTCAGTTACCATTTTCAGTCAAACTTTTTCCGGGGTAAGAAAACAACATCGCATCATCTTCCCGTGAACAAACAACAGAAGACGACTTTGTCAGTAGAGACGTCAAATTTGCAATTAAACATCACTAGACAAGATTAATTACCATTTAAGTTATAAGTTGTTTTTGCTGGGCATTGTTTTATTTGCAGGGATTAAGATTACCGTGCGTATTTGTCTCGTACACAAAGCCGGAAATAGCAATCAGCTGTGCACACGTTTCCGCCGAACAAGTTCAAACATGCACAATAATATAACGGGACGAAATTCTGATGCAGTCATCAGTAAAATATAATACAGAATACCGTTATTTAACCCAAAGAAATATATCCTTTCATTGTGTAATTTTAGTTACAGTTTTTGCTCTATAAATTAATTGAGATTACCGTGTGTATTTGTCTCGTACACAAAGCCGGAAATAGCAATCAGCTGTGCACACGTTTCCCCGCGAACAAGTTCAAACATGCACAATAATATAACGGGATGAATTCTATTGATTGAATACTATTATTTAACCAAAAGAAATATATCCTACCATTGTGTAATAGTTTTTATGTAAAAAATATATAATCAACACTAAGGTTATACGGACCATCATGAACGTGGTAAGCACGTGACATGGAACGAGGCGGTAATCAGTTTGTGATTGCTGAATGGGGTAAAATAAGCAAGCCAGTTTGTTGCTACAATAAATATGATATTTAGAGAAGCAAAATATATTATGCATTTTCTGTCAACTACACTTCGTTTTGATCCATGAGTAGACACAATATATATATGACAGTGAATTCTTTGAATAATGTGGACCAAAGTTATAATTATTGGTAACTGCCAGTTGTCTGTGGGATGAGTTTGTCGTGTTTATTGTTAGTGGACTATTTTTCTTATTGTCATATATATATAGATGAAATATGGACACTTAAATAATATATTTTGAAACAAAAGTTGACTTCAGTTTTTATTTACCGATGGTACTTTTTCTCTTGGGTTCACATTTCCATACTCACCGATTTCACAAATGGCGTCCTCAAGCATTAATGAAAGCAGTGATCGTCGGGATATAAAAAGGAACACAAACACATGTTGCCACAATACACCGGTAATCTTTATTATGTAATATTCTCACCAACACTTACGCTGTATATCCACTTTCCAAATGGCGTCTCGTTGTTGATGCAAGCAGTGATCGTTAAAAAAAGGTAAACAAACACCGGTAATCTTTATTATGTAATATTCTCGTAATGGTGTCTCGTCGTTGATGGAACATTCTTACGGGTACTCTGGTCTCCAGTTGGCGCGACCCATCGCTGGGAAAGGGCCTATCCATGAGAGATATGATTTTGACACTGATTTTGAGGGTCAAGTTTGGGGGTCGGCTTATCCATGGGGTCGGCTTATAGACGGTCATATACAGTACTAACTATTGACCGTTTCTACCATCGATTAAATGCTATCGGAGACTCAACAATTACAATCCATCGATAGTTTGATGCATCGTTACAGCCCTAATAAACAGTGTATTGAAAACAGATAATGTAATTCAAAATAAAACTTATAATGCAAAATAAATACATCTGTTAATAGGTTCAGCACTTTGTAGGTGAGTATTAAATACAATGAGTGAAATTCTCTTCAAACTAAGGATTAACTCTCACAGATTTCTTGAGAAACAAGCAGCCCTTCTGTTCCTGTGGTAAACAAATTTGTCTTTGTCTGAGTAGCACTTCCAGATGTGTAGCTTCTCTTTGACAGTCTTGTTTGTGTTTCAGAGAAAGTTATTTGCCATCTACCTCCACCACGAGGGAAGCATCTTCTCCAATGTCTTCTGCTCCCAGCTGCTGTGTTCAGAAGGCATTGTCCATTACCTCAGTAGCAATTGTTTAACCTGGGCATGGGATATGACGTTTGAAGCCAATCGGGCAAAGTAAGTTGTGTTTAGAACATAGTTACTCATGTACCCCACTTTACCTGCAATGTCCAGTTCACTTGGACATTGATCCAAAGGTGACATGAAGAGTTGTGTCCCTTAGCTGTGGCATGATCTGTTGGTTGAATGAAAAATTTCTCCAGGGTATAATCCCCAGCACCATATCTGTGCTAGGGGTTACCAGAAAGTCTTCAATTTCAGAAACATCTCTCTTGATTTCCTCCAACATTGAACTGACATGCAGACATCATTATCCCCCGCCATGTCCGTCTGAGATGATGGGGACTGATTTCTCAGAAACCATTATAGATAGGGAAACCAAATTTGGTATGTGTTTTCAGGACATGAATCCCTCAATGGAGTTCGAAAACGGAAACTGTGTTACAATTTATTACAGAGTTATGGCATTTGTCATGCGTTTCATGACTTAGTGCGCGGTATTTCCCCAGTGGGAACAGATTTTCTCAGTAACCGTTATATACTAGGCACAAAAAATAAAGGAACCCCTTGACTTTGTGAAGCAAAATAATTTCATCAGCACAACTGAACGTTAAGTATGTCAGATATACTTAATAATGAGTGTGTCCACCATGAGCAGCAATACATGCATGACACCTTGCAGGCATGCTGGACACCAACCGCTGAATTGTCGTCCTTTTGTCACCCTTGGAATCAAGTGCCACTCTTGCTGCAGTGCTCTACCTCGTCCATATACCGCTGGCCTGTCAAATTACCCCGTACAAGAATCAAATCAGTCCTCCTATTGAAAGAAATTCCTCCCCAGACCATGATAGAGCCACCTCCATAAGAATCGTGTTCCTGTACAGTGGGTCTGACATAACGCTCTCCTCGGCGTCGCCACACACGCAATCATCCATCCTTGAATCGCAAACAAATGCGGGATTCATCACTCAGCATCACATGTCGCCATTGCCGGTTCCCACACCTCTGATATTGAAGACGTAGGTGGTTAGCTGTCATCGTCATGTCTTTGAATGGGCGTCTTGACTTAAGACCTCTTCTACGGAGCCTGTTTCGTACAGTAGTGTTCGAAATCCGTGTTCCTATGGCTCTAAAAAATTCCATCTTCAAATCCGGGGCTGTGACAGATCGATTCCTCAGAGCTATAGTTCTCAGGAAGTTGTCTTGTCTGGAGGTGATTTTAGGTCGTCTTCCTCAACCGGTCCTCATTTTAATGCCCCCTTCTGACGGTAAAGGTTGATGAGACGGGAAATGATGCTTTTGGACTTCCTGAAGAACCGGGCAACACTATTCTGAGATTGTCCACCCTCTATCATGCCAATGGCCTGCCATTTCTGTGCGTTTGTCAGGTACTGTCGAGGTGGCATTTTCACAAGAGATAGTGGGACACGCTTACTGTCAGTTTTATAGGCTAGAATGCATCTGTGGTGCATGATGCACGTGTATCATGTAAAGGTAATATGGTGCTGACTGTGGTGTCAGCCGTAAGGGATTTCCGATCTGGGTTCGAATGCAATCAGCTTGCAACTTTTATGTAGCATTATTTCAACTATAAATTCCACTTGGGGGGTTCCCTTATTTCTTGTGCCTAGTAAAGATAGGGAAACTAAATTTGATATGTGTTTTCAGGACATGAATGTTGTGGTGGAGTTAAAAAACAGGAACCAAATAGGAACAGAACACTATGGCGGGGGATATTGACGACCATGTCTTCTTGTTCTTAATAGAATATTGATGGAACATGCATCAGAGGTGTTTGCATCAGAAAGACACAGTTATGTATGTGTGTTTTAAATTGGCCATCTCTATCAGATGTTTTTTATTTCAGGTTAATCACAGTAGCAACTCGTCACTTCGGTAGCGTAGCAGCCAGTCAGATTAGGAACTATAAAACAGACCAGCTTCCAGCACTGTTATTAATAACAAGATCTCGGGCTACCAACGAAGTTGTCGATGTTATTCAAGGTGAGCAAGCAGATCTATTCTGTCACCACACTGTGCTGCTAGGTCTGCTCATGCAGTATTGGGTGCATTACATCCCAGGGGATTGGTGCTGGGGGAAAGGTTCTCAGTGTCCCATGCTTGTCTCCCCAGGGGATTGGTGCTGGGGGAAAGGTTCTCAGTGTCCCATGCTTGTCTCCCCAGGGGATTGGTGCTGGGGGGAAGGTTCTCAGTGTCCCATGCTTGTCTCCCCAGGGGATTGGTGCTGGGGGAAAGGTTCTCAGTGTCCCATGCTTGTCTCCCCAGGGGATTGGTGCTGGGGAAAGGTTCTCAGTGTCCCATGCTTGTCTCCCCAGGGGATTGGTGCTGGGGGAAAGGTTCTCAGTGTCCCATGCTTGTCTCCCCAGGGGAATGGTGCTGGGGGGAAGGTTCTCAGTGTCCCATGCTTGTCTCCCCAGGGGAATGGTGCTGGGGAAAGGTTCTCAGTGTCCCATGCTTGTCTCCCCAGGGAATGGTGCTGGGGGAAAGGTTCTCAGTGTCCCATGCTTGTCTCCCCAGGGGAATGGTGCTGGGGAAAGGTTCTCAGTGTCCCATGCTTGTCTCCCCAGGGAATGGTGCTGGGGAAAGGTTCTCAGTGGTCTCCCCAGGGGATTGCTGGGGAAGGTTCTCAGTGTCCCATGCTTGTCTCCCCCAGGGGAATGGTGCTGGGGGAAGGTTCTCAGTATCCCATGCTTGTCTCCCCAGGGGAATGGTGCTGGGGAAAGGTGGGTGGGATTGGTGCTGGGGAAGGTTCTCAGTGTCCCATGCTTGTCTCCCCAGGGGAATGGTGCTGGGGAAGGTTCTCAGTGTCCCATGCTTGTCTCCCCAGGGAATGGTGCTTGGGGGGAAGGTTCTCAGTGTCCCATGCTTGTCTCCCCAGGGGAATGGTGCTGGGGGTTCTCAGTGTCCCCATGCTTGTCTCCCCAGGGAATGGTCTCAGTGTCCCATGCTTGTCTCCCCAGGGAATGGTGCTGGGGGAGGGGGAAGGTTCTCAGTGTCCCATGCTTGTCTCCCCAGGGGAATGGTGCTGGGGGAAAGGTTCTCAGTGCCCCATGCTTGTCTCCCCAGGGGAATGGTGCTGGGGGGAAAGGTTCTCAGTGTCCCATGCTTGTCTCCCCAGGGGAATGGTGCTGGGGGGGAAGGTTCTCAGTGCCCCATGCTTGTCTCCCCAGGGGAATGGTGCTGGGGGAAGGGGAGGGATGGGTGGAAAGGTTCTCAGTGCCCCATGCTTGTCTCCCCAGGGAATGGTGCTGGGGATGGGAAAGGTTCTCAGTGTCCCATGCTTGTCTCCCCAGGGGATGGTGCTGGGGGAAAGGTTCTCAGTGTCCCATGCTTGTCTCCCCAGGGGAATGGTGCTGGGGGAAAGGTTCTCAGTATCCCATGCTTGTCTCCCCAGGGGAATGGTGGGAGTGGTGAAGGTTCTCAGTGCCCCATGCTTGTCTCCCCAGGGGAATGGTGGAAGGGGTGGGGAAAGGTTCTCAGTGTCCCATGCTTGTCTCCCCAGGGGAAAGGTTCTCAGTATCCCATGCTTGTCTCCCCAGGGGAATGGTGGGTGTAGGTTCTCAGTGCCCCATGCTTGTCTCCCCAGGGAATGGTGGGAGGGGGTTCTCAGTTCCTCAGTGCCCCATGCTTGTCTCCCCAGGGGAATGGTGGGAGGGATGGGTGTTAGGTTCTCAGTGCCCCATGCTTGTCTCCCCAGGGAATGGTGAATGGTGGGGGAATGGTGGGATGGGTGTAGGTTCTCAGTGCCCCATGCTTGTCTCCCCAGGGAATGGTGGGAGGGGATGGGTGTAGGTTCTCAGTGCCCCATGCTTGTCTCCCCAGGGGAATGGGGTGTAGGGGTGCCCCATGGTCTCCCCAAGGGAATAGGTTCTCAGTGCCCCATGCTTGTCTCCCCAGGGAATGGTGGGAGGGGGGGATAGGTTCTCAGTGCCCCATGCTTGTCTCCCCAGGGGGAATGGTGCTGGGGAGGGATGGGGATAGGTTCTCAGTGCCCCATGCTTGTCTCCCCAGGGGAATGGTGGGAGGGATGGGGATAGGTTCTCAGTGCCCCATGCTTGTCTCCCCAGGGGAATGGTGGGAGGGATGGGTGTAGGTTCTCAGTGCCCCATGCTTGTCTCCCCAGGGGAATGGTGGGAGGGATGGGGATAGGTTCTCAGTGCCCCATGCTTGGGGATAGGTTCTCAGTGTCCCATGCTTGTCTCCCCAGGGGAATGGTGATGGAGGGAGTAGGTTCTCAGTGCCCCATGCTTGTCTCCCCAGGGGAATGGTGGGATGGGTGTAGGTTCTCAGTGCCCCATGCTTGTCTCCCCAGGGGAATGGTGGGAGGGATGGGGTTAGGTTCTCAGTGCCCCATGCTTGTCTCCCCAGGGGAATGGTGGGAGGGATGGGGATAGGTTCTCAGTGCCCCATGCTTGTCTCCCCAGGGGAATGGTGGGAGGGATGGGGATAGGTTCTCAGTGTCCCATGCTTGTCTCCCCAGTAAGGCTATGTAAGTAAGATTTTGGTGTGGGAGATATTTTTGTCCATGTATATAATGTTGTCAAATTCCACTTACAGTAATAATACCTTGTTCTTTTCCTCCCCAGGCCATGTAACTTTAGATGAACTAATGACGCGGTTAATACATTCAGTAGAAGTTTTCACAGAACAGCAACAAGCTGACATGTTAGAAGAGGTAAGTGTTTTGTGTCTATTACAATGAAACTATGCTCCTTAGAGCCACTGGCTAAATGATGAGTTAACCTCAAAACGATCCTAGCAGAGGGTATGACAAGATACCAGAGCAGAGATGTCTTTTATGCAGAGACGACTCAAATTATATAGTTTTTCTGTCGTAAGTCAGATACTCTATAGCATTTGATGTTTTAGATCACAAGATTGGCGCCAGCAATTATTATTAGTCCAATTAAGTTTGGCCCTGAAGAATACAATACTGTTTCTTGATTTGAGTGAAAGTCTACAAACATTGTTGTGTCAAACTTTGATGTGTCAAATTGACAGTTTGTGTCAAGTCATGTTGTGGTTGTGACAAACCTTCTATAGCTCAGAGCAGTTACGTAGGTTCCTTCAACTTTCACACAGCAGTGTTGGATTGATTTTCATCTAAGGAAAAACGATTGAGGTTGATTCAAGCTTTACAATTATTCAAGTGGTCCTCTCCCAAAACATGAACATGATTAGCCTCATATAATGTTACATTTGAAAGATGTACAAATGGAAAAGTGTGTGCAAAGAGAATAAATATATAATGTCATATGCTGCTGTTTGTTTCAGCGTGAGAGAGAGGCGAGAGAACAAATCAAACTAGAGCAGGATGAAGCATATAAAGAGTCGTTAGCTGCTGACAGGGCCAAGGTGAGTGTCTCAACATAGAAGAGAAGGTCTCAACAGTGTTGTTACCAATATGTTTAGGATCAAACTAAAGGTTGATCAGGCTTAAAACATCCCAAATATCTACAAATGATTTGTTTGCTCTCTGACTGCTGTGTTGCCAATATATATATGTTACTGGTACTGTGTTAACCAGTGCTGTGTTACCACTGCCCATGTTACATGGGCTGTGTTACCAATGTGTTAGTGTCCATGTTACCATGGCTGTGTTGCCAGTGTTACCAGTGTCCATGTTGGCTGTGTTACCAGTGTCCATGTTACCAGGGTTGTGTTACCAGTGTCCATGTTACCAGGGCTGTGTTACCAGTGTCCATGTTACCAGGGCTGTGTTGCCAGTGTTGCCAGGGCTGTGTTGCCAGTGTTACCAGTGTCCATGTTACCAGGGCTGTGTTGCCAGTGTTACCAGTGGTATCAGTGTGACCATGACCATTGTGTCAGTGTCCATGTTATGAGTGCTTTGTTGCCAGTGTTACCAGTGTCCATGTTACCAGGGCTGTTACCAGTGTCTGTGTTGCAAGTGTTACCAGTGTCCATGTTACCAGGGCTGTTGCCAGTGTTACCAGTGTCCTTGTTACCAGGGCTGTGTTACCAGTGTCCAGTGTTACCAGTGTCACCAGGGCTGTTACCAGTGGTATCAGTGTGACCATTGTGTCAGTGTCCATGTTATGAGTGCTGTGTTGCCAGTATTGCCAGTGTCCATGTTACCAGGGCTGTGTTGCCAGTGTTACCAGTGTCCATGTTGGCTGTGTTACCAGTGTCCATGTTGGCTGTGTTGCCAGTGTTACCAGTGTCCATGTTGGCTGTGTTGCCAGTGTTACCAGTGTTCATGTTACCAGGGCTGTGTTGCCAGTGTTACCAGGGCTGTGTTGCCAGTGTTACCAGGGCTGTGTTGCCAGTGTTACCAGTTTCCATGTTACCAGGGCTGTGTTGCCAGTGTTACCAGTGTCCATGTTACCAGTGTCACCAGGGCTGTTACCAGTGATATCAGTGTGACCATTGTGTCAGTGTCCATGTTATGAGTGCTGTGTTGCCAGTATTACCAGTGTCCATGTTACCAGGGCTGTGTTGCCAGTGTTACCAGGGCTATGTTACCAGTGCCCATGTTATCAGTGTTACCATTGTGTCAGTGTCCATGTTACCAGTGCTGTGTTGCAAGGGTCCATGTTACCAGGGCTCTGTTACCAGTGTCCATGTAACCAGGGCTTTGTTACCGGGGCTGTTACCAGTGTATCAGTGTTACCAGTGTGTCAGTGTCCATGTTACCAGTGCTGTGTTACAGGCGGAGGCCCAGAAGGTTGAGAAGGAGCGGCTGATGGCAGAGCAGGAGAAGGAGATGCAGGCCCAGATGGTGGAGGAGCAGAAGAAGCAGGAGGAGCTAGCTGTCAAAGAGGTTGTCAACCTACCACACACATACATCTCCTTATTATGTTACTGACAGTTGCCAACAGATTTGTTTGTGTATACACTATCAAAGTACCAGGGTTCATTTCCTAGTCCACAGTGTAGTAAGTTTTCCTGTGTTTTCCCAAGTATCTCAAATACTTCATGAGTATCTTAACACCATCAGTGCACCATTCACCTGCTCTCTATCATAATAAGTGTACAAGTTAATTAAAGAGCTTTGAATTAAATGCATCACAATATTGGGACTTGGATGCATTTGCTTTATACATCTTCAGGGTTTTCCCTCCACTTAAAAACATGGGGGTCCCGGGCACGTCTAAGTTTTAGTTTAAAGGGTCCTTACAGACAACATGAGGGTCCTGTGATCATTTCTTTAGAGCCTGGAATGAATCATGGACTGAGGGATGAAATGATGCATGTAGCTTCTCTAAAAGAAACAACCAAACACTTAGCAAAGTCATAGATGCATTGTGGGTACAATGAATAACCCCACCCCCACCCACCCCCTGCGTCCCTCAGCGAAGTGCATCCATTCTCTACATTAAAACCCAGCATTTTCCAATCATAGGTTTTTATAATTTTTCTAGGCTATCCAAGCTTCCTTATTAAAGTCATTACCAGACGAACCTCCCACAACCTGTAAGGATCCTGTCAGTAGGATACGTTTCCGTCTCCCAACTGGCGAGGTGACAACACGGCGCTTCCTGGCATCCGAGACAGTGCAAACACTTCTACATTATCTAACAACCACAGGGTTCCACACAGAAGAGTACAAGGTGCTATCAACTTTCCCTAGGAGAGATGTGAGTATACATTGGTCTGTTGGTCTAATAGATGAAGACTTTCCCTTTCTCAGATTGCAAACTAAATATTCCATATGTATTTATAACAGATGGAAAACCATCTATCGATAGTCAACTTCTTTATTGCAATGAGTGTAATGTTTCGGTGTAGGTACTAACACTGTTGTCACTTGGTTGATAATGGTGTTAGTACCTACATTGAAACGTCACACTCATTGTAATAAAGAACTTGACTATCCATGGCACTTGGTTTTCCTTCATCTTTACAACTACTCTCAAAGAAGAATTTATAACAGTACTTAGTACCATTCCCCCATAATAGATCCATGTTCCCCATGCTTGTCATGTGGTCTGACCTGATAACACCAGCTCAGAATAGAACCTCTGTTCCCCATGCTTGTCATGTGGTCTAACCTGATAACACCAGCTCAGAATAGAACCTCTGTTCCCCATGCTTGTCATGATAACACCAGCTCAGAATAGAAACAGCTCAGAATCAGAACCCTGACCTGTTCCCCATGCTTGTCATGTGGTCTGACCTGATAACACCAGCTCAGAATAGAACCTCAGAAAGAACCTCAGTTCCTCTGTTCCCCATGCTTGTCATGTGGTCTGACCTGATAACACCAGCTCAGAATAGAACCTCTGTTCCCCATGCTTGTCATGTGGTCTGACCTGATAACACCAGCTCAGAATAGAACCCATGTTCCCCATGCTTGTCATGTGGTCTGACCTGATAACACCAGCTCAGAATAGAACCCTGTTCCCCATGCTTGTCATGTGGTCTGACCTGATAACACCAGCTCAGAATAGAACCTCTGTTCCCCATGCTTGTCATGTGGTCTGACCTGATAACACCAGCTCAGAATAGAACCCCTGTTCCCCATGCTTGTCATGTGGTCTGACCTGATAACACCAGCTCAGAATAGAACCCCTGTTCCCCATGCTTGTCATGTGGTCTGACCTGATAACACCAGCTCAGAATAGAACCCTGTTCCCCATGCTTGTCATGTGGTCTGACCTGATAACACCAGCTCAGAATAGAACCCTGTTCCCCATGCTTGTCATGTGGTCTGACCTGATAACACCAGCTCAGAATAGAACCCCTGTTCCCCATGCTTGTCATGTGGTCTGACCTGATAACCACCAGCTCAGAATAGAACCTCTGTTCCCCATGCTTGTCATGTGGTCTGACCTGATAACACCAGCTCAGAATAGAACCCTGTTCCCCATGCTTGTCATGTGGTCTGACCTGATAACACCAGCTCAGAATAGAACCCTGTTCCCCATGCTTGTCATGAGGTCTAACCTGATAACACCAGCTCAGAATAGAACCTTGTTCCCCATGCTTGTCATGATAACACCAGCTCAGAATAGAACCCCTGTTCCCATGCTTGCCATGTGGTCTGACCTGATAACACCAGCTCAGAATAGAACCCTTGTCATGTGGTGTTCCCCATGCTTGTCATGTGGTCTGACCTGATAACACAAGCTCAGAATAGAACCCTGTTCCCCATGCTTGCCATGTGGTCTGACCTGATAACACCAGCTCAGAATAGAACCCTGTTCCCCATGCTTGCCATGTGGTCTGACCTGATAACACCAGCTCAGAATAGAACCCTGTTCCCCATGCTTGCCATGTGGTCTGACCTGATAACACCAGCTCAGAATAGAACCCTGTTCCCCATGCTTGTCATGTGGTCTGACCTGATAACACCAGCTCAGAATAGAACCTTGTTCCCCATGCTTGTCATGTGGTCTGACCTGATAACACCAGCTCAGAATAGAACCTTGTTCCCCATGCTTGTCATGTGGTCTGACCTGATAACACCAGCTCAGAATAGAACCCTGTTCCCCATGCTTGTCATGTGGTCTGACCTGATAACACCAGCTCAGAATAGAACCTCTATTCTCCATGCTTGTCATGATAACACCAGCTCAGAATAGAACCCCTGTTCCCATGCTTGTCATGTGGTCTGACCTGATAACACCAGCTCAGAATAGAACCTTGTTCCCCATGCTTGTCCAAAGAACTGACCTAGTGAGGCTCAGAATGCATGATCGCCGTGATGTTGCTGGAATATTGCTAAAAGCGGCGTAAAACCAAACTCAGTCAGTCAGTCAGAATGCATGATGCGTGTCCTAAGAGCATACTAGTGAGAATCAGAATGTTGGAAGCGTGTAAGTCATTCTACCCTACCTCATGGATTGTTGCCAATGATATCAACCACGGGGTCCTGCTTGAGACTTGACTGAGCACAGACCATCATGACTCTAGTAGGAATATTGCTGACAGTGTTGTATTAGACCACATACGCATTTACGCACACGCCACTCATTAACTGACTGATTTCATATTATATGTGACAATCTTTACTTACAGATTACCCAGCTAGATCTAAACATGTCATTACAAGAAGCCAAACTGTTTCCACAAGAAACACTTATTCTTGAAGAGAAGTCGTAACGCTCTGCCACTGGTTGCCGGGGAAGTGCAAGGATGTTTTCGTTGGACTACATGAGAGCTGTGATGTTGCTGAAGCTACTTTGACTCTCACATGGAAGACTCAAGCAAAAATGAAAATGAAAAACTTCCTGTTTTGTTCCATTGTTGAATGGAAATGTTTATTGTTGGTGATGAAATAAGACAGATGTGAAATTTTAATTTGAAAACAAAGAAAATGTAACCCCAAATGTAAGATTGTATGATCACAAAATGACTTGTATTGAGAAATAGGACATGAATGTCCTAGGAAATGTGTTGTTGCATCTTGAACACTGAAGAATTCATTAACTGGCTGGCATTGTAAGTGTTCCTTGTTGTTGCAAGTCGGGTCAACTTGGTATGCTTGTCTACTCACACTTTGAAAGACACTTATCAGTTTCAAGTGGATGTCAAGCTTGGCACTGACAATTTCAACGTACTAAATCTTGATTACATTAAACCATGTAATTATGTTCATGGTCATAGTGACAAATCATATAACCATGAAGTTTACTGGCTGGCGAACAGTTATGCCGCGTAAAAGTTATTGCCAATATGTCAGCAGTTCCGGTCAATTACACTGTTAGTATTTTTTACATGGTATTTGACAACAATAAAGGACAGCAGAAGAAAACTCTTCACGGTAAGTAAAACAAGAGAAACATTAAAGATGAAGTTATGAACCTTATAAATTTAGTCAGGGGAATGTCACGCAATCTATATGATAGCAAGTTCAAGTTCACAAAAGTCATTAATGTGTTAAATTCCCTATCAATCTACTTTCAAAAAAACACCCAACTAGTCACACAATCAATTATTCAAGGTTACTGTGTGATATAAATACATATTATTTCATGAATGACATGAGGAATTCTGAAATGGTGATATCTGTTACAGTTAGTTGTGAGAAAACATCTACTTGCACTGCCATGATTCCCTTGCGCCGCTATAAAAACATGATCGGCAGCAGTGAACGGGCTGGACACATCGGTGAATAGCTAATTAAGTATCATACTTAATTCTGTTTCAGTAATTTAACAAACTGCGGAGTAATTTTGTAAATACTGCTAAAATCTGGCGATAACTGTTCAGCAGCCAGTAACTGTTTGGTTGGCTGTAGAAAAAGTAGTCACAGCAATGAAAGCCTCCCCTGTTGCATCCACCACCGATGAGGTTTACTACTGGCTAATGTCACAACACACAGGGAAACATTCTCGTCAGTGTATCATTGGTATCCAGTCTCAACATGTGTCAGGAACTGACCAATCCTCCATAGGTCGCATCAGCTTGTGTATCAGACAGTTCCCTATGTGAAGCATTCAAATATATGATATATATAAAGAAAGCCATTGATTGACACCCAAAGGATGCACTATGAAGGGGAAAGTGGGGTTTTTTTGGTTATTGTTTTTGATTATTCATGCCAAACTTTGTTTTAGCATAGCTCTATTTAACAAACAACTGTGGCGACAAAAGCCTGAATAGTGTAGCTGATTGGCACAGAAATTGACACATCTTTGATCAGGAGGTCAAGGCCCATGTGAATTGATGTGACTCTGGAGGACTGGTCAAATCCTCACACAGAAATGTATAGAAACAATAAGATTCTGTTGAGATTGATTGCTATCATACCTAACTCTGTCGTTACAGAAAAATGTGTTAGTTCCATGATACCAGTACTCAGTCCTAGAAATGTCTCAGAACGTAGCTGGAGGGCCTATTTGTTGAGGTCAAACTGACTTCATCAGTGAAAAGCTGAGATGTAAAACTTCCAACCTGTTATCTCCTGATGTGCTGTACTTGAATAGTGGTGATGTAGCTTTGTTGGCCCAGTATCCCATTGTGTTGTATATTTCATTCAAAGTGGTTTCATGAAATATCTGTTTTTGTTGAAATATCTGTATTTAATTTTGGCCATGTATCATGTTAAGTGATGTAAGTCAAGATGTAGTTCACTGCCCGAGCTCTATAGTGCATATCATGGTTAAACAAGAGATACCATACTTAACACACTAGGATCCCTGCACTTTATAATTGATTATGTAAAATATTATATTGTCATGTTCAATAGAACCTGCTAAGTCCAGAAAGGTCATTCAGGAAGGAGATTGTCCACAGTTTTGTTGGTTACCTGAGGAGTGACTGTACAGAACCTCCTTTCCTCCTGTGGCCCAAAGTAAGGAGTCATGGGATTTCGAACCAAACTATCCTGGAGTGAAAGCTGATGGTAACTCTCATACTCTAACTCCGATACCGATAGTCGAGCACTAGGATCATATTGTGCAGGTGGGCCCAGGAAAACAGGCTCTGTTTTAAACAGATTGAACCACAGTTGCCACCTATATATTATATACAATCTCAGGACCTATATCAGTAAGGGAAGAAGTGGAGAAAGTTTTCATAGGCAAATGGGAGAATCTGTGCAACACAGATACAGCACTTTACCTTGACAATAACACCTATATGAGATAGAAATAATGTCCAGTGTTATTATGGGAGTGAATGAAATGCTTAACATGACACATATCTATCTTATTTCCATCCTTGTATGCAGGCAAGATTTCCTTTAGTTGATATATCTGACACCAGTACACTGACCACAGTCATGTCAGAACTGGGAGTGCTTGTGAGAGGCTGGGTCATGTCAGGGACTGGCCAATACATCAGGGCCCTGTTTCACAAAGCTATCGTAGTGCTACGACTGTCGTAACTCCAATACTGTAACATAGACTCTCGACAGTCGTAGTGCTACGATAGCTTTGTGAAACAGGGCCCAGGACTGCATCTATTTCTCATTTCAGCCAAAGTGAATATCATCTGGGTTCTGTGTCACAAGACAATCATGGCACTACATCGAGTAGGACTTTCCTACTTTAACATAGATTTATGAGAGTCACCACACTATGATTGCTTTAGAAAACAAGGGCCTGATCTCTTCCTCTGACGCAATATCACTCTGAAGATCTGAGACACCTCCAAAACGTTATATTAGACCCAGTAAGCTTCTGAATGTTTGGTATGAGTGAGAAAACATTCAGAGAAGCATGTCTTTGTTGTTGTTGGTACAGTCATACATGGACTTCTCAAGGCTGATGTAAACATGGTCAGGAGTGTCAGTGGTACACTTCTATTCATTTCTAGCCCTACATTTATTGGCTCTGGTCAGACAACAAATCAGCGTGTAGAGTTAATAGCTGAGCATGTTGATAAAGCATGCTATTATTGAAACACAGGGGCACTAACAAGGGATTGATGGCAAAGAGTGAGTCTGAGAGAGGAACAGTTTTGCATTTATTTATTGAAACTATTCTGGACAGATGAAACTGCACTTTTGTTCTTGTTTAAATGTTGAGTATTTTCTGTGTTCATGAAGTAATTATATGAATAGCTTGAAACTCATAGTTCTGCTGTTGAAAGTTAAAAGGTTTGTGTTCATGCATGTAGTCTCTGATTAAGTTATCTCCCTTTGACCTGGAGTCGCTCATGCAATTTTGGGGCTGCTACTCTTGTCGGGTAGTTCATTTCAATGATGGGTATTTCAGTGTCTTGCTTTATCATCAGCTCCAAAGAAATTTAATTCTTCCAGTCTCAAGATTCTTTATGATATGGAAATATACATATATATTTCAGATTTGTTATGTAGTTCATTTTTAGCATAAGTAGTTTTATTTTAGTGTCTTTCCAACATAGGTTGTAAGGAGAATTAATTCTTTCAATGTCAAGGTTCTTTAAGGTAAGGAAATATACATAGTTTCGTAGTCATTATAGTCATAGCAATATTGTTGATAGCAGTTTATAGGTATTGTTATGTTTGAAAGTGTTATTTTGCTGTTGAATTACAGGCAACGAATGTGAAAGATTGCAGTTTTTCTTTGTTGATATGATATTTTTATAAAGCCATTTTGATTGTGGAATTCATGACTGTTTCAGTGTGGAAGATGTTGGTGTTTGTTTCAGTGTTCTTGTGATTCATTTCCATCTCCACCCAGCCACAGTACCCAGTCCTTTTCAGTGTCTTTACAGCAGTGTTCTGTACTTAGGATCTGGGGTCTCTGAATATATCATTATCTGTGGATTCCATTTTGACTTGATATTGACTGTCATTTAGTTCAAATGTTGTTCGATAATCTTCACCCCACTTAAATCAGTAAAGAATGTTTATGTTTTTGGGGGATGACTGGGTTTTTTTCTTGTGCGAGTTTTGATTGTTTGTGCAACTCTTTAGAATATGAATGTCAGGATATTTTTAAGGGAAGGTTTTTTGTGTCAAGAGTGTAAATGTCAAAGTGTGTCAGTGTTTTCTATATCTTTGTCACATGTATTGAAATTAGGAAACATATTTCTGTAAGATTATAAAAATACTTCATAACTGTTTTTAAATGTAGTACAGTCAACTTAGTATTATTCTGAAAGAAAAGTTTTCTCAATTTTATGTATCATTTCTATGTGAAATGAGTGGTTTAGTGTTTGCTCTGAGTCAGCTGATGAAGAAGACTGGTCACAGTCAAGTATTTATAACACATGGGCATTAATCCAGTTACATTACTGCCATGATCTGTATGTATTCTGTCAGTGTGAAGGAGTACTGTTTGAACTAAAGGATCTGGGTTCAGGTTTTCTGTCATTGCAAACAGGTAGAATGTTTTCTTTTATGAGCATCCCACATGAAATGTGAAACTAAAAACTGAAACAAATGCATTAATGAATGAGTTCAGAGCAGAACAGCTTTAGAGACAATATCAGAAACACTCCTCACATATTCTGATTAATAACTTTTGTCTCGTCTAACTGCAAAAGAATTATCAGTGTGAGATTAAAGTCTATTGTGCCAGAGACATTTTTACAAGAGAGACTGAACTAGAACAACGTGGTGCCCTATATGAACCCAAGACATGTCTTTTGTAAGTGTTATGAATAAATTAATGCACACATTCAGTGTTGAAGCATGAAAGTATGGGGTCCTTGTCATAAAGTTAAACGTTTAGGTACTTCAATTTGAATATATTAGCAGCAAATCTCAAGGACCCCTTTTAATTTCAAACAATGCATGTGCATTCAGTTGCATTCTGAACATAAGGGCAGCATGTTGCTGTAGTCTGTATAGGTGTCGGACTCCTAGCATGGATATCTGTCAGCCATAGGAGGCAATACTTGGGGAAACAACCACCATTGGATAAATACCAGATCTGTTTTAAACATGTAGGTGATATGATTGAACAGATGCACACCCATCATCACTCCAGTTTGTGAGTTCCATGGAACATATACTCTCACATGATGAAGACAGCTGAAGAAGACTTTACAAGACACATCTAAAGTTGTGTGTTGCCTGCAGGTTTTGTGTGGTCAGTGGTACCATGTTGATATTGTGTATATACGGCCCTGTTGGGAGAGTAATAAATGACTGTGTATTGTTCTTGTGGGAAACACTCCTCTGCTTGTACAGCTGTGTATTTAAGTGCATTGTGAAAACTCCATCTTGTAGAATATTGAAGTGATGATAACATGTTACTATGGAGACCTATGCTGGCACACAACATTAAAAACTGTTTTATAAAACTGCTGCCTGTCATGTTTTTGTTTCAATTGTAAGGCAAGATGATTAATTACTGGGGAGAGTTGCTCCATTCACGTGGCTGTATCACCATGAGACAAAGGTGTATTCCCATACTCTCTACAGGTTAAAACAACATGATACAGTCCAGTGATCAGGAAGTGAATACACTGCTCTGACCTGTTCTACCCCTGCTATAATGAACTTGACTAGTTAGCTGGTTAATTCTATGGTGTCTTCCCACTCTGCCTACAGAAGTTTTAAAAAATGACAAGTGTTGGTTGGTAGGACATCTTTATTCATTCTGAGAATTCTCAGACTTTACATGGAGACATGGATTTATCATGAAAAACTGATAGGTTTTACAGTCTTTTCACACACAACTGACAATCACTTTGCAAACTTGATGAGATGTCCAGCAGCATCAAGGTACTGAAGAGGCGTTTTTCTGCCGGTCTGGAGGTGCTCCTTCAGTCTCAGAAGTCTCGCATCGAGCTCTCTGTAAACACGCTTGCGTGACTTGGGGAGGGCACCACAGTCGAGCTGAGCACGTTTAGCTTTGTCTACGGCTTCGATTTTCTTGATGTTGCAGATGAAGAGGTAGATGTTTGGGTGGGCTTTGGCAATAAGGTTTTTCAGCTTCAGGTGCCACCCCTCAAGGTGGTTGTTAGGCCGCGGGCCAATATTTCCATACTGCGTCCAGATTCAACCGGAAAACGTGCCTCATAGTCCACCCATGTACACGTGACGTAGTCATTGAAGGCGAAGTTCACCCCCTACTTTGTCCCTAACAACATCATTCAACAACGTGAATAGTCTGACTTTACACTCGAGAACGATCGTACAGACGCTGGGTCAGCAGCCTCGGACAACTCTTCATCGTACAGCTGCCGAATGGATGTGACGTCCTCCTGTACACGCTGACGCAGTCTGCTAAGGAGTCGAATCTCATCTTCAGATTCCACTGGGACATGGTTGTGCGGTGTTGTTGATTTCATGAAGTCTCCAGTTGTAGAACAGCGGCCTTTGCATTCACAATGTACACACTTCCAATGTGTTGTGGTCTGTCGTCTGACGTTGAGGCGATATCGATACCTAGCAAAGAAAACTTGCTGTCCTCCTGCTTGAGGAGTGATGAATTGAACATGTTGAACATTTCCCATTGTGTGATGGATACAGTTGGTTCCCCTTCTAATTTATTAGGAGTTTAATTAACTGAGATGATGAGATCTTCTCAACAATTTAGTCCTTACCATGTTTTTCAACATAATCTGACAAAGACAGACAAAGCCTGTAACAACATAGTTAAAACAAGCCTACCCAACTTGATCAAATAGGATTAAGTTAAACCTGCTTTGGAGGTTACAATATAAGCATGCTAACTGCTTCCCAAAACAAAATAAAACAATATCATTGTACTTGTCTTGTAGTCTTTATTGGATGAGAAGACTCAAAACATACTATACACAGAAGTAGATGCACCGATATATACTAATATAATCCCCCTAATTATCCCTTACTCCAAACGAAGCACCCCTTCTTCATTGATACTCGGGCTGTTCCATTATTCTATGGGGCAAAAAATCTTTTCCCACGCTGCCTACAATGTTTTTGTTGGCAGTATGGGACCTAACCGAGACAAATATCCTAAGGCCGAAGCTCTAGGCAATTCCAATTAAGTATGATTTGTATTCCCAAGTTTTAGTAATATTCATCTAGAGATGTTATTCCACTGACATTTTGTCCAGTATATGGCTATGATTCTGCAAATTGATCATCTTTGACATAGACGTCCTGTTCTCTGGAGACGTTTTAGCAATAAAACCCTGAAATAACTACATGATTCAAGACAAAGGAAAATACAATTATCATATGTTTATTATACAACAATATTCAGTGAGATATGGATGATTTAACATGATATATACAATAAATTAGATACAAAATATAGTCTATGGACGGACTCATCACCCCACATTCATGTTGTCCTCAACGTGATAACATTTCTGGGATCACTGTTGAGGTGGACTTTCTTCAAGTGAACATGATAGACAAAGCTGAGGACCTACATAGTGGATAGTGACGACATGTTATATTGGGACGAAGTTGTCTCCGATTATTGATGTCATCAGAGCAGCATCAATCCCTTCCAGGGCTAGCATTCTGGTTAAATGACACTTGGATCCTGTGGTTGTTGCTACCTCAGTTTACCCACCCTTGCCTTCCACTTGCCAATTTCATTATGCTACTGGGTCTAACATACCAATCAGAATGCAAGCTACAAACAAGCCTCAAAGTTACTATGCAATATAAATAGGTAGCAGCCAGTCCCATTGATTATGACTGGGATTCTGAGAAATTCAATCTAAAAAACTGGCTTACATGCAAAAGAAAGAACTCAAAAAATATTTTTAATTGAAAGGAAGTCCTCATGTGCATTATATTTGGTTTCTAGGTAATCAGAGTTACCTACCTTTCCCTTAGGTAAACCATTGACTTGTAAGTGAAATGTTAATGAAAATCAAGGGCAGGTAATTTGCAATATCAAGAACAAAAGGAACCCAGGGGTTATTATAGCTTTACCAAAATGTAAGCTAAGGAGATATTGAGAATAGACAGTATCCTTCAAAGGGACATTGTCTGTTTTAACATATTTCCAGATGAATGAATGTTCATCAGGTGGTTCTTCTCAACAAATGATGAGTGTTGACTGTTCCTCCATCCTACAGCTGTCCACACCCTCAAGCATCAGAAAACCTGGACGTACGGCTTATCCAGCAGCTAGCCTGTTCTATGGGCGTATGTTTTGTGGGCCATGCACCAGACAATTCAAATTCTATATTCCAAAGATGTCACTGTGACAGGGCTATGGGTGTATGTTTTTGCATGTTCAAGCATACAAGGGGAAACAACTCTGACAAGACTAGTCAACTGATTGTCCCACAAATATAATGCTTGCTTGTATGGATCTACATCCCAACTGGTTTCTCCACTGATCCAGGTAGTCTGCAATAGGCCTCTGCTTGAGTTAAGTTATCAGTGTACAGTCACTGGGCCTTCTCACATGTTCATTTCTCTTGACACCATTTTCAGTGCTTTCTTGAAGGAGAGCCGAGGTTTACGGTGTTTCCGAATGTACTGAAAACATCAAGACTACAGCTATACCAACCACATTTCCTTGCTGTAGAAAGCATGGTACAGACATACAATACATGGTCATACCTGGAAAAACTACCAGTAACATACCTGGGAAGGTAGATAAGGTTCAGGAGAAATGGCTTAATATATTAAATCATTTTTGAGAGATGAACAATGAAGAGACAAACACAGTTGGATGTTCTGTTCTATGTTATCAGTAACAAGAGCCAGGTTCCTGATTTAAAACATTGAAGAACTACATTATGTGGAAGCCAATGATAACATATTATGGTAGCTCGTAATGCCACAAATATTTTGTGGATCAGGGCCTAGATTTTCGAAGCTCTCTTAGCGCTAAGATAGTCGTAAGTTACTGTTAATGAATGGTACTTACGACTATCTTAGTGCTAAGAGAGCTTCAAAATCTAGGCCCAGGACCTTATTTTTTACATAAGACCAGTAATAAGTATCTTTACTGATAGTCAACTGTTGGTTTTAGCTGGACTATTGCTGACTGGTGTAGAACAATATTCACTGCCTGTACTGACCTCCTGGGTGTCCTCCAGAGTAGTGTACTTGTAGCTGTCCTTCAACACGGAGGTGGTCGATTCGTACATTTGTCTCTGGGTCTCCAGGAAGTTCTGTGTCAGGACCAGCTGCTGCTTCATCAGGTCATGGAGGGCCAGCATACAGGGACTGTACGATGTCATGGCTACAGGGACATACAGATGTCATACAGGGACTGAACGATGTCATGGCTAGAGGGACATACAGATGTGTCATACAGGGACTGTACGATGTCATGGCTAGAGGGACATACAGATGTGTCATACAGGGACTGTACGATGTCATGGCTAGAGGGACATACAGATGTCATACAGGGACTGTACGATGTCATGGCTACAGGGACATACAGATGTCATACAGGGGGAACTGTCCGATGTCATGGCTACAGGGACATACAGATGTCATACAGGGACTGTACGATGTCATGGCTACAGGGACATACAGATGTCATACAGGGGCTGAACGATGTCATGGCTACAGGGACATACAGATGTCATACAGGGACTGTACGATGTCATGGCTACAGGGACATACAGATGTGTCATACAGGGGGCTGAACGATGTCATGGCTAGAGGGACATACAGATGTCATACAGGGGCTGTACGATGTCATGGCTACAGGGACATACAGATGTCATACAGGGGCTGTAACGATGTCATGGCTACAGGGACATACAGATGTCATACAGGGGCTGTACGATGTCATGGCTAGAGGGACATACAGATGTCATACAGGGGCTGTACGATGTCATGGCTACAGGGACATACAGATGTCATACAGGGACTGTACGATGTCATGGCTAGAGGGACATACAGATGTCATACAGGGGCTGTACGATGTCATGGCTACAGGGACATACAGATGTCATACAGGGGCTGAACGATGTCATGGCTAGAGGGACATACAGATGTCATACAGGGGCTGTACGATGTCATGGCTACAGGGACATACAGATGTCATACAGGGGCTGATACGATGTCATGGCTACAGGGACATACAGATGTCATACAGGGGCTGTACGATGTCATGGCTACAGGGACATACAGATGTGTCATACAGGGGCTGATGTCATGGCTACAGGGACATACAGATGTCATACAGGGACTGTACGATGTCATGGCTACAGGGACATACAGATGTCATACAGGGGCTGTACGATGTCATGGCTACAGGGACATACAGATGTCATACAGGGGCTGAACGATGTCATGGCTACAGGGACATACAGATGTCATACAGGGCTAAAATGATGTCATGGCTACAGGGACATACAGATGTCATACAGGGACTGTACGATGTCATGGCTACAGGGACATACAGATGTCATACAGGGACTGTACGATGTCATGGCTACAGGGACATACAGATGTCATACAGGGACTGTACGATGTCATCATACAGGGACATACAGATGTCATACAGGGCTGAACGATGTCATGGCTACAGGGACATACAGATGTCATACAGGGGCTGAATGATGTCATGGCTACAGGGACATACAGATGTCATACAGGGGCTGTCTGCATGTCATGGCTACAGGGACATACAGATGTCATACAGGGGGGCTGAACGATGTCATGGCTAGAGAGACATACAGATGTCATACAGGGCTGTAATGCGATGTCATGGCTAGAGGGACATACAGATGTCATACAGGGGCTGTGTCGATGTCATGGCTACAGGGACATACAGATGTCATACAGGGGGCTGTAACGATGTCATGGCTAGAGAGACATACAGATGTCATACAGGGGCTGTACGATGTCATGGCTACAGGGACATACAGATGTCATACAGGGGGCTGAACGATGTCATGGCTAGAGAGACATACAGATGTCATACAGGGGCTGTACGATGTCATGGCTACAGGGACATACAGATGTCATACAGGGGCTGAACGATGTCATGGCTAGAGAGACATACAGATGTCATACAGGGGCTGTACAATGTCATGGCTAGAGGGACATACAGACGTGTCATACAGGGGTGGTATGATGTCATGGCTACAGGGACATACAGATCTCATACAGGGGCAGTACGATGTCATAGCTAGAGGGACATACAGATGTGTCATACAGGGGTGGTATGATCTCATGGCTACAGTGTCATACAGGGGCGGTACAATGTCATGGCTACAGGGACCTACAGACGTGTCATACAGGGGCTGTACGATGTCATAGCTAGAGGGACATACAGACGTGTCATACAGGGGCTGTACGATGTCATAGCTAGAGGGACATACAGATGCGTCATACAGGGGCAGTACGATGTCATGGCTACAGGCACCTACAGACGTTTCATACAGGGGCTGTACGATGTCATAGCTAGAGGGACATACAGACGTGTCATACAGTGGCTGTACGATGTCATAGCTAGAGGGACATACAGACGTGTCATACAGGGGCAGTACGATGTCATGGCTAGAGGGACATACAGACGTGTCATACAGGGACTGTACGATGTCATGGCTACAGGGGCCTACAGACGTGTCATACAGGGGTGGTATGATGTCATGGCTACAGGGACATACAGATCTCATACAGGGGAAGTACGATGTCATAGCTAGAGGGACATACAGATGTGTCATACAGGGGTGGTATGATCTCATGGCTACAGTGTCATACAGGGGCTGTATGATGTCATAGCTAGAGGGACATACAGATGTGTCATATAGGGGCAGAACGATGTCATGGCTACAGGGACATACATCTCATACACGGGCAGTACGATGTCATGGCTAGAGGGACATACAGATGTGTCATACAGTGGCTGTACGATGTCATGGCTACAGGGACATACATCTCATACAGGGGCAGTACAATGTCATGGTTAGAGGGACATACAGATCTCATACAGGGGCAGTACAATGTCATAGCTAGAGGGACATACAGATGTGTCATACAGGGGCAGTACGATGTCATGGTTACAGGGACCTACAGACGTGTCATACAGGGGCTGTACGCTGTCATAGCTAGAGGGACATACAGACGTGTCATACAGTGGCTGTACGATGTCATAGCTAGAGGGACATACAGACGTGTCATACAGGGGCAGTACGATGTCATGGCTAGAGGGACATACAGACGTGTCATACAGGGACTGTACGATGTCATGGCTACAGGGGCCTACAGACGTGTCATACAGGGGTGGTATGATGTCATGGCTACAGGGACATACAGATCTCATACAGGGGCAGTACGATGTCATAGCTACAGGGACATACAGATGTGTCATACAGGGGTGGTATGATCTCATGGCTACAGTGTCATACAGGGGCGGTACAATGTCATGGCTACAGGGACCTACAGACGTGTCATACAGGGGCTGTACGATGTCATAGCTAGAGGGACATACAGACGTGTCATACAGGGGCTGTACGATGTCATAGCTAGAGGGACATACAGATGCGTCATACAGGGGCAGTACGATGTCATGGCTACAGGCACCTACAGACGTTTCATACAGGGGCTGTACGATGTCATAGCTAGAGGGACATACAGACGTGTCATACAGTGGCTGTACGATGTCATAGCTAGAGGGACATACAGACGTGTCATACAGGGACTGTACGATGTCATGGCTACAGGGACATACAGATGTCATACAGGGACTGTACGATGTCATGGCTACAGGGACATACAGATGTGTCATACAGGGGCTGAACGATGTCATGGCTACAGGGACATACAGATGTCATACAGGGACACTTACATGTCATACAGGGGGCTGATGTCATGGCTAGAGGGACATACAGATGTCATACAGGGGCTGAACGATGTCATGGCTACAGGGACATACAGATGTCATACAGGGGCTGAGCATGTCATGGCTAGAGGGACATACAGATGTCATACAGGGCTGTATGGGTCATGGCTACAGACATACAGATGTCATACATGGGCTGAGCATGGATGTCATACAGGGACTGTGCGATACTACAGATGTGTCATACAGGGCTGAAAGTGTCATGGCTACAGGGACATACAGATGTCATACAGGGGCTGAAATGCGATGTCATGGCTACAGGGACATACAGATGTCATACAGGGGCTGAACGATGTCATGGCTACAGGGACATACAGATGTCATACAGGGACTGTACGATGATGTCATGGCTACAGGGACATACAGATGTATGATGTCATACAGGGGCTGTACAATGTCATGTCATGGCTACAGGGACATACAGATGTCATACAGGGGAAACGATGTCATGGCTACACGATGTCATGGCTAGAGGGACATACAGAACGATGTCATACTAGGGACATACAGATGTCATACAGGGACTGTAATGATGTCATGGCTACAGGGACATACAGATGTCATACAGGGGCTGTAATGATGTCATGGCTACACAGGGACATACAGGCGTAACAGGACTGTCATACAGGGGCAGATGTCATACAGGGGCTGAACGATGTCATGGCTACAGAGGGACATACAGGCGTGTCATACAGGGGGCTAGTGCGATGTCAGGGATGTGTCATACAGTTTGACAATGTCATGTCATGGCTACAGATGACATACAGGGGCTGAATAGCGAGGGACGTCATGGGCTATGTCAGAGACATACAGATGTCATACAGGGGCTGTACGATGTCATGGCTACAGGGACATACAGTCATACAGATGTCATACAGGGCTGTGCGATGTCATGGCTACAGGGACAATGTACGATGTCATGGCTACAGGGACCTACAGGCGTGTCATACAGGGGTGGTATGATGTCATGGCTACAGGGACATACAGGCATGTCATACAGGGACGGTACGATGTCATGGCTACAGGGACATACAGATGTGTCATACAGGGGTGGTATGATGTCATGGCTACAGGGACATACAGATGTGTCATACAGGGGTGGTATGATGTCATGGCTACAGGGACATACAGACGTGTCATACAGGGGCGGTACGATGTCATGGCTAGAGGGACATACAGACGTGTCAAACAGGGCTGCAATGTCATGCAGGGGCGGTACGATGTCAAGGCTAGAGGGACATACAGACGTGTCAAACAGGGACAGTACGACGATGTCATGGCTACAGGGACATGTTTGTTTATATCATCACAAAAGCTCAAGCATTTCTAGGGATGGGATATAGAGTTTTAATCCCAGGGGTGGAAATAACTTTAAAATTGCGAGTATACTCCGGTACAGTGGCACATGTAAAATCACTTGTCCTGATAATTTGTCCACTATACTGGCCGATTTTCTTGTTGATTTTTTAAATAAACAGCATAATTAACATTGGAAAGTCAACTGGACACCGGTACAGTGTGATATACAAATTTGCTTGCCCGACAGAAAAAACACTGGACTGGGGCGTCGGGCAATGGGTTATTTCCACCCCTGAATCCTTACCCACCATCAAACACACAGGATTGCTTGGTGCTATTGCTATGTGCTATGTTAAGGTATCTGTGATCATAGTGACTATCTGGAGTCACCCACCTTCTAGAGCATCTGCACTGACAACATGAGAGGCTATAGGAGTGGGGTCCACAAAGCCCAGTCCAAGGCTGGGACCGGATATAGCCAGGCCGCTCGACATCAGGTTCCAGCGATATTTTAGCCCAGGGTCGGTCGGTGTTTGAATCTCCACACTCTTTGTCTCCTTCCTGGATTTTGGAGGAGGCTTGGCTTGTCTGGAATCTGTGTAGCTGGAACAGGATGGTTACACGCTGCAGTGAATGAAGGGGATGAGTTGTAATAACATGTCTGCCTGCAAAGTGTCCCTCCCTGCTGGTGTGACAACAATCCACCGTAACCAGCTACATGTTCCATGTGATGATATAACACTGACTGACTGAGTTTGGTTTTCCAGCAATATTCCAGCAACATCCGCGGTCACACAGAAATGGGCTTCACCACATTCCCATGTGATTGAACCGCCTCTTGGTGATGATATAACAGTGTATGAGATCTCTACCATACTCTCCATCAGACACTGTGAAATCTCTACCATACTGACCAACAGACACTGTCACTCTACCATACTGTCTAACAGACACTCTCACTCTACCATACTGTCTACCAGACACTGTTACATTACCATACTGTCTACAAGACACTGTCACTCTACCATGCTGTCTACCAGACAATGTCACTCTACTATCCTGTCTACAAGACACTGTTACTCTACCATACTGTCTACAAGACACTGTCACTCTACAATGCTGTCTACCAGACAATGTCACTCTACTATCCTGTCTACCAGACACTGTTACTCTACCATGCTGTCTACCAGACACTGTCACTCTACCATACTGTCTACCAGACACTGTTACTCTATTATACTGTCTACCAGACACTGTCACTCTACCATACTGTCTACAAGACACCGCCACTCTACCATGCTGTCTACCAGACAATGTCACTCTACTATCCTGTCTACCAGACACTGTTACTCTACCATGCTGTCTACCAGACACTGTCACTCTACCATACTGTCTACCAGACACTGTTACTCTACTATACTGTCTACCATACTGTCTACCAGACACTGTAACTCTACTATACTGTCTACCAGACACTGTTACTCTACTATACTGTCTACCAGACACTTTCACTCTACCATACTGTTTACCAGACACTGTCACTCCACCATACCGTCTACCAGACACTGTCACTCCACCATTGGTATTCTACCTTACACTGTCAGCCTGTCAGACTGTCCGATGTCCCCTACCACTGTGTGTCCACCATACTGTCTACCAGACACTGTTACTCTACTATACTGTCTGCCAGACACTGTCACTCTACCATACTGTCTACCAGACACTGTCACTCTACCATACTGTCTACAGACACTGTCACTCCACCATACTGTCTACCAGACACTGTCACTCTACCATACTGTCTACCAGACACTGTCACTCTACCATACTGTCTACCAGACACTGTCACTCTACCATACTGTCTACCAGACACTGTCACTCTACCAGACTGTTATTCTACCCCTACACTGTCACTCTACCATGCTGTCTACCAGACACTGTCACTCTACCATACTGTCTGCCAGACACTGTCACTCTACCATACTGTCTACCAGACACTGTCACTCTACCATGGGTGTCTACCAGACACTCATGTCTACTGTTACATGTCCCCTACCTGTCTACCAGACTGTCACTCTCTACCATACTGTCTACCAGACACTGTCCTCTACCATACTGTCTACCAGACACTGTCACTCTACCATGCTGTCTACCAGACACTGTCACTCTACCATACTGTCTACCAGACACTGTCACTCTACCATACTGTCTACCAGACACTGTCACTCTACCATACTGTCTACCAGACACTGTCACTCTACCATACTGTCTACCAGACACTGTCACTCCACCATACTGTCTGCCAGACACTGTCACTCTACCATACTGCTTACCAGACACTGTCACTGCACCAGACTGTCTTCTACAGACACAGCCTGACCAGACTGTTACCATCTGTGTGTATGTCTGTGTCCGATGTGTAACCCTCACTGTCACTCTACCATACTGTCTACCAGACACTGTCACTGCACCAGATGGGTACTCTACAGACACTGTCAGCCTGACCAGACTGTTACCGATGTCCCCTACCTCTGTGTGTATGTCTCTGTGTCCGATGTGTAACCCTCACTGTCACTCTACCATACTGTCTGCCAGACACTATCACTCTACCATACTGTCTACTCTACTCTTACAGACACTGTCAGCCTGACCAGACTGTTACCGATGTCCCCTACCTCTGTGTGTATGTCTCTGTGTCCGATGTGTAACCCTCACTGTCACTCTACCATACTGTCTACCAGACACTGTCACTCTACCATACTGTCTACCAGACACTGTCACTCTACCATACTGTCTGCCAGACACTGTCACTCTACCATACTGTCTACCAGACACTATCACTGCACCAGATGGGTACTTCTACAGACACTGTCAGCCTGACCAGACTGTTACCGATGTCCCCTACCTCTGTGTGTATGTCTCTGTGTCCGATGTGTAACCCTCACTGTCACTCTACCATACTGTCTGCCAGACACTATCACTGCACCAGATGGGTACTCTACAGACACTGTCAGCCTGTCCAGACTGTTACCGATGTCCCCTACTTCTGTGTGTATGTCTCCGTGTCTGATGTGTAACCCTCACTGTCACTCTACCATACTGTCTACCAGACACTGTCACTCTACCATACTGTCTACCAGACACTGTCACTCTACCATACTGTCTACCAGACACTGTCACTCTACCATACTGTCTACCAGACACTGTTACTCTACCATACTGTCTACCAGACACTGTCACTCTACCATACTGTCTACCAGACACTGTCACTCTACCATACTGTCTACCAGACACTGTCACTCACTACCATACTGTCTACCAGACACTGTCACTCTACCATACTGTCTACCTCTGTGTGTGTATGTCTCCTGTCCTCCAGACCATACTGTCACCTTACACTGTCACTCTACCATACTGCCAGACACTGTAACTCTACCATACTGCTTACCAGACACTGTCACTCTACCATGCTGTCTACCAGACACTGTCACTCTACCATACTGTCTACCAGACACTGTCACTCTACCATACTGTCTGCCAGACACTGTCACTCTACCATACTGTCTACCAGACACTGTCACTCTACCATACTGTCTACCAGACACTATCACTGCACCAGATTGGTAACTCTACAGACACTGTCAGCCTGTCCAGACTGTTACCGATGTCCCCTACCTCTGTGTGTATGTCTCTGTGTCTGATGTGTAACCCTCACTGTCACTCTCATGTGTTCTGTCAGTATAGCTCCTTCCTCTGGAGTCTGTCTCAAAGTCGATCATCGTAGTCTGCCTGGGTGTTCTCATCACTGTACTCTGTCTTCACCTCGGACTCCACGGTCCATCGCACCTGCTTCCCACCCTGGACACTGTCCTGTCCAATTCTCTCAGAAATACTGTCCTCAGAATACACCTGATGCTGGGGAGTATCCACACCTATCTCTGTTGCAATTGAGGACATGGAATCTTTTCTCTTCCGAGCAGCGAAAATATCTGACTTTTCTGTCACTATTTCTGAAGCTTCAGACACTATACTCTCCTCCTTAGCTTCAGAAGCACCGAGCAGTTCATCAACAGTATGAAGTCCCAGATTGTTAAAAACAGAGTCAGTTTTGTGCGGCGCCTCTTTAGACTTTTTGGAAGAACCTTTTGCCTTGAATATGTCTTCTTTCCCAGATGCTTTGAAAACACTTGAAGACTCTTTAGATTTTTGTTTTGTTTTGGATTTGGATTCCTTTTGTTCAGATTTCTTTTTCGATGATTTCTTCTTCTTCTTCTTCTCTGATGGCTCAGGAGACAGGGCAAGAGGTTCCAAAGAATCCAAGTCCATTAAGTTGACAGCTGGAATGAAAAACAAGTATCAACTTTACAGCATATATCATTGAAGTCACTAAATTTAGAGTCATTGTCACTTGTTATAAAATCAAACAATGAAAATTAAAATTAAGCAGAATGCACACTGAAGAAATATTGCTATTTTCATCGATACATTTGTGAGACGTGAAAGTATCACTGGTGTGCACTGCTTTAAGCTGTGAGGATATTGAGATCATACTGTTGAATATGTTGCCAGAGCTCTCCGTCTCCTGTGTGTCAGCCACCTCACTGTGGATGGAGTCCACATTATCTGAGTCCTGGGAGGGTGACCTTGACAGTCGGTGTCCATAGATTGGAGATGGAACCCGCCGAGGAGTCTGTGTTGGAGGGGATGGTGTTCTCATGAGGGAGAGATCGGAGGATGGGAGGTCATGACCTCTGGACTGCTGTAAACAGACATGAACACTGCTGCAGATCTCAGCTACATCAAGCATGAAAATACATCACTTATTTATGTCCTGAACATAGTGTCTTTAGCTATAGGGAAGACTTAGTGTTAATGTAAGATCACAGGACACAATGACAACACATAAGGTTTGATTACATCTGTTAAATATGCAATCTTAGGGACCGTTCACATTTTATGGCTAAGGGGATGATGATGATTTTAAGGGGGGGGTCACCCATTTTGTTCTGGGGAGATAGGGGGTCATCAATTTTGTGCACATGTACTCGGGGGTCGTCATTGATTTTGTACATGCTTCTCCATTAAAATAACCCACCCCTTAGCCATAAATTATGAATGGTCCCTTACCATGAGACGCCCTCTGATGGTAAATTTCATATTCTGAAATCAGTGAGCGTCTTGATGGTGAGTTCTGTCAGAGCCATGTGATGGTAATCTCAAGCTTAGTGCCCTAGTATGGTAAGATTATGGTCCCCTCGGAGAGAATGACTTCCTACCCGACAGCTGAGGTACCTACCCTCTTTGTTTTCTTCTTCCTCTTGGCGTCGTCAGCAGAAGACAACCTGTTGATGAAGTCTGCCATGCTCTCCTCCTCGGAGGTCAGGTGGATGTTGCCTAAATACTTCACCTGGCCCTTGTTGGCATACTCCGGAACTGAAGGCACAACATACAGGACAATGTTACCATAGTTCCACATATGTTAAAAATATTAACAACTCATTTGTCATTTTGTTTCAAGGAAATCATCTCTATCACCTCTCCAGAAACTTTCTCCCTTTTCAACTTGTCAACAAACTTGATTCATTCAAACATAGATAAACAGCAGGCTTATCCTTATTACAAAGTTCACACAAAATGTTTAAAACAAGTTACACCCATCCTGCTTATGCAAAACTTTCCATAGACCCTTTGTATTTTTTCAATTACTTTATAAAATCTTTTGTCTGAAACTTAGTGAAAATTCAATGACTATATTATTACCAGCATGATCAACGAAAAAATCAAATCAGTTTCTTTATTGTATTCACATTTCTCTGTTAAAAATGCAAAATCAACAACATTTTGAACATGTATGGCATAAACACGACCCCTTATAGAACACTAACCATCAGAGCATCTGACTAGATCCTCTCAACTCTGTGTTCATTTAGCACTCAAGAAATGACATGAGCAAACGTTGAGAGTTACCTCCCTTCAGTTTAGAGAAACAGATCCAGTACCGGTACATAACACATGTAACAAACAAACTGGATCCAGCAGGTCAGAATATCCTAGCTCTGAGACTTTCATGTCTGGCTACCAAACGTCTCCCCTTATATCAATAATGTCACCTTCAGTGCAAAGACAATAGTTCCTGCTGTGTTGGAAACTGAGGGATGTCTTGGGGCCCTTGATGTCTTCTGCTACAGTATTTGAACCTTTAGAGCACTAAATTATCCCCTTTTCATATTAGTGTGATGACAAGTTCAGATGGTTTACAGGTAAACTTACAACCACCTTGTACAACTTTCCTTGATTCAGTGCACAATGTTACAGTGACACCTAAAATTCACATCCAGCAACAGTTAAAGTGCCTTGAACAGTTTGTTAAATAAACTGTTTCATTAAATGAGTCTTACACTGATCTGTTTCCAAATTTGGGTGACAATCTACATGACCTAAAAGTAATTAATTGTGGTCTTAGGGTGAGTGAGGGAGCTGGTTGGAGACCATTCACGTATGGAATCAACTTAAATATTTTTTTATTTTTGGGGGGGGTTAAACACCAGAGTCAGCTATTACAGCTAAATGACTAGAGGTGAAATGGTACACCGCAGTATTTTGCCTTCGGTTCGGTATACCATAAAGCAATCCAAAAATTTGTATCTTCAGTTTTCACTACACAAGTAGATAAACATGATAGAGGATCTTGATGAGTGTTCCATAGGCAGATAGACAGAGCTCCCATTGTATGTCTGGTATAACAAATTACAATCAATTTTATTCATAGCTTTGTTTGTTGTTTAATGCTGTACCCCATAACATTCAAGCTATATGACAGCAGTCTGTAAATAATTGAGTCTACACATTTTGGAAACAATGACATGCATCAGACATGTCAGCGAGCCTGACCACCAGATCCCGGTAATCGCCACTTACAACAAGTGTTTGCCACTGATATGGAATATCTATATTTACTGCTTTTAATTTTTTGGAGATAAGGTCAAGGTCACCCAAATAAACTGGTGTCTGTGTAATCCCCCAATGTAGGCTGTCACCAAATTTGAAGACATTGGGTACAACAGTCCATGAGATATCGCGTTAACAAAAATGTGAAAAGTGGTCAAAGTGTTGTGGTGACCTTGAAAATAATCAACATTGATCTACGCAAATGAGATACAATGACATGTGTCAACCAAGACAACGAGCCCGACCACCTGACCCTGTTATTCGCCTCTTATGACAAGCATGGGTTACTGAAGATCAATTCTAACCCAGATCTTCACGGGTTCCATGGTAAGAGGCAAATATTACATCTTCAGCAAAGCCTGAGGTTGGATCAATGTTCTTGACCCACACTTACAACATTGCTGGAATGACAAGTTTCAACTTCACAAACCCATATCACATTCTGAAACTGGTAGCCTTTTACAGCAGCTACACCAGGGACCAGGGTCCACCTTTGTTATTTACTACATAAAAATGTTAAAGAACACAAGTTTTTCTGATGATAGTTAATCAAAAAATGCATATTGCAGTCAGAAGAAGTCAGAGAACACCAATATTTTAATGATTAAGGGTAATCTGCCATGTCTTAAAAGTGTACAGACTACTCATAAACTACTCATATACGACTCATGTACTACTCATGTACTTCTCATGTACTACTCACATACTTCTCATATACAACTCATATACTACTCAAATACTACTCATATACTTCTCATGTACTACTAAAATACTACTAAAATACTACTCATATACTACCCATGTACTACTCATATACTACTCATACACTACTCACACACTACCCATGTACTACCCATGTACTACCCATACACTATTCATACACTACTCATACACTACTCATGTACTACCCTTGTACTACTCATATACTACTCATACACTACTCATACCCTGCTCATATACTACTCATGTACTACTCATATACTACCCATACTCACTACTACTCATATACTACTCATATACTACTCATACACTGCTCATACACTACTCATATACTACTCATATACTACTCATACACTACTCATATACTACTCATATACTACTCATATACTACCCATATACTACTCATACACTACTCATACACTACTCATATACTACTCATGTACTACCCTTGTACTACTCATATAATACCCATACACTACTCATACACTACTCATACACTACTCATGTACTACCCATGTACTACCCATACACTACCCATACACTACTCATACACTACTCATACACTACTCATACACTACTCATGTACTACCCATGTACTACTCATATACTACTCATGTACTACTCATACACTACTCATGTACTACCCATGTACTACTCATATACTACTCATATACTACTCATATACTACTCATACACTACCCATGTACTACCCATATACTACTCATACACTACTCATACCCTGCTCATATACTACTCAAAGAACTTGAAGAACACTTGATTGTTTACATGACTGTAGTTCAGCTTTCATGTCACATGTCATGTAGCCTATGAATATATATTTATCATGCAATACTGTATTACGATAAAGCAAAGAGAATAAAGAACTGGAGCGAGTGCACTACAAGCAGGAGACAGGGATATCTACATGCTAGAGTAAGATATAATCAGCAAAGATATATAACCATGCCATGAAGCCAGAATAGATCTGAGATATTCAAGTCAGAGACGCATTCAAAGCAAGAGGAATACACACTGCCTATACAAGGAGGGGCTGTATCAAAAGTGTAATGGTCATTTCCATACGCTAATCAGGAACAGAGGCTCAAAGAGCTGATACTGACCACAGCAAAGAGCTGATACTGACCACAGCAAAGAGCTGATGCTGATCTTTATGAGATCAGCAGAATGATCTGAGTTGACAGTCAGCAAATAGGATGGTAATACTAAGGTTTTGTTACAGTTTGGAAATGACTGTTAAACATTTGACATAGTCCCCTTGATATTAACAAGCTGTGACATGATTGATGAGTCTAACAGATAGCATACATCAAATGTGATCAATGTCATGGACCACTAGAAAAATATAAAACGATTTTCAGGAAAGAAAGAAAGAAATTTATGAGGCCTTTCTAGAGAAACTTTGAGGACAGACTATTTTCTAATTATACACTAAATGCAATGAAATGAGCAAGGTTGTCCATTTCAGTTTCAATATCATCCCCACTTACCAGCTGTTCCAGTAGAAGGTTTGGAGGTATCTACAAAACGTGATTACAGTCAATAAAACCAATCAGACATCTGCAAATTCTACTTCTTCTTATTATTATTATACAAGTAGTTTCATGCCTGTGTACTTGAAAATATATCATAAATATCAAAATTAATGTGTACAGGGCATGTTTTCTGTCTTTGTTCGATATGCCCATCATTCATGATATCATGCAGCAAAGACCCACTGTGCTAAAGTAGGTTCAACACCCTCATCCTCTGCACAGTCTAACCACTTTATTCCACCAACCTCCCTCACTGGACAATCAGTTTTGAGAACTTTAACACTACTGATATTGACATGCCAGTAAAAGTATCTAAACAGACCTAGTCTCACATACTGAGTGAGTGAGTTTAGTTTTACGCCGCACTCAGCAATATTCCAGCTCTATGGCGGCGGTCACACATACTGAAATTCATGGAGCATGTTTGACTTTCTGGTCAAATATCATGTGTAGTTTATCCCTCATAATTATTAGCAACTAGCTTTGGAGCTGCATCTGAATAAAAGCACCCTATTTATATCATGTATATGGCCCTTGTCTTTGTATGTGCATTTCTAAACAAATAATATACCTTATACCTACCTACATACATACATATTTAATTACATAAATTTGCCTGATGTAGTGCTAATGTACATAAGCATGGATGTATATTTACTTGAGCTTTAATATTGGACATATGATTGCATAGCACAGAATGTACACATTGGTGAATATATCTAACATATATATATATCTGTCTACCATTAGATAAGGAGATCAACCTGAAAGTGACTATGGTGGAGCAGGAACTGCTACAGAATCACCAGACATGTTGTTGTCATGTCTGTTTAATATATCACCTTAATACTCAGATATTAAATGAAACATCAAAGTGGAACACCTGTTGTACATGTGTCAGTATTTGTCATATGATTATTTTACTGATTATAGGTGTACATATAGGGCTGTATGATTGACACTACAGAAACCTAACATCAATACCCACCTCTATCTGCAAACGGTCGGCGCTGTCCCTTGGCTGGGGATGATGGACGAGGTGCCTCAATTTTTTCCATGTATACATTTTCACCCTCTTCAAATGGCTTCTCCGCTTTTGTTTTCTTCAAAAATCTATTTCCGTCTCTCCCGACACTCTTTTCTGATGCCGATTTCAGTTGATCAGCTGACGCATATTGCATATAATTAGCAAGACTCACGCTGTCATCAGTGTCAGTTTCAAAATATGTTCCTCGTTTATTGCCAACAACAGCCCTGTCGTTGATTTTGTTAGTTATTGCTTTAGCCTTGGCAAGGGGTGTCGATTTCTGAGGCGATGCATTTGGGACGGATGTCGCTGGGCGATATGAACGTCTTGGACCCCGCGGGGACATGTTAGGTGTTGTGACATTTGATTGGTCAACTTCTTCTGTATCTGGTTTCTTTTTCTTCAAGAATCGACTGGCAGCTTGCCTTAATGGTGGTGTTCCAATACGACCTCGAGGTGTCTTTTGTAAGTTACTTTCACTGGATATTGAAATATTTTCACCTAAGTCCTCAAAATTCACTGACTTACTAGCCTGTCCGGTTTTCTGTGCCAAAGTGCTCAGGTAGGTCTGGAAGAAAAGTAAAGAAGCTGAGTTATGACTAGCAATCGCAATGATAATTTGTGAGTGAGATTTACAATTGCTGGAACATTCTCATACACTGCAATCATCAATTTTCCATCATTATCACAAAAGCCTGAGAACAGCCAAGTTTCTGACAAGCAAACCTGAGGTTGACAGTATGAGCAATGTTTCACATCATCGGGTCACGACGACCCACAATCAGCCAGCTAACACATGACCTTCATGATTTGTCTCTGAAGGTCAGAGGTCATATGGTTGTTACTTTTCTTCCAGAGACTTTGTTCTCTGTATGAATGGTTTGCAACACACTAATACCATGCATTTGATAAATAAATATGTAAAGTGCAAATATATGTTTTATATATTACTATGATTTCAGTAATTGTATCATTTTATGTTTCAAATCCCAGAACATTCAAACTGATCAAACATAGAGATCAGCACACAAAAATAAAACAGTTTATAAATTCTATTTCATCATGTTTGTGATGGTGGTTTGGGGCCATATTTGGAACCACAGACAAAACAAAAAGCATCAACAGTGTGTTATAATTAACTGGTAGATTGAAACAAAGTGAGTTTGCAGACAAAATTGACTAGTGTTTGAATTACTAGAACCAATCATGCTCGGCTCATAACCTAATCTCTCCTCAAATGTTTCATGGAAAAATATCTGAATTCACACAAATGAATTCTCATGTAAATATAATGGATGAAATATGACACAGACACCAGTGTTACATGTGTGACCAAATCTGCATTGTCAGACGATAACCAGCACTCGGACCCAGACATCCAGGATAACACCGACAAGTGTATCAGAATACGGGTTATTCTTCCTTATCCTGGTTACACAGAATGTACAGCCTTTTGTTGTTGCCCTAGCTGTGCTATGTTGGACTCTGATACATTTCAATCAATCAAACACAGATTCCAGGGTGTTAATGTTACATGATTGACACGACTATCTGCAACACCTGTCATCATATTGACATGTTCATTTCACAAACAGAATCTATGGGAGTCAATTGTTGACATATCCAACATCTTACTCTCAAAATACTAGGGAATGTACTCCGAAAACTTTAGTATGGCCTTATCAGAGACTACAACATGTAATACATTGTGAAAGCTTTCAGAGCATATTACCAGCCTAAAGTGTAGATACAACCCCACAAGCAGTCTGCCAGTGTTAGGCATGATGACAACGTGTAACCCTCAATCATCGCAAATAGTTGGTTAGCGTTATTTATCAAATTGTCTTGGTTATATTTGTTAATGCACACAAAATAAAGAAAAAAACATGTAGTTCTTTCGGTTGTTTTGGCAAATTTCATGTCTTTAAAGGATAACTAATATGTTAGGAACATAAATTTCCTGGAGTCTTCAAGATAAATTTTAACCATGACTTGGAACGAGCTTGTAGTGCTTATGAAACGCAACAAACAAAACCAACCTTGTGATAAATATTGTCAATGCAAACAAGTGTTCCAGAATTGTTTGTGTTCGATTATGACAAAATGTAATCGATTGCTTGGTCTTTTAGTCATTACGACGAATCTTCGATTATTTCAATCACTTGGACCACTACTACTATGGTCTAATGTATTATTATGAATGTTTTCTGATGGCTATCCACAAACAATCTATCTATCAACACAAACAAGCAAGAGGGATAACGAGACAATGCAACTGATATTTAGCTTGTGTTTCCGAATATTACATCAATTATTTATATTTTGGATGTTTATTTCTTATGTATAAGGCATCAATCTGTGCACAATACATTTGTACATATTAATTCCTAAAAGATACATAAAAGAAGTAGTATATCCATAATAATTGTCATTATTCTTCATCAACTCAACTTCTAAAATGCCCATCAAAGAAATTATTTCCTTGGCCAATAATATAACATGATGGAAGTACATGGATGTAGGCACATACTGTATATCTCTATTGTAGATAAACCATATTTTGGTATGTTTAATCTCTGTATGTAACATATTTACTACTGTGAGAAAATGCAATTCATCTTCATTACTATGTCTGTTACATATTCTACATGATCTTATTATACTTTCCAGTCTACACTACCAGTGGTTCAGAGAAGCAGCGATGTCACCTACTCACACTTTCACAATCTTTCACATGTTACTGATGTACATAACAGTGGGACGTAACTGTGGTATATGGACTGTAATAGTTGCACCTCTACCACCTGTAATCAGAGGGTCTGTGCCAAATAAAAGCTTATTAATAAAAGCGGTTCTCAAGGTCTTTTCAACCCCTCAGCACAGATGCCATAAATCAATAAACTTCATACTGGAGTAATGACAGGTTTTTGCCCACAGCCCCAAGAGAGATGGGAGGATAATGCAACAGGTTGTTGTCCATTTCACCTCCAGCTGTCTTCCCACTATCAGCCAATAGCTGTAGGGCATGTATATTGCACTATTGACACAATGGCACACCGGGATATCAGACCTACTTTTGTTTCACATATTAGGATTAAGGAGGATTATTAAGTAACTTTACTTCATAAAACAAGTGTATGTATTATCTATGTAGATAATGACTGTCTCTGTTGAGATGACAGGCACCATTGTTGGATGAAAAGAAATAGACGATGTTGATTTCAGGACTGAAATGCACACCCTGAGGCAGGGAACACCAGAGGCCATAATTAGCTGCATGTTTCACAACTGTCCACAGATGAAGGTTTGCAGTCAGTTACCCAATTCATCCTGCATAAAATAACTCACTGTATGACATACAACCAACAATGGCCACCTGTGTGATGGGTGTCAGTATCAACTACAAACCAGGGCCCTATTTCACAAGGTGATCGTAGCGCTAAGGTGATCATAACTCCCATACTTTAACATAGACTTACGACAGTCGTAGCGCTACGATTGCTTTGTGAAATGGGCCCCAGATGAGTGTCTGTACCACAAACTGATGGCTTGAAACATGCGACATAGGATTCAAATAATATTAAATGAAACATCAAAATGGAACACCTGATGCATAGGTGTCATTATTTGGCACATGATAATTTTACTTATTACAGGTGTATCTTTACTAAGAGTGTATGTATGCACTTTAGCACTGTATTATTGATCAATGTATTTAATGTATCAATGCATTTATGATGACATCCATCTTTGAGTGGCATTTTAGAAGTTGGGAAGTACAATATTGAACTTTAAAACAAGAAGTTGTGGACTGACAGACATTAATCATGACAATATTGGCATGGACCAGGAGACGTGTGCCAGCTTCTAATGCTACACCTACCTGCCCTGTACCCTACGATATTGTATTCCACAGAATACCTCAAGACAGCTGTATGCATTTTATGGTTTACTGATGTTTTGTTCTGAGTTAGCAATACACGTAATTTTTATATACCTCAATACATCGCTTTAATGGACGTGGTTCTGTAGTGTCAGGAGCAAATACATCACTTTAATGAACACGGTTCTGTAGTGTCAGGAGCAAATACATCACTTTAATGGACGTGGTTCTGTAGTGTCAGGAGCAAATACATCACTTTAATGGACGTGGTTCTGTAGTGTCAGGAGCAAATACATCACTTTAATGGACATGGTTCTGTAGTGTCAGGAGCAAATACATCACTTTAATGGACGTGGTCCTGTAGTGTCAGAAGCAAATACATCACTTTAATGGACATGGTTCTGTAGTGTCAGGAGCAAATACATCACTTTAATGGACGTGGTTCTGTAGTGTCAGGAGCAAATACATCACTTTAATGGACATGGTTCTGTAGTGTCACTGACTGACTGACTGTAGTTTGGTTTTACACCGCTTTTAGCAATATTCCAGCAACATCACGGCGGGGGACACCAGAAATGGGCTTCACACATTGTACCCTCTGTAGTGTCAGGAGCAAATACATCACTTTAATGGACGTGGTTCTGTAGTGTCAGGAGCAAATACATCACTTTAATCGACGCGGTTCTGTAGCGTCAGGAGCAAATACATCACTTTAATGGACATGGTTCTGTAGTGTCAGGAGCAAATACATCACTATAATGGGAGCGGTTCTGTAGTGTCAGGAGCAAATACATCACTTTAATGGACGTGGTTCTGTAGTGTCAGGAGCAAATACATCACTTTAATGGACGTGGTTCTGTAGTGTCAGGAGCAAATACATCACTTTAATGGACATGGTTCTGTAGTGTCAGGAGCAAATACATCACTTTAATGGACATGGTTCTGTAGTGTCAGGAACAAATACATCACTTTAATGGACATGGTTCTGTAGCAACTGACTTACTGAGAGCTCATCCTCCTCCTTAGACTTTAGTGGCACTCTCTCCCCTCTCAGCTGAGAGTTGACCCGCTGTAGGATGGATGAAGCACGACTCATCCTTGTCACGGACAAAACTTCTCACAGTCCACGTCAGTGTTGCATGAATACCATCATTCCAGATGACAAAAAGCGTTTCCCAATGTCATAAGACCCTAACGCGGTGTTGGAACCTGTAATAAATATCACATTTCACATAAAACCATTTATTATTCAAATTATACTGACTGACTGACTGAGTTTAGTTTTACGCCGCTTTTAGCAATATTCCAGCAATATCACGGCGGGGGACACCAGAAATGGGCTTAACACATTGTGCCCATGTGGGGAATCGAACCCGGGTCTTCGGCGTGACGAGCCAACGCTTTAACCACTAGGCTACCCCACCGCCCCTATTCAAATTATAGAAATAGTAAAGACTATTCACATGTTTTTCCATATTCTATTTGACATAAATATTGCAAGAAATATAATCAATAATAAAGAAACATGGCATCAGGCATTAAGTATTATACATATAGTTATCCAACAATTATTTGGCTGTTTAAAAACACTTCTTGCAAGAGATTTTTAAAGGCAAATAAACCGAGTAGTCTTATCAACAGGCAATGTATTATATTCACATTCATCTTCTTTCTAACAAAACTTGTGTTACATTTCACACTTTTCATAGTTGTCCCCACAATGTGGTCTAAAAGGAAATTTCATTTGTATTTCATTTCATTTCAATTGTTTGTAATTAGAAACCATAAGTTACATATATCATATGAACAATATACATATGTATTTGAAAATTAATAAAGATCAAAATCAGTTAGAGACACCTGGTACATATAACACTGCAGCAGTAAATGATAGAGAAGGGAAGACTACAGTGCCAGTAAAGACTGGACTCATCTAGATCCTATACAAATATGTAATTGATATATCAATATTCTCATACTGTAACCTGCATGACAGGTGCACTACACATCCACTAACTGATGTGGTGGCACCTTCCAGATTGATTTTTGTGAGTCTGTTTGCTTTAAATGGTTCATCCAGTTTATAAAGACTTAATTAAAGACATTCTTAATTAATACAGTGTCATATAGCTCTTAACAACAGCTGCAACAGCTGCATGACTGACTGATAGGTACAACAATGCTGGCCTTTTACCCATAATGGAGAGCTCCTGATAAGTTGTGAATTTCTGTACTCCTTGCAAACTAAATTATCATAACTCAATTAATTTTGAGCTGTTTGCATGCAAGTGTGGAAAAAATATTTTAAAATTCAATTTATACAAAAATACTGTGTTTAGCTACTAAACATAGCATTTTGAATGTGATTCCAAATATCTCTAATATTTAAACATCTATATTTTTCCTGAGACCTGTACATACACTGTCCAGTGAATACAAGGGCTACATGTTTTTTTACATTGTAACTGAGACATGTATTGCTTACACGTGAACTTTGTAACGTGTGATACACTTGGGGCAGCACACGAACAGAAGAAAATCAGAAGCTACCCGAAACAGCATTGTAAGTACATGGATTTATAAAGTGTCCACTCACTGGTTTACAAAATACATCGGATTCAAGGGAGTGACAACATACTCCATAAGAAAAGAAAACTATCAAATACGCAATGTGAAATCATATCATACAAGTACATACACAATGACTTTATAATTATCTGGGAGTTGTGAAGGGTACAAATTGTTGCCATTTTGTTTGCAGTTTGTTTTATTATAGAGCCATATCACCATACACTTGATTGTGAACAGATCTCATTGAGAACATGTGAGACAATTAACAACCATTTCCTTTTTCAAATGGTGGTTCTTGTGAAAAAATAAGAATAAGATAACATTTTCCAAATAACTGAAAAGTAGTTAGAGGTAAACTTGGTACATGCGATTCAATGAGTCCTTAACCAGCAAATTTAATATAGTGAAACCACTGGCATCCAACAATACACAACCTATGCATGGTCTCGTTTTAAAATGCGGGCAATAATTAATAAGATATTTTAACAATGTATTTTCGTGTCATTGTGTATTTGTATATTCATGGGCAAAGCATGTTTTTTCCCTGTAACTGGATGTCAAAATATAACTAGTGAGTGAATGAGTGAGGATAGTTTTACATCGCTTTTTAGCAATGTTCCAGCAATATCGCAGTGGGGGGACACCTGAAATGGGTTTCACCCATTGTACCCATTTGGGGAATCGAACCCGGATCTTTGGCGTGACGAGCGACCACTTAACCACTAGGCTACCCCACTGCTCAAATATAACTAAAGTACTGTCGGAAATGCTAGAAAAATGCTTTTTGACTTATATTTAAAATTCAGAGGTATTACAGTTACTTAAATAACAAATATCACTTTAAGAAACATCTACCTAATGTAGACCGAGGGAATAAATTTTGAGACATACCCTAAAATGTGTTTTTACTTATGAAAATACCAAAAACTTGGAAAAATAAGGGGTAGTGGGACGTTATTTGATACAAACATTAACTGCCTGTGTTACATCATCAGCATGAATGATACCGACAGGTGAAATTGACACCTGAGCACACGCTCGGGCCAGGGGTCATCTCAATAGATGTTTTCTTCAAAATGTTGAATATGTGTACGTATAGTATACGTATTGGTTATGTAAGGGATCATTTGTGTATGTGTGTTTGTTTTGAAATAAACATACGAATTACTGTACATTGGAAAGAATCCTATCACTTGTGTTATCTTATTGATTGATTGTAGAAATGTGCAACGTTTTAATAAATGTTTTGCATGTCAACAGTATATTTCATTGCAAAAATATGGATGTAATTCGGTCAGTTTAATCTAGTTGTGAACATTGGCCAAAGATTTAACGAAGTCACTGGTGTAGCTTCTAGAATATATATATTCTTCTTCTCATAAAGTTTGTAGACCGCCCGTCTAAGCACTCCCTTGTTAAATTTGTCAAGGATGATGTTACGTCCCGGTTTTGCTTTTGAGACGGTTTCTGTCTTGTCTGATTTGTTTACATTATTGTAAACTTGTTGGTAAGACATACCAACAGCTCTACAAGTTCTGTAATAAACTCTTTCTAAACTAATGAAAGGTTTACCTCTGTCTTTTTCAAGCACAAAAACCTTTGCAACAATCTACTGCAAATCGTTGGCCATAGTGGATGCTGTGATAAAAATGTGCATGCATGACGGGAAACTTATTTATCAAGACTTAACATTTATATTAATATTTCTTCAATAAAGAAACGATAATTAAGTAAAGTAACACAAACATTCAACATTTATTTGTTTAGGAAAAACGTTAATTCATATTTTTACACCACCTGTATTATTAGCATAAATGTAAAGACTATTTCAGATTTCTGTTGTTGAACTCTGAAAAATCTTAAGTTGTTGTTTTGATACCAAATTCTCTCCTGTAAACTGCCCTTTAAATGCATGGGAATGTTAAATTGATTGAAATAAAAATTAGGTACACTGTAGGCGAGTTGATATATTGACAACATAGTACATTTATCACCTTTATAAAGATATTAAGGCTAAAAAGCATTTTTCTAGCATTTCCGACAGTACTGTAGTACTCAGTGTTCACAAATAGCGTCTGACCCTCTGACAAATCCGGCAGATTCGCCAAAGGTCTGATAGAATCTACAACCCACCAACCCCAGTGTCTGACTGTATGTTTCACAATGACTTTGACTGAAGTTGTTATATGTGACATGTGACACTTGTTTGCTGTTCATTAATCTTATGTTTGTTAATAATTTCAATGCCAATTATAAGAAATGTTAAATCTGAAATGTGTGTTTAATTTTATTCTTTGGGTCCTGTGAATTTTCAATGGGTCAGACAGACATCTGAAGCTTACAGGACCCAATGTCCTGTCACTTTGAAACACCATTCGTGAACACTGAGTACATTTAAAGCAATTGATAGTGCTGTTTGATTACAATATTGACCGTATTTTGTTTATGCTAGTCAATCCATAAATGCTAAAGCCACCTCAAAACAAACTGTATATTTTGGAGATTACTTCTGGTAAATATTAAAATGTGACTGTATAGGTCCAAGTTTAGTGTTTTCCCACAGAGTATTGGCGTGATTAATGTAAGTAGTAATGTTAAACTATAGATATTGCAAACACAACTTATTGCTAACTCTGATATGTTTATAAATCAGATCCTTTAACAGTCAGGTGTATTTTCTATATTCATGTTTCGACAGTTATGGCTATCATTGCGCTCCACGTAGGTATGGCTCCAGCCAATCCGTGATTCACATTTGTGAAGTTACACACTTCCCACGACGAAAGCTATCAATGAAGTAGCAGATGCCACTTAAAGCCGGAACTCACGTTACCTACTAATTATATGCATAGTGACATGACCTTCCACTGAAATTGATAAAATGTTCAGATAGAAAACGTCGATTTCACGTTCAGACATGTAGAACTAATGTTCATAGATACACATAATTTTGAATAATACACACAACTAATATCATCAAAGAGACAACAGCACTTCATAACTAGAGAGGTATATACAAAAACGATCCTACATGCTACCGAAACTTACAATAAAATGAACATTTTCAACAAGTTTCTTTCTCCTAACTTCCGTTGCACACAACAACAAAGTTTAGAGTTACTTCCCTTCCTTGACAATCGGGAAAGACCGCTGTCCAACGACAGTTTCCGACGTGTTACGATGAAGGGAGATTCCTCGCTCTGCGCGTGGTGAGCGCTGATTGGTCAGAAGAAACCAATCGCGTGCGTACAGCTGTCGAGATCACGTGGAGAACCGGCATTAACTATCTCGGGGTAGAACTTTCGGCAGGTCCTTTCCAAAGCCAGAGCAACGATGAGGGCGGTTGCGATTTTTGTGGCACTCTTCGGTGCAGTTTTCTGTGATCCCACTGTTTACTTTCAGGAGAAATTTGAAGGTAAGTTAAGTTGTGATTGTGCATAAGTAGTATTTAATGTTTTGCAGGTGCTCGTGTGTCCATAGACTTGCACGATTTCCCATGCTTTGACATTTGGGCTAGAGAAGTTCGAATATGTCAATATTCCTTCGCAAAATCACTCGCTAGTAAATGTAGATTAAAGACCACAGTAATCGTTCTGTGTACAATAGATGTATCGATATTTATGTTAAAATTTCCAGATGCAAATAATTACGAAAAACTGTCATCTTATACCGGCGAAAATACTGAAAATCGACATCTCGATAGTTACATATTATTATATATTATTTTTAACGAAAATCTTGCATTTGTGCACAGCTGATTTCTCTAATTTGTGTACGTTTTTCATAATTTAACCATATGGCCGCTCTTCGAATCTCAGCTTGAAATCAGTAGAATCCGACTGCACTTCCATGAAGCCATCACGTACAGGCGACATATGTGTAAATTATGTTGTTTATTTAAAATGTTATGTGTTACTTGGAAAGTATGTATTTGATATACTAGTAGTCCGAAATTTCCACTTTATGTATATTCTTGTTTTTCGCAGATGGCTGGAGGAAACGCTGGGTAGATTCAACAGCAAAGGGTGCAGAACAGGGCAAAATCGAACTGTCAGCTGGAAAATTTTATGGCGATGCAGAAAAAGATAAGGGTGAGTATTGTACCTTCTGATCATTCCATTTTTCTTGTCAAGTATCATCACATGTACCAAGGTAATTGTAGTGCTGCTTGAAATTCATTAATCTGAGCAGATAAATGTAGAATTGTTCTTCAGATTTGTTGCCACTATTCTGAATTGCTGTTAATTATTTTCAGGTATAAAAACAACCCAGGATGCCAGATTTTATGGTCTGTCAGCTACGTTTGATAAATTCAGCAACGACGGTAAATCTCTCGTCATCCAGTTCACTGTGAAACATGAACAGAACATTGACTGTGGTGGCGGTTACGCCAAGGTCTTTGCCAGTGATCTCGACCAACCAGGCATGCATGGAGACAGCCCCTACCTCATTATGTTTGGTAAGAATGATCTTTCTAAACAACTCACTTTGTAAGTTGTGTCTTTCATCATCCAGGAATGTTCTGCCTTTTTCTATATATATATAAATGGCAGAATCCTTAGAAGTTGTCATTTGTCTTCTTACCATTACGCCAAAGCTTGTGCCATTTTTCATATTGGATTATTTATTGGTTTCTTTCAGGACCTGACATCTGTGGTCCAGGAACAAAGAAGGTTCATGTCATTTTCAACTACAAGGGAAAGAATCTTTTGACCAAGAAAGATATCCGATGCAAGGTTTGTAGAATACGCTTTAAAAGTTAGTTTTATGATCACCAATTTGCAAAATGGGTAACAAAGTTTGTAGAATAAACCATATTTCAGGGACTTCAAAATATTCCTAATCTTAATCTTATTGTTCCATATGTGTTGAGTAACTGTTTAACATTGTTGTGTTCTTCTTGTAGGATGATGTTTTCACTCACCTGTACACCCTGATTGTGAATTCTGACAACACATACGAGGTGAAGATCGATAACGAGAAGGTTGAGAGCGGAGAGCTTGAGGCAGATTGGGATTTCCTTCCAGCCAAGAAAATCAAGGTAAATAGTTTACACAGTTTGTGCTGGCATATATAACCCAGTATTGGCAAACCAGTAGCTCAATTGAACCAACCAGCCATGAGATCCACAGACCTATTTGAAAGTGATGGCCAAGGTTGCTAACTGGTGTGGCTGAAGTTTGTTTTACTTTGGGGAACCGATTTACACCTTTGTGCTATTGCATACACGAGTGACACGTCTATCAGCAATGATTTAGTGCACTGAATATGACTACAATGTAAATGTTTGTGTGGTTTCAGGACCCTGACGCCAAGAAGCCCGATGACTGGGATGAGCGTGAGAAGATCGATGATCCTGATGACACCAAGCCCGAGGATTGGGACAAGCCAGAACACATCCCCGATCCTGATGCCAAGAAGCCTGATGACTGGGATGATGAGATGGATGGAGAATGGGAGCCCCCCAATGGTAGATAACCCTGATTACAAGGGAGAGTGGAAACCCAAGCAGATCGACAACCCAGACTACAAGGGCAAATGGGTCCACCCTGAAATTGACAACCCTGACTACTCTCCCGATGAAAGCCTCTACAGATACACAGATATTGGTGCTATCGGCTTTGATTTGTGGCAGGTAGGAGGAATATCAATGTTTATTTCCAAATGCATCTACCACATGTTGGCATCGGAACGCATTATTTTGTACCAAAGATTTTAGTTATTTTCTTGAAATTCTTTGATTGCATGCCATTTCTGGGCTGGTAGTAATTATGAAATACGTTAAATCCTTTTGATCAAGTCTTTGAAATGTACGGTAAGTAAACTTTACAGATAAACCACAAACAAGTTTTACAAGGTTCCTTGCTTCATTTCAGGTTAAATCTGGAACAATCTTTGATAATGTCCTCATTACTGATGATGTAGACTTCGCAGAAGAATTTGGAAAATCTACATGGGGCAAAACAAAGGTAAGGAAGTATGAATTGTCGGCTTGTTGCTTGTGCAGCATTAAGTGGGCTGTTATTAACTTCAGTCGGTAGACTGACCTAAGATTTCATTGAGCACCTGTGATATCCCTGGACATGGAGTCTCATGGATGGCTGTATGTTGCAGGACCCTGAAAAGAAGATGAAGGATGCTCAGGATGAGGAGGAGAGGAAACAGAGGGAGGAGGAAGAGAAGAAGAGGAAAGAGGAGGAAGGTGAGACATGTTTCGGGGACAAACTCGGATTTAAACATGTCATATTAACTCTCGGGTTGCTCATCAGATATTTCTGATTTGATAAAGATTTATAAATAAGAAATGAAGCAGTCTCTTTTCCAACAGGTAAAAGTGATCAAGTTATTAAATTGCCTTTTCTTTTCTCAGATGCCAAGAAGGAAGATGGCGATGACGCAGAGGAGGAGGAAGAAGAGGACGACTCAGATAAAAAAGAAGAACCTGTAAGTTAACGACTCAGTTGCTGTAAGGTTGTCTCTAGCAATATAATGACGAAACTTCATAAAGTTATTACACATTAAATAAGAAATTTATTATGTTACAATTTGTATGCTGATGAGGTTTATGGCTGGTTGTATTGTCATTCATGAATGTTATTTTTGTTTCAGGATCATGACGAGTTGTAGAGATCTTCCAGAGATTAACCAATCATCTTCATCCGTCATTTGTCACCGTTCATTTCATGCCATTCACATGACGTATAATATGGGAAGTCTTTTAGTCGGGGTCAAAAGCTTTCATCAAAGCTCTTAAAGGAAATTTGTTAAGTTTTTGTTTTTTATTTTGTATTCATCGGCCATTGTGTGTGAGATGTTTTAAAGAAAAGTCAAACAGCGTTTCACCCCAATATGCCACCATGAACTCACTAAAAACAAAAGTGTGTGTGTGAAGATGATATGCATGGGACAGTCCTATGTTCTTGGTAATGGCATTGCTGTCAACATTGTTAGGTTGTCTGTCATATTAGATGATTTCACTCCTTGTTTTGTATTTAAATATTTAATGTACAATTTAAGTGATGTATAAAGAACTATTGTAAATTTCATGCTATTGATGTAAATTGCTCTATGAAACATAACTAATGTAGGGGGTGTTTATACCAAAGTGTGGTAATAAATGCTTCTTTTTACAAGCCTGTGTTGTGAGTTTGAAACCATACAAGAGTGGGTTTAGTTTTATGCCACACTCCACAATATTCCAGCTATATGGCAGTATATAAATAATAGTCTGGGCCAGACGTTCCAGTACTCGACAGCATAAGCATCGATCTACACAATTGGGACACGATGACATGTGTCAACCAAGTAAGCGAGTCTGACCACCCGATCCTGTTAGTCGCCTCTTACGACAAGAATGGGTTACTGAAGATCAGTTCTAACCTGGATCTTCAGTGGTTAAATCATAGAGAGGCTCGGGGTTTTGTGTTTCTGTCGGCAATGTTACAGCTGTCATTGAACACTCCAATATGAAAATGGTCGACATTTTGTCAGGTCATGGAGTCAAGTCAGGCTGGTTTTAGTTGCCTCATAACACAAGGCATAAGCAGCGTGGTCTGGGGAACAGCATTTTGGTGAGGAAAGTTGTTTTCTCATGCTGTCCAGTCATGGCTTCAGTCTTCAGATCATACTACCTTGGACACTGCATGGCAGCATACACCATCTATGGTCTTGTAATAATAGAGTATCTGCATAGTGCTGATGGGGCAGTGGGTTAGCCTTGAAGTTAAAGAGTTCCCTCACCATGCTGAAGACCCGGGTTCAATTCCCCACATGTGCTTAGTTGTGCCCCACCACAAAGTCCTAACAACTTTCAGGAATCACGTTCCTACATTCACACATCCAAGGGCTCTCCATGCCCAACGTTGCCTAACTAGTAACTTCCAACTGATTGTGACCTGAGCTCTTATCAGGGATGGCAACAGGAAAACCCTTTTTTCAGCTGAAAACTTAATATTGTGTCATCGAGTTGAGGGTTTGTCAATGGATTTAGACGATTTTTTCAATTTGAAATCTGCAGATCAGCGGAAATTTGCCATCCCTGCTCTGTACATAGGACCACAGAGCATCTGTCGTAGCTACCCCAGTTGTCAGGGTACAATGACATACTGATTGGCCAATTAAGTCTATGCCCTGATCATTTAAGTCACCTTGGTCTGTGGGTGACCTGTCCTTAGCCTGAATCATCATTGGGAATTGTGCCATGTGGTTGCTATCACAGTATTAACACCCACATCCATCACTCTAAACAGAGGTCAGTGGTTGGCCCATTGTGTTAAGACTGCCTATCATGAGAATTAATCTGATATACCAAGAAAACGGACAACTCAAAACAGGGAATGTTGCATACAGCTTAGAATAAGAGCCCACCAACAATCTGGACACAATTTTTCACAAACTACTTGAGATAATAATATGATACACCTGGCCTTATCATCCAAACAGCACTGCATCTTGACCATGTTGAAAACCAGTGCTTGACACTCTCCAGTAGACCAGGAGTTTAATTGTTCGGCATGGATGTACAATAAATCTTCTCCATAGTCTATAAAATAAAGTTATGAAATTTTCAATTTGCACCTGTTTCATGCAATTAATGCTATAAATCTCAATCTGGATACTTAGTCTGTAACCTACATCATCACTGTCTGCAAGTAATGCTGCATCTGAGACAAGTGGGGTAAGCCTTGCTTGTTTCCAGTAACCTGGTCATTCTGTGGCAACCTTTGAAGATCCAGGTTGGAATTGATCTTCAGTAACCCATGCTTGTAAGAGGCGACTGACATGATCTGGTGGTCAGGCTCACTGACTTGGTTGACACATGTCATCGGTTCCCAATTGCATAGATCGATGCTCATGCTGTTGATCACCTGATTGTCTGGTCCAGACTTTACAGACCACCACCATATGCCTGGAATACTGCTGAGTGCAGCATAAAACTGACTCACTCACTCATTCTGTGGCTAGTTCCACGGCGACAAGAATTTCTGAGGGTGGGAGGAGTCATAATAATTACTGGATAACACATTTCCTGCTGCTGGTGAGAGATCGTTAAATACAGAGACCTTTCTTGCATTTGGTCTAGGACTAAACCCCTGGAATACCGGTAACCTCCACAGAGCAGTGTTTTTGTTCCAGACAGTTAACCTTAGTAATGGATATGGCTGAAATATTGCCGATGTGACGATAAATATTATTATTAGTAATGAAAATACTTTTAAATTGGTCAGTATGGTAAAGGAGATATCCCTTTGTGAAGTCAAAAAGGCAGAATGTTGCTTGTGTAACACAAGATAACTCACTCATGTATATGAGCTCACATCAGTCTCACAACAAAGATAATCTCAAGTATATTTTATTCTGAATTCCGGCTGCAAAGATATGAGGAAGACATGCATCTAAATCACTTCTGCATAGATCATCATATTTCATTCATCAAATACTGCTCAATACACCCATGGAAGACATTCTAGAAGGGAAAATATAATTCATGAAAATTCTATACAGGTTTTGTCAAAATACTGCACTTTAATACTGAGCAAATTATACAATTATGACAAAGCAGGCAGTAATCGAAAGTAGCATTTTCAATGCCAGTTGTAAATAATCAACTGTTCACAAACTTTAATTAAATGTAAAAAGATTGATATCAGTTGAATATAAAACAGGGCTAAGTAAAACTGGCAGTTGTGTGTTGAATGCTTGCTTGCATGTTTGTACCCTTAAAAATCATTCCTTGTTCTACTATTGCAGTTCAAGAAATAAAATATGACATGTTTGGTATGAAACAATATTCAAATGAAATCGTCTTATTATAGAAACTAAAACATGAAAGGTGCTGATACAGTTTCATGGGATTGTGCAAAGGTTATTGACAATGTGTTAAAACATTTGGGCAGGGTTGGATTATGCTATTATGAGATCAGACTTCCCAAGACACAATCTTGTAATCTGATTTTACAAATTCTGGAATATGCATAATCACACAGGTAGCCTAAATCTAGGTCCGTCAATATGTGAGCAAAAAGTGCAAATTAAAAGTTCACATTCCATTTCAACGATTCATTGGCACATAACACATTGGCTGTAAAGCAATAATTTGTATATTTTACAATAAAATTGTCAAATTCAACAAGGATATTTTCTCTCTCTCAAATATTTAAACTTAACAAAGGGAAATTTACAAAGCAACAAAAGGTAACAATTGTCTGAACTACACAAAGATTCTAGGTCCTTTAAGAAGAGTGAAAACAGCAGTTATGACAATCACATTCTGAAACCTGACAAGTCTATTACTTCATGAAAAGAGGACCATTCATTTGATGTAAGTCTCTATTTGTGTATGTTTCATCAGTCAAAGCTACCATACTTTGCAATAACTCCAGTAGTGTTATATTATATACGCCTTTCTATCTGCTGGAATATATATCAACCTGTTTGGGAAAATAGATAACAAATTTCCACATACCCTAAACATAAAGAAGCATGTGCTTTATTTTGTAGCAAGGCTATTTGAGAAGGAAAATCATTCTGCCTGGAGGTTTTCCTTTATCTTTCAACAACACCAAGGAGTGAAAGATGGTTAAAGCATGGAAAGTTTTAGTCTTCCTGTTCACATACATGATGATCCATCTTGTTATTTGTCAGGCCTTAGAAAATTAGACATAACATGCAAGAGGAATGTTTCACACAACAGTCAAATGGAGAATCATATAAATATACAACAGAAAGTGCATGGAACGTCTACTATAGACATGGACATTCTACATGAAATAAATACAGGTATTTCCAAACCATAACATGCATATAGCTTAGCCGTTTTTAAGTAAGAAATGCTTACTATTGTATTGTGAGGACCTTTGGAATTAATTATAAACTATCTTTTGACAAATTAACTAGAATACTCACAAATGAACCCAGTGGTAAAAGCATGGCATACTATCTAAGGTGGTGCTTGATATGACCTCAGTGTGTAAGGATTCGACATTATGCTAAATATTGGTATCAAAACATGTGCTGGTTGCATGTATCACTGAATCACTCATGTCAAATTGAACTGTATATTCTTATACAAATCTATCACGTGCATGCATAATAAAATATCAGAAATCAGAACAAAGTGTGGACTCGGAAGTTGTCGGCCATTGAAGGCACCTATATAAATAACCCTGGACATGAACACAGTGCACTCACTGGCAACACACATCATACAACTTGATTTGTTAAGCTACAGATTATTGCATAGAGATATACAAAAGAATATAGATTAAGTAAAAAATATCACATTTGATCATATTGAAGCTGAAGTGATGATGACTCAAGCATCAGTTATTATCTTTCAACATTAACATCATCCCAGTTAGCCTTGACAAAGAAAGTGCTAGTCACAGGTAATGTTAACCTTGGTGATGATAGTCACAGGTAATGTTAACATCAGTGATGACAGTCACCAATAGTTGTTAATGTATAACACTTACTGACATAATGTTAACATCTGTGACAGCCACTGATATTAATGATATTTTACAAAGGCCTCACTGACTGTTGGTGAAACACATAACATGTGGTGTAACATGCTCACAATGTTTGCCAACCATCCTGTACACAAGCAGAAACTAAAATGTTCCTGAAGTTAACATGACCTACTACTAGTGTGACATTTGTTTTGTTTAAAAGTATCCAATTTATACCTAAAAAGTAATAAATCAATATATTCTTCAAATCTCAGGAAACAAAGCAAGGACAAAAAATATCAATTCTTGCAAATGGTATAGACAATCTGTTGATAGACATGACAACGCATACCTTTGTTTCCAAGGTAATGCAATATTTGGTCATTATGTAAGTATATTGGGTGAATTTCATATAATCTGGACATAAAAGTGAAACAAACAAATACCAATCCTAAAATATCCAACAAATATCCTAAAGAGATGACGTCAACATATAATCCTCATCAGAAGAATACTCCATTATCACAGAACTTTATTGAAAATGTTATTCACACTGTATACAGAATAAACTTTTACAGACTGTTTCAACAAGCAGATTTCAACATTGCACCTAAGTACATAAAATGACAAATATATACCACTTGATCAAGAAATCAGGTTTAAGGTAAACTATATTTTAGTTTGACATAAATCCAATGAAGTGTTTCTAATATATTGCTTTGAATATGCAGTCCTATGTCCTTGAGATTTGATCCTAAAGTATATTGCAGCTGGCGACTCAATCATTATCATTATTTTAATTGTAACAGTGGAGCTACTAAGGCAATGAAGAATATATTCTATCATTGGTGTCTAAAATTTGTATTTGTTAGGCCACCCCCAAAATCTGTAAACCTGGAACCTAAAGCAAGTGGTTATAAAATTCCAGTTTGTTGAATATGAGACTGAATTTTCATGCCTAATTTCCAGTGGTTCAGGGCTGGGAACTGAGACAAATGTTAAGATGTTGAGAAATATATGACTGCATGGTTCACACACTGATTTCACAGTCGTATAGGCACTGGTCTAAGATTATTACAACCCTAGGATACACTAAGTACAACACATATTCTGTTTCATGTACATATGATAAAAGTAGTCCTAATTACCATCATGAATTTACAAGATGCAATGTGAGCCATTGCTCCCTTGTTTTCCCAAATGAGATATTTATCTCCCTTTATAAATTATCTCCCTTTCATACAGCTGGCTTGCATCATAATTAACACATTAATATAAAATCACTGTCTTTTATGGAAATAAATACAAACTTTAGGAAATTTGGTAATCATGATGTCAAACTTTCATGAAGCTGGTGGTATGGATGCTTGTAAGTTTGTACGTTTATATCAAAATTTGAAAAGTGGTTTTGAAAACCCAATGAAACGTGTGATAAATACTCAATAGTTATATGTTCATGGGTTTAACTGCACTGATACTATTGCCTGTTTCAATGAGTATTTGTCAGTTTGTTGGTTTCCGCTGTTCTAAGAACTGCCATTCTTCTAGGAACCTACATCAGTGCCAAGTCCATGTTACAGGTCTTCTTTAAATCAGAGAATCATCAGCTGGGGGCGGGTTCTTGTTGACAGCAGCATATAGTGGATCCTGAAATTTGAAACAAAAGCCTGTAAAGTCTGGGATCTGAAATCTTTTCATTTTCTGAAGCAATGGTTACAACATCAGACATTGTTCATTGAAGACTGCTTCATTCATTCATTTCAGAATTTATTATGACACTGTAACCCCATATTAGCCTGATTACAATTGGTTACCAGTCAAATAACATCTTCATCAAAGTTGACCAAAAATAGAAATCATAATCATGAATATAATAATAACGTAAATTCAATGAAAGCTGACAGTCAAACATTGGTAAAACTATTGGTTAAAAACAGTAAAAAGAAAAAGTAATGCATTTAAGTCAATAGGATTTTTCTGATGGACCCTGCAAACAGTGAGTAAAAAAAGCTAGAAAGATAATATTCCCCTTGAAACAAGTATCAAACACTGACAGTCAAAACGAAATAATTCCCAATAATGTAGGCTGACAAGATGTAGAGATGTAGATGCTGACAAGGAACATGCACATGGAAAATATGGGCAATATTAGTAAACATGAATAATTATTAATTGTAGATCACAAAATTAATGTGACCAGCAAAATAATGCAAGAAATGCATAAATAGAGAAGTTATTCTCTGAGAATGTATGTATATTAATGTGACATAAAGGAAACTGACATAAATCATATAACAAAATCTATAACAACACATTATAGCCTAAGACTAAAGGAGCTCACTGGGTAGCAAGTCAACAATGGTTTCTGTTCATGCAAGTTTATTAAGCAGTTACAACAGTCAGCATGTTGTTGGTCAGGTTGTGAAACCACTGCTAATCTACATAGTGATAATTGTCTAGTATAGTACTGTAGATGTGATTCCTAAGGAACAAAAAACACATGAAACTCAGGGGTGGAAATAACTGCTAGTGTACTCCGGAACAGTGGCACATGTAAAATCACTTGCCCTGATAATTTTTCCTCTATACCGGCCGATTTTCTTGTTGATTTTTTAAAATAAACAGCATAATTAACATTGGAAAGTAAACTGGTCACCGGTACAGTGTGATATACAAATTTGCTTGCCCAACAGAAAAAAACACTGGACTCGGACGTCGGGCAATGGGTTATTTCCACCCCTGCAGACTTTGACAATCTTTGTCAGTTTACCTGGCAGATCACACTTCAAAGTCTTACTACCTAATTCTTGTTGCAGATTTTATAGAATGTTAACTGTCATCCCCAATCCTCTATTTTGCCCCTACAAAATCATGACATTCTAAGTCTAGATACTTGGTCATGTTATCTCTTGTATAATAAAAGAGTTATTAAATTTCAAAATATAGGCTACATTTATCACATTTGTGTCCCAAGTTGTCAGAATCTGTTGTGTTGAGGTCATGAGGCAGGCAGGCTGTTATTCAAAGCAGGTTACAGTAACAGTTTCACAAAACAGACTGTCAACTATGATAGCACACTCAAATGTCAGTACCATATGCTCAGTTAACTGTCAGAACCATATGCTCAGTTCAAATCTAAGGCATAGAGAGGATACACTAACATCATTTCACTGTTATCTAAGTGATTCAATCATATCAATATGAATTAAGACATTTCTGAGAAGAGAAGGATGAAAAGAACAAAAGAAGCTTGCACTGCTTTGGCTTGCTGTTGCCAGCTGTGATCTGCCGTGACCTGATGTGACCTGGTATTGACTGATGTGACTTGCTATTGACTGATGTGACCTCCTATTGACTGATGTGACTTCCTATTGACTGATGTGACTTGCTATTGACTGATGTGACTTCCTATTGACTGATGTGACTTGCTATTGACTGATGTGACCTCCTATAGAGTGATGTGACCTATTGGCTGATGTGACTTGCTATTGGCTGATGTGACCTGCTATTGACTGATGTGACCTGCTATTGGCTGATGTGACTTGTTATTGGCTGATGTGATTTGCTATTGGCTGATGTGACTTGCTATTGGCTGATGTGACTTGCTATTGGCTGATGTGACCTGCTATTGGCTGATGTGACCTGCTATTGGCTAATGTGATCTGTGACCTGCTATTGGCTGATGTGTCCTCCTATAGACTGATGTGACCTGCTATTGGCTGATGTGACCTGCTATTGACTAATGTGACCTGCTATGTTAGCATGATGGGTATTAGTACCATCTTCAAGGCATGCTGGGCTACAAGCTGAGTGTTGGATAGCTACACATGCAGAAGGCTGCGTGTCAAGCCTCAAGGGAATGCCCACAGGGAACATTATGGTGACATACAATTTACTTGACTAAGGTGCTAACAAAATGTTACCCTGAAAATGTTAAAAATAATTTTGAACTTCATGCCCATAAAAGCAGATACCAGCGGAATACAGGAAAGTTAATAATACCGAGCCATGCAACTAAGCAAGTCGGGCTGTGTTACAGCTAGCATCAGGCACACTGACTCAAAGCAATACACCATGTAACATTACGTTCATCTTAAAAGATCATGAACAGTATCACTTATTAGTTCACAAGTTTGATATTGACAGATCTTATAAATATTTGTAAAGCAAAACAAGTTAGTTTCCTTTGTAACACAGCCACGTGAGACAACCATTTTGATTTCGTTTTGACTGTAAGGAGAATATATAGGTTGTGATTCCACATATCAGACAGATAAAGGTACTAAATGCTTTGAGCCAGGACACCTAGGGCCATAGATGTGGTCTTTGCCCACTTTTCCCCCATAAGACATACAACACTTCTATCAAATTACAAGGAAAGACCAGATCTAGGGATCCTTTGATAGAGGGAAAACGTAAAGACCATTACCGAAGGAAATCGTGGCATGCTATATAACTGTAAATACAATACATGATGTAAAACACATGCAGAACTCACCACTTAATACCACTGATCTATTTGTGCTGTAATATACAAGGCAATTGTTCAGGTGTGAGTTTACACTCTTACATACCAAGCTCTGTATCACAGAACTTAATACTATGTTAATATGGTTGTGTGCAAATATGGAGTTTAAATCAAATCTGACAATAAATTGACTACAATATTCCCTAGAAATGTGGTAAAACAATCATAGCCTGAAGATGAACATGAAATGAAGATCCTTATATACACATTCTGAAATTCAAGTCAGGACACAGATCATGTAAAGGAAATCATATATCTTTTTTAAATGCCTACACATTTCCAAAGCCATGTCAAGATAGCATTAATTTTTCAGCAAATTATCCATCGAATGAAAACACAAAACCTTTCATGAATAACAGCTTCTTCATTATTTTGGTAACAATGTCTTATGACTGATGTTGGATTAAGACGTAGCTACAAAACATTGTGCAAACAATACAGACATTATCACAGATTTTCACCACTTCAAGTTCTTGCAACAAAATGCCTATTCAGTGCATACTCCTTCCACTTGGAATGTGAATGGTTCAGTAGTGCAGGGTGCAATGTAAAGGAACTATGAGAACTAAAAACATCAATGAACACCAACAGGTAGACACGTTGTTAACAGTGACAACATATATCAGCCATGTCCTGATGCAATGATGCAACAAGGGCCTTTGAACTCCTGACCTTATAACAAGGGAGACAATCAAGGAGTCCTGAACATAGCAGCTCATTCAGTTTTGTTTTGAAGGTCCCAAAAATGTATGGTTATTTGTTTTACCAATGCCGATGTTCAGTATTCATAGTAACGAAATTGTTAAATATTTATGCAATATATTTTTGATCAAGTACAGTGTACTCTGTCAATACCGGCATCACTTGGGACCAAATAAAAATGCCGGTTTAGGCGGGTTGCAAGTTTGCTTACACGGGAAGTTCACTGTCGTACTGTCACTTTAGCATTAACAACATGTTTGAATAAGAAAGGCAGGTCCTGAAATCGGCAGGCTTTTACTTCGACCTGCCATAAACCATTCATATGTCATGGTGTTGATCTTGTCAAATTTGCTGTTCTCCAACACACGCTTAGCTTGATCATTCATGTTAATTTCAAACTTCTTAACGTAAGTGACACGTACCACTCACTAATTAACAAGAAACTGATTGATACTTCCCGTTTCTGAATAATCTCGGGAGTAACCGCGAATTGTGACCTAATTGCATCAAAGGGTTGCGCCGTCCTTCATGTGCCGGTTTTTACAGATTCGTTTTCATAACAACTTGTTCGTTGGAACTGAAAAACAATGCCGATATCCTGAGTAGACAGATGCCGATGTTTCTAAATGATAATTAAGTGCATTTCTGCGGGACTGAAACTTTGTGCTGATGCAGACAGTGTCAGTGTTTACAGAGGCCAATATTGCCAGAGTCCACTGTATATACATTATACCATTAGGAAACAATATGTTGTTGCCAAACAATGTTTCATCGTCCTTGGTGCATCTTGAAATGGTAAGAAAAGAAGAATTTCAGATACGTTCATAAATCTGTGTCCGCAGATTTCAATGATTCTCGCATCCTTCCTAATGAACAATTACTGCAGTTACATCTCACAGGCATAATTTACTGTGCCTATTGCCACTTATCTTCTAGACTATCTAGACAATGTGGGCTTATCCATATATAAGTTACAGTTCTTCAAACTGGTTCCTATATAAGTTATGAACTTTCACAGCTATCTCTATGGAATTAGAAGTAACTTTCATAGGACAGTATACGTGACGATGAGTGTCATAAAACTTCATCACTTCTATCAAATTCCATCATGACTGATGTGGTTGTTGCAGGTAACTACATTACCAAACAGTCACATGGAACACAGATTAACTGGTTTAGGATAAAACAACCACACAACTCAACATTCTCAGAAATATAACGAATTTTGCCCTCATAGTTCAACTCCAAAGTTTAACAGACTGTTTTTCCCATGTTTAGCTCTTCAAAATGCCTTGCAGCTAGGTAACCGTGACAACTAACTGATGAATCCTGATATTCCACACTCCATAATTCCATGACTAAATGTTAACTGAAGTGTAGCTGTAGTTGAGTCCAGATTTGAAAATCCAATATCAAATAAAGTCTTACCAGCTGTGCAAGATGTCAGTAACTTATGGCAGTTGTTAAAAAGCAAAGTCATGCATGCACACAATAACACACATCCACACACAATCATAGAAACTAAACAAAGCAACAACACTACACCAAAACAAAAGATTACATCTGAAACAACAGTAAATTAAAGGAAGCCCATAGAAGAGTTTCTTTTAACACAGAAGCAACAATTGTTGATGCTATCTACAACAGAAACATCCAGTTAGTTGTGAAAGAGAAGTAACAGAGAATCTGACAAAGAACCATGCTGAGCCCGCCAACATTAGACAGAGAAACATCACATCCTGATGGGGAGCGTCACACTCAGTATTTGTTTATATTAACCTATTCCAGCAAGGAATGGTGGTGTAGCCTAGTGCTTAAAGCGTTCGCTCGTCACGCCAAAGACCCGGGTTCGATTCCCCACATGGGTACAATGTGCAAAGCCCATTTCTGGTGTTCCCCACCATGATATTGCTGTAATACTGCTAAAGTAGACGCAATACTAAACTCGCTGACTATTCCAGCAACATCAAGGCACACAGTGAGGTAACAAACCAGAGCCTTTGACATGACCAGGAATGATGTGACCACAAGGCTACAGACCCCGATGGTAGCTTAACCAGAAAACATCTTTGCAAACTCAAATTGGGAAGCTATTTCCCATAAATGCCCTCACAGAAATGGGTGGACCTGGAGTTACCTCCCTTCATGGTGAGCTTGTCTACAAGTATGGCTGAGATTCACTGAATTCAACTCTTTATCTTTATCTTATGAACGACAATGACCGTAAAGTAGTATCATTGTTACTGAGTGGGCAGTATTGTCCCTTTCAAGATTCTGATGCGACTCTGTGGAAGAAGCATCTCTGGTGAACCAACTACAGCTGGCGAGACAGAAGCAAACCACACCACAGTCTGTGAGAGAGAGTGTCCACACCTGGATGCTGTCATGCCTGTTACTCACCTGTTCTGAAACTGATGTAGGTCCATTCTTTTCAGTACTGGAATCGAATACTGTGAAGCAATTGTCCTTAAAAATATCACTACTGAAATCACTAAATGGATCCCAATTGTCAAATGGCTTGTTTTCAAAACTTGGCTGACTAGAAAAAAAATGGGTCTTTAGATTTCTGGTTTGGTTGAGTACTTGGTGCAGAGGGAAAGGTGTCACTGAACGGATCTGTGCTGGAGCTGGGAAAGAAGGGATCTGTAGTTGATGAAAGGGAAGAGCTTGAGGATGTGTTTTTACGAGGCTTTGGAACTGGCCTTGGACGAACAGAAGCAGAGTTTGTATCAACTTTAGGTCTTGGGGGAGGTGGAGGTGGTGCCCCGCCAGGTAAAGAAAGCTTCACTTCAGCTGGCAGAGGTGGTGGTGGTTCCTCAGGTGAGGGGAGGTTAAAGTCATCAGAGAACACAGGAATATTCCCATTTGTTAGCCTCTTTGGGCTCTTTTTAGGCAAGTGTTCGTGTTTTGAAACATCTGCTTGTGTCTGTTTCTTTGGAGTATTTTCACATGAGAGTCTGCTGGTGAGGGTCATCGCTGGCAGGAAGGGGTCAGCGTCTTGTGCTGGGGGAGAGGAGGAGGGTTGCGATGTGGGTTGAGGAATGTGCACATAAGAAGTGTCAAAGGGGTCCTCAGAAGAATCGGCTAACCCACGTAACCGAACCGCTTCTTTTCCTAAAGGGCCAAAAGGGTCACTTGCCTGTTGGATGCCAGGGGAAATGACCCCAGGGGAAGGAATCCCCGGGGATGGAGTCCTGGGTGGGTTGACATCAACCTTCAGCTCATTGAGAGACTTCTTGGGAGGAGCACTCATAGACTCAAATATGGCTTTGGGTGTCTTCTTGGGATCACTGCCACCAATGTTGACAAGATCAGCAAAGGCATCCTTCTTTTTGGGTTCAGTTGGTACTTCTTCAGTTTCAGGTTCATTTAAAACAGTTGGTGTCAAGATATTGGGATCTGGCTCTGTGTCAGGAAAAAGGTTTTGTTGAGGCTGCCCCATGGCAGGTTGAGCAGCTCCAAATGCTCCATGGCCTCCCATAAAGGCAGCTGGTTGACCAAAGCCTCCTGCTGCAGGCTGTCCTAAGGCTCCACCAAAAGGCTGCTGACCAAATCCTGCTGGGGCAGTTTGTCCAAAGCCCCTGACAGCTGGTTGCCCGAAGCCTCCAGCCCCTGGTGGACCAAAACCTGGACGGACCTGCGCCTAAAATGAGAAATCAGTTTTACTGTCAGTTCTACAGGTTTTAAGTGAATTATGTGTAAGGCTCCTAAACCTCTGGCCATATGGTTGTGTGGGCCACCAAGACTGGGTTTCACACATACCTTGTAATCATGTCAGGAACTGTTTGCAGGCCCTTAATTTCACATTTACCACTAGGTTATCCCAAGCTCTCCTCTCCTACTAATAATCAGCATCAAACTTTGGAATAGAAACAGTAATTAGTTACATCAGACCATTGAACTGAATCTCAGTGTGTCAGCCCTAAGTGATGCCCTACTTGTCTGAGGTCTTAAAGTGTTTCCACTCATTCCACAGCATTGACAAGGTGACAAATGAAAAAACAATAATATGGGCAAATGTGGGACTTGAACCAAAGATCATAGCAACAGCTGCAAGAAATCTTTCATGCATAAAAGTTAGACAAGATTTTCACCTGTGCTCCAGGCATGGGTGTTCCTGGCATGCCATGCCAAAGGCAGCACCTGGAGGCATGGATCCTGGTCCTGGAGCAAATGCTTGTGAAGTCGCTGGTTGGCCAAAAGGCTGTGAAGTTGCTGGTTGGCCAAAAGGCTGTGAAGTTGCTGGCTGGCCAAATGGTTGTGAAGTTGCTGGCTGGCCAAATGGTTGTGAAGTTGTTGGCTGGCCAAATGGTTGTGAAGTTGCTGGTTGGCCAAATGGCTGAGATGTTGGCTGGCCAAAAGGCTGACCTCCAAATGGTTGGCTGGTAGGTGCAGAGAAAGGATTGGCTGTGGTTGCCCCAAACCCTCCACTTGTAGCTGGGAAAGCACTTTGAGCACCAAACCCACTCTGCAGCCCTGCAAGGTCATCCAGATTTGACCCGGAAGCATTTCGTTTGATGTCTGCCTGTGGAGTACTGGTACCCCAGGGGTCAGTTGTTGACTTGGAAGCATCTGGGGTGTTGGTGTCAAACATATCAAAAGAACTCATCTGCTGAATTCCCTACAACAAGAAAGAAGTTTACATCATCTCTGAAAAAACCATGTCTGAATATGTCTTACAATGTCTCTGTCTGATAAAGAATGCAGGATTTTACCGATTAATCAGAGGGAGGTGACAGAAGATCTTATCCATTGCATTTTGGTGTAATAATCAAAGATGATGATTCAGAACAGACAAGGCTATACAACCAAGGGCAGCCACAGTAATACAATTTGAAGCAAAAGGTTAAATATTCAGTTCCAGAAATTCTTGATATAACTGTTGGAACAAATGTGATGGAACGTGATGATGATGCGATGACGTGATGGAGCCTATACAACCCCAGTCAGCATGCAGTCCACACCACTAGGGAGAGAGACAGCTGGTCTTGTACATCACAGATGGAGGAGGTCAAGATGCAGTATCAACTCCACACTACGCATACTAAGTGCTCTCCATACTTTCATGAAAATGTTCAAAACGCAAAACAATAGCTGAAGGAATTGTTCGTTTCAGAATTTGCAATTTAGAAAACTATCTTGTTTTCTAATTCTGAAAAACTGATTAGCATAAGCGTTGTGCTTGCTCCAAACTTGAAAGTACTCTTTATAACTCTGACACTTTACCCACATCAATTCAAATACAATCCTTTGCCTAAATTCATTTCTAAAATCCAAAAGAACATTTCTCTGATCCTATGCCCACATGTCACTAACAACAAAACCTCAGCTCCCTACACGTCCTAAGTTTAAAACAGTCACATCTTCAAATAGGTAGTAATGACTTGTTTGAATGAGCTTAGAAAGCACTTAGGTGCTGAGCGAGCACTAGGTCCTAGGTAAGCAAGCACCCTAAGCACACCCACTAGTTCTATGTTTTCCAGCTGATCCTCCAGGTCAAGCAGATTAGACCCACTCTTCTTTTCCTCTCCGGCCACAGGGGCGTTGTTCTGGGGCACCTACAGAAACAAACCACTTCCTGATGCAGGTTAACCATATCAGGGCACTGTAACCATGGACACAGTTTCTGGTAACCATGGCAACAGAATAAGGTAACCTGTAACATGACACTTCCCTAGTTGTCAGAAATGGTTTTGATTTTTTAGTGTTGGTTTCATGGCTATAGAATAGTTGCCATGGGAACATAATCAAGACATGTAATATTAGAGTTTTTGGTTTTGAGGTTTTTAATACCACTGCATCTTAAAGTTTTCCTCCAAAATACATGATTTTAATAGTGGTTTGATATGGTCATGTTTAAATGTTACAATGCCCCCCAAGATACAAACACATGCATGTGTAGTAGAATACAGAAACATATTTCATACACACAACAGATAGATACAATGAAACAAGGTCTAATGAACAATGTCGATTGTCATGCAGATCTTCAAAACTGGATGTCAAACAAATGTGTATTACTTTTCTGAATAATGCTAATTCTTCTTATCTTACAACTACCGTATATTACCGTCTATAAGCCGAATTTTGAGGACCAAAAAAATATGTCTGTAGAAGGGGGTCGTCTTATCTATATTTCACGGAAATATATTTTTTAGCTCGCCAGTTCCCTGCCAGGACGATGTTACAGGTTACCGGTACATCTGCCAGGATGTTTGCCACGATTACAGCGTTTATGTTGTGAATGATGAATAAAATACATATTAACCTGTACGTTTTCATTATTTCAACATATTATTACATATTAGTCATTATGACATTTATCATACAATCAGCTGTGCACACGTTTCCCCGGCGATCAAGTTCAAACATGCACAATAATATAGCGGGATGAATTCTGGCGCAGTCATCAGTAAAATATAATACAGAATACTATTATTTAACCCAAAGAAATATATCCTACCATTGTGTAATTTTAATTACAGTTTTTGCTCTATAAATTAAATAAGAATAAGATTACCGTGTGTATTTGACCCGGAAATAGCAATCAGCTGTGCACACATTTCCCGGCGATCAAGTTCAAACATGCACAATAATATAACGGGATGAATTCTGGCACAGTCATCAGTAAAATATAACACAGAGTACTATTATTTAACCCAAAGAAATATATCCTAGCATTGTTTAATTTTAATTACAGTTTTTGCACTATAAATGTAAAATATATATAATCAACACTAAGGTTATACGGACCCTCATGAACGTGGTAAGTTGTACGCACATGGAATGGGGTAAAATAAGCAAGCCATTTAAATTCACACATTTTTACCGATGTTACTGTAAACTAGCAGTCCATGGAAAACAAGGCGGAAATAAGCAAGCCAGTTTGTTGACATGTTATCGTCTAACTACAATATGTATGATATTTAGCGAAACAAAATACATTATCCATTTTCTGTCAACTACACTTCATTTTGATGCGTGAGTAGACGCAATATGATTGTGAATTTTTTTAATAATGTGGACCAAAGTTATAATTATTGGTAACCGCCAGTTGTCTGTGGTCTGTGTTTGCCACGATTAGGACCCCATCGCGGGGGGTCGGCTTATGCACGAAACATACCATTTTGACACTGATTTTAAGGGTCAAGTTTGGGGGTCAGCTTATCTATGGGGTCAGCTTATAGACGGTCACATACCGAGATCTGATATACAACAATTACCCATAATTACATTCATTGTTTGTGCATATGGTATATAGAACTACAATAGATATGTACATTAGACCTTGGTCAACAAGAAAAACAGATCAACCAGTAGATCAAGGAGCATGCAAAGGAAACAGAGAGAAATATATTTTTACATAACAACAACATCAACAACAACAACAACATAATCACTGTAGGTAAACATGTCCTGAGGACTGAACTAAAGCATGTGTGGCCAAAATGTGATCTTTTATCTCAATCTCATCAAAACATATCTTAAACTCAGAAATGAGGCCTCTCTGCTCCAACATAGGTCAGCTGGAACATCAGCATCAAGACTTAAATTCTCTATACGATCATGTGAAGCAATAGGGCACTATACCAGATTCATGTGTCTCAAACATAAATGGGCGGTTCAAAATGGACAAAATATGGCATGTGCCATAAATCATGCACACCCAAGACTTGCAGTTTCTGAGAGCATGAATTATCAGACCTAGGACTGACTCCTCGACTTCCTTGTTGTACCCATTAATGCGTGTTTCTGCTGTTCAAATCAATATTTCCCACGGAGGCGGTCAACAAGCTGGTAAAGACACAATTTTTGGAAGCTCATATCTCATTGGATGAAGAATCACAAGATTGGGCAGTCAAAGTTTGTCTGGGTCCAACTAACAGGGCAGCCTATGGAAGGTCAGAAGATCTTCGTGAATTAACAAATCTGTGAAACTATTTGGTTCCTATTGGATTAATTTTGTCAAAAACTGGAAAAGCGCATTTATATTATTTTATATAATTTTCTCAACTAACTGAACTAAACACTTTGTGCGGAGAGAATTTTGTCAAGCACTTCCACACATGCACAGGTGTTGGACAAAAACAGAAAACCATGTCACAGAACCAAAAACACTGTCACGACATGCTCTTAACCAAAACATAAAGCCAGCATGAAGTGATGTGAAACTAAACCCACTCAATACCCACACAGAGGGCACAAGCAGCAGAAATGGGGGCCCTCACCAAGGATATATGTCATTTCACCACACGGGCAACAGGTAAGTTACAGTGAAATAATACTTGGTTATTCTGCAGCACAAGCAACTGAGAATTGCTAGGCTTGTAGCATTAGCATCTAGCCACATATTTCTTACTGAATATATATGCTCAGGGCTTTCAGGAGACACATCATTGTTCGGAACCTGTAGTTAAACAATGAAGAGCTATACTAGGTGTGTTCTACAGTGATGCATGTTATTTCAAAATGTAAATATACGATTTAGACAGAACAAACATTTTACATTTCAGGTCAGAAAGAATTCATTACTTCTGTCTTTGCAATATATCACTGTAGAAGTGTATTTATCCTTTAGCTGGCTTTGAAATTATTATGCTTAGGAAGCTCAAGCTTACATTTGAAACTGTGCCAAATTTCTAGGCTTGGAACATGATTGCTACTCCTCAATTCTAACCTGCTCATGCTATGTGTCTACACTCTAGTTCACCTCTCACCTGGTAGACAGCTTCTGGTGCTTCCTGTGCGGCCTCTGTTGGTTTCTGCTCCCCGCCTGTGGCTGGTGTCTCTGGCTGGGTCTGCTGCTGCTGCTGCTGCTGTTGTTGATCTTCCTCCTGCTTCTTCTTGGCATCCTCCACTTCCTGTTTCTTCATGTCATACACGGCTTGGAACAAGTCTCGTAACGTCAGCACTAGCTGCTCCGCCTGACCCATAAATAGAACAACTCTTACTGAATACCCCCATGAACATACCTGGAGCAGGTCTTACTGAATACCCTCATGAACATACCTGACACAGGTCTTACTAAATACCCTCATGAACATACCTGGAGCAGGTCTTACTGAATACCCTCATGAACATACCTGACACAGGTCTTACTAAATACCCTCATGAACATACCTGACACAGGTCTTACTGAATACCCTCATGAACATACCTGACACAGGTCTTACTGAATACCCTCATGAACATACCTGGACACAGGTCTTACTGAATACCCTCATGAACATACCTGACACAGGTCTTACTAAATACCCTCATGAACATACCTGGAGCAGGTCTTACTGAATACCCTCATGAACATACCTGACACAGGTCTTACTGAATACCCTCATGAACATACCTGACTGAATACCCTCAGGTCTTCACTGAATACCCTCATGAACATACCTGACATGAACATATACCTGAACACAGGTCTTACTGAATACCCTCATGAACATACCTGGAGCAGGTCTTACTGAATACCCTCATGAACATACCTGACCAGGTCTTACAATACCCTCATGGTCTTACTCTTACTGAATACCCTCATGAACATACCTGACACAGGTCTTACTGAATACCCTCATGAACATACCTGACACAGGTCTTACTGAATACCCTCATGAACATACCTGACACAGGTCTTACTGAATACCCTCATGAACATACCTGACACAGGTCTTACTGAATACCCTCATGAACATACCTTACTGAATACCCTCATGAACATACCTGACGCAGGTCTTACTAAATACCCTCATGAACATACCTGACACAGGTCTTACTGAATATACCCTCATGAACATACCCTGACATACCTGACAGGTCTTACTGAATACCCTCATGAACATACCCTGGAACATACCTGACACAGGTCTTACTGAATACCCTCATGAACATACCTGACACAGGTCTTACTAAATACCCTCATGAACATACCTGGAGCAGGTCTTACTGAATACCCTCATGAACATACCTGACACAGGTCTTACTGAATACCCTCATGAACATACCTGACCTGGTCTTACAGGTCTTACTAAATACCCTCATGAACATACCTGACACAGGTCTTACTAAATACCCTCATGAACATACCTGACACAGGTCTTACTAAATACCCCCATGAACATGAACATCACCTGACACCCTCATGAACATACCTGGAGCAGGTCTTACTGAATACCCTCATGAACATACCTGACACAGGTCTTACTAAATACCCTCATGAACATACCTGGAGCAGGTCTTACTGAATACCCTCATGAACATACCTGACACAGGTCTTACTAAATACCCTCATGAACATACCTGGAGCAGGTCTTACTGAAATACCCTCATGAACATACCTGACACAGGTCTTACTAAATACCCTCATGAACATACCTGACACAGGTCTTACTGAATACCCTCATGAACATACCTGACACAGGTCTTACTGAATACCCTCATGAACATACCTGACACAGGTCTTACTACCCTGAACATACCCTCACTGAATACATACCCTGACACAGGTCTTACTAAATACCCTCATCATACCTGGACACAGGTCTTACTGAACATACATACCTGACAGGTCTTACTGAATACCCTCATGAACATACCTGACACAGGTCTTACTGAATACCCTCATGAACATACCTGACACAGGTCTTACTGAATACCCTCATGAACATACCTGACACAGGTCTTACTAAATACCCTCATGAACATACCTGGAGCAGGTCTTACTGAATCCATTGTCTTACCTGTTTTTCTGTCTTGATTGCAAAGAACTTGTGTGTTCCATCTCCCACACCAAATATGTAGCCAAATGCCCGACTGTCGGACACATCTCTAGCTATGAAGGATATCCTGTGAACTGCATGTGTGTACTGGATAGCCTGAAACAAAAAATGAATTCGTTAAAATATATATCTCACAATGTCATCATCTTAATCATACTCAGACAATGATGACGACGATACATCATCACACTGACCGTAAACCGTATCTATTAACCTCAGTTATCATTATAATCATCACCATCACCTTCTGATCATCCCAAGCACTAACAACAACACCACCACCACCACCACCACCATCATCATCATTATCATCATCATCATCATCATCATCATCATCACATCTCATCACACTACCACTATCACCATTGTCATCTCAACCATAGTCATAACCATCAGTATCATCTTCATTCCTGCCACTTACCATAGATACTCCATCTATAATCTTGAGTCCCTCAAGTGAGACGTTGACAACAATTCTCTGTTTATGTTCGCCAGCTGACTTGACTGAAGCTTTCAGCTTCTGCATCGACATCTGGCACATCTTGTCTCCCCTGGCCTCAGCAACATCATCAACGCCAATCAATTTTGCACGGAAATTCAACCCTTCACCCTCAAACTTGTTGGGGTCCACTTTGCCTGGAGCACACAGTAAGCACCATGACTGACATCATAAGCACCATGATGGCCAATCTAGTATAACAATGTATAGGGCTGCGAATATAACCGGTTTAGGCATGAGAACGATACGTATTGCGATACGCTGATCGAAAACCGGTATTTTGACATGCATTCGGAAAACTATATAACACTCGAGAAATCTTCGGATATTTCCATTTTTTTATTTGTTCCTTTCCTTGTTTCATTTGTTCCAAACATTATTTGCAATTTTATTTTGTCATGATTTAAAGTTTTTATTAAAGCCTAATCAAGCATAGTGATTTTGTTGTGTTTTTGCTTTGTAAATCAAGCATTAACTCGATTATAACTAGTTTTTTTTAAAAAGAATTCTCGCAATATATTGCAATACATATCGCAATATATGCTTTCGCATCGCAATATGAACATTTTCGGCAATACCCACCCCTAACAATGTACATGTTTATCTGTCCACAAGACTCTAGAGAATAAGTTAAGAAATCAATATAGCTCAAGTCTACACTAATTTGGCAAGTCAAGATTGCCTCAGTCTGAAGTAAAGCATTGTTCTCAACTAGCTCCATTTAGATGTTAGATTTTGTGCATATATATACCTCCAAAATGCAAATGCACACACTGATCACATAATTTCATAAATACAGAATAACAGAGTATCCTTCCATTCGCTGTTACAGGCCACATTCCAACCCCATGACATAAGCATAAGAATGCACTCCCACTCCAAAACACCATTGAAATATCATGTTGGTAAATCATTTGGCAGCAAACTATGCTGTAACCCCTAGTGCAGGGGACTCACCTGTTTTAGCAGTCATGGTTGCCTTCAGTCAGCACTCAGCTACAGTATCATCAACTCCTGAAATACCAACACAAGTTGTTTCTCATTTAATTGTGTAGGAAGATCTGTGAAAAAAATATCAGTCTCCAGCAGACATGTAACTTTGATGTTGAAAGATGTTGTTGACATCCATCTAAATAGTCACTTTCTATTGAAAGTTCAAATAGGTCACAACACTTATGAAAGGATTCATATTCCCAAGACATAACATTTGTTTAAGTGCACTGAAAGTCAAGCTGTTTTCACCTTGTTTACACAGAGAAGAGAGAGAGAGAGAGAGAGAGAAAGAGAGAGAGAGAGAGAGAGAGAGAGAGAGAGAGAGAGAGAGAGAGAGAGAGAGAGAGAGAGAAAGAGAGATGTGGAGCACTGCAAAAAAGGCGATTGTTTGCTTCTTGCAAATCAAAAATACCCAGGGTAGTTAGGTTTTGGAAGACACCCATCTCTAGTTTGCTAAGATTCTGCTTGCACTATATACACAGTGATGTAGGTAAGTTGTTCTTTAATACAGTGCATCAGTAATAGTATAGGTGGTCCATGGTCTACAGTATATCAACAATCGGTAGGTAGGTAGGTTTGTATTTGCAGTGTATTTGTAATCATGTAGGATGGTGGACATTTGTAATGAATCTGTAATCAGGCAGGTAAGTCCTTATTAGCCATGCATCAGTAATCAGACCAACAGGTCTAGATTTGCTTTGTATCCGTAATCAAGTAGGTAAGTCAGTTTTTGCAGTGTATCAGTGATTGGATAGATAGGTAATTATTTGGAGTATATCAATAGCCAATTAAATCACCATTACCTGTAGTACAATCCAACATTCAATTAAGTGCTGACTCACTAAAAATATTACGATATTATCTAAACTGAAGCACAACAAAATTGCATAAAATATAATAAGCTATTGTAGAAACTCCAGCAAAACAACCTAAGCAGGTAAAGGTGAGGTGAGGTGAAATGGGGTTTAACGCCGTTGTTGTGCAGTGAAAATGTACGATTGTGCAGAGCTATGCAATGTAACTGAAAACCTAATCAACTAAATTTTTGAACTTACCTTTGGCCTAAACAAGGAACTAAACGTGATAACTATTATCAGTGAGAAAACTATGGATGATTTACAAAGAAGTAAACGTGATTCTCTTAAAGATGAAAATAACCTTTGAATGAACCTCTAAATACCACTAATTGTCTAACGTTAACACTACAATATTCTAACAACAAGTTAAACAATCTAACAGTCTAACGATGCCTAAAACTGAATGGCTCGAACGAATAAGCTCGAATGGGAGAGTGGGAGAGTGGGAGAAAGGAACGGATCGGCCGGTGTATCGTTGACCACCGTCTTATATATGCAAATCTACTTCGCATTTCACCTGCACTCATCTCTGGGTGTATCCAGGCGATATGACCAGTTTGCACTGGGTGTGTTTGAGCAAACAGTTTTAAATGAAAAACCAAAATGTCTTCAGAACAGTCGTACTTGAAAATATTTCGCTCTAATGACGACGTGCATGCGTGTGTATGTGTATGAGTAAGTGCGGCTGCTTGTACTAGCCAAGACTGAAGCTGGTTTAATAGTGCTAGCCCACTGAGATACCATGCCGCAGTGAAGCATGAATACCCCACTCAGACACAATATACTGACTCCGAGCCGACCAGTCCTTGTTGTACCCATTAATGCCGAGCACTAGGCAGGGATCAACAAGTACCACATTTTAACATCTTTAGGTATGACGCGGCCGGGGATCAAACCCGCGACCTTCCGCTCTCCGGGCGGAAAGGGTCAGCTGGTAAACTTGAAACAGTCATTCAGTATTTTTGCCAAACAAATATAAGTATAAATGTATATTTAAACAAACAAAATAATCCAAATATTAAATGTATGCAAATAAACAATATTATGATAACCATTTTCCTTAACCACTATACAACAGAACACACAGTACACTAGACTCAATAATCAATAAGGGTTATGTCAGAATGATTTCTTCATAAGATCACAATAACACATACATTATCCAGAGAGATTGACGATAAACTCACCACTAGTCAAACTCAGTAAGACAACTTAATGTCTGATTATACATCCATCTTGAAACTCACCCACTAACATGCCTCATACCAGTCCCCAACATCCATCTGTCCTATCAAAGTTCATGATAACTGTGAGATATGAACAATGAATGTGATATCGGTGTACAGTATCTGGAGTATCAAGACATTCAAGTACAAACATGTCTAGCTTCATAGCTTTCCCTGTATCTCCCCTCTATCAATGATATGTAGACAATATGTACCTGACACACTGACAGCAATGCCCTAGTTGAATCCTGCCAAACTGTATATCTAGTGTCTAGTAGTGTGTTAATTGAAATAATCAAAGATTGGTCGCAGTGATCAAACAACCAAGCAATCGATCACATTTTTTCATTATCAAACACAAACGATTTTGGAACTACTGTTTTAGTGTTTGAAACACTTGACAATGGAACATATTTTAGAAGTTGTCAGGGCCTGAAAACGTGTTTAACTCTTAGAAAACTCACTTCATTTACTGAAAAGACATGACTGAATATTTCTTGAAGACTGCAGGAAGTTTATGTTCATGATATATTAGTCATCACTTTAAAGTAGCAAGTTGCAACATTTTAAATTGGATGTGAAATTTGCAAAAGCAATCTGCACAAAAATCAACATAGAACCATGTTATACTTATCTGCAATAACACCTGAATAGGAAAATCTGAGAAATGACGCTAACCAATTTTTTTCGATGATTGCTCACTGGTAATGAACAAATTATCAATTGTGAGATTGCAACCAATTCCCAACACTAGTATTTTCTGGGGTATGCTTATAATCATATTTGGTTCTCATGTATTGATGATGGGAATACTTCATGGCCTAATTTCTATGTGGTACTTTATGAAACAATGTAATACTTATTCATATTCATATTCAGTGGTTTGTATAACAAAGAAAATTTCAAATTAAGGCTCTACTTTGGGATTTTTAATATTTGGTTTTCAAAATTTTCTTCATCTGAATATCAAATAATAAAACACATGATTTACCACAGCGATCTCACATAAATGGAAAGAGACTATCATCAAACCTGCGATTTAAATATTCACATAAACATAACCAAGAAAGTAATACATAACAAGAAGACAAAGTCATCAATATCCCCAGCAATGGCAAAATACTCTTCATGAATATGTCTACGAGCTATGATTATGTCAATGTTTAGGTGTGTATATAGAAAAGTGTAAGGAGAGTATTGAAAGGTTTTAAAAGTTCTGCTCCAGAAAGGAGCACAACCACCAATTTCAATCTAGTCAAACTTGTTGCCATGGAAATGCCAAAAATATTTTATTCAGCATTCCAAAACTACCAAAAGGCACCAGTACACCACCAGATGTATGTATGTGCTAAGTTTGGTGAAGAAACACTGAACGGTTTTAGAGTTCTGCTCCGGAAAAGAGCACTACCACCAATTTCAGTCTAAGTCAAACTTGTTGCCATGGAAACGCCAAAACATATTTAATTCAGAATACCAAAACTACCAAAAGGCACCAGTACACCACTAGACCAATCTATGTGCCAAGTTCGGTGAAGAAATAGAGAACGGTTTTAGAGTTCTGCTCCGGAAAAGAGCGCTACCACCATTATCAGTCTAAGTCAAACTTGTTGCCATGGAAACGCCAAAAAATATTTAATTCAGAATACCAAAACTACCAAAAGCCACCAGTACGCCACCAGACCAATCTATGTGCCAAGTTTGGTGAAGAAATATTGAACGGTTTTAAAGTTCTGCTCCGGAAAAGACAAATGTGCACGGACGCACGCACGGAGTCCATTTTAATACACACCCACCCGCAAAACGTGTTGCGGGGGATAACAAATCAAATGTCATTTGCTTCCCTAATCTATCAATTTCCCTCACACCTTCACAGAATCTGAAACAGTGCAATTAGCTGTGAGAAAATTAGAATATGTGCATCAAGACAATGCAATGATTGCATTCAACATGTTTAAATGTATATAATTCCAGGGCTCCAGATAATTTTTCAACATCAGGAGTACGTACTTCTTATATTTTCAACATAGGAGTACTGGAAAACCGTAAGAGTACATTTAGAGTACTGAATGGAATTTAATGGAGTATCAGTAATCCTGTGTTTCGTTTCATATAAGCACCACAATATTGCTACTCTTGTGTAAACAGGTCAATAAACTAATACTTTTTCAGATAAATACGTCTGTAAATGATTCTAAGACCGTACACCATTGCTGTGGTGCGTATCTGCTACGTTTTCTAAATTATTTCCTACCTACCATGCATATTTGTTATCCGTACATACGCTGATACGGCCCTTATCTGGAGCCCTGTAATTCAATACACACATTCTTTTCTGGAGAGTTTTTCCCATCATCTTCCATATCTTGTAGGAAGAAGTATTCCTTAATAAATTCCTGAAGGGAAACAAATCCATATCCTTGTCACCACGTCCTACATCACATCTGGTGGAATGTTAAGTAGCTCCATTGTAAGACCTTATCTCTATGAATCCTTATGTTGTTAGATATATATCAGTCCATGCTACAATGTTTGTGGCAGAATACCCAATGATGAAACTCAACACAATGTCTTGACAATGCTGCACAATCCCACCAAACATGGATCAAACTTAAGAAACCACCAATAGAAGCCAACATTTTAGTCCAATATTCCATACATGATAACATACAGCAAAATAATAGCATACTTCCATCTGACCCTCTGATATTTTAACTACTGAGCAGTTTAGCAGGGAGTCCACAACTAGTGCCAATGTTTATCACTTCAATTGAGGTTAATAACAAATACCCCAATGTAGATCGATACCAATCAATATCATTTTACTCATAAAAATGAAATACATTATTTAACATAACCTCAAATTCCATCATTACAGAGTATCATTTTAGTCAATCACCGATGATGTAACTTTAAGGTTAATTTGTATACAGACAAGCCTACTTACACCAATGTACAAGGGAAATAAGCATGACACAAGCGAAGATAGACACTCCCCTCAGCCTTCTCTAGTCTTGTCCTTGACTGACAGGACTGAAACGTACATGTGAAATGTACACCTAATTAATGCCTGTTCACTATCAACTACAAATGTATATCTCACAATGACCTGTAGATGTCAGCGGTCTCCTGTAGGGTCTTCTCACTGTGGGCACCCCAGGCTTCAGATCATCCTGGGGGGTATCACACCAGCTCTCTAGGACACGCTGTAATAAAGTGGGGATCAGTCACTACTAGTATGATAAATAAGCATGACTTAACGTGAATGTTTTGGGACACATTTTGTACGTCCTTCAATGGAATGAAATGTAACATATCAATATCATATCTTCAAAATTCCATTTCCTTAAGATTCTATCACATCACTTTGACATATATATTACACCAGATAAGAAAAATAAAATTGTTTTCAAAATAGCCTGATACAAAGCTGCACACTGACACACAGTGAAGGGTAGTCCCCTAGGAAATGTCTCTAGTCCTTTTCCTGTATTTTGAAACTCTTAGACTAACAGACTCTTCTTAAGTTTGAACTAATTTCTGTTTTAGTATTGATGACATTGTTAAAACTATTATGACAAAATATACATGGGTATTAAGAAAGAAAAAGGGTATTATCACTCTCAATGAAAATATTATTTAGCTTTGGTGATGTTCACTGATTTAGGAGGTAGATGAAAATTACTCTTCTATTTGACACACCACAGGATTTTACCTCGACTCACTAACATGGGGGCCCGGGGACCCCCAATTATTATTTATAAGGGTGCTTGCAGGCAATATGAGGGTTCTGTAAAGTAATGGTGTAGAGTATTGTATGTTTTGAGTACTGTATGTCTTCAGAGCCTGGAATTAATCATTGATTATGTGGACTGATGGATTAAATGATGCACATAACTGCTCTAAAAGAACCGACTTCGGAGTCGGAGATGTTTTGTGGGTACAACCAGTCATATTGTGCATCGCAGTGAATTTTTTCTGCGCCCATTTTTTTCTGTACTGGACGCACATTTACACGTCACATTAAACCATGCACACTATCATTCCATAGGGAACACCCACACATCTTTGTGACTGGCCTGTGGTGCACTTGTATAACAAAATAACAGAAACTAGAATCCAGTAAATATTTGGCTTCAAATGCATACCTGAAATCATTCAATCAGCCCAGTACACTGGACATGTCAACATAACATTTCTTCTATACATGAGGATGTAAAATATACTTTATGTCACCCATAAAGTAGCTTGCCTTTCTTATAACTTCCGCCCTGTGACACTATATATCTGTCCTTAAAACACTTGATCCCTTCTTGATTCAGTGATAATAAATAGGTCCAATCAGTTGACAACAATACGTAGACAATATGCAACTTCCTTTATCACTTGTCAGTAAGTGTGGAGCCCTCCATCCATGCTAAACAGGACAGTAACCAAAGTTCACAGGCCAAGTTTGGAGGGCATGGGCTGTAAGTGAAGTAACCCGAGTACCATATACATCAAGTATTGCGTATTGCACGAGGTTAATGGCGAGTTAAGTAGCTTAGAGGCATACAGAGGAAGGTATTTAAGCAAAGTCAGGTGGTAACCTATATGGGACATGTTACCGATATGACAGGTATCACTAAATAGGACACATTACACAGCTTGTGATATACATGTCTATCATCAATATCAGCTGATGTGCAAGAATTGACAAGTTCAACCTTCACAACTTTTGCAAAATATATTTTTTCTGTAATTCCAATTATTTTACCAAGAAAGCAGTCTGGCTCTAAGTTCCGACACCATATTATTTTCCCTTCAGCCCAGTCTTGTTTGTAATGCAAAACTCCAAACATGCTGAATGAAACATGCCCAAATCTTCTTCAAGTTCAGGTTTTGAATGTCCCTTGTCCAAAGAATCTTTTCAAATGAAATAGCTTTGTTTGTTTGTTGTTTAACTGACTGACTGACTGACTGAATTTGTTTTACGCCGCTTTTAGCAATATTCCAGCAACATCACGGCGGGGGACACCAGAAATGGGCTTCACACATTGTACCCATGTGGGGATTCGAACCCGGGTCTTCGGCGATATATAATGCACTATCGTTCATCTGGGATATAAATATACTACATACTAGGTACCCTCTTTTGCATATATACTTGCTTGAAATAAATCACACAGCAACAACCTCTAGCAGTACCTTGCTTAAACCAGCATTAAATAGATTATTGTTTGCAATAAAATTACATTATAGAACTCTTGTAGGGTATAAACATCATATTATTGTCCAGCGGAGCATACCAAGTTACATCAAACTAAGTTTTACAAATATGACTGAATAGTCTATTAAGGCCAAATAAAAAAAATGTTGTGGTTCCAATTACACCTCTATTAAATTTAGGGTAGGTAGGTCGGAAATATTTTTTTAATATTTTTTTTTCGAAGTAAAGTACAGACTAATAATACATTTATCAATGTGTAATTGTTTATTCAATCAAGCTTGCGGCCATCATATCGACTTTCTCTATCAGAATGACAGACATCTGTTGGTGCCGGCAAAAAACAATGGTATCTGAAAACTTATTTTAATCATTCCGCTTAAAAAAATTAGGGTCGACGCCAGAATTCTAGGGTCTGTTGGGTAATCAGAACCACAACATTTGTTTTTTAGGCCTAACATGATTAATAACTGTAGTTTTCCTTTGAAATTCTTGAATTTCTTATTTTTCTCCAACAGACTGTGTGTTTATTACAAATTGATTCTACAACAAGTAGCACCAGTCCGTTACAAATGGAAATCAATCTGAAATATCTTCTTCTTTTTTATTTTACCCACTTACATGTATCCTGATGCCAAAACTCATGTTTCAAGGCATCTTGTGATTTTGATGAGCCTTGCCAGTTCTACTTGCCAATTACACAGACTACTATAAGTATGTAACAAGCACGCTCTATTTGACCTTGAATTACAGCTATATTGGAACCTCTGTTTTTTTTTACTGTTAGACTGACAACATTAATCTGATGAACTGTAATACTCTCGTTATCATATCCACAGAAATTCTTGTGTCATATGGATAGGAAGAGATATCATATCACAACGTAGTCCGCACCACTATGCATCAGATACTGAACGGGCTCCTTGTTTATTACCCAGTTTCTGCACGCAACGGCTTCATTTTTTTACAGACAATATCTTTATGATGAATTACCTCTCTACTTGTCGAGAAAATGTTATGACGTTGTTCAACAAAGCATGTACCGTTAATGGATGCTAACCTTCAAGAAGAGGCTCTCTCTATATCACTATCAGGTATACACTTCACCCAACCCCAAGGCTTGTCGGCTTTACGTTCCGAAGGTGTCTAGGTCAGATAACAGAGACACTGGCAAAGAACATCTCATCAGGTCTTCCTGCTTATGTTTTTCACAACAGCTTTTCACATGGCTTCCAACTAATACAAGCTGCCTTTATCATGAAGATCAATTCAGCTGCATAGCATCATTAGCTATATTGTTTGTTTGTTTGTTTGTTTAATGACGCACTCAGCAATATTCCACCTGTATGGGGGCGACTGTAAATAATAGAGCGTGAACCAGACAATCCAGTGATCAGATCATGATCATTGATCTACGCAAATGGGATATGATGACACAGATCAACCAAGTCATCGAGTCTAACCATCCGATCCCGTTAGTCGCCTCTTACGACAAGCATGGATTGCTGTAGATTCTAACATGGATATTTACAGGTTATTTGGTCTAAAGTATGCTGGGTTTAGTGTGAAGAATGCTGGGTCTCGTATGGCATAAGCTGGGTCTAGTGTGAAGTATGATGGGTCTCATGTGGCATATGCTGGGTCTAGTGTGAAGTGTGTATGGGTCTCGTGTGGCATATGCTGGGTCTAGTGTGAAGTATGATGGGTCTCATGTGGCATATGCTGGGTCTAGTGTGAAGTATGATGGGTCTCGTGTGGCATATGCTGGGTCTCGTGTGGCATATGCTGGGTCTAGTGTGAAGTATGATGGGTCTCATGTGGCATATGCTGGGTCTAGTGTGAAGTATGATGGGTCTCATGTGGCATATGCTGGGTCTAGTGTGAAGCATCCTGGGTCTCATGTGGCATATGCTGTGTAGTGTGAAGTATGGGGTCTCATGTGGTGTGAAGTATGATGGGTCTCATGTGTGAAAATCCATCGTACATGATGGATCTCATGACAGATGGCTGATATGCTGGGTCTTGTGTGAAGTATGATGGGTCTTGTGTGGGGTTTAGTGAAGTATGATGGGTCTCATGTGGCATATGCTGGGTCTACTGTCCTGGGTCTCTTGTGGCATATGCTGGATCTAATTGTGAAGCATCCTGGGCCCATCCTCAAAGTGTGGCAAATATGCTGGGTCTAGTTGAAGTATGATGGGTCTCATATGCTTCCTTTGTGAAGTATGATGGGTCTCATGTGGCATATGCTGAGTCTTGTGTGAAGTATGATGGGTCTCGTGTGGCATATACTGGCCTTGCGTGAAGTATGCCAGGTCTGTATGGCCAGTCAATGTAAGCTCAGTCAAGTACGAACAACCTAGCATGATGAAGCTTACAAATGTCTTTCAGAAGACTAGCCACTAAGAAGCTTGTTATTTCGCTTCATAATGCCTGCATAATAACCGCTGGACTCAACCAACCATTCAACACTGACCAGCTGAACATAAAAAACACTAGACCATCGTGGCACACAAGATTCACACTATGTGCAATCAGGCATTTCTCTCATGACTGAACTCACTTAAAATTGGTTAAGAATTTTTACCTACAGTAACTTTGATAAGTAGCAATATGTCTGTAAGGGACTGGTGTCGAAGCTTACAAAGCATACACCTTTATGGATAATAACTTTGTGTTTATAGCAACATTTCCATGTACATTCTTACACCATTATCAAGGACTGTTGATGTATTTTGATGGGTTTTGTGTGTTTGGAAGGGAGTTGGGTGATACTCAGGGCTGATGGGGAAGGCTGTAATGAAGAATGTTACAGCACCAAGAACAATCCTACTACTGTACTCTGCTATCATTTATGAAACGAAGAGTATGCTACATGACAGCAAGGTGTAAAGGAGAGCTGGGAACACTCCCACTGAGGTAACATGAGTCAAGCCTATTGAATTACTTAGCAATAAATAGAAATGCTGTGTAAAGAGTACAGCCGCGCTAGCACATGTACATAGCTAATTAATACCTAATTATCTCAGGGGGTGTACTCAGGTATGTATTTCAGACCAAAAGGTCTACATTTGATTGACACTTGAGGTGTCAAATTATGTTATGAAGTTGAGCCAAGGCCAAGTTTGTCAGAATCTGTTTTTAAAGTATCAATGTTAGCCATTAAGTAAAGAAATACATTTATTTTTTTTCCATTGCCTTCCCACAAGGAACCACCTTAAGTTTGATTGCCAAAGCAAATTATGTAAATATATGTAAATATTGTGTCAAAAACCACATAATTCAATATATCCAGCTGATCACTTTTCCCTGATTAGAGTTCCTAGTTATCAATTTTTAGAACTTGAATGTCACTACAAAATACATTTTACGTTTATACATACCAGATTCTTTTAAAGTTCTACCTCTCAAATATACCTCTCAGATATAAGGGTTATTTGTAAGAACACATTTGTAATGTAGATTAGTTAACAACCTATTTGGTAGACTTTTTCACATGTCAACCTTCTAATACTACTAGTCCTCCTTGATGACAGCAGCATATCTGATGTATTATAATAAAGATAAGGATGAAATATGTGGGGTGTGGGGATAAGGAGGGGAGGGATAAGCTTTCTAAGCCAATTATTAAACATGATGCTTAATTTTGTTTTACATTAACTAAACAAATGACAGTTGTTTTCAACAGATTATAGCGTCTTCATTTCATCTGAACTTGTAACAGTATTTGAAATTAAGTAATTCTTTTCATTATGCCAGACAAGGCGACCATCCTCAAAACTGGACAAGACCTCTTCATCTATTTTTGATGCTATCACTGGTGGAAGAAAGCAGTTCTTAAGTTGTAATTTCATTATGGCAATGGTTCAACATTCTTGTTAACAGATACTGAAGAAGTTGGCCACAATGCAAGTCATGTTAACTTTTAGTCCAATTGAACTAAAATCGTATAAAGATTTCATATCTTTCATTTTTTAATTTCATTATCAGAAATCCTGGTAACAAAATTAAATTGCTTATGATATATTTTGCCACCTGTAGCTTGAATTACTGTTTAAAACACTGGCCAAACAAATACTAGAGCACTAAAACAATTATGCAAAGCTCATCTCATAAATAGCGGAGACTTTACTACAGAAACCAACATACTAATTTCCCTATAAACCTAAATTGTGATGAATTACACATCTGCAACTGCATTGATTTTTCTGTGGACAAATGTCAGTCATCATTTTATCACTTATGATTGGACATTCTTTGACATTCCAAACTTTGAAAAATATCTAATGGATATTTTGGATGACAATCAATATATACCAATGTGAAACCCTGCAACTAAAATGTGTTTGTTCAAATTACGTTTGAACAGCAGTTGTACACAACAAACAATTGTTAACAACCAAATGTCTGTTCACTTTCTGCCAAGTGGTCAATATGACCCAGCTAGCTGAATCTGGTCAACTTGTTTTGTCGAAGATACTATTTCACAAATTATATGCAATTAAAAACGTAACATCACAACAACACACGCAGTAACATAAAATGTATACTTTATCAAAAGTTTTTGTCTAATTGTGAGAATAAATTAAACACCTACAGCTCATAAGAACAACAAATTATACACTACTTCACCAAGCGGTCAAGGGGGCGTTAACAGACGATACACCCATCGACTTGAAATACAGTAAGTGCTTACGAGGTATATACCTGTCTGTCGCGACACAAAAATACATGTAAGAACAGAAGTTGCATCTATTTTAAACGTGGCAAAGAACTGGTGATTTTGGTTGGGCAATTAATTCCAAGAACATCGTACGATTCCTGACATTGACAGATCCAAAATAAGGTAAGGGTCGATTTCACGCTACTCACGGTTAGATTGATGCACGATCTTATGAGACCACAACTGTCGCTTTCGCCGTGTTTGTTCAATCACAACAGACACAACTGTTCTCCACAAAAGTTAAATTAGAATGCAGTGACGTCGAAATCAACAAATATCTTCTCACTACACCCCTGCTGTACACGACACCCAGTTCCGGATGTTAGACGACGAACTGTGACCTCTCATCCACATACTACTAGTCTAACGGTATACATTATATAGATGGTATGTTGCAATTGTATTTCATATTTTAAACGAAACAATATAACTTACACATCCGAGTATTATATTTACAAAAAGAAACATTCTATAGCATTTTCTACATTTCGTATTCTCGATATCGTTTATCGATATGTATCGGTAGCAATAATGGTTTCGCTTGCCCAGTAGCATTAGTTGTTTAGAAAGTAAGCGATGCTATTAAAGCACGTGCTACTGCTAAGAAACGAGAGGCGGGTTATTTAAACAAATACACGCGAATACCAGCGATAGAATCTTGTCCACCAGACCTTGCATTGAAAACATTAAACATTTTAAAGTGGCAATTATCCTAGTTAATGTGATACCGGCACTATTGGGCAGTTTGGCAAGGGCTTAAAGTACTAGTGCCTGTTTCTCTCGCAATTACATGTGTGATATTAGGCAGCTATCGCATACCACGAGGTATGGCTTGTAAGATACTCTTCTCATAGAGAAAGTGGAGGCGGGGTAGCCCAGTGGTTAAAGTGTTCGCTCGACACGCCGAAGGCCCGGGTTTGATTCCCCACATGGGTACAACGTGTTGAGCCCATTTCTAAGATGCTTCGGTGAAAGATCAAAGGCGCCGACAGTACTTTATCAGACGATAATGTGCACTTTTTGCATTACGTCACAATGTAATGCCATTCTAGTCTGCCCCCTCGTAATCGAACAATTTTGCATTACGTCACAATGTAAGCGACGTCACGATGCATGTCATTTGTCATCGCCTCGTACAGCCTCCTACAGTAAACTGCTCCGTTGCATCCCGTTCCTTGGTTTGCAGTTGCTTCACGCAGCTAACGTCACTGGTGGAAACATTACGTTTATGTTTTCTGACGTTTAAAATGTCTCAATTCGACTCACAAGTTTTCAGCGACACGGTAACGTTCGCAATGTTTACATTCCCACAATGCAATCGTGGAATGTCGCTTGACTACTCAGCTTCATCTGGATGTACTGATCTAAACTTGATAGTAGAAATGCGACGTTCATATTGCCCAATATGGTTTTCGTTAATCACAGATGTAATTAAAATAATTTAGAAGGATATTTAATCAGAACGTAACCCGTCATCAAACTGTTTATCATTTGTTTGTTTTCTGGTAACGTTCGTCTTAACGTAGGGTGCAGTCACATCAATAGAACAGCGCGCCAATTAGCCCTGTGCGAGGATTCTTAATTTAGGTCACCGACACCGTCGTTTGTTTTCTGCCTTAGATTAATCGTAATTATCCTTAGAAAGTATCTTGGCATCTTAGAAAAGAAATACAGTTCGCTCTACCACCATGTATAGTGTAATAAAGCACACTTTCGCCCTGAACTATTATAACGTTAAAGCACTCGGACGCTTGACTGTATTTCTTAATTCTGGTGTCCCTCGCCGTGATATTGCTGGGATATAGGTAAATTGCGGCATAACACACCACACCACACCACACACACACCACTGTATGTCTTCACATGGATCTTCTGTGCTGGCTGGATGCTCTCATCAAGCAAATAGGGACTCTACTGCAGTGAATGTGACACATACTTAACTCTCTTCATGGACACATGCTACCCGTGAAGATCCGGGTTAGAATTGATCTTCAGCAACCCATGCTTGTCGTAAGAGGCGACTGATCGGGTGGTCAGGCTCGCTGACTTGGTGACACAATCATGTCATCGTATCCCAATCCCAATTGTGTAGATCGATATACTCATGATGTTGATCGTTAATGTTGATGTTGATCACTGGATTTTCTGGTGCAGACTCGATTATATACAGACAGGAATATTGCTGAGTGCGGCAATAATAATAATAATGGCAATTGTATTGCGCTGAATTCCACACCACGGAGGGGCGCACTCAAAGCGCTACAATCTGATTATTATTACCCCGGATAACCAAGCTGCCTGTGAGGCGCTAGAAGGTTAGTAGTCACTTATCCCACCGGGTACCCATTTTCTGCTGGGTGAACAGAGGCAAGTTTGAACAAACAAACTTGCCTAAAGTGAGACCACATGTATCACATGTGCTTCGTTGTGGGGCAGAACTGAAGTTCCAGACACTCCCAGGTGTCAAGCTGTCACCCATCCAAGGACTCTCCGCGCCCAACGTTGCTTAACTTCACCTGATTTGTGATCTGAGCTCTATGCACAGGACCACGCACCACCAATGAACGACTGAATATATCGAACAACCTCCAAATAATCTCTGTAGCCAATGTGAATGATAACATGTACAAGAGTAAGAAACCATGATCAGGAACAGTTTCCATGGTGTAGTGGACAGAGCGTCTGCCCAGAGACTGTAAAGTCGAGGGTTCGACCCCCCTTTCTAGTACAAGCAGTCACACACAGATACGTGTCTGAAATATAGATACGAATGGGATAACTTTCAACAACACGTGAACCCGATATCACCTCTCACCTCGTAAACGACATTATTAAAGCATTGAATAAATGTTTCGCATCTATACTATTCACACTTTGCTAGGGATCAAATCATGGATTCAGCAGAAAACTATATATGATGTGGGGTCATATTTGGTTTAAATATCTAAGCTTATTGTAAGCATGGATCCTAGGTTTCAGTTTGTCATTTCATTTTGTGGATCCCATATACCTGCTATTGACAGATGTTGTGTACTTGTCAATGACTCGTTCCATGATTTGCAAAATGGTTGATTGGTGCCATGAAAACCATTTTTATGGTTACTCATGTATCAAGTGCATAAGGTTAGATTAAAGTGACTGTTTGCCTAAAGAGGGGTTACCGTATTATTATTTATCCAGTTTTAAATGGATACAATTTCAAATTATAAATCTACGTTTAAGTTAAGTTGTGATTTTTTGGGATCCTTAGCAAAGTGTGAGTAGTATATTTGAAACCCGTGTTACTGAAAGATGCGCACATACAATATAGCTTTGGGGCCTTGCTGGCGTGATCGTTGAAATCAAACTCCAACAGAATCGAGGTCTGCGTGAAGTTTAATTTTTCAACTCGTGGGTTAAGACTAATTTCATCGTTGCTTTGATCATTGTTTACGTCAGCGGGAAGTCCGACAAAGAAAATTAATGAAGGAGTGAAGCCGGCGATGTATGAATACAAATTAAAATTAAATATCTATTAGCGCCAAGCAAAAGCCTAGTGGTTAAAGCGTTTGTTCGTGCCACCTAATAATAACTATTCTGGATAAAATGCAACCGGTGGCGAGGTCCGTCCGGCGAATAACTATTCCGTCCGGCGTGACGCAAAGTATAACGTTGTTTGATAGTTATAACAGTAGATGTTATTGATAAGATATATATATATATAATTCTCGGTTAACTTTCAAATTACACTTAACAATTAGTGTGAGTTATAAACAGTACTAGTTGTTCAGAATTAGTATTCAAGTTTATTTATATGTTTAGATATTCAATCAACTTTGTAGCTAATTCATGAAGTTGTGTCATTAATTGTGACTATATATCACTACTTAAATAACATCCAATTACATGTGTGAATGCAGTATGCGTGTAGATATATACCGACTGATTATATATGGAACCATTATTGGACATGTCCTTTAATTCTATTGCCAATCCGTTGCTTATGCGACATCATATTTTACCATTTGTAGGAAAAGACATATCTTGTGACCAAGTACTGACCGCTATGTAGTGGTATATGTTGTATATACTGACTTTATATCATGGCAATTTGTTGAGGCAGTAATGTGTAGGTCTGCTAAGTGCATGTTGTAATTTGGACCAGCTATGTAGTGGTATATATGTTGTATATACTGACTTTATATCATGGCAATTTGTTGAGGCAGTAATGTGTAGGTCTGCTAAGTGCATGTTGTAATTTGGATACATTGTTTGTGGGTCAGAAACTGTCTAATAAACTTACTGTACATTAAAAACAGAGAAATAGTTGTCGGCTCACCAGAACCTCTACTGTCTTAACAGTCTGTCCTGTCCTGGTAACAGAAGGATACTATTGTAACAGTCTGTCCTGTCCTACCAGAAGGATACTATTGTAACAGTACTGTCAGTGTCCTGTCCTACCAGAAGGATACTGTTGTAACAGTCTGTCCTGTCCTACCAGAAGGATACTATTGTAACAGTCTGTCCTGTCCTACCAGAAGGATACTATTGTAACAGTCTGTCCTGTCCTACCAGAAGATACTATACTATTGTAACAGTCTGTCCTGTCCTACCAGAAGGATACTATTGTAACAGTCTGTCCTGTCCTACCAGAAGGATACTATTGTAATAGTCTGTCCTGTCCTACCAGAAGGATACTATTGTAACAGTCTGTCCTGTCTATACCAGAAGGATACTATTGTAACAGTCTGTCCTGTCCTGTCAGTCTGTCCTGTCCACCAGAAGGATACTATTGTAACAGTCTGTCCTGTCCTACCAGAAGGATACTATTGTAACAGTCTGTCCTGTCCTACCAGAAGGATACTATTGTAACAGTCTGTCCTGTCCTACCAGAAGGATACTATTGTAACAGTCTGTCCTGTCCTACCAGAAGGATACTATTGTAACAGTCTGTCCTGTCCTACCAGAAGGATACTATTGTAACAGTCTGTCCTGTCCTACCAGAAGGATACTATTGTAACAGTCTGTCCTGTCCTACCAGAAGGATACTATTGTAACAGTCTGTCCTGTCCTACCAGAAGGATACTATTGTAACAGTCTGTCCTGTCCTACCAGAAGGATACTATTGTAACAGTCTGTCCTGTCCTGTTGTAACAGTCTGTCCTGTCCTACCAGAAGGATACTATTGTAACAGTCTGTCCTGTCCTACCAGAAGGATACTGTTGTAACAGTCTGTCCTGTCCACCAGAAGGATACTATTGTAACAGTCTGTCCTGTCCTACCAGAAGGATACTATTGTAACAGTCTGTCCTGTCCTACCAGAAGAAGATACTATTGTAATAGTCTGTCCTGTCCTACCAGAAGGATACTATTGTAACAGTCTGTCCTGTCCTACCAGAAGGATACTATTGTAACAGTCTGTCCTGTCCTACCAGAAGGATACTATTGTAACAGTCTGTCCTGTCCTACCAGAAGGATACTATTGTAATAGTCTGTCCTGTCCTACCAGAAGGATACTATTGTAACAGTCTGTCCTGTCCTACCAGAAGGATACTATTGTAACAGTCTGTCCTGTCCTACCAGAAGGATACTATTGTAACAGTCTGTCCTGTCCTACCAGAAGGATACTATTGTAACAGTCTGTCCTGTCCTACCAGAAGGATACTATTGTAACAGTCTGTCCTGTCCTACCAGAAGGATACTATTGTAACAGTCTGTCCTGTCCTACCAGAAGGATACTATTGTAACAGTCTGTCCTGTCCTACCAGAAGGATACTATTGTAACAGTCTGTCCTGTCCTACCAGAAGGATACTATTGTAACAGTCTGTCCTGTCCTACCAGAAGGATACTATTGTAACAGTCTGTCCTGTCCTACCAGAAGGATACTATTGTAACAGTCTGTCCTGTCCTGTCCACCTGTCCTACCAGAAGGATACTATTGTAACAGTCTGTCCTGTCCTACCAGAAGGATACTATTGTAACAGTCTGTCCTGTCCTACCAGAAGGATACTATTGTAAAGGATCTGTTGTAACAGTCTGTCCTGTCCTACCAGAAGGATACTATTGTAACAGTCTGTCCTGTCCTACCAGAAGGATACTATTGTAACAGTCTGTCCTGTCCTACCAGAAGGATACTATTGTAAAGGATAGTTGTAACAGTCCTGTCCTACCAGAAGGATACTATTGTAACAGTCTGTCCTGTCCTACCAGAAGGATACTGTTGTACCAGAAGGATACTATTGTAACAGTCTGTCCTGTCCTACCAGAAGGATACTATTGTAACATTGTAACAGTCTGTCCTGTCCTACCAGAAGGATACTATTTGTAACAGTCTGTCCTGTCCTACCAGAAGGATACTATTGTAACAGTCTGTCCTGTCCTACCAGAAGGATACTATTGTAATAGTCTGTCCTGTCCTACCAGAAGGATACTATTGTAACAGTCTGTCCTGTCCTACCAGAAGGATACTATTGTAACAGTCTGTCCTGTCCTACCAGAAGGATACTATTGTAACAGTCTGTCCTGTCCTACCAGAAGGATACTATTGTAACAGTCTGTCCTGTCCTACCAGAAGGATACTATTGTAACAGTCTGTCCTGTCCTACCAGAAGGATACTATTGTAACAGTCTGTCCTGTCCTACCAGAAGGATACTATTGTAACAGTCTGTCCTGTCCTACTGTCCTGTCCTAGAAGGATACTATTGTAACAGTCTGTCCTGTCCTACCAGAAGGATACTATTGTAACAGTCTGTCCTGTCCTACCAGAAGGATATTATTGTAATAGTCTGTCCTGTCCTACCAGAAGGATACTATTGTAACAGTCTGTCCTGTCCTACCAGAAGGATACTATTGTAACAGTCTGTCCTGTCCTACCAGAAGGATACTATTGTAACAGTCTGTCCTGTCCTACCAGAAGGATACTATTGTAACAGTCTGTCCTGTCCTACCAGAAGGATACTATTGTAACAGTCTGTCCTGTCCTACCAGAAGGATACTATTGTAACAGTCTGTCCTGTCCTACCAGAAGGATACTATTGTAATAGTCTGTCCTGTCCTACCAGAAGGATACTATTGTAACAGTCTGTCCTGTCCTACTATTGTAATAGTCTGTCCTGTCCTACCAGAAGGATACTACCAGAAGGATACTATTGTAACAGTCTGTCCTGTCCTACCAGAAGGATACTATTGTAACAGTCTGTCCTGTCCTACCAGAACGATACTATTGTAACAGTCTGTCCTGTCCTACCAGAAGGATACTATTGTAACAGTCTGTCCTGTCCTACCAGAAGGATACTATTGTAACAGTCTGTCCTGTCCTACCAGAAGGATACTATTGTGTAACAGTCCTGTCCTGTCCTACCAGAAGGATACTATTGTAACAGTCTGTCCTGTCCTGTCCTACCAGAAGGATACTATTGTAACAGTCTGTCCTGTCCTACCAGAAGGATACTATTGTAACAGTCTGTCCTGTCCTACCAGAAGGATACTATTGTAACAGTCTGTCCTGTCCTACCAGAAGGATACTATTGTAACAGTCTGTCCTGTCCTACCAGAAGGATACTATTGTAACAGTCTGTCCTGTCCTACCAGAAGGATACTATTCTAACAGCCTGTCCTGTCCCACCAGAAGGATACTATTCTAACAGCCTGTGCTGCCCCTCCTTAGGCACTTGACTTGTTCGAAAGATACTCTCTCAAAAAGGAAACGCATAACGAAAATGGCATTTTGATGCAGCAGTGTATTGGTACAGGGAGGATTTTACAAAAACGTTTGTTTTGTTTATGATTCCTGTGGTTTTTATGTCTTAAAATATCATATCCAAACGCATCCCGCATGGAATACCCGAATGTATGATTTTCAATAGACACATAATGCACGTGAGATGCAATCGACATATTGCTGTAGGTCACGTGGAAGCAGGACAGTCTCAGCTTACAGTTGTCCGTCGTATGAACGTCCATCAGAGCATGATTTTCATCTCTGGGAGATGTCACCAGCAGAACTCGGTGGAAGATGGACCAAGAAGAGGACGACCTCGAATTACCACTGCAGCGCAAGATCGGTACATCCGGGTACATCTTCTGCGTCATCGATCAGCTACAGCCACCAGTATCGCAAGGCAAATACCCGGATTGAGAACAGTATCTGCGCAGACCGTCAGGAACAGACTGTGGGAGGCGGGTTTAAGAGCTGGAAGACCGTACTTTGGCCCCGTACAGCGTCAGCAGCATCAACAACATCGTGTTCAATGGTGCACCAATGTTTAGGCCTGGACCGTGGTGACTTGATGTCAAATCTGGTTCTGCAATGAATCGAAATTTCTGTTGGAACGACGCGATGGAAGAATGCGGGTGTACAGACGCCGTCATGAACGTTTTGCCGACGCGCGCCCCTCCCCCCAGGTGTGCAGATTCAGCAGGGGAAGTGCGATGGTATGGGGAGCCATAACCTACACTAGAAGAAGTGGGTTGGTGTTGCTCCAAGGCAACCTGGCAGCAACGTTACTGTGATAAAATCCTTCGTCCACTCACAGGGAGCTGTTCCAGGAGGCCAAACGCCTGACCATGTACAGCCCGTGTCACGTCCAGTCATCAGTATGCTGCCTTTGCCTACCAGATCAGCTGTTCCAGGAGGCCAAGACACGCCTGACATGCACTGCAGGCAGAGAGGACTACGATGCACCATCACCAGATCCTACAGGCAGAGTGTCACCAGATCCTACAGAGAGAGGACTTGCCATCACCAGATCCTCAGCAGAGTGGACTACGATGCAGCATCACCAGCATGCTGCCTTTGCCTCACCAGATCCTACAGGCAGACTTGCAGCATCACCAGATCCTACAGCAGAGGGACTGGGATGCAGCATCACCAGATCCTACAGGCAGAGGGATGGAGCATCACCAGATCCTACAGGCAGAGTGGGGTGCGACATCACCAGATCCCCAGACTACGATGTCATCACCTTCCTACAGGCAGAGAGTGGACTACGATGTAGCATCACCAGATCCTACAGAGAGGACTACGATGCAGCATCACCAGATCCTACAGGCAGAGTGGACTACGATGTAGCATCACCAGATCCTACAGGCAGAGTGGACTACGATGTAGCATCACCAGATCCTACAGGCAGAGTGGACTACGATGCAGCATCACCAGATCCTACTGGCAGAGTGGACTACGATGTAGCATCACCAGATCCTACAGGCAGAGTGGACTACGATGTAGCATCACCAGATCCTACAGGCAGAGTGGACTACGATGCAGCATCACCAGATCCTACAGGCAGAGTGGACTACGATGTAGCATCACCAGATCCTACAGCCAGAGTGGACTACGATGTAGCATCACCAGATCCTACAGCCAGAGTGGACAAGGATGCAGCATCACCAGACCCAAAGACTAATTCGTTCCATGCCGAGACGATGTCATGCACGCAGTTCTGAATGATGGTGGTCACACGAGGTACTGACTTCAGTGCCAACAAACGTCCATATATGACCCACCAACTGACCTTTCTCGAACTCCTATCAAACAGTGATACTGTGACATTTCCCATGTGACATTTATTTGAATTCCATTTGCTATTAACATTTGCTACCATTATGAAAAAAAGCCCGAGCTTACACATGATTTTTGCAAAAAAGGTTGGACAAGACCTATCTAAATATAAAGCATTGCAACCTATCGGGCTAACACGAAAAAAATTGGCTTGCTACGCGCCTGATTACATTCCTTACGATGTATCAAAATATAGAGTCAAGTTGTAGTTAAAATTCTTATATGCGTCTCTTTTTTGAGAGAGTTTATATATGCCTCTGTTCACCTCAGTACAGCGCCTCCAAATTTGGGTTGTATTCTCGCCAGAGAGTTGAGAATGAAAAATCGAGAGCACACTGATCGATTGATCAGGACAAAATATTGCAAGGGCATTCAGCGTGTGCCTTTGTTTGGAGTCTAATGTAATATAGAAACGCACAGCATTATTGATATTTTATTATCTACCGCGTGATGGACAGATGATAATTAAATCCAATACACGGGGAGCCAATTTTGCCGGGCCAAGTATACAAAGGGATACGGTGACATGTGTCAACCAAGTCAGCGAGCCTGACCACCCGATCCCGTTAGTCGCCGCATACGACAAGCATGGGAAGATCAATTCTTAAAAAAAGAAATTAAATACAGATCTTCACGGGCCTGGTATGAAAACACATATATACATCTGCACGCACTCATATATGTTTTGATATTGTACGTACATAATCATATGTCCGAAACACATTTATTTTGTGGGACAGGCAAACAAGCGAATAACCGTTTATTTTAATGCTTACCCTTATAATAACCAGGGAGACTCTATAAGAGATGTTGTAGAGTATCCCTGTAATAACGTACAATTCAAACCCAAAGCAACCCTCACACAGAGACACATTTAAACAAAACACTTGTGCCAGTTTGTGATGGATTAATCATGTCAACTTATCGTATTGTATATAATTATGCAGATTATCGCGGAAATGAATAATGCTATAAATGTCATATAATCTACGACGAACGCCATCCACTAAACCAATCAAAACATTCGATCTGACCCTTCCTTCTCGCGAAGAGCAACGGCTTTCACGTGATCAGTCATGTGATTTGGTTCAGAACAAGATGGCGACATTAGACAACAACGGATTTATTTACGCCTTTATAGTGGTGTTTAACATTTTCGTTGACATCAGGATGTGGTACGGTAACGCACATCGAAATCAGTAAGTTTTAGTTGATCTACATCACAGATATGTATTTGCTGACTTTCGAGAATTTACATCCCGTATGAAACTTCCGGAAGTTGAATGTTTATTTACTTTTATGAGTTAGTAACAGTAGGCTCATGTATATAGGCATGCATACTATATTATATAGTAGGGGGTGTGGATACTAAACCGGGGCCTAGTTCATCGATTTTCTGACCCACAGTAGGGGGCCTATATGTATCGATAGTGTAAATGCACGCTAAATAAAAGTTGTTATGAAAATTATTTACGTTGTGACAACTGTTCATAGCTGAGTACATACTTCCATTTGCCTCTGCTTTTCAATAATTGATGTCCTATTTTGGTTGCAACTCCATCAGAGATGTGTTTGTTTAGTTGTGAGAAGGGGATGTGCGGGAAGGACGGTGGTGGTGAGATGTCTTTATACAAGAGCTTGTTAACATAACTTAAGCTATTTATTTAACTAATCCCGGCCTCTGTTTGATAAATCAACTGGTATCAGTTGTATTCGACATAAACCTATATAATTTGTTTTGATTTTTGTTTTCTTTGGAGTGTTTACGCTATCGATAAAAATACGACCAAACCGGAAGCATGCCAGTGGATAGTTTTCACACGCTCTGCGCATGCGCACAGCGAGTTGAAAAGTAATGTGAAACCAACGAATAGTCTTGACCCTAGGGGTCAAACGGTATACCGCGGTATTTTAATACCAAAGAGATATGTCTTTTTCACTAACTGAGGCAGTAATTGCCTGCTGTTATCCCATAATGTTTGACCCATAATGGCGTTATATTTCCCTGTTAGCTATTTGTCAGTTGTTACATTATAGACTGGTCACCAGTCTAAGTAAACTAAGTAGGCTCAGTATTATTCGTTACACTGCTACACTGAGTCTAACAAACCCAAGTAGAAGGTCAGGTCAGTTTACCTTTGAGCAACCTATGACCGTCCAATAAAACGCGAGATGGCCGAACAGATTTAACCAATCAGATAAAGACTACTTGTTAGGGTTCGGCGGGACTTACAAAACGGTTTTGGGATTTTCCCTTCCCTGGTCGCTGACACTGATCTACCAACAAATGAAAATCCACATAAAACACAGATATTTGACCTGCAGTATATACACTTAGGTGTTTCTAATGACATGGTTACTATTAGCTTATATTTCCGCAAGATGACATCCTTGAATATTGACAAAAACGCTATGTTCAGCGACTGTTTACTCATTGCGCCCTCCATGTGTATCACTCGGAAGCGACAGTGCGGAAAACAGCATTTGGAATTGTTCAAGTTTTTTAGGTAAAGGTTCAAATGGTTAACTTTCGCAATTTGGTAAGCTGTGATCTGATTGGTCAGTCCAAAAGGTTAGCTGACGCGACCTTCTACTAGGGTTTGTTAGACTCAGTATAGCAGTGTAAAGTATAATGCTGAGCCTAAGTTTACTTAGACTGGACTGGTCACAGGTTTCAAACACATATTTCAGAGTGGATTGTCCTAATGTGACAGAAAGACACTTGTCAGCTAGGCGAATGTAAAGCATTAGTTTTATACAATTTGACCAACTCTGAACACATTTAACACATGATGGTTAATGGATACAAATCAGTGTTCTGCAAATGTCTGTGTTACAGATGCAAATGTCTGTGTTACAGATGCAAATGTCTGTGTTACAGATGCAAATGTCTGTTACAGATGCAAATGTATTGGTTTCATAAGGAAACCTAATCTGGTTTGATACAGTTGGTTTGTTTTTTACACAACTTGTCCACATCTTTCACACTGTGAGGACTTGTTATATCCCCAGTCAGTTCACGTTATATTTGGGGCAGCGAGGTAGCACAGTGGTTACAGCATTCGCTCACCACATGTAACACCTGGGTTTAATTCCCCACATGGGTGCAATGTGTGAAGCCTATTTCTGGGGTGATATCCTCGTTCAGTTCACTATTTAATTATCACTCATTGTACATTAAGTCTTAATGTGTTACTTTTTCATGAAAAGCTCTCAGAATAATGTTCAATTAATTTAAAATTCTGTGGAAAGGTATATGATCTCTAGTTTCTTCAACCACTTTCCAGTTCTAGCAAATGGGTTTAGTCTGGCAATGTGGAAAGGGCTCCTTCTTCAAAACTGGCCATGTAGATTTTTAAAGGGATGGGGAAAAGTGAGATTCGATGGATCAACTCATAGGTGTCGTCTTTTCAGATGAAGTAAGTTGACATTGTTGTATCATTGACAAGGTTGATGATGGCATCTGTTGAGAGGTTGGTGTCAAGTGGTTCATCAAGACTTCTTAAAAAAATCATTTGGAAGATATAGAATTAGAAATCTTCCATAAATAAACTTGAATCAACAGAAATCATGGCTATTTCATTCTGTCCATGAAGATCTAATCAGAAAAGAAGATGGATTCTTTTAGTTAGTATAAGTTTGTTCAACTATGTAACTTTTCCAATCAGGGTTTTGTAACTGTTACATCCCAACACTAAGTCTGACTTCCTTCCTTGCTTTCTATTTGTTGTTCTCACACCTGGCTTCATGGTGTTATCTGTGTGCTACTTGTTATCTCTTACCTGTTGGTGTCAATATCAATCAGGTGCTGTTCACAACATCATGTTTACACATATACCAATCCTAGGTTATAAACACTCCAGCTTGTCAGAATCTACATCAAAATATCAATAGATGCAATAAATATGAAGTTGGTATCCATACTTTTGAAATTTTCTTTATTTACTGGCTTTAAAATCATGATTAAATAGTGATGAACTGGGGTTGGTTCAAAATTCTCATAAATGTCGATATGTAATGTCTAATTTTAGTGGGGCAGTGCGGTAGCCTAGTGGTTAAAGTGTTCGCTCATCATGCCGAAGACCTGTGTTCGACTCCCCACATGGGTACAAAGTGTGAAGCCCATTTCTAATGTGCCCTGCCGTGATATTGCTGGAATATTGCTCAAAGCGGCATGAAACTAAGCTCACTCACTCGCTCTAATTTTACAAAAGATGTTCATTGATATTAATCATCTTTCAAACTTCCCCTTGTAATGATGTTCATGGAATAGAGAGATATTCTTACCATATTTATAGTATAATTTAAAGCACCCTCTGATCAACTTCTTGAGAAATATGTAACTTACTGTAAGTAATAGAGATAAGTGGCCACAGTCTGAAAAGTACATTACACTAGAGTCTGAGAGACTGTTTTGCTGAAAACACACTTGAATGGGTGTATAACATTACTACACTGTCGGACACTGTTGTGTCAATTTAGGTCCGTGCCTATTCCTTATTAATATATTTATTCCTTATATTCCTTCTTAAATAATCATTTTTCACTTGTGTCAAATAACTTAGAGTATTTACATACATAAAGGTCCTTTCAGCATGTTGGTGTTTGACTGTTGTATTTGTTATCAAAACTGTTTTAGTTTCATTATTTTTTTAAGCTGAATATCTTTTGTCCAAAATACTGAATCTTCTAGCGAGAGGGGGTTGTACACTATATTCAAGAACATACAGTGTCTTCTACCTTATTTTCCCCTGTGACAACAATCTAACTTGTGTTTGACTTTAATGATTCATTGATTGCCCCTCTTTGACCCAGAAAAATATGGTAGGTTTACCCATACATGAGAATGCCACATCACTGTAGCAACTTGCGGCAAAAACTGCGGTAGATGTGGAAATAGTGCGGAAAAAATGAGGTTGTATGAAAAGCCGCACTCATTCATAGTCATGTGGTAAACTTGCGGCTTTTCTGTGGAAAATACGCGGCAAATCAGCACCTACTCATGCGGCATTTCTGCGGTAAACTTCTGCGGTAAATTCGTGCGGAATATATGCGGCATTTTTGTGGTAGATTTGCGGCATTAGGGCCTCATGTTAATTTGCCTCTGTTTTCATGCCGCTAAAATTCCACATAAATGCTGCGTCCAAATACTCAGCATGAGTGGCAAAGTTGCGGCATTTGCATGCGGTAATTTCAGCATGGAAAAATTCTGAGGATTACTGCAGATTACCGCATGTGTTGTGGAATTCTCACATAGGGGTAAGTTCCTGCTATCTTTTTCATGCAGGCAGCTTGAAGCAGTATGTATAAATGGTTTATGTTGACAGTAGCGGTTGACCCTGACAGTAGTGACAGATGAACCACACTAGCTGTTGTTTATTTCCCAATGAAAGCCAGTATATTATGTGATTATGATGGCCTGGGATAATTGAGCATAGAGCTACCCAACTATATTTGAGAAAATACTCAATTTCTAAAATTAACATCCAAATGGGACAATATCATTATACAACCTTAAAGACAGATCATGTATATATGAAGGATTACCAAAGCGAAGTGTTTATTTGTAGTTACAGAGATTCAGCTCTTCTTCCTTAAGGATATCATGCAGCTTCATGCTGTCGTGTGTGGCATCAGGAACTGCAGCAGCACACAGTGTCTCAACAAGTGGCAACCCTCATGAGACTTCTGAAACTATTGAGCCCGCAAATGAATCAAACACTCACTAAGATCTGTTCCATTTTTATTTGCAGATCAACATGATCAAGAATTACCTTTCTATAACAGTTTATGTTTCGCATGTTAGGATGCTGTTATTGTTGTTTGCCGATGATATGGTACTATTTAGTGAAACTGTCCATGGTCTCCAACAGGGCCTAGACTTGCTACGTGAATATTGCCAACAATGGGGTTTAGAAGTTAATGTAGACAAAACTAAGGTTGTAGTGTTTCGAAAGGGTGGTAAATTGGCTAAGAGAGACGTTTGGAATTATGCAGGTAGTCAATTGGAAATTGTTAATAGCTTTAAATATTTGGGTATAGTTTTTACCCCCTCGGGTAGTTTTTCGGAGGCTCAAAGAATATTGTCTGAGCAAGCTGGCAAAGCATTATTTACGTTGTATAGAATAACTAGTCATAAACCCTATATCCAAGTCAGCCAACAATATGAATTGTTTAAATCACTTGTTATACCTATTTTGAACTATGGGTGTGAAGTCTGGGGCTTTATGGAGGCACCCGCTGTTGAACGGATTCATTTAAGGTACTTGAAAAAATTGCTGAAAGTTAAGATATCCACACCATCAAGTTATATACTAGTATATGGTGAGTTTGGTGTTTTGCCTCTGTACACAAGTAGAATATTACGTGTCTTACATTATTGTTTAAAACTCATTAACTGTGAAAATCATAGATACATACGTGTTGTATATGATGCCTTGTTAGAAATGTCTATAGTCAATCCAGAATGTAAAACATGGGTTACTTTACTGAGAGATGTATTATGTCAATACGGGTTTGGCTATGTCTGGTTGTCGCAAACTGTATCTTGTAAGACTAGCTTTTTAAATGAATTCAGACAAAGAGTAAATGATATCCATATCCAAATGTGGAGATATCAGCTTTTATCGCTTAGTGACACTAGATTGTAGCTACACATCAAGGAAACATTTGAATTTGAACGCTATCTCTGTAGGATAGAAATAGCTAAATATAGAATAGCCTTAACGCGATTTCGATTAAGTTCTCACATGTTATTAGTAGAAAAGGGATGGTGGAGTAAGTTAGATATATCGAATAGAGTATGTCCTTTTTGTACTAGTTGTTTGGAAGATGAGTATCATGTTGTAATGGTCTGTCCAAGGTACGTAAAATATAGACAGTTGTACTTAGACAAGAGTTTGTATCAAAATCCGAGTATGTACAAGTTTGTACAATTTCTGAAAAGTAAGTCCGAAAATAATATTCTTAAGTTAGCTAAGTTTGTTTATCATATCCTTAAAGAAAGAGGCAGTTATGAAATGTATGCTAAGAAAAACTAAAAACTGTGAGAAACACCTATAAGACTACGCCTATAATATTATTCCATTCGCTGCCATTGTGTTGACTTGCAATCTGTACCAACATCCGATCACAAATACATTTGTAGGGCTATAGTTTGTAAACGTAAGTGCAAAATAGTATTTGCAAAATGACCAAGCTGCTAACCTTATATCCTTATTTGTTGTTAACATTCTGTCACCAGACAATACTGTTCATTTAGTTTTCAGTACCCGGTACCATTGGAGATGTGCCTATTGCATGTGCATTATTATCATTATTGCAATATGAATTGTAACTTGTATACTGGCCTCTGGCCTATTAAGAAATAAATTCATATAACAGGGTATAAAACTCCCCAAAAATTCAGCCAGGCCACAGGGCTGGTTAGATGTAAAACTTGCCAGCGCTGACCAAAACTTACCTGCCCAGACAAATAAGTTAGGTTTGACAAGCGACGTAGTTTATCATCCAATTGGAATTCATCATTTATTTTTACGAGTGGATTAATAATGATTTATTATCCTGAAATATGATGAATATCTTCATATACATGTCTAAATTTTAACCCGACTGTCAGGCAGGTGAATTTGAGAATCTGGCAGTCCGTGTTGAAAATAACCCGTCTAGACGGGCGGTCGAGCAGGCAGGTATTTCGAACGCTGCCTATAAGCTCTACTGCAGTGAATAATGCTGTCTTCCTTATTGTATCTGATACCTTTAACACTGTATGGAGCTATTGTTTCAACTTTGCATACTTGAAATCTTATGGTATTGAAATCCTTAAATAACTCGATATGTTATTCAAGTATTGATAGATAATTGCTTCTTTTATAGGTCATAGAGCCCTTGAACATTTTGCTGATCAGAAGGGACAGTTTACCTACCAACAGGTGGGTGTTTCATAGGAGCTTTTGGACCATAACAGCATCACTTAATCAGAAGTCAGATGTAACACAATCACTGCACAGTCAACTTCAGATGTGACACAATCACTGCACAGTCAACTTCAGATGTAACACAATCACAATACAGTCAACTTCAGATGTAACACAATCACAATACAGTCAACTTCAGATGTAACACAATCACAATACAGTCAACTTCAGATGTGACACAATCACAATACAGTCAACTTCAGATGTAACACAATCACAATACAGTCAACTTCAGATGTAACACAATCACAATACAGTCAACTTCAGATGTGACACAATCACAATACACAGTCAACTTCAGATGTAACACAATCACAATACAGTCAACTTCAGATGTAACACAATCACAATACAGTCAACTTCAGATGTGACACAATCACAATACAGTCAACTTCAGATGTGACACAATCACAATACAGTCAACTTCAGATGTAACACAATCACAATACAGTCAACTTCAGATGTAACACAATCACAGTCAACTTCACATGTCAACTTCAGATGTGACACAATCACAATACAACTTCAGTCAACTTCAGATGTAACACAATCACAATACAGTCAACTTCAGATGTAACACAATCACTGCACAGTCAACTTCAGATGTAACACAATCACAATACAGTCAACTTCAGATGTAACACAATCACTGCACAGTCAACTTCAGATGTAACACAATCACAATACAGTCAACTTCAGATGTAACACAATCACAATACAGTCAACTTCAGATGTGACACAATCACTGCACAGTCAACTTCAGATGTAACACAATCACAATACAGTCAACTTCAGATGTGACACAATCACTGCACAGTCAACTTCAGATGTAACACAATCACAATACAGTCAACTTCAGATGTAACACAATCACTGCACAGTCAACTTCAGATGTGACACATTCACAATACAGTCAACTTCAGATGTAACACAATCACAATACAGTCAACTTCAGATGTAACACAATCACAATACAGTCAATTTCAGATGTGACACATTCACAATACAGTCAACTTCAGATGTGACACAATCACTGCACAGTCAACTTCAGATGTGACACATTCACAATGCAGTCAACTTCAGTTATAATCACAGGCAACTTTATAACAAAATCACAATACAGTCAACTTCAGTTATAATCACAGGCAACTTTATAACAAAATCACAATACAGTCAACTTCAGTTATAATCACAGGCAACTTTATAACAAAATCACAATACAGTCAACTTCAGTTATAATCACAGGCAACTTTATAACAAAATCACAATACAGTCAACTTCAGTTATAATCACAGGCAACTTTATAACAAAATCACAATACAGTCAACTTCAAAATATGATGAGACAATGACAGGAGGCTGCTTTCTTCCAGTTGTTGCGGAAGCACCAAGACGCCTTCCAGGCAGGAAGCCCTTACCCTGACGCCTACTACTCCAACATCTGTGCTGGTGGTGAGTCTCCATGGAAACCCTAGTATAAGGGATGCCCTCCTCCTGAGTCAACAAATCACATTTCTTACATATATATATATGCAGACAGACACCTTGTTTAAAAATAATTACAACAATGCTTTTTTTTTTTTGCATGGAAACTAGAAATTAAATGACTTCATTTTCCAGTGATTTTCAGAATCAACTGACAATGTTCAAGGGTCATTTTAAAAATTGCAGTTTTCATTACTGCTTAAGAAATGACATCTGCAATTCTTGGTGAAACAATAGAGCTGAATAATGGCAGAGTAAGCATGATAAGACCGATAAGGTTAAAACTACATACATACAGACAGAGAGACATACATACATACATTTGGGTAGGTGGGGTAGCCTAGTGGTTAAAGCGTTAGCTCGTCACGCCGAAGACCCGGGTTCGAATCCCCACATGGGTACAACGTGTGAAGCCCATTTCTGGTGTCCCCCGCCGTGATGTTGCTGAAATATTGCTAAAAGCGGCGTAAAACCAAACTCAGTCAGTCAGACATACATACATTGGGGGAGTTTTCTAGTTTTTGGGACATTTCAGATGAATAAAAAATGTCTTAATTATTTAGTTAATTTGTATTTGGATTAACTACTGTGTGCTTCGTCTTCATGCAGACTACTATATATTGCTGCATGTAAGGCAAGTTTTTCCTACCTAGAATGAGAGGGGTTTGAAGGGGTGGTGGGGGGTGTCACCTTATGGTAGAAGATCGCACCTTTCATTTTCACTGCATCATGATTGCAATGGATGTTGTTGACAGTAAAACATTCGAAACAACTGATCCAAAACCTATTTGATATATAAAAGTCCTTTGTACCCAAATTCCTTGTTCATACTAAAGATATTCTGCAAATAAAGTTTAAATGACCTCTCCTCAATTATGATTGCCCAGCCAGCTGACATGAGAGCATGGGGTAAGGATGAGGTGGATGATCTCAAATGTTTCCAATACAGTTTGGTGATCGAAACTTAAAATGTAGCATACTACCCTGTTTTTATCACATTGTATGTTATCTACAAAACAATACATTTTGGAATGTGTAACTTGATCATTTAGCTGATACTAAAGCACATTATCTGTCTGAAAGGAAAATACCATAACATATCTGAAGACAGCCATTGGTCACCCTTCTTCAACGCAACCCTCAACTACATCCGGAGGAAGTACCCCCCTCCCTGGGACCAGGTCAGTTCACACACCCATTATGACAACCTGCCAATGACAGTGTTGTTACCTCTCTTTATTGAAGGGTCCTTACCTAAACATAAAAGTTACAATATTGACATTGAAACTGTTCTTGATTTAACTGTCTTAATGAAGAAGACAAACAATATTTCTGTTTGTTGCTATATATCCCACAAATGTTCATATCTACAGCAACCTAGCAAAGTCAAGTTACATAAACTTCCTGATAGTTATGGGTAATACAATTAAAACATTATCTCGGAATTGTCAGGGCATCAATGCAGGGGTTGAAATAACCCATTGCCCGACGTCCAAGTCCAGTGTTTTTTTCTGTCGGGCAAGCAAATTTGTATATCACACTGTACCGGTGTCCAGTTGACTTTCCAATGTTAATAATGTTATTTGTTTAAAAAATCAACAAGAAAACGGCCGGTATAGTGGAAAAATTATTAGGGCAAGTGATTTTACATGTGCCACTGTACAATAGCAATTTTAAAGTTATTTCCACCCCTGCAATGACAAAACAAAACACAGGGAAATGTTTACATTTGTAAAGAAAATAACAAGGGATTAATGACAATGTGGTCAATCAGAAACCTAACACCTCTGGGAAGAAATACAGTGTTAACATCACTTGTTTTCAGCACTAACTGTCCCACCTACAGGTGTGTTTCAAACTTGATGGTTCAAGTATTTTGGGTGAATCAAACCAGATTAGAAGAAGTCTAATTGTATGTGAAAAAAGGATGGACACATACATTTCCCACAAATGTTCAAATGAATAATGGTATCTCAAAAGTTATAGATAATACACATGGTATTTAGAATTTCTTCAAATTGTACATCGTGTGTCATCAATGGTGATGATGATGATGATGATGATGATGAATGATGATACTCTTTCTCCATGGCAGGCGACAGAGAAGTTGGTGGTTTTCATGTTTGGCTTCATGTCACATCAAGTAGCAGATGTGTTGTGGCACAACTTGGATATCTCTCAGGGCTTCCTACAGACCATGGCCTATGTAGGTACATTGTATCTAGTTGTGTGTTATGGTACAATCTGGGGATCTCTCAGGGCTTCCTACAGACCATGGCCTATGTAGGTACATTGTATCTAGTTGTGTGTTATGGTACAATCTGGGGATTTCACAGGGTTCCTACAGACCATGGCCTATGTAGGTACATTGTATCTAGTTGTGTGTTATGGTACAATCTGGGGATTTCACAGGGTTCCTACAGACCATGGCCTATGTAGGTATCTAGTTGTGTGTTATGGTACAATCTGGGGATTTCACAGGGTTCCTACAGACCATGGCCTATGTAGGTATCTAGTTGTGTGTTATGGTACAATCTGGGGATTTCACAGGGTTCCTGCAGACCATGGCCTATGTAGGTAGGTATTGTAGTTAGTTGTGTGTTGTGGTACAATCTGGGGATTTCACAGGGTTCCTGCAGACCATGGCCTATGTAGGTATCTAGTTGTGTGTTATGGTACAATCTGGGGGGGTTCCTTTCACAGGGTTCCTGCAGACCATGGCCTATGTAGGTATCTAGTTGTGTGTTATGGTACAATCTGGGGATTTCTACAGGGTTCCTACAGACCATGGCCACCATGTAGGTATCTAGTTGTGTGTTATGGTACAATCTGGGGATTTCACAGGGTTCCTACAGACCATGGCCTATGTAGGTATCTAGTTGTGTGTTATGGTACAATCTGGGGATTTCACAGGGCTTCCTACAGACCATGGCCTATGTAGGTATCTAGTTGTGTGTTATGGTACAATCTGGGGATTTCACAGGGTTCCTACAGACCATGGCCTATGTAGGTATCTAGTTGTGTGTTATGGTACAATCTGGGGATTTCACAGGGTTCCTACAGACCATGGCCAATGTAGGTATCTAGTTGTGTGTTATGGTACAATCTGGGGATTTCACAGGGTTCCTACAGACCATGGCCTATGTAGGTATCTAGTTGTGTGTTATGGTACAATCTGGGGATTTCACAGGGTTCCTACAGACCATGGCCTATGTAGGTATCTAGTTGTGTGTTATGGTACAATCTGGGGGGTTTCACAGGGTTCCTGCAGACCATGGCCTATGTAGGTATCTAGTTGTGTGTTATGGTACAATCTGGGGATTTCACAGGGTTCCTGCAGACCATGGCCTATGTAGGTATCTAGTTGTGTGTTATGGTACAATCTGGGGGTATTTCACAGGGTTCCTGCAGACCATGGCCTATGTAGGTATCTAGTTGTGTGTTATGGTACAATCTGGGGATTTCACAGGGTTCCTGCAGACCATGGCCAATGTAGGTATCTAGTTGTGTGTTATGGTACAATCTGGGGGATTTCACAGGGTTCCTACAGACCATGGCCTATGTAGCTAGTTGTGTGTTATGGTACAATCTGGGGATTTCACAGGGCCTATTCCTGCAGACCATGGCCTATGTAGGTATCTAGTTGTGTGTTATGGTACAATCTGGGGATTTCACAGGGTTCCTGCAGACCATGGCCTATGTAGGTACTTTGTATCTAGTTGTGTGTTATGGTACAATCTGGGGATTTCACAGGGTTCCTGCAGACCATGGCCTATGTAGGTATCTAGTTGTGTGTTATGGTACAATCTGGGGATCTCTCAGGGCTTCCTGCAGACCATGGCCAATGTAGGTATCTAGTTGTGTGTTATGGTACAATCTGGGGATTTCACAGGGCTTCCTGCAGACCATGGCCTATGTAGGTATCTAGTTGTGTGTTATGGTACAATCTGGGGATTTCACAGGGTTCCTGCAGACCATGGCCTATGTAGGTATCTAGTTGTGTGTTATGGTACAATCTGGGGATTTCACAGGGTTCCTGCAGACCATGGCCTATGTAGGTATCTAGTTGTGTGTTATGGTACAATCTGGGGATTTCACAGGGTTCCTGCAGACCATGGCCTATGTAGGTATCTAGTTGTGTGTTATGGTACAATCTGGGGATTTCACAGGGTTCCTGCAGACCATGGCCTATGTAGGTATCTAGTTGTGTGTTATGGTACAATCTGGGGATTTCTCTCAGGGTTCCTGCAGACCATGGCCTATGTAGGTATCTAGTTGTGTGTTATGGTACAATCTGGGGATCTCTCAGGGTTCCTACAGACCATGGCCTATGTAGGTACTTTGTATCTAGTTGTGTGTTATGGTACAATCTGGGGATTTCACAGGGTTCCTGCAGACCATGGCCTATGTAGGTATCTAGTTGTGTGTTATGGTACAATCTGGGGATTTCACAGGGCTTCCTGCAGACCATGGCCAATGTAGGTATCTAGTTGTGTGTTATGGTACAATCTGGGGATTTCACAGGGTTCCTGCAGACCATGGCCTATGTAGGTATCTAGTTGTGTGTTATGGTACAATCTGGGGATTTCACAGGGCTTCCTACAGACCATGGCCTATGTAGGTACATTGTATCTAGTTGTGTGTTATGGTACAATCTGGGGATCTCTCAGGGCTTCCTCACAGGGTTCCTACAGACCATGGCCTATGTAGGTATCTAGTTGTGTGTTATGGTACAATCTGGGGATTTCACAGGGCTTCCTACAGACCATGGCCTATGTAGGTATCTAGTTGTGTGTTATGGTACAATCTGGGGATTTCACAGGGTTCCTGCAGACCATGGCCTATGTAGGTATCTAGTTGTGTGTTATGGTACAATCTGGGGATTTCACAGGGTTCCTACAGACCATGGCCTATGTAGGTATCTAGTTGTGTGTTATGGTACAATCTGGGGATTTCACAGGGCTTCCTGCAGACCATGGCCTATGTAGGTATCTAGTTGTGTGTTATGGTACAATCTGGGGATTTCACAGGGTTCCTACAGACCATGGCCTATGTAGGTATCTAGTTGTGTGTTATGGTACAATCTGGGGATTTCACAGGGCCTATGTTCCTAGCAGACCATGGCCTATGTAGGTATCTAGTTGTGTGTTATGGTACAATCTGGGGATTTCACAGGGCTTCCTGCAGACCATGGCCAATGTAGGTATCTAGTTGTGTGTTATGGTACAATCTGGGGATTTCACAGGGTTCCTACAGACCATGGCCAATGTAGGTATCTAGTTGTGTGTTATGGTACAATCTGGGGATTTCACAGGGCTTCCTACAGACCATGGCCTATGTAGGTATCTAGTTGTGTGTTATGGTACAATCTGGGGATTTCACAGGGCTTCCTACAGACCATGGCCTATGTAGGTATCTAGTCTTGTGTGCTGGGGCGTCTTTATACCATGTGAGAAAAATGTGAAGATATATATATGAAAATATAATTAGTTGCTGTATGATTCTTGTTGTTTTTAGATCAACTTCAATGGTGTGTATGGGGTGGCTCATACTGCAGGAGATATAGGTAGGTGTTTTTAACACAGATATTGTGTTGTCTCGCTTGTACAGCTTTAAAATAGAAGGAGTAAATGGAATGTCAGCTTATTCCCTCAAAGATTTTATGTTGACTCTGAGATGGATTACCTTAGATATTTTGTCCCAAATTTCAAGTTTTTATTGACCATGTTTGTTAATCTGTGTGCATTTACCTGAAGGGATGTGATGTATATTTTTTTTCTGGGCATAAGACATGTAGAATGAGGACTATTTTTATGGATATACAACTTCTTTATTCTATATAGGCGACGTTTCGACATAGATTCTAATGTCGTTGTCAAGCAAGTGGAGACAACGACATTAGAATCTATGTCAAAACGTCACCTATATAGATAAAGAAGTTGTATATCCATAAAAATAGTCCTCATTCTACATCTACCACAACTTTTAGAATGCCAATCAAAGAAGATAAGACATGTACTCAAATTATGCTTCTAAAATACTGAATCCCCTGGATGGGGATGTGCATTATGCTTGGGTGCCCACTTTACTCAAGAAAATACAGTGAAGTAGACTACAGATGTAACAAATTCACAGATAGGACTAATTGTAGTTTGTTATAACCATATAGTTTGCCATAGTTATTTTCACTAAAAATACTGCAAATGGTCAATACAAAGAAAAAGTTAGTTGTATCTTTCAATTCGTTATCAGCATGTTCGTTGTATACTAACTTTACTGTATTTGAAAGTAGAATAAGAAATATAACGTTTTTTGGCATTCTTGCAGGTGGTGATGTACTGACAGAGTTTGAGATGAATCTGAACCACACAGTTGAACTCTCTGACTGGTGAGTGACTGACACTGATTACCTCCCCTGTCCACATTGAGCTCTTCCTGACTTTGATTACCTCCCCTGTCCACATTGAGCTCTTCCTGACTTTGACTTTGATTACCTCCCCTGTCCACATTGAGCTCTTCCTGACTTTGATTACCTCCCCTGTCCACATTGAGCTCTTCCTGACTTTGATTACAGCCCCTGTCCACATTGAGCTCTTCCTTACCAGTCTGCCGTTACCAGCCAGGAGTGATCAAGATTCACACTAGACTGCCATGTTTCATAGTCTCTTGCTTACCATACATTATTGTTCAGAAATAAATACTTATGATTTTAGTGCAGAGTCTGTTCAAATGTTAATTTTATTAGAGGTTAATTTCACCAGAGACCATATAATATGGTCTCTGATTTCACATGTAAACCATTCTACCATGGCAAATTTCAAGGCAAACTCTTTTTAAAGTAGATATTATTATTGGAAGCACTATTTTCTAACCTGAACATCATTTTTCACTTTTCTATTACCAATAGAAAAGTTATCTACTTAGATCGATGTGGCCTCAAATCTGCCATTTCAGTGGTTATTGTAATCTGGAACATATACACAACAGAACAGTGAATGTTAATCTCTGTGTTCCTAGCCATGTTTTGGTTTTGTTAGCTCCATCATTAGACCATAGAGCAGTTGAATGCATGTTACTGTACACATGTACATCAATCTGTAGGTATGTTCCGATTGATGACCTCGTCAACATCTACCGGGACTTGTATGGTCGGGACAGGATACCAAAGGATATTATGGAGGCCTGCATATCAACACTGTTTCTGGAAAGGTCAGGGTCATGTAATCTATTTTAGGTCACAGTTTTATAATGTACCATGTATAAATGATAAATATATATTGTAATTACTGCCAAAAGGCCAGAGCAATTGTATTTCTTGTTTTACGGATTTTTGTCCACAGAAAACCTAAAGGCTGGAGGGAAAAAAAATAAGAATAAAATCAAGAGTCAAAGTAATATTCCTTCTAAATATTAAAAGTATTTTACTTCTGGCAATTTATGATATGAATATGGGGCAAAAAAACAATTAAAAAAACTTTTTCTTGTAAGTTAAAATTTTGGCCAATAAAATTTATTTTTGAGCAGGCAAAATTAATTTTTATTCTTTTTCTTATTCTTGAAAAAATACGACCAGCAGATCCATGAAACAAGAAATAAAATTGGTCTGGCCTAATCATAAAAACTGTTAACATGTTATATTTTATAATTACTTAAATGCTTTTTGTATAACCTGTAGCCTCTTCAGTCGTGTTATTAACTTGAACAAAGTCAAATTCAAAATTAGCATTAACCTATATTCTTCTTAATTGTTTACTTCTTAGCCTTTTCTGCTCAATAAGTTTTAGCACAAGGTGTTGTACACAGAGAGGGTGATTTAAGACATTTTTGACTTCCCTAAACATGGGACAATTAACCAATAATTCATACATTTATATCTAATAGAAAAATACATACTGATATACGAAAACATATTTTCACATTTGTAAACATACAGAAGTCACAATAAGACCAAAGCAAACATTGAAGTTGTTGTTTGGAGAGCACAATGTGTGTGGTTCGGTCTCCTGGCTGCATCCTAGTGGAAGGTGTGGAGGTGTTCTGTTGTAATGGGATGTAACAAGGATGATCTGGCTTGAACAGTATACTGTGTCTGAGTGAGGTATCCATGGTAACATTGCTGCATGGTATCACAGTGGGATTGTGCAACAATACCAGTCTGGACCAGACCTAGCAGCCACACACATCAATATAAGAGTGAAATAATGTTGAACAAGACATTAATCCTTATCTTACCTTCATGTGAAATACTTTAATTTCATTGGTCAATGACGCTTTAACAAGTTTCCGTGTCACCCCTCCCATTTTTATAGCAGTTTTAAGCTTGTCAGAATATGTTTCACTGATTTAAAAAATCCCGTCAAGAGGCAGACGCCATTTTGTTTACATGTCATGTAGTCGGTAGCGATCTTTAAAATAAAATGAAATGATATTTTGTACATTTAACATGGCGGTCATCCCTCGCCTACTGGCTCAGGTGACACTGCTACAAAGAGGCGTACATCAGACCATATTACCCTCGAGAGAAGCATACAACTTATATTATGTCACCTCACCTCTTCCACAATGCTTCATGATCAGGATCCTGTTCCACACAGCTTCCACATAGCGCCATGATGGTTGTAACTCTCACACTTTACATACACCTACGATTTTAGCGATTGCTTTGTAAAACGTTACCCTGTACCTAGCTCAGGGCTAATTCGGTTTATGCTCAGTCAGATGTATGGGCGTATGGGAAATATGCTGCGAATATTGCCACATTCTTTAAAAAAATCATCCTAAAAATGTAGAGACCACCAACTCTTTGTTGTCCGATCCATAGTGGTTGATATGTAAATTTTCTCTGGAATTTCAGACTCGGAGAACAACTTGCAATAGGAAAGGTATGATTTCCAAGATTGAGAATGTTAAATTTTGCCATTTTAAAATGTTTAAGTTACCTAGTTTGAACATCACATGGTTGAAAGGTGTTAAGGTTCCTGGTGTATTTCCCTCTGCCATGATATTGGTGGTATAACCATAATAACTAACAACCCTCTCGCCTCACTAAATAATAATGATAATAATGTGAGTATATGGCACTAACATCCACACATAATGTGTATGCCCAAACACTAACATTATTACCCCGGTCAATGGATCAGTGTGCACTACAAAGCGCTATATGGATAACAGTCATGTGACATCTCATCCCTCCAGGTACCCATTCACTGCTGGGTGAACAGAGCCACTTGCCTCCACCTGTCAGCTCTGCCAGAAAATGTTTGAACAATTGTTGTCTTATAGTGTCAATATTGATACTGTTATTTCTGAAGACTCATGTTCTTGATCAGTGTGTGAAGGGGTTGTTGGATAGCTGGGTTGTACAGGTGTCAGCTTATACTGAAAACCAAGTTGTTTCCTCATTTGGGTACAATTTCCGATTCCAATGGATATGTGGAATATTGCTAACTGAGGCGTAAACCCTACATACTCACAATCACTCAGTTTTAGATAGTTGGACAATCCTTACATTATTTTCATTTGTTATCAGCTCTTCACCACCTATGCAAAGAAGAGCCCATTTCTGGTCGACCAGTTTACTGACTACTTTGTGGGTGGCATAGACGACATGTCAGCTTGGACCCAGATCATCTGGAGACGTGTGGTGTATATGTTGGAACATGGTCAGAGGTAGGTCATCTGGAGATATGTGGTGTATATGTTGGAACACGGTCAGAGGTAGGTCATCTGGAGATATGTGGTGTATATGTTGGAAGATGGTCAGAGGTAGGTCATCTGGAGACATGTGGTGTATATGTTGGAACACGGTCAGAGGTAGGTCATCTGGAGACATGTGGTGTATATGTTGGAACATGGTCAGAGGTAGGTCATCTGGAGACATGTGGTGTATATGTTGGAAGATGGTCAGAGGTAGGTCATCTGGAAACGTGTGGTGTATATGTTGGAACACTGTCAGAGGTAGGTCATCTGGAGATATGTGGTGTATATGTTGGAACATGGTCAGAGGTAGGTCATCTGGAGACATGTGGTGTATATGTTGGAACATGGTCAGAGGTAGGTCATCTGGAGACATGTGGTGTATATGTTGGAACAGAGGTCAGAGGTAGGTCATCTCTGGAGGATGTGGTGTATATGTTGGAACATGGTCAGAGGTAGGTCATCTGGAGACATGTGGTGTATATGTTGGAACATGTTGGAACATGGTCAGAGGTAGGTCATCTGGAGACATGTGTGTGGTGTATATGTTGGAACATGGTCAGAGGTAGGTCATCTGGAGATATGTGGTGTATATGTTGGAACATGGTCAGAGGTGGTCATCTGGAGACATGTGGTGTATATGTTGGAACATGGTCAGAGGTAGGTCATCTGGAGATATGTGGTGTATATGTTGGAACATGGTCAGAGGTAGGTCATCTGGAGATGGAAAACATGGTCAGAGGTAGGTCATCTGGAGGTGGTGGTGTATATGTTGGAACATGGTCAGAGGTAGGTCATCTGGAGATATGTGGTGTATATGTTGGAACATGGTCAGAGGTAGGTCATCTGGAGATATGTGGTGTATATGTTGGAACATGGTCAGAGGTAGGTCATCTGGAGATATGTGGTGTATATGTTGGAACATGGTCAGAGGTAGGTCATCTGGAGATATGTGGTGTATATGTTGGAACATGGTCAGAGGTAGGTCATCTGGAGATATGTGGTGTATATGTTGGAACATGGTCAGAGGTAGGTCATCTGGTCAGAGATGTGGTGTATATGTTGGAACATGGTCAGAGGTAGGTCATCTGGAGATTGGTGTATATGTTGGAACATGGTCAGAGGTAGGTCATCTGGAGATATGTGGTGTATATGTTGGAACATGGTCAGAGGTAGGTCATCTGGAGATATGTGGTGTATATGTTGGAACATGGTCAGAGGTAGGTCATCTGGAGACATGTGGTGTATATGTTGGAACATGGTCAGAGGTAGGTCATCTGGAGATATGTGGTGTATATGTTGGAACATGGTCAGAGGTAGGTCATCTGGAGATCATGGTCATAGGTCATCTGGAGAGGTGGTGTATATGTTGGAACATGGTCAGAGGTAGGTCATCTGGAGATATGTGGTGTATATGTTGGAACATGGTCAGAGGTAGGTCATCTGGAGACATGTGGTGTATATGTTGGAACATGGTCAGAGGTAGGTCATCTGGAGACATGTGGTGTATATGTTGGAACATGGTCAGAGGTAGGTCATCTGGAGACATGTGGTGTATATGTTGGAACACATTCAGAGGTAGGTCATCTGGAGACATGTGGTTGTTGTTTTGACCACTGGTTAAATCTGAAGAAGGCTCATCTTCCAATGAAATTCTCCCCATTATCCTTTACTGGTATAACATGGAAGATGTCTTGGTTTCAGTGAGTGTAATGTCACCCACAACCCGCTGTACATCACATGTGGCCAGTCTCCGCAATACCCACAGGTAGTTCACAGGAAGTCAGCAAGGGAGTCTGGGATACCTGTGAGACTCACAGACCATGGACTGTCCCATGAAGACATTATTGTGGAGAAAGCATATCGAGGGATACGATTCAGAGCAACTGACAGACTCAAGGTCAGTCATTTTTAGAGACTATTGATGTTTTTTTTTGGATAACCATGTTGATGACAACAACAATTAGCCACAAAGAACTCCCCTAACCTATACATGCACATGTTTCATAATGCAATGGTAGTCACTTAAGGTGGTTTCTGATATAACTTGGTACAGTTTGTTTAAATGTATTCCATGGGTGCAGTGTGATGACTGGTTCCTATTTTCATTCTTTTGCCAGGAATTTATGCGCCAGAAGCAACATAAGAAGCAAAGGATTTCCAAGTTACGCCAGAAGGAAAATTCAAACGAAAAGCAGCCTGATGCTGTTTATACGGTTCCAGAAAAATATGCCAAATTTGGCTGGTGGGTGTACCAATGTCCTGACGTTTTTGCCCCACTTTCAGAATGTAGCAGCAGGTTTCTGGAAACCACATGATTTCATACATGGTTAAACTTTTAAAGTGTCTGCCCATCACGCTGAACACCAGTGTTTGATTCCCCACATGGGTACAACATGTGAAGCCCATTTCTGGTGTCCCCAGCCATTTTATGTGTGGAATATTGCTAACATGATTGCTAACTCACTCATTCACACATACATGGTAATTGTAAAGTTTATCCATGAGATGCTGGTCTTTGTGTGGTTAGGTTTGCACTAATTTTTGTGCAGGTCTCTGGCTGTTGGTGACCTGAATAATGATGGTCAAGATGACCTGGCTATTGGTGCCCCGGGGTATGGCAGTGAGTTCTCCCCACAAGACGGCAAGGTCTTCATCATCTATGGTAGGTGGGGAAATAGGTGTTTGACTGTGTGCAGGTTGAAACCCCATGCAGGTGCTTGGTAGAAAGTTAATTTGTGGTAAATTCACACTACTCTTGATTTTTTTATAAATGTTGAAGTCATGGAATAATAACCTTATAAATCAGAGTGTGGGGGAATGTAAAAATTGGGAGTTTTGGTGACTCACAATAAATGTTTTAGCAAGTCGTTTCCTAAATTTGCTAGTCTTGAAATCATTGTGTCAATAACATAATTCCATTATTAGTACTAACTAAAGTAGGGCTGTGAAAGTATATTTTGTGATATTGTTCTCTGTTGCAGTGCATGGTTACTTATATAGCGCTTCTTGTATTTAGTGGAGTAATGGGATTCAGGGTACTTGTGCAATGAAGGTCCTTGTGTGATGAAGGTCCTTGTGTTATGAAGGTCCTTGTGTAATGAAGGTCCTTGTGCAATGAAGGTCCTTGTGTGAAGAAGGTCCTTGTGTTATGAAGGTCATTGTGCAATGAAGGTCCTTGTGTGAAGAAGGTCCTTGTGTTATGAAGGTCCTTGTGTTATGAAGGTCCTTGTGCAATGAAGGTCCTTGTGTGATGAAGGTCCTTGTGTAATGAAGGTCCTTTCATGATGATGGTCCTTGTGTGATGAAGGGCCTTGTGTGATTTTTTCCTTGTGTGATTTTTGTCTTGGCTGGTCAATGATGAATACTGGATACAGAATTTCATGGAGCAGTGACAAAAGCACATGCAAAACATTCCTTGGAAGCAAACAACAGCAGAATAAAGAGTGAACATTTGCTGATGAAATATGATTTCTGTAACACTGTGACCTATTAACACAGTCTGTGATAAATTGGTCTGCAATTATGTTTTGCAGGAACAGACAATGGTCTTCCACTTAAAACTATGGATAATTTCAATGTTCAAGCAAACCAAGTTCTTAATGGCCCATTTAAGGTAAGCATCAGACTTATATATCTCTGTGTCCATCAGTGAATTCTTGCTGAACACTGTTCACTTGTCACATAGAAGCCACAGGATTGATTCACCACATGTGTACAATCTGTGAGGCCCTTTTCTGGTGTTCCCCCCCATGATATTGATGGAATATTGCTAAAAGAGGCGTAAAACCATACTCGCTCATTCACTTGTTGGACGTGTTGAGTTGTGTGTTTCCAGAAAGGATCCAAAATGAAGTAATGAGAACAAGCAGATCTTTGATTCCAAGTGTGTTTCGCAACAAATATGGCAACTGTGCAATAAAGTCCTGATACATGTACTCTTACTGAGCTGTCACTCATATCTTCCAGGCCCAGGCCAGGTTTGGCTCGTCGATTGCCATTGTCGATATCAACATGGATGGCATCAATGACATAGCTGTTGGGGCTCCCAACATGGGGTCAGAATCTACTCCTCTCAAGTACCAGGTAACAAACAGCTTTTCTGTTATCACATGTAAAAAGCAAGTTTTTCGTACCTGGAATGAGAGGGGTTTGAAGTGAAGATTGTCTTATACACAGGATAGAAGATCTTACATTGTTTCCAGCTGGATCATATCTGTTGAGTGACAGTTCAGTTCCTACCAATGTGACATCATGTTATTGTTACTTTCAGGTGTGGTGTAAATATGCTAATGTCTGTTTCAGGGTATAGTGTAAATATGCTAATGTCTGTTTCAGGGTATGGTGTAAATATGCTAATGTCTGTTTCAGGGTATGGTGTAAAAATGCTAATGTGTGTTTCAAGGTGTGGTGTAAAAATGCTTATGTCTGTTTCAGGGTATGGTGTAAATGTGCTAATGTGTGTTTCAGTGAATGGTGTAAATATGCTAATGTCTGTTTCAGGGTGTGGTGTAAATATGCTAATGTCTGCTTCAATGAATGGTGTAATATGCTAATGTCTGTTTCAGGGTGTGGTGTAAATATGCTAATGTCTGCTTCAATGAATGGTGTAAATATGCTAATGTCTGGTTCATTGAATGGTGTAAATATGCTAATGTCTGTTTCAGGGTGTGGTGTAAATATGCTAATGTGTGATTTTTCCTTATCCTGACTCATGCTAAATGCTTGTCTCCTTCTTCTTGCGAATAATAGTGGAACACTTGAAATCCCTTGAAGTTCCCTTCTAATAAAAGCGAACGTAAAATCACCACTAACCCACGAGTTAGCTCCCTTGCCCCTTTTGGCGCCCTTTCCAGTCACCTGACTGACCATGCTTGTCACTCTCTCCTTCTTCACCCTTGAGGACGGTTGTGAGAGCACCTGGGTCCCTATACGGCACATATCCTTTTCTTTTTGGACCTGTTACATCCTAAATTCAGCTGTATACGGTTTTGGATTAGTATACTAATAATATGGTTTGAAATTTTGTCTAAAATTTAAGTTGTTTGTACGTGATTTTCATCGTGTTTATATTTGATGATAACTTGTATTCGTTGTAGGTACCGGCTGTCTGCGGCTGATCCCCATTTATTATGTCCTGATTGCACTATAACATGTTCTTCCAGCTCCCGCTGTAAACATTGTCAGGATTTAACAAGCTTTGAATTTAATAATTACCTTTTTTCCATTCATAGACGTACAAAGGACTGGGTTAGAAGGTATTCACAAGTCATGTCTGGTAATCAAGTGATTGCGCTGATAACTGTGTGTTGAATGTTACTGCTGATATTCATTCTTCTAGTGAATCGCGGGGTGGTGGGGTAGTCTAGTGGTTAAAGCGTTGGCTCGTCACGCCGAAGACCCGGGTTCGATTCCCCACATGGGCACAATGTGTTAAGCCCATTTCTGGTGTCCCCCGCCGTGATATTGCTGGAATATTGCTAAAAGCGGCGTAAAACTAAACTCAGTCAGTCAGTCAGTCTAGTGAATCGCCGAGCGTACGAGGGCAGGTCGCTGTTCCAGTGATGAACTCTGGCTCACAGAAAAAGAGGTCGTAGTCTTCAAAGCTGACCGCTTCACAGACTAAGAAGTCTAGGATGTCTTTAACGCAGAAAAAGAGGGCTCCTACCCTTAAGGCTTCGTCAAAGGCTCTACACAGTTCTACACAGAAAACGAGATCTTTTTCTGCCGAGATTGTACCTCCAGCAGAAGTAGACGTGATATGATGATTCCCCCATCCTCATACCTGAAGTCACAGTCATCTCCAAGAAGATGAGGCCTGTTTCTACAGAGACATCGGCAACTATATCAGCGCAGACATTGACAGATCTTCTATCAATGCAGACATCGGGTACTAGAGATAGCAGCAGCATCAACTCTTCTCAAGCGCAGCGTAACTTAGAAGAGGCGTCATCGCTCTCTGAAGCATCATCAACCCTACTGCAGTCTCAACTTAAGTCACAGAACTTCAACCCGGGGCTGTTTATGCAACAATTTACGGAACAGATGATGTCGATGATGGAACGTCGCTTCGCGCAGGAGAAGGCTACTACGGGGACCTCTTGCGTGACTACTAGCCTGCGTGAAGGATCAGCTGCCACTCCAACCCATCGGGAAGAAGAGACGAACCTTCGTGAAGGTCTACACACCCTTTGATCTTCCCCGTCTGAAGATAGGAGCTTGGACAGCTCAGCCTTAGACGTCCCTGAAGGAAACTCCAAGAGTCCTCCACGCAGAAGTAGATCGAAGCGTTCTCCGGAACCCTACAGTAGACGTAGATATGGATCGTCATCTCCGTCGGACTCAGACTCGTCGGGAACCTTTACGCAGGCGCTCCACATCTCACAGAGAGTCTTCGACTAATCAACCTTCGCGAAGATCTAGAGATATATCACAAGACTCCAGAAGAGATACTCGTTCTCATCGGGATCGTTCACCTGCGCGCAGCTCTACGTACAGATCTACATATAGAGACTCACGTCGCCACGGATCATCAGATCGGGAGATGTAGAAATCTGAGGATGAAGGTGAAGTCATATTCTCCGATGCGGAAGTAGCCTCATGGATTGCAAATGGTCTGGACCTAACATCACCATCCAAGGACACAGATGAGGCTTATTCATACAAGATCTCCAAAGTACCAGAAAATCTCAGAGCAACCTTTAATAAAGCTACCAAGTTTCAGAGTCAACACATCCCGAGGTTCAGTGCCAAGTTCTACATCACATAGAACCCTTCCTGAAGGCACCAGAGATTGATGAGGACTACAAAATCATCAACGACTCCTGTTATAGAACTTATAAGATAGAGGATAAGAAGCTAGCGCACCTAGATACGACTACTAGACGTACTTTCTTCGGACTAGCCAGGTCTAGGGCTATCAACGAAGCACTCATCTCTAAGTTCAAGAACTCCACCGAAGAAGACTTGATGATATATTCTGCTCTACTGACTCAGAAAAAAGACCACCAGTTTATGTTGGAGCATCTAGCGTCCACGTCAGCGGGCCTCACTCTCCTGAGGAGGCAAGGACTACTGTCGTCATGCACCTAGAGTGAACGGTTCACCAAGTCCTTATACAGAGCCCCATGGTCAGCATCATCTGTTCTCGGAAGAAAAATCGAAGAAGTCGCCAAAGCCGTTACACACGAATCAAGGGAGGTCATGATAAAGTCCATAGATACCTTGGCAAATGTGATCTGCCAGACGTCCCAGCTCTACTCCAACAAGTCTAAGTTTGCTGGAGTCCAGAAAGCCAAAGAAAAGAAATACTCCAACCCTTGAGGAGGAAGAGGTTCTTTTCGTCGCCCAACTGGACCCCCACGAGGCAACCCCGGAAGAGGCCGAGAACCCAGAGGTGCCAGGTTTGGACTTCCACCGACAGTGGGTGGACGTCTGTATCAGTACTGGGAGAATCCGGGAATACTACAGGATGACTACGTATCACAGATACTGCGCAGAAGGAACGAAACAGAGTTGAAAGCCACTCCACCGCTTACAAGCAACCCGCTGGCTTTCACCTACGCAGCCGACCAGATAGACAAGCTGGACAACGCAATCAAGACTCTACTCGACAAAGATGCAGTCAAAGAGATACATCAAGACCACATCACGCCCAGGTTTTACTCCCAAATTTTCCTGGTACCAAAAAAGAATTCCAAGGAGAAGTTTCGGCTCATCTACAACATGAGGAAGTTCAACCAGGAATATCTTCGCAAACCAGCAAAATTCAAGATGATACATCTTCCTCAGCTCCGAAATTTCATTTGTCCATCAGACTACCTCGCCAGCATAGATCTACAAGATGCTTATCTACATATCCCGATACATCCAGACTCAAGGAAATACCTAAGGTTCCTTTTCAACGGACATCACTTCCAATGGAGGGTTCTACCGTTTGGAATATCGTCGGCCCCGCTGGTTGTTTACTCGAGTGACCAAGCCCATCATTGCATATCTACATTGTCAAGGTCTACGCAGTGCATTCTACCTGGACGACGGAATTCAAGTTCATCAAGAACCCAGGCAACTCAGACTGCAACTAGACTTCACCATCAGGCTTCTCACTCAACTAGGATGGCTGGTAAATATCCTCAAGTCGGAACTGGAGCCGAAACAGGATCTACAATTCTTACAATACGTTTCATCACGCTGTTGAACCACATTGTCGTCTCAGAGGATCGTTGGGTCAAGATACAACAGATGATATCTCAAGCAATGCTCTCTCTGTTGACACTACATGCTTGGCAAAGCATGCTCGGTCTACTCACCTCAGCTCAACTCATGACTCGCAGAGGGAAGTTACAGCTACGCCCATTACAAAGATTTGTGAACGCCCATCTCGACAGTTCGGATCCACTGATACTACCGGACAAGCTGAAACCATATCTCCTATGGTGGACACAGAGGTCGAATGTTTACGGAGGAACCTTTTTGTCAGAGCCGGTGTGCAACACTCATCTCTAAGTGGATGCATCCCTACAAGAATGGGGTGCTCACCTACACAACGAAGTGGCAGCAGGGAAGTGGTCCAGTCAGGATCAACTTCTACACATCAACCTGCTAGGGATGAAAGCACTGATCAACGCTTTACAACATTGGTCCAGCGTACTGAGGAACGCAAAGCTCACGGTCCACACGGACAACTCCACAGTGGCGTTTTACATCAACAAGCAAGTTTCAACAAGATCACCAAGTCTGCTAAAGCTAACCATCTCCTGTTCAGCATCGTCGACGACCTGAACATCTACATGAAGGCATGTCACATTCCAGGAGAAAAAGAAGGTCATAGCAGACGCCCTATCTCGTTCACTTCAACCATCCCCGACAGAATGGATGCTGCATCCAGAAGTATTCCGATTCGTCATACAGACAGTAGGATCTCCGCTCATAGACCTGTTTGCAACAAAGTTCAACAAACAACTACCAACATTCGTCTCACCGGTACCGGATCCTCAGGCATGGGCAACAGATGCTCTAAGCATCTCCTGGGAAGGACTAAACGCTTATGCGTTTCCACCTCCAGCACTATTACCACAAGTAATACAGAAAATCAAGCAGACGACAACGCTGCAACTGATTTTGGTCGCGCCCTATTGGCCAGTGAGGATATGGTTTCCTCGGAAGTCCAACCCTGAAACTACCAGAGTGGTCAAACCTACTCGTCCATCCACACGCCAAGCAAGCTCACAGGAATCCGACAATGTTCCAGCTACACGCGTGGAGCGTATCAAAACTTGCTTGAAGAAAAGAGGGTACTCCGCCAGAGCAGCGAAAGCAGTGACACTAGCTCTACGCAGATCAACTTGCAACTTGTACGACAACAAGTGGCAGAAATTTGAACAGTATGCAACGAGGAAAGGCTTTACAGCAAGAAAAGCAACCCATCCTCAAGTGGCGGAATACCTGTGTCATTTGCGACAGACGAGACACTTAAAAGGTTCAACACTATCAATATACCTGGCTGCTCTCAGCACAGTTATCACCATGAAGACGGGTGTCAAGTTGACCAAAGTACCAGAGATACTGGCACTACTACGCTCGTTCAAGTTGGAAGACCAACAAAAGAAATTCAAGGCTCCTGCATGGGATCTGAATGTAGTACTACAACATCTCACCGGACATCCTTTGAACTACTGACACAGAAAACGCTGTTCCTGATCGCCCCGGCAACAGCAGCACGGATGTCAGAAATACATCCTCTGGACTTTGAAAGAACACCATTTGATCAACACATCGTAACATCGTACATCTGGGACTGAGATGGGATTTCATCGCAAAGAACCAACTACCTGGTCAGCCTGACAGACAGTTCCACATCCCAGCACTTTCTACAGTCCTTGGGCCACAGGATACGCAGGATCTATCCTTATGCCCTGTCAGAGCATTGAAAGTCTACCTAGAAAGGACAAAGACTAGGAGACGAAAATTCAAGCGCCTTTTCATCCCCTTATCCACTGAGACGCCCACGGAAGTCTCACGGACAACCATATCAGTATGGATGTGAGACGTCATACTAAGGGCCCACAAAGCAGCAGGACTTGAGCCTCAATGAGCCTCCAATCCACACGAAGTCAGAGCCCTGGCGTCTACACTTTCTCTGCATGGAAACTGCTCGATTACAACTATAATGGAGGGCTGCTTTTGGAAATCAGACACAGTGTTTGCCAACCACTACCTCAGAGACATTGCCACCGAAGACGTCTCAGGCATTCACCAGTTTGGGCCACTTGTTGTAGCACAACAACTAACGGTTCCACAAAGGCGCTGAGTAAAACTCACCCTTTTTATCACGTGACTTGTGAAAACCAACACTCTGGAGAGTAAATGGTTAAGTCCATGCACACGTCTAGGACAGACTAGCATGAGTGATAGACCCTGTACTTGTATAGGACTTACTCGTACATGAAGAAGGGTCGCATCTCCACTTGATGCAAGCATCAAGAGATGGAGTTGCAATAGATAACTAATGGGACATTAGTATACCTAAAAATGCAAACGAAAATGTCAGGAGAAGTTTGGAAGAAATCTGACAAGTTGTGGTCCCCCCCAGACTCATCAGATAGAAGTTGGAAGAACAGTCATCAGCAGTGACGTCATAAGTTCCCATGGGGGGTAATACAGGACGTAAATCAACAACCAGTGAATCCAGGAAGTGGCTTGACCCACCACCGTTTCCAACTGATTCTGCAAGCATAAGCACGAGTCAGGATAAGGAAAAATATGTAATTTTCTGATTAAAATTGATATTTTATACTTATCCTGACTCATGAGGTCAGCCCTCCCAACCTCCCCTCTCAAGGCACTCTGGATTTCCCTGTAAATCCGGGTGTCGGGCGAAAGTAACATTCAGGAGAGAGTGACAAGCATGGTCAGTCAAGTGACTGGAAAGGGCGCCAAAAGGGGCAAGGGAGGCAACTCGTGGGCGAGTGGTGATTTTACGTCCGCTTTAATTAGAAGGGAACTTCAAGGGATTTCAAGTGTTCCACTATCATTCGCAAGAAGAAGGAGACAAGCATTTAGCATGAGTCAGGATAAGTATAAAATATCAATTTTAATCAGAAAATTACATTTTCAGTGAATGGTGTAAATATGCTAATGTCTGTTTCAGGGTATGGTGTAAATATGCTAATGTCTGTTTCAGTGAATGGTGTAAATATGCTAATGTCTGGTTCGTTGAATGGTGTAAATATGCTAATGTCTGTTTCAGGGTGTGGTGTAAATATGCTAATGTCTGTTTCAGACAATGGTGTAAATATGCTAATGTCTGTTTCAGGGTATGGTGTAAATATGCTAATGTCTGTTTCAGGCAATGGTGTAAATATGCTAATGTCTGTTTCAGGGTGTGGTGTAAATATGCTAATGTCTGTTTCAGGGAATGTGGTGTAAATATGCTAATGTCTGTTTCAGGAATGGTGTAAATATGCTAATGTCTGTTTCAGGGTGTGGTGTAACTATGCTAATGTCTGTTTCAGGCAATGGTGTAAATATGCTAATGTCTGGTTCAGGGTGTGGTGTAAATATGCTAATGTCTGTTTCAGGCAATGGTGTAAATATGCTAATGTCTGTTTCAGGGTGTGGTGTAAATATGCTAATGTCTGTTTCAGGGTGTGGTGTAAATATGCTAATGTCTGTTTCAGGGTGTGGTGTAAATATGCTAATGTCTGTTTCAGGGTGTGGTGTATGTGTACCCTTGTCTGTTTCAGGGTATGGTGTATGTGTACTATGGAAGCAGAAATGACATGTACAGATTCTCGCAAGTCAACATGACTATCAGCTGCAAGGTAATCACCTCATGACTCATTATGTCAGACAATTTTCAACTGATGTTTTTTCTCAAAATTCATGTTCAACAAAATACAGTATACATACCTGATGCTAAGATAGTGCATGGCTTATCTGACTTACAGTCAGACTGAGATATGAATGAGGGTTAATTGATCATTTCTAAGCCTCAGACAGAGGGAACTGCATAACAGTGAAGTCCTTTGGTAGTCTACTATACATGTCAAAGAGATACTTCCACAAAAACTTGAGTCAATGAAACAAAACTGTTTTGCTGTATAAAGTCGGTAAAATATGCAAAGGTGTTAGACCTCTGAAACTGAGGGACATGCAGTCATCAAGAACTTGCAGAAAAATGAATTTTAGTTGAAAAAGTTGTTTCTAGACAGTACTTAAAAACAAAAGACAAGAGTTATTTTAGCAAACTTTTCCACACTGAAATCTTTTTAAATCAAAATTTGTGAGGTCATAAGTAGCTGTGTTAAGTTTAAGACTCTCAAAGTTTGAAACCAATGGGGAGGGGACAATCATTTGACTATAATGTCCGAACTGTTAAGTTACATCCTTTTGTATGAGGATGTACTGGTAGGCACTGTTCTAGTTCTGCTGAAAGTATAAAATTGTCAAACTGATGGTGAATCAGCATTGACAGAACTGGTAGGCACTGTTCTATATTCTACAGGATAAGTTACGTTCTGTCAAACTCCTGAACAATGGATGGTCCTGCTGAAAGTCTCAGCTGGTAGGCACCAGGATCGTCTGCAACAATGGAGGTCCCTCTCTGCTGGTGACCTCAATGGAGACGGACATCCTGATCTCATACTTGGCTCCCCGTTTGCTCCAGGCGGGGGACAACAGCGGGGGTTTGTCGGGAGTGTGTATGCCAGCAAGAAATACATACATGGTAACACTCAACACCTCTCAACATTTCAACAATTGTTTTTCGGGGGGTTTTTTTGTAGTTGACCTTAAAATATGTTTCAAGTAGATTCTGATTCCTCAACATTTTTAGAATTTATTGTCATTAGTTTTCATTTTACGGCAATATTTCACTTTGGTTCTGGTCAAACAATCTCCTCAGCCAAAAGCCTTAATTAGGAAAAAATTTAAGCATAATTAATGTCTTCCTGGTTGATTAGAAAAAGAACACTTAACTGTTGTTAGTTTGTGGCCTCTGTAAACATTGTGTAATCTTCTTAAAGCCTTCTATACACTATTTGAACACATTACCTGGCAAGGAACAACACTCTCTCCTGTATGTATCCTTCTCCATCTACAGGTGTGACCACCCTGACCGTGGACACCCTGGACTGGACATACAGTGGACAGCAGGTGAGAGGCATGTTGCGGAGATCTATGTTATTTATAGCTGTTACAACATTAGGGAGGGTGAGAGCTTTTAAGTTTATATTCTTCAAGTGTTGACCATTCTGGATGTTTTGTCACCCTGTTGTGACAATAGGTACCGGTACAGGTACTTTCGAACTCTACCCACTTAAAAATCTCATAATCTCCTCAGTGACATAAACCAACAAACTAATACCTTTGTATTAATAAGGTGATCCATTTTTATCTGGAGAATGTGGTTCTCATGTCAGATTCACCAAAAAATACACCACCAGTAACAAATCTCCCAATAAGCAATGGATTTTTAGAAGTAATGACAGTCATGGGATGCTTGCATACATAACACTGCTAATTAATATCTATGAAACTTATTCAGTAGGGCTCGTATGACACTTCTGTGTAGGTATAGACCCGTGAAGATCCGGGGTAGAATAGGTCTTCAGCAACCCATTCTTGTCATAAAAGGCGACAATGCTTGTCGTAAAAGGCTCACTGACTTGGTTGACACATGTCATCGGTTCCCAATTGCGCAGAGCGATGCTCATGCTGTTGATCACTTGATTGTCTGGTCTGGTCCAGACTCGATTATTTACAGACTGCCGCCATATATCTGGAATATTGCTGAGTGCGGCGTAAAACTAAACTCACTCACTCACTCACTCACTGTGTAGGTATATCATATTACAGTCATGGTGTTGTAGTTGGTTGATGAAGAAGACAGTGCTTCTAAATTTCAAGGGGTGGTGGCACTGGTGGGTAGCGAAGTGGTTAAAGCGTTCGTTCGTCATGCCGTAGACCCAGGTTCAGTTCCCCACATGGGTACAATGTGTGAAGCCCATTTCTGGTGTCCCCCGCCGTGATGTTGCTGGAATATTGCTAAAAGCGCCATTAAGCTAAACTCTCTTACTCACTCTAAATTTCAAAAGAAGGGCAACGTGCATCAACTTTATTTAATCTTGGTGTCAGCACTCATTAGTTTGGTGACACAATCATCCTATGATTGACACTGCTTGATTTTGGTAATTGATGGCTGATGGTTAAGTGTAATAACCATGCAGTGTTGGTCAAACAAAGCAATAAAATGGGAATGACAGTGGTCTATCCAAGTTTGAAATGAGTGCTCTGTTTTCTTGTGTTACTCAGCATATAGGGATTTCTGGTTTCCTTGTTCTGTTATCAAGCTGTTGAGAATAGAGTGTGGTTGAAGTAAGATTATTACATGCAGCTCTGTATCATCTGGTGAAAGTACAGCTCCAGTTTCAGGAATGTGTGTGCATGTGTGCCTGCATTAACATCAAGTGTAATGGATGTTGACGATGTAGACCTACAGAATGATGCAGCCCTACTGTTGACATATAGCTGTCATGATCACATTGCAGGACTATGGCTGGCTTGGACAAGACATGTCGGTCAGGCCACACCCCAGCGGTCAACCGTTGCTGATGGTCAGTCAGCCCACCTTCAGGAACTGTAGTCTGTAAGTACCAACATCTTGCTGTTCCTGTTTGTCTGCTGAAAGAACTTACGGTGGAGTCACACGTTAGTCTTCAGGCACTGCCTACTTGACACACGTTAGCCTTCAGGGGGGTTTGTGGAGAGACAAATTTCAGTCTTAAAGCAAATGTTTTGGGGGGACATTCATGTCTGTAGGAAAGTAACAGACGTATACCCGTAACATTTCATATCCTCTTAAAGTGTGCCAAATTAACAAGAGAAGCTTTAGGAATGTTAATACAGCGTTGAAAAGCCTTAAAGTTTAAGATCACTCTAGAGAAGACTTGATATTTATTGTCAACTTTGAAAAGCCTTGAATATCAACAACAATAGCTGAAAAGCCTTTTACATTTGTACTTGATAGAAACTTGTTAAAGTTGATGACAGACTAAACATTTTATTTGTTGGTTGTGAAAGTAAATCCTGACTAATTATGATGTTCATACTGCATTTTCGATTTTAACATGTACTAAACATCATATTGCAACTAAAAGAGCCTTAAAACTTGGAGTTGGAAGCCTTGAAAAGTCTTGAAAAAAAACTTGAAAAGTCCTTGAATGTAGTGTTCCATATCTGTAGGAACCTCACACCATGTAATTCCTATATGAAACTGTAGAAACATAGCCAAGTTCTATGTAGTCCTGACCTGAATGTTTCCTGAATATACACGCAACTCGGTCCCACAGATACAACTGTTCTTATGATGTCAATGACACCCAGAGTGTGGGACGATTCAACATGTTTCACACCCCCGTGACACGGGCCAGTCTCCCTGCAACAAACTCAGGCAGTCATCATTTCCAGATGTTCGGCTCCAGCTTCGATGTGGGCCATCCCCTACCTGGGGGCGACACAATACTGGCTGTGTCAGCAGTTGGAGAAGGTGAGCTTCAGTGTCTCGGAATGTGGTACTGTTGCTAATAGAGCTGCGATGAATCAAGTATGAGGCGAATATGATGCATATCACAAATAGTTGATAACGAATACAATAACAAGTGATGTATTATGCTGTATTTTCAGTGATACTTTGATAAAATATGTTATTTGACATGTTTCTTTCCATACTGTCAGTGTTAATTGATCATGACAATGATCACTGACCTCATTACTGTCAAACTAAATATATAGAGAATACTACACGAGGTCTCATTACATACAAATTATACGAAACGAGTGTCCTTCCTATGTTATCTGACCGAGTGAAAGCGAGGTCAGATAACATAGGAAGGTCACGAGTTTCGTATAATTTGTATGTAATGAGACCGAGTGTGGTATTTTATTTATTACCCACGTCTTACATGCATTAAATTGCGTATTTTTGTTAAAATTTTGGTTTCAAACCGAAACCGGTTTCATAAAGAGGTTGCGGAAGAGTTTTGTACTGTAGTACAATATTTGCATGGCGTCACACTGTAATGACGTCACTGCCTTGGTAACCGACGTCACGATGCATGTCAGTTGTCATCGCCTCGTACAGCCTCCTACAGTAAACTACTCCGTAGCACCCCGTTTCTTGGTTTGCAGTTGCTTCATTCGGCTACCATCACTGGTGGAAACATTGTGTTTATGTTTCGACGGATATAATGTCTCAGTTCGACTCACAATTGAACAGCGACACGGCAACGTTCGCGATGTTTACATTCCCACAATGCATTTAAGTTGTAGAATGAATGAATTCACGTGTTTGTTATGAATGAAAAAATAGTTACGTCAGAATGTGACCTAATTGAGAGGTCATTGGTTATCCAATCAAATCGTTAGAATCTCAGGTCAAGTCGTTACGACACAGGTCAACGCGATACGACACACGTGTGACGTACGAGATTAGTATGCAACTACCCATACGTTGACCACGTGGGTAATAAATAACAGTATTGACTATTATCCTGATAACTTAATTTAGCATATCTTGTTCTGATACATTACATTAAAATGCAAGTAAAAACACTCCTTTATAAAAGGATGATGACTGTTCGATTCTAGTGATGGCAAGTAATGAATTGAATTCATTAAAGGCACTATATCACACCTCACTTCTCTAAAAATAAATAATGCATTTCTCTCAATAATACTTTCCATCAGCCCTAAGGGAAGCTACCATATAATTTATTCCCAAAAAAATTACATATTTAGATTAGGCCAGACCTTTATTTATTGTTTTACGTATCCGCTGGTCGTATTTTTTGCAAGAATAAGATAAGAAATAAAAATTCATTTTCCCTGCTCAAAAAATAATATCCTAATGTTTTTATTGGCCAAACATGTAAACTTAAAAGAAAATCTTTTTAAGGTTGTTTTTTGCCCCCATATACACTTCGTTAATTGCCAAAAGTAAAATACTTTTAGTATTTAGAAGGAATATTACTTAGGCTGGTGATTTTATTTTTATTTTCTTTCCCTCCTGCCTTTAGGTTTTCTGAGGACAAAAATCTGTAAAACAAGAAGTAAAATTGTTCTGGCCTTACAATATTAAATTATAAAGTTTGAATGAATTAATGCAATGTTGCATTAAATTGACTCTCGTGCCCTCTACCGGCTGAGTATTATTTCAAGTGTACCCCTTAGAGTTATGTCCCTTGGAGCAATTGTTTACATTCCACATATTGTTCACCTCAAAGTTTCAGTTATCGATTTCAGACAAGTCGTAAGGGATAATAAGTCTTTTATTGCATCAATAGGAAGCTAAAGTGAGTGCATATTCACTGAGATTTGATTGACTGAGTATGCGAGTGAGACATAAAAATCCGAACTGTTACTACTATAGTTAATGACCATAACTACAAAATGTTACTTCCAGTTGCAGAGAAAGGAATATTTTTAAAGTATGACAACAGACCTATAACACAAGTATCCATTATTATCCACAGATGTGGAGGGCAAAGTGTTGCTAGTGGATACCGAGTTCACCCAGGCTGGGGCCGTGCATCTCCTCAACATCACCAACATCACCTCACTGCCTCAACCCCAGGTGGCGTTGTATGCAGGGGACAGACGATATAGTAGGTTCGGGGCAAAGGTCAAGGTGAGTAGCTTTAGAAATGATCAGGTAATGACCATCACAAGAAAAGCCCCTTCATAATTGAAAATTAAATATATGTTGCTTAGTGAAACATTATAGTGAGACATAGACAATAGATGAGGAGGAGGAGGCTGAAAAATGATGATGTGTATATTCATAATGTGCCCACACCCTAGAGCATGCTAAAGAGCTCCAAGTTCACTGAATTTTTATTCTCAGCTTTGCAGGAAGAAACTTTAGCATAAAGATTCAGGTTAGAATTTGTCTTCAGCAACCCATGTTTGTCATAAAAGGTGACTTGGTTGACACATGTCATCGTATCCAATTGCACAGATTGATGCTCTTGCTTTTGATCACTGGATTGTCTGGTCCAGACTCGATTATTTACAGACCACCGCCATATAGCTGGAATGTTGCTTAGTGTGGCGTTAAACAACAAACAAATATTACAAACTGTAGGTGTAACTCCCTGCCTTTGCTTTCTGTTGTCAGTTTGCTGATCTGAATACTGATGGGTATGATGACCTGATTGTCACTGCCCCACTCCACACCGACGATGTGACAGAAGAGTTGTATGGAGGTAGGTATAGTTACCGAGATGGGCTGCATGTTCAAGATACAGTACAGGCTGGGAGAGTCTGTTCTAGAGGTTTGATGGTGTTGCCAATATGAAAGTATTTGAGTGAGCTACAGAACTCATAGACCAACATCTCGTCTCAGAAATAAACACTTATGCAGAAAAAACAGTTGGTTAAAATATTTTGAATAAAATAGAAAACAAAGGAGCCCAGAGACTTTCTTCAATTTGAGAGACCACAGTAATCTTGACTTGACAACTATTACAGATTTGCACTGGTTGATTTGGATACATTAGTTTCCAGGCCTGTGTGACAGACTGCTCACGTCTGGATCAGCAAAAGATGTTGGAGAACTCAGAAACATTGTGATTAGTTATTTAACCTACAGGTATTTCAGTGTTATGTCAGGTAATCTCTCCTTTCCCACCCCCCACTGAGATCACTTGATGTTATGTTACAGCTGAGGAGGGCCGCGTGTTCATATTCAATGGTGGCAAGGGCTTCCTGGTTGGTGACAAGGCCTTGTATGACTGCAAAACCCTCTCCTTCATAGAACCCTGTCCAGGACAAAAGGTTGGTAACTAAAATACAGATATCGGAAATTCTGCTTGTAAGTAAACATTGGCACAAGTCTTAGTGGAAGATATTATCTATATAGGCTAATCACAATAGCTTGTGCTAGTTGTGTTACAACAAATTAAGACTTGTAATTTAAATTGTGTGATGGACAAATAAGTACATACTACTGGCTGTCTGGATTTATCACAAGAGTAGTCTTCACGTTAACATTCTGATTCACTTTAGCCTGTAAAAACAACCCTCCAACCCTGGATGGAGACTGAGTTTCAGTCAGGCATCTGACAAAATATGGTTGTTGCTGTGTCATCACATGGTTAATGGAAACAGCCTGATGTGAAGCAACAACACCTTGCTAGGTGGCTGATTTCAAAGGAGGTATATGACCATTTGGTCAGAAAAATGTCCCGAATCTGTCAAGATTGCAGCATAGAGGATGGGAATGTCCAAATATGGACATGTAAAGATTCAGTGAAGTGAACAGACGTGAAGCTAGTATAGGTAAAAAAACAAGTCAGAATTACAGAAAAAGTATTGATCTTTATGTTCTGTTGGTTGATTTCCAGTTGTAATTTCAGGCTTCTTATGAGCTGAAGTTTGGAGAATATGGAGCACGATTTGGGACAAATATAGCTGTCGTCAAATCAAAACATACAGTATGTTTCTTTACATAATCTTGATATTATAGTGGTGAATATTTCTGTTAGTATGCGTATAAATAGTCCCACGTATGTGAACACAATGCTATGGGATGTCGACAGCAGCCTCTGAGAAAGGGGATGTCAAATATCTCTTGTTGGCGTACATGTAATTAGAAAAGAGCTTGTTAGGGTGGTGTAGCAGTCCATCTGCAGCCTAGCGGTTCCCTGCCAAGCCCACAGCTAAGCAGCTGCAAGTTGCTGGACTATCCACTAAAACATTTGTTTATATTTCAACACATTTCCTTTTGTAGATTGTGTTCAGATGCAAATTTAATCTCTAGCAAAGAAAATCCGACTAAATACTGTGATTTTCTGTAGACTATCCCTGGGCCTGTATAAATATTTTGAGAATGATACTCTGAAGAAAGTGAGTGAGTAGTATTCAACTTATTGAGGGCCCGTGAGAACAGGACGATGTCTCTAGATGTGTGTAATATTTACAGAGTAGTAGTATGTAGGTGGAATATACACTTACCTTAGTGCATACTCTCTTTCCTGACAAGGGCGGTGGGGTAGCCTAGTGGTTGAAGCGTTCGCTCATCACGCCTAAGATAAAGGTTCGATTCCCAACATGGGTACAAAATGTGAAGCCCATTTGTGGTGTTCCCTGCTGTGATATTGCTGGAATATTGCTAAAAGCGACGTAAAACTAAACTCACTCACTTACTCTTTCCAGACAAATGATGTCATGTTTACTGTGTTCGTCATCACTTCAGGTGAATCTGGTAGTCAGCGCCCTGCACAGCAGTAGAGGAGACAGACTAGCTGGGGCTGTAGTCGTATACTCCTTTCCCAAGTCCTGACTCCTGCTAGTCATCCGTTCAAGTGATACAGCATGCCGACATGTCAAGATTCAAAGATTTTTTGGGTCAACATTATTCCACCGATTCTTATAGAATCAAAGATTTTTTAAACTACGGGTGATTTTTAAGGCTGTGACATACAGACAGTTTTCCAGTTTTTTAGTCACACTGATTTGTGTCTTTCTTCATGTTTCTGATGACATACACACAAATAATTTGTATTATTTTATATTCATATTTTGACATAGCAATTATCATTTTGAAGTTGCACCAAAGTCTTGTATAAAACGTTTACTAAAGACCATTTATGTTATATATGGCCCTGTGATGAATACAACTCTACCCTAGTCTTGCTAGCTTTACCTTTTTGCCTAAGATAATACATTACGCCAAATATAACTGTATAGGACCAGACCATGCTGTCGACCATAGGCAATCAGAAACATTGCAACGCACAGCCTCGCCTATGTACCGAAAGTAGTGTCATGGATTTTGCTGAAGGCACCTTACAAAACACGCCTGGGAAATGTATGTCTCCTGTATTACTTTAAGTTACCAGTTTACTATGAAGCTAGGGTGAGCAAAGTTTGCTGTAAATAAACAGTATGTGTGATATGCAAGCCCATAATTCATATGCAGGAAACACAACAGCCATGAATACTCATTTGACCAGTCACCATGGTCAATTAAATAAAGGCAAAACAACAACTCAACCCCAATCATAATGAAAGACTGTAAAAGGTGAATGTAGGAAAAAAAGTAACAGTTTTTATATAAATACTCATACAAACACTTAATTAGGATTGGGATGAGCTTTGATCATCTTCTTATTCAAGTTGTTGCTGTTACTTGCTTTTACTGAGCAACTTCTCACCTAGTCAGCTTACTGACTGAAGGACATTATCCCTGAAGATGCCGAGGAACTACTCACCTACTTTGACGAGAACTTTGTGACTGGCACCTACAGACACATTAGACTCAATAAGAACATTTAGTTAGAACTGAGAACATTGCATGGATGCAAGAATGTGTTTGTAATTGTTTTGTTATACCTTGTTAAAAAATAGAAAACAAACAACTGAAAATGTGTTGCTTTTTCTCCTGTTACTTTTTTTCCTAGGAAAATCTGTTACTTTTTTCCGTTTCTTTTTCCCTGTTACTTTTTTTCCTAGGAAAATCTGTTACTTTTTTCCGTTTCTTTTTTTCCAGTTACTTTTTTTCCTAGGAAAATCTGTTACTTTTTTCCGTTTCTTTTTGTCCTGTTACTTTTTTCCCTAGGAAAATCTGTTACTTTTTTCTGTTTCTTTTTTTCCTGTTACTTTTTTCCGATCACCGTAAAAGGTCTGTATCAGGACAGAGTACTCTTGGTGCATTTGCCAAGATGAATTCTGAACATCATAAACTTATCACTGGGGTTATTGTAAACCTGAGGAAAACATTTCTTAGTTTATCTGAATTGAGAATTTCAAGTCTTAGTCGTATGTTACATTCTGGGGAGAATGAACCAGTGCATGTTATGGTTTTCCTTTATTGGCTAACTGTGTCTGCATAAGTTCATTTACTTATAACAGTGACATATTAACTGTGAGATTATAAAATACAGACATTTAAGCAAACTTTTGGCAAGTTATTCAAGCTAAACAGAACTCTGACCCTGACACAACAAAGGGGCATGACTAGGAACTCAAGTCCCTCAGCTATCTTTGCACTTAAAATAGAAATAGTCAAAGTTCCATAGTACAACATTTTTACGCATGTCCTATGCCATCATCCACATCCTCCATCCTTTGATGAGAAATATTAGTATCAATCACATCAAACTTTAAAACTATTTTAGTTTCTTATAAGCTTTTTCCAATTATGCAGAGACATGTTGTGTCCATATGGTAAAGCATGACATGTTTATGTCAAACAGTCATGATGGAATTAAATTTGTTGATTGTTGATTTTTTATATGCAGTACTTCTGAAAGAGTCTTTATTATGTAACTTAAGATATTTATGAATAAATATATTTTTTAGATGTTGTGGTTTTAATTATCAATAGGCATATTATTTCACCAAAATACTTTGTTCTTCTTATGGGGAAATGTTGCTTCATAGGAACAAAGTCACAGCCATCTGAAGCTCATCTGGATGGACATTAATCAAATTAACATCCAAGAATTCATGACACCTGTAATTGGGTGATCTAGAATATGCCAATAAAAGGCATACAAGTGACAAACATTATGAGATGAAATTTAATCACACACCCAACATGTAATGATGTCATAGGAAAACAGAAAATGTCAATCAGTATGAATGCTGCTGCTGTAAGCATCATTAAGTCTGAAGCAGTACATGTATCAACAAAAACTGACATGATATACAGGGTTTTACATGATGCACAGATGTAGAGAATGGACGCAGAAAAAACCCAAATAGTGCATCCGGAGGGACGCACAAAAATACAGCGCATCAAGAGTAGTTGTCTGTGTCTATTATTTCACAAATCAGTCATGACTATTGTCCACTTGATCATTGATTCATTCCAACCATTTCAAGAACCTCATATTACCAGCCTTGAACTGTAAAATACATTGATGGGTGCCCTGGACCTCACTTTAGGAAGTCAAGGTAAAACCGTGTTATATACGTATCCAATTACTTCTAGGACACCCAGTGAAGAATGTCATTCTTTGTATTTGGCCCCCAGCAGCCTGTGCTTGTCATTAGAGGCTTCCAAATGGATCCGGTGGCCAGAGGCGTGGTTGAAAGCATGCTACTGTATCCCATAGGTGTAGATTGATGCTCATAATGTCGATCACTGGATTGTCATGTCCAGATCTGATGATTTACAGGCCACTTGCGTAAAGCTGGAATATTGCTGGGTGCAGCGTTCAACAACAAATACTGGGTTTTAGGACTGTTGCATTCAAGCCATCACATGGATTGCAGTAACCTAGCCCACATCAACCACTGGTATGTCTTGGCAAGGCAAGTTTCTTACAGACAGTTGTGATAAAAGTACTGAAAGTGTGTGCACTACATACAGAAACTGAAGCAGACAATATGCCAGCAGAATCATGATATGAACCATTTGTAAATGACTTATTGTGACAAATGACCCATTATCTATCTGTATTCGTCTGTCATACTGTATTGTTAATCACTACTGTGCCTCCAGCAACCCTAAAATACCCAAAACGCCTCCGTGGTGTAGTGGTTAGAGCCTCCGTCTGGAGAGCGGAAGGTCGCGGGTTCGATCCCCGACCCCATCATACCAAAAGACGTTAAAATATGGTACTTGTTGGTCCCTGCCTGGCGCTCGGCATTAATGGGTACAACAAGGACTGGTCGGCTCGGAGTCAGTATAATGTGTCTGAGTGGGGTATTCATGCTTCACTGCGGCATGGTATCTCAGTGGGCTAGCACTATAAAACCAGCTTAAGTCTGGGCTAGTACAAGCAGCCGCACATACACATACACACGCATGCACGCCGTCATATGAGCAAAATATTCTCGGCAATCTGACGTGAAAACCAATTTCACACTCACCTTAAATACCTGTGATAATGTCCCTTATGCCACGTCGGTATAGGAACATATGTAGCAAAATATTCTCAAGACCACAGGTCAAGACGTAAACTGCTGACCCAATTTCACCTCAACTCACCTCAAATACCCGTGATAATGTCCCTATACAGGTCAAGGTGGTATAGGAACGAGGACACTCTTAATGTAGCCACACTGCTGACCGAGACATTTTACTCACCACAGGTCAAGGTGCTATAGGAACGAGGACACTCTTAATGTAGCCACACACTGCTGACCACAGTGGTATGGGAACAGATCAAAACACACTCAGTATATCAATCAAGACAATTTATTATTCAACATTGCAAACACGATTAGCACATCCTGTATATTGTTAAATTGGGCACTCCCAAAATACCAGGGTTTTGCCCATAAAAAAATAAAACAATTTAAAAAGTATACATTTTAAAATACTAAAAATATATCAATGTACACATTGGTGAACTGGAATGATGTTGAAAGCTTCAAAGTAGTTAAATGCATGTGTCTTTTCTAAGAAAAACAACAGTAAACTACCCCTACAATGAAATTATGCAAGTTAATGAGCACTGTGTGATGCCAGCTACATTTGTGATGGACGTTAGTAGGAACCAGTCTAAGTTATACATAAAACTACATAAAGAAGTTCAGGAAACAGTACCATCCAATAGTCCTCCATGTCAACACTGCTACACTGTTATCAACTGTAAATTTGAAACATGACAAAGGCTGACCAACACTACTGGACAACACACTATTTGTTAATATACCTTGTAAACCTACACATCTTTAACTTGATATTCATATCTGACTTAACTCAGATATTGTTACCTTCTGGTGTGGGAAAACAATCTTTTGTCAAACAGGGGCACTAAGCTTGTATCAAGTTGGTACATTTATCTATTTCAAGAACTTGTGTATTCAAAATTGTTTCAAACAGTGTATTCAAAATTGTTTTCACTAATAGCTGCTCTACATTCATGAACAAAATGTTCAAGTCCAAACTGATTCATCGAGCACACACATCAAATGTATATAAATGAACAACACACACTGTAGTCAATCAAGGGAGATCACTCTAAAGTAAAAACAATCTTTCAATTTCGGCTCTCGCTCATTCATTCTCTCAGCCTCACTCTCAAATTACTATAAACAAAGGAAGGATACTCCCTGACCAAAAACAGACAGACAAATACAATTATTCTACTTTCACCAAAACAATAATATCTTGAAATGGTTTGTAAGGTGAACACATGAAGGCAGCTGCCAGCTGTAAGCCTAGCTCGTCTAGTGACCTCCAGTCGTCCACTGTTTGAATAAGGCCTCATCACGCTTGTTGTTAAAATGGGGAACAAAGTCAATTTTGAGAATTTCAGAAAATCCTTCATCTTTTGTTGGTGCCTGAAAGTTTTTCTTGAAGACTGCATATCCCACACCTGGAATCCTTCTCACTTCTCCGTTGGTCTGGTTCTGTCTGACCAAGTTCAAGTGGTTGTACACCTCAGGGGAGGTCTGCATCCAAAAGCATCGACACGGGATTCCTGCCAACACATGACAATGTAAGTGCACCAGCATGGAGATTGGATATACCGGTATGTGTCGACTAAATACAAGGGACATCATAGATTGGATATACCAGTATGTCTTGACTAAATACAAGGGACATCATTGATTGGATATACCAGTATGTGTTGACTAAATACAAGGGACATCATTGATTGGATATACCGGTATGTGTTGACTAAATACAAGGGACATCATTGATTGGATATACCGGTATGTGTTGACTAAATACAAGGGACATCATTGATTGGATATACCGGTATGTGTCGACTAAATACAAGGGACATCATTGATTGGATATACCGGTATGTGTTGACTAAATACAAGGGACATCATTGATTGGATATACCGGTATGTGTTGACTAAATACAAGGGACATCATAGATTGGATATACCAGTATGTCTTGACTAAATACAAGGGACATCATTGATTGGATATACCGGTATGTGTTGACTAAATACAAGGGACATCATTGATTGGATATACCGGTATGTGTTGACTAAATACAAGGGACATCATTGATTGGATATACCGGTATGTGTTGACTAAATACAAGGGACATCATTGATTGGATATACCGGTATGTGTCGACTAAATACAAAGGGACATCATTGATTGGATATACCGGTATGTGTCGACTGAATACAAGGGACATCATTGATTGGATATACCGGTATGTGTTGACTAAATACAAGGGACATCATCGATTGGATATACCGGTATGTGTTGACTAAATACAAGGGACATCATTGATTGGATATACCGGTATGTGTTGACTAAATACAAGGGACATCATTGATTGGATATACCGGTATGTGTTGACTAAATACAAGGGACATCATTCATCAGAACCTAATTTCTACTGGTTTGCACAAAAATGCTTTTTACAGTTTCTGTATTGTTGATCTTTGTTTAGCAACTCTGGCACAATTTTAATCTACAATTCTAGAGATACAAGGAAAACAGTCTATTACGTGATGTTCATCAGTATATTCTCTATTGTGACATCGGACCGCCTCCGTGGTGTAGTGGTTAGAGCGTCCGCCCGGAGAGCAGAAGGTCACGGGCTCGATCCCCGACCGCGTCATACCAAAAGACGTCAAAATATGGTACTTGTTGGTCCCTGCCTGGCGCTCGGCATTAATGGGTACAACAAGGACTGGTATAATGTCAGTAGAGTCAGTATAATGTGTCTGAGTTGGGTATTCATGCTTCACTGCAGCATGGTATCTCAGTGGGCTAGCACTATAAAACCAGCTTCAGTCTGGGCTAGTACAAGCAGCCGCACATACACATACACACGCATGCACGTCGTCATATGAGCGAAATATTCTCAAGCACGACGTTAAACCCAATTTCACCTCAACTCACCTCACCTCACCTCACCTCTACTGTGACATCACCACAGAATCTCACTATAACACATGATGGCTCAGGGTTACTCAGATCCACTGGATTTCTTATTGTAATCCGCCTTACTACTGTTACCTAAACTCAGCAATAAGTACTTAATTACAGGGTAAGAATATACCATATTCACCTTCATCTTCTGCAAGGGCAATAAATCTTGATCTGGCATCTACTGATGGGTTTGTGTTGTCAACGACGACACTTTTCCCCGAACTCAGAGCCTCCTTTGCTGCCTGTTAGGACACAGATAATTAAAACACACACAACACAGTCCTAGCAGTTCAGCTGTATAAAAACAGAAGAATAACTTCATAGAAATGTGTTGGATTCCTATTCATCAACAATATTACCAATCACAGGACCATGGTCCCGTTCTGATCAGTGCTATTCTGGTTGTGTGAGTCTGCACGCAGGTCCTAGGGACATACTGGGTGGGTACATCGTTTGTGCACTTGAAGGAGTTGTCACACTTAACAACCACTTAACAGAGCAAATACTTATAGAGTAAGGTAGAAATAAATATTAAAAAATTGGAGTTCATCTAATTCATAAGGTCAGAGGGCACTTGTGTGAAGGATCTCACTTTCTCAAAAAGTCAATGTCAAGAACCCCACCTTTTCTAACAAGAGTGAACTCTGTGGCTGACTCTGACACTTAAGCATGGAGAAGAACTTCTCTATCTCCTCACCTTGATACACTTCTCCACAGTTGGAGAAGAACTTCTCTATCTCCTCACCTTGATACACTTCTCCACAGTTGGAGAAGAACTTCTCTATCTCCTCACCTTGATACACTTCTCCACAGTGCCCATGGTGTCCCTGTTGACAGTAACGTAGCCATTTTTCTCCAGGTACTGTTTCCTCAATGTGCTCTTTCCACAAGCCGGGGGACCCACCATTAGAACCACCTCCTGAGACTGAACACAGAATGAAATGTCGGAATGTAGGGCAAGTGTGCTTGAAGAGAAACATTTCATCATAAACATCAGTGTTTTAGTGTATTTTGAATTTTTCCTCAAACATACAACACGACTCCATGATCTGTCCCAACTGATATGACGTCCAATACAATCAAGGGGAGATAACAAGGGCCGGCAGAGGGTTACTCACATTACTGTGGTAGGTCTTTTTACCAGCTTTTGGTGCACTTTTCAGATACTCTACAGGGTTCAGGGATCCCCATTCAAACTTGGCTGGCTTCTCATTCAAGAAGAACTCCTCTGGGGTTTTGAAGTCTGAAATACCAAAGTCCTGTCTGTGTCATCCCAACAAAAACACACATCACTCTATCCCAGTTTTAATGTCTCCCCAGTTGTGCAATACTATGCTTTCATGAGCTTATGTCATACAGAAAATCTTTCAGATGTGGAGGTCATTGATAAACCTTCCACAGCACATATCACCTGCATTTCAATGAAGATAAACATCAATTATTGTTGATACTAGAAGTGAGAGGCTCCATCCACAATGAATGGTAATTATGTCCACTGTCACTTACTGATCCCAATGTTGGCTGCAAACATGCGGTCACTACAGGAGAAATCTTTGGGTTTGCCTGGTGCCCAGTTCTTGGCCCTGCCAGCAGCATCCCCAACATACACACTCTCCTCGAGGTCTACCTGCAGACACAACACAACACCTGTACATACACACTTTCCTCGAGGTACACCTGAAGACACAACACAACACCTGTACATACACACGCTCCTCGAGGTACACCTGAAGACACAACACAACACCTGTACATACACACGCTCCTCCAGGTCTACCTGAAGACACAACACAACACCTGTACAGACACAACACAACACCTGTACATACACACTCTCCTCCAGGTCTACCTGAAGACACAACACAACACCTGTACATACACACGCTCCTCGAGGTACACCTGAAGACACAACACAACACCTGTACAGAAACAACACAACACCTGTACATACACACTCTCCTCAAGGTCTACCTGAAGACACAACACAACACCTGTACAGAAACAACACAACACCTGTACATACACACTCTCCTCAAGGTCTACCTTAAGACACAACACAACACCTGTACATACATACACTCCTCGACGTCTACCTTAAGACACAACACAACACCTGTATGAAGAACAAATTTATCCATTCATCTATTTCATACGAGGCATCAGAGGTAAGGGATAGCTCAAACACTTGGAGAGGCGTGGATTCATTCAAAGAAAAAGTAAATACAATTTTATTTATATCTTTGGTTCCTTCTAGACTGGTTTGTTTCAATCATGCAGTAATGAGATGGCCTGAGACTTAGGTAGTAAAGCTCCACCTACCTCCACCCCACCATTGCAGTTCTCCACAAAGTAGTCCCACATCCCGGTGCTTGGTTTCCGGAAGTGGTTGTTTCCTGTACAGATGAACGCCTGAAACAAATCATTACCATCATCACAGGTGACTGTAACCAGATTCTCTGTGAACTCAACCATCAGCAACTTTATATGATTCGGTCATAAAGCGTGATGCAAAGATATCAATAAATAGTGTTTATGAATTGCTCAGGACAATAAACACATTATCTGATGCATATATGGTACCTACAGCCAACAAGCAACATTATCAACAACGGAAAGTGTTGCGTGTATTATTTTAGATAATCTGAGTATAGTTGACATACATAAATGTCTACAAAGAGTGAATTCAGGGTCCAGAAATGTTGGACCACGTGAGCCGTGGATGATGGACCTGGTGAATACATTTTGAAGTGATGCTAGGACCTGGCTGATGAATACACATTGTCAGGGATGGCAACAGGAAAATCAATTTTCAGCTGAAAACTTAATATTGTGTCATCAAATTGGGGGGTTGAGGGGCATTCAACAGATTTAGACGATTCACAGAATTGATCAATTTGAAACAAAATCAGCGGAACTTCGCTGATCCGCGGAAAATTGCCATCCCTGCATTGTAGTGATGCTGGGACCTGGCTTTACAGATGTCATTGTGAATCCAATGGCAATGATTGGTCCTCACTCAACAATTATACACAGGCCACCATGACACCACTGCAATATGGTTGGCATTAACTAATAATAAACGTTTCTTCACTGTATTTTGATTCATTCATAAACAGAGGAAGAAGCCTAAGCCACAACGGTTTGTATCTTCCCAGGAGTAGTCATAACCCAGGACTCACCAGCACAGGGATGTCTAGTGCCGTGATAATGGCTTCAATCTTATCCTTGATTTCAGCTGGTTTCACTTTCATTTTCTCAATCCCTGCCTGGTTTGTGAAGAAGACAACTCGAAACCCATCTTCATCAAGTTCCTTCATCTTTGCCGGGACACTTTCATCCCAGAACTCCCAGTCCTTAGCACCTGTTGGGACACATTGAGTGAGTGAGTCCAATGAGAGCAGTTAGGCGGCAGATAGCCCATACAAAAAAAGAGATTCACACATCTTCATTTATTGTTATTGCTTTAAATTGTTATACATGTACCGGTACCGGTATAACATAAAATTGTTTTTCCACTTGTGCAGGAAAATTAGTAAAATAATACATTTCCGGATAAACTGTCAGCAAACCAGGTAAACATTTCATGACACCCAGCGTATTGCACTGTAGCATCTGGAATACCACTTAAAGGACATCTCATGTACAAAACGGGGCTTAAAGGCACTGCAAGTGTTCAGTAAATTAGCCCATTTACACCTTGACCATTCTAATAGTTTGATAAATGTACAGAAACATAAATAAAACTGATGATAAAGAGAAATTTCCAGCTACTACATATGCCACGAACCACATTGTGAAATTAGAGCAAATGATATTCCTTGATGCTTGAACCAGAGACCATATAATCTATTATATTAGGGTCTCTGCTTGAACAATACTCCTCTCAGTATTCACCCATTGCATCTTGAGTGCACACATTGTTTCCCACCTTGTCCAACATAATGTTTAATGTACAGTCACAAGTTATCATTATGTTGCTAAATTAAATCATAGCTATAGCATTTGTACTACATTATTGATACATAACGTTATGGGTTGTGATGATAAGCTATGTGATAATTAATGTATATCATTCTAGACCTTGGTACATAGTGCCATATTTCCACGTGATCAAATATGCCATCACAAAACAGATATAAATAAAACCGCGTCGTAAGATTCGGGTTTAACTTGAATTTTAATGCATAAGAATCTACAAGTCAATTATCAGGATTGTGCGCATGCAAAAAAAATGTGCGCCATGAAAATCTGACCAGTCACAGGACATTAAAATAAAGGCGGGAGGACTGAGGTCACTCATCAGCTAAGGTCATGAATCTCATTTACATGTTGATTGACAGCTTGTTCTCGTTAGCTGTGGGTGTGGTAACCAGCTCGTAAAATCATACTTCGGGTGAAATAGCGCTACATAATTAACCGTAATCTGTCGTACCCGTTGCAAATTTCCGCCCACTTGCCGTTCGTATGACGGTGAAATCGATGTCAAATCCGGCAACCTTCTCCCTCCCTTCTAGAGTATCCGAGCTCAACAGTATCACGGGACACACCCCTTTCAGCTCTTTTCCTGCCTGGGTCCATTTCATATTATTCGGCAAATCAGTCTCCCCTTTCGCCTTTTTAGCCCTTGCTTTCGTGTCAGCAACTGCTTTTCGTTTGAGGTTTTGGCTGCGAGCAGACATATTCAGCGGCTTGCACAATGAGACCTGTCCACAGATATGATAACGGACTACCTGGTAAAATCGCGCACCCGTCATTTATATTGGCCAACCCTGGCGTGCCGGGACACGATTTGTGACGTCACAAGTAAACAATGCTATACGTGCTCGTACGTGTTTTCAGGGGAGTTAACTCTAGTGTACTATGTCTGCTGACATTGCAGAATTTTATATTTTTATCGAATTGAGTCATAGTATATTCAGTTGGTAGTTTTCAGCGAGCAGGAAGAGTGGTGAATTAGTCGATGTGCTCAATATTTACGAATAAATAATATTTTTTTGTTCATTATGTCTTTGGTTTTTTATGTCTGTTCTACCCGAGACCGTATTCAAATGTGGAATATGTGTGACCTGTATATTGGAACATTTGAGGCGGATATCTACGAGAGAATCCACTTTTTACAATGTTGTCTCATTTCAATTGTTGCATTGCTGTAGAGAGGTCCTGCATACTGCGTGTGCAGAGGCCGAATACTGCGTCTATTTTGCATATTACACATCTAAGCTTGCTTACTAATGGGCACGTGTCGACAAGATGAACGGACAATTCCCTTTACTAACATGCGAATATTTTTCATAAAGAAATATTAAGCTATTGACCACAGCATATAAACTGCACATTTCCAAGCTGGTTAACTGATGTTAAATCATTGATTAGTATGTGTACTCTTAATTGAACATGTTAATTACGATATTGATAGTATTCTGTTTTATCTGAAAGAAATTAACCCAGTGATATTTTATAAGCTCGAAACGCAATTGAAGTTGCCGCCATGAAGTTTACGGTAAAGCAGTTCAATGGCCAAAATTCCACATTTTGAAGAATTGTTTTATTTCGTCCTTCCGAAATATTTAAAATTTAAAATAATTACTATTTGTTATATTCTCCTCATGCATGCATGTCCATGAACATTAAAGTGCTCATGATAACCCGAGTTCATACTATCTATATCTATCAGATTATGTTAATTGCTCGGAATTCCCACCTTGAGATACTCCTGTGGAGGTTGCAAGGTCTTCCTGGGTGAACGCGGAGTCGATCGATCACCTCAACACATATAGCCTCCGCTGTGGCATAACTGTGCACGGTCGCTAATTTGGCTTGGCCTGAAAACGGTATTAGTAGCATGTTAACCAAAGTAGGCACTGCTAAATATCCTTGCGGTCGGAGCTTTATAACACCATTGACAAATCATTAAATGGCGTTAGTATCGGGAGTGGATACAGCTTTTTGAGAAAGGGGGTTGGGGGTGGTGCACACCCATTTTCACGAGAGTTTCAAAAGTCATTTAATACACTTTCAGGACAAGGGGGGGGGGGGTGCGCACCCCCTCTGGATCCGTTTGAGTATAGTTTGATTGCTGCAGGCTATTATTGTATCCTGATATAAGGGTTTTAGACACCTAAGAAACATTCGTTGGTATCTGTTTAATCACATGAGCGATCATAAAACACCTGACTGTTTAAAAAAGATATCTTTACCAGAAACACAAGAAATAGAAATGGCTGAGTGACGCAACACGCACTGCACGGAATATATATATATGTCCAAAAACATGATTCGAAGATAAATGTCTTAAAACTTTCTAGTTTGAAACAAATCAACGTATTCTGAAAACTGCCAAAATTTTTCAGTTGAGTAATACTCAAAATATGTGGGTTATGTTCTCCAAATGCATTTACTGTGAAAAATAAAGCATCATATCTCATAATGGTCTAGCTGATATGTCATCTACTGCAGAATGGCTGCATTTTGTCGTTGTAAGATCCCGATTGTTTTTACTGCATTGTCTTCTTTAATCATTGCGTATCGTGCAATATATTATTTTGCATGACAGCATTGCATTGCATAGGTGTCGGGGCCGATAGAATCTCCGGTAGGGAAGTGATACGGGTCCGAACCGGTTGGCTAGAGGGTTACGCTACCTCGCTGGGCACCGCCACACTGTCTCTCAGCTGACCTGTCTGCTCGCCTCATAAGTGCCTCTCATGTTGCACATCTAAATGTTTTCACAATATTACCAAATCTACTTTTACTATCCGATTTGGTTCTTGACGTTGAAATTCATCATGATTGTACATTTGGCCTTAGTAATGATGTGGAAAATTAGTGGATTAACATTGTCTTTTTATTTGTTCAGAATGTTTACAGATCTTGAACTTGTCGAGCGTTCCCGCTCTGCACGCCATCTTCGGCTGGTTTCTCTCCCAGAATTCCGCAGGCAATTGCGCATGCGTTTTGATACCAATGCAAATGGCGGCACTTGTTATTGTTCCATGGCATTCGTGATAGAGGGACATTTCTAGGACAGATTTGACACCTTTGCAGGTAAAGATGATCCCAGCAACAAACAAGCAAAGTCAATTAAACCTTGATTTGCAACCTTGACACCAATTCAGTACCCCAAGATACGATTTATTCATCGAACTTTAATCGTTTCCGAGGGGTTTTGCAGACCCGATTTTCGATTTGCCAGCGAGGACGACAGGAAAATCGCTTCTATATACCTATCAAATTGAGTAATTTCTCCATATTTTCAAACTGCAACAAATTCTATATGTCTAAACTTCATTTGTTTTAAAATTGCCGTCGGTTTTTGATTGCATCTCCGATCGATCCATGCCGGTGAAATTCGCCGCATGGTGAAGTCCGTAACCAGTGTAAATTGAGCACGTCCCCACCTCAAAATATCGAAGCGAAGGAAAGCCGAATGCTTGTCACCCCCTGTAGAATTCTCTAACGTTGAACTTAATTGGGATTTCTTGTTAACAGTACTGTTTGCACTAGGATATTGTTGTCGTCCATTACCTTGTAAACTTGGTGTTCTCATTTTCTACCTGCAAAGATTGTTTACATTGGATGTTTCATGTCAAGAAAAATGGCCTTTTATCCAGGTCATGGGCCTGAATTTTGACGTTTCATCACCGCTTTCGGAGAAATTAAGTAACGAGTGTACAACAGAACTGATTTTTAAAAAGCGATGATAGAGGTCAGTTCAGGGGAAAGTAATGCTTATTTGTTCATTCTTTGACAACTGAAAGTGGAGCCTACTATGTCACTGGTGTAGAGGTCATGATGGTAATCCTCAAAACGTTTTTGGGTTTTAGTTTTATTTGTGAAATGGCATGTAACATATTTGTCTTTCTTGGGTCACACTTTGTTACAACTACACATGAACAAGTAATGCAATTTTAGGGTAATCAAATATACAACTGGCTGACAGGAAGTATGTTGCTTAGGGGGTCCATATTTCTACATTCATATGCATATTAGTGGCAAAAGTTCTCTGTTCATTATATGTTCGTTTCTGGATTACCATATTAAATTTAAAGTATTTTAATATTTGTTAATGTATGTCCCAGATGTGTTGGCAATTTGTAGTAAGTAAATTCTGGTGCATACACTTGCATATTTCGTTTTCAAAATTATCATGAATACATGTTTACTGCTGTGGAGAATAGGGTTTGTTTGGATAAATCCTAATATTTTGATTGCTTCTACCTTGGCTATTATCTCATGACAGTGTTTCAAAAGTATTTTGATGAAAACTGATATATAGGTCAGTTCTGTCTTTTTTTGTGATGTCAATATTTTGTCATCAATAATGATTCCGTATGACTGATTTTTCAGTGGTTCTTGCTTAATTGTTTCAAAATCCAATTTACATGTGTTATTTTTATTATGAAATTAAAATTCTCACCCCAATACTGCTAAATACAGAAAGGACAGTAGACATTTTCATGTGTAATACCACTTACTGTCAGGTAAAAAGCAACTTTGTAGCAGGTCATTGATGCAAACTAGTGACAACATATATAAATTCAAATGAGAGTCATACAGGAATGTTTTGAATTCTTACATGATACCGACATGATTTACTTCAATTTATCATGCTCTTTAGAATACAAGATATTATATGTGTTGTGTTGACAATGATGTGTATGTATAATTTTGTGAAAACAAATAATTGAATTACATATCAGTCAACTACTTTTTTTTTCCCCCCGATTTATTTCAAGAATCAAATTCAATGTTGTGAAAATCTCCTGTATTTGGCTTTTTGCCAACCAAACCCAATTCATGTCTGAGGTAATGTTTTAATACAAACAGTGCTTAGCATGTTGGGTATCCTGAATGGAAACATTGCTGCTGATAACAAATGAGCCACTTTAGATATTACAATATCATATGCTTTCTCTCCAATTTAAGTTTAGATATTATGTTTGGCCTTTTTGTCTCTTTTTTCTTAAAGAGTTAGTTATACTATTTGCAGTTTATTGTTCAATAATGTACACAATTCATTACAAAGTTTGAATTAATGATAAATTATATTTAACATAAAGCCTTGTCATTTACATATGTAGGGCATAGTGTTGTATTTATGAAGGGTATATTATATTCCTAACTATTTGTGCACCTACACATTGATCATTATTACCTTTTTGTTTCTGTGTGGAAAACTTCAGCAAAAGATATTGTTGATAGGAAACCTTGAGATTATGTTTGTATTACATATAATTCTCTTTAATACCATATAAGGCTGGTGTGACTCCATCTGTGATTAATGATAGTATCAACAATTCATTGACATATGAGCAGTGCAAAGTGCCCAGTAAATAGCTAATAAGTGTTATATAATCCCAATTTTATACCTGTGCAAACAACATTCATGATGTGCTAAGTCTTGTAGGAATTTCAAACCTGCGTGGATCCCATTATCACATGATGGTCCCAAACATGTTCCCGACCTGATACCTAATTATGCCACATGTTGGATGGGGAAAATTAGAAAATATCATTAGTGGTGAATAGAGGTTCTCATGAAAATGTGTTTTTGTATGCAAATACATGTATACTGATTTTGGAATATGAAACATTGTGCCAGATTTACTATCCCTAAACAATATTTTGTATGTAATGACATTCTTAAATTCTGTTATCAATCCAAATTCTCATCTCTCACAAAAGGTAGCTAGCACTTGAAAAGTTTTTCTAGAATATTTTACACTAGTGTGTTACATCATAAGGTCAGTACTTGGTTTTTGTGACTAAGGACAGTATGACTTGTATAAACCAGGGAGTAAATAGCATATAGTAGATGCAAAGATGTGTAGTTGCTTACACATTACTTTTTCTACTTGCCTTTTTTGGAAAAAACATAGGTGTACAAGGCAAATTACTTTTTGTCAAAGGGAAGTTACTCTTGACTATGATATGTCATGTTTCCTGTGAGACTGCCTTTCCTGTCCACAGGGCCTTGTGTAGTTGCTTAAATATTTTCAAAGCCATTAATGTGCAGAATGTCAGAAATTGCATTGTCCTTTATATCTTTATATCGCTCACCTTGTAACACTGTTTCTGAATCATCACAATATGGCTTAAACATTGCCAATGTGACATTAAATATTAACTCACTCACTCACTGTTTCTGAAGTGAAATCACAAATCATTCACAAACATGATATCTACCTTGTCTTGGGTGATTATTCTATTGATTCTAATACATGATACCACTCAATTCTTTATGACTAATATCTTCTCGTCACTATGAAACCACCTGGACACAAGTCAGACCTACAATGAAAGGGGATAAGTCAGAAAGCAACCCTCTCATGTGCATGATTTGTGATTTCTCTTGGGAAACAGTGATACAAGGCTGGCAGTGCTAAATGGAGCGTCTGGTCTTGTGTAAAGATATACAGACATATAGGAAAGTGCATTTTTGCCTTCTGAATATTAATTGATTTTGAAATATTTAAGCAACTTCACCATGGCCTGTTGTCCAACCTGATAAAATGCTGTGAGATGTCTGTACTGCGACAGAATGAATCAAGGTTACCATGTGGACATATTTGGCTAAATCCAACTGTTTCCAATATTGGAAAAGGCAAAGAATACTCCACTTGATATCAAATGTAACATATCTATTTAGTGATGGCAACAATTAAAATTGTTTTTAGTATTCCACATTTATCAGTGTATGAAATTGAGCATGGCTTTTGGTATGACCCGAATGTTAATGTTAACAGCATCTCTAGATTCAAACTTTAAAGCAGTAGATCTCACTACTCATAACCCCTCTTAAGTCTTTAAACATTTAACAAGTAACTGTTATAATAATAGTATAATGGTGATTGATATTCTTTAATAAGTGGTAGGTTTCTTGAAGCGATAATGCGGTGGAGTAGCCTAGTGGTTAAAGCGTTCACTCTTCACAATGAAGCCCATTTCTGGTGTCCCTTGTCGTGATATTGCTGGAATGTTGCAGAAAACAATACTCACTCATTCTTGGTTAAATATATGTATATATCAAAGGTCAAGTAGGTACTACTGAATTCTTTAATTGTTATGTAAGCATTCATCATTTAAATGTGTAGTATGAATAGAATATTTGTCTCGTGATATAGAAAATGTTTTTTGCTATTTCCTCTACTTCATGGGACAGTGGGATAGTCTAATGGTTTAAAAAATTTATCGTCGCGCCAAAGACCAGGGTTCTTCCCCACATGGGTACAAGGTGTGAAGCCCATTTCTGGTGTCCCTCTCCTTGTTATTGCTGGAATATTGCTAAATCAGCGTAAAACTAATCTCACTTTCACTCACTCCTGTTTTTACATATTGTTTAAGTTTTATTGAACACTCAAGTTTGACTGATGATAGTCCATCACCATATTATTAGTATCTAGTTCAAGTTAGATTAAAAATTATTATGTTTGCATTTGATGCATTATTGCACAACAAACTGCAATTTGAGGTAAAGTGTATAGTAACACAACATCACTCAAAACTAACATTAGTCACATCCAGCTAGTCTACAATTTATGTAGATAGCAGGTTATGTAAGATAGCAGTGTTTAGGGAGGAAAATACTTCTTCCTAGACCAAGTTCCTTCTCAAGTTCAACAATTTTTCGGTCAATCTAGTAAGCTTCTGAAATTATATACATGTATGTGAGATGCCAGTCAACTTTTGATATTGGCCACATCTATGTCTTGGTTTGATAAAACTGGCTACGATATTGGATGGAAGGTTTTCACCATTCCTTATTTTCTACTTTAGCATCCATATCTGTCAAAGTGTTCTATCTTTACCCTGTCCATTTGAAAAACTGGTGTTCTTTTGACTAATTGAATGTAAAGAGGAATTTTTACTTACACTGTAAACTAGGACTGCTCTTTCTAAGATTGCTGTAAGAATATGTTAACATGTTGCTCTGGTTCTAATGATGGATGTGGTAATGTTACAGGTGGGTGTTCAATGGATGTTGGAGATGGGTCCGCAGGAGGACTACATCGAGACAGTGCTGACCTGTGAAGGGGACTTTGATGACCCACAGCTTCACAGTCGCCTGGAGAAGTTCCGGCGGAGCTTAAAAGATCTCCTGCTGACGGGTAAGATAAATTCTGTAGTTGATCAGTTTGCAGGGCTCGATTTAGTGCTTTGTTACTTGCACTGGTGCAACCCAATATTACAAAGTGCAACCTAGTTATTTGTCTAACTTGCACCAGGTGCAAGTCATTTTTTGAGAAATATACCAACAATAAATCTTTACATTACAAGCATAATTATGTCAGCTCATTTTTTCTTCTAAACTTTGAATAATTCAATAGCATATTTCTTTCATTACATATTGCAGTAAAAGCAGTGCAACTGGAATTTGGCTGGTGCAACTTGATTTTTATCTTAGGTTGCACCTGGTGCAAGTAGGTTAACGTCTCTTAAATCGAGCCCTGGTTTGCATTCTATGTTAAGTCAAAGTCCACACACTTTGCCCATCCAAACATGTATGACATCAATATCAAATGATAGTCAGTAAACTTGAGAGATTGTCAATACATCTAACATGATAAATGTCTTTCCACTTCCTAGTCATGGCTTGACTTTCTTGTAGTTTCTGTTGTGCTGTCAGGACCATCAGTGTGTCACCTGTTGCTCTCTTTTTCAGATATGCACAAGCTTATCCTTAAGAAGGTTGAACCATGGAATAGTGTACGAGTGACTTTCAACATACCAAAAGAGGCAGCTTTAAGACTCAAGCAGCTAGCACAGCAAGGCAATGCAGCACTGCGTGAGCTTGGTGTCTTGGCTGTTCAGATTCAGGGTGATCAAGTTGTTTCTCTTACTATCGCGGGACGTAATAATGAGAGAACAGAGCTTATTCTACGCACAGCCGAGGTGAGGTCCGGGCAGCCTGCTGTGTCCGTGTTTGATACTGGGTTACAAAGTTCTGATGAGTTGAACTCACCTGGACCAAGCAATGTTGAAGTGACTAGAAAGAATATTGCTGATTACCTGAGGCAAGGGACCTCTTTGTTTGATACTATCATAAACCAGTCGCAGCCTGGACCAGGTAATGGTGTGTTTAAATCTCCAAATGTGGTTGCAACATCAAGTGAGCCGATCCCGTTCCGGGCGAACAATGTTATTAGCACATCGCCTGGTACCACGGCAACAGTCACCAGCCAAACATCAATGTATAACTTTCCACCAGGGAGGAGCCCTACAGGATATCCAGCATCACCAAGTGCAAATTATCCAACATCTCCTAGCGCAAGCAGGAGCCCAGTTCACCAGCCTGGCCTCAAGTATCCTTCTCCCCCGGGCCTTCCACCTGGAATACCAACTGCCCCACCTAGTATGGGCAGCATGAATCATGTTAGACTCCCACCTCCACCACCATACCCAGGTGTAAGCACTGTGAATAACATACCCAGACCAGGCAAAGCTGTGAGTGTTTCCAGCCCTTTGCTGGTGAATTTGTTGCAGACTGAACCCTTGGTGGCTGGATTCAACAACCTGCCTGGCAGCAAGATGCTGCCACCACAGGAAGGAGGTCCTCCAGCCAAGAAGAGGAGACGTCCAAGAAAGCCTAAGGAAGCAACCAAGCCTTCAGCTGTACCTTCTGATGGAGAAGTACCTATACAGAGTGTTCTGAATCCAGCTCTGGATGCAGCAACAATGCTCTCCAATGACCGTGTTGAGAGCTCAATGGACTCTACCAATGCAGGTCATCCTGCTGACCCTAATGTCTCATTGAATCCCAATCAGAGGCTTACTCCAACCTCTATAGCTCCTGTGTTGGGGAGCTCCTCTCAGTTAAACATCTCACCTCTTAATGTTGAAAGTAGACTAAATCCTAATGAAAGTGTGGGGTCTGGTACCCAACCACCATTCGAGGGTTTGCCTCTCGGTGTGGACTCTTTATCTGAGCCATCTATACCAAATTTAATAGAGGAGAAAGGTTTTGTTCATGAACAGCCAGATCCTTTTCCACCCGAAATTACTGCAGGAAAAATCATTAACCCATACACTGGACAGTTAGAACCCATGGACAGGAGCCCTGTTAAAAGTGCAAAATTAGGTGGTGGTGGTGTTACACAAGTGAAAAACAAAGCTCAACGCATGAAATCTGCTTCAAAACCCAATCGAGAGAATGTGCATGATGTATTTCTGAACAGGGGTAAGAAGCATGTAAACAAGAAAAGTGCTACAGTTACAAGTGAGGATGTGCAGGCCCTGGCTATCATGACTGGTCAGGTGCCTGTTGCAGGAAGTAGTGATGTGTTTGGTGTTTCTAAAAGGACAGTTGAAAGGGAGCATTGCCAACCATCTGAGAGGTCACCGGAAAGTGCAGAGGTTGCTGCAGCAAGTGCAGAAGCAGCAGCAGCAGCAACAACAGCAGCAGCACAAAGTGCTAATGTACCACAACAGATCTATGCAGAAGCCCAGCAGTCTAGTCAGTGTGCATCCACAGCTGTCAGTGTGTCCGCATCTTTGTCCAGTACAGCAATGCCAAGCCCAACTGAGTCTCAAGCTAATGTTACAATTGGTATGGGAATATTGAACTCCGCGGGGCCTTCCGTAGCCAGTCTGGCATCTGGTAAGGCCTCCTCGCCACCATACCCTAGTGGACCCCTTGGGCAGCCTTTGTTGGAGACTTCAGCAAAGCAACAGGCCCAACCAGCACAAAGTGTGTCTCATTCGGCAGAGCTGCATAATAGTGACAGCAAGTCCCCATTAGCTGTGGACAGTGTGTTGCAGTGTACTCCTGCAGCTAGTGAGGCTGTTCTCAGTGTGGCCCAAAGTGCAAAGGCTAGTGCTAAAGTTGACTCATTGCTCAATTCCCCTTCCACCAGAACCACAGATTCCAATTGTTTGTCTGCAAGTCCAGAAAACAAGATGCCGTCTGAAGGAGATGACAATTCAAACCACAGTGGCATAATAGGTGATATTACAGCTGATAACCCTACCTCGGCTGGCTCTTTCCTGGACTCTGGGTCTGGCAAAGTGTATAACCATGACTCAGGGGTGGGGAGCTCATCTGAGCGATCTGATGACACTCCCTCTGAGCCTGGGGACAGTGAGTTTCGATCGACTCACCCAGCCGACTCTGATGAATTGTCCAAATCACAGAAACTATTAGACTGTAAACCTGAGTCAAAGCAGATGACTGTTGGGTATGTGATGGACAATGACCACATGCCACAGCAGCATAAGGACAAAAGTGACTTGGCACATATGCCATTTACAACCGAAAAAGTGGCTTCTTTAGGGCAAATCAAGAATCATACGAACCTAATGTATGGTCAAACTCCTAGCGATCTCCACCCAAACAATCAAGTTACAGTGCTGCAGTGGTCAACCAAAGACTCCAAACCACTTGCTGGTCATAAACATATACCTGATTATGAACTGTTAATGAATTCTCGGATTGGTAAGTTAAAAAATGGTCCCTTGTTGCCTGATGGTTCAGTTCACAAAAACTTGGATAGGCATTCTTCATCACCTACCAAGTCAAAGACTGTTGCAGACATTGGGAATCCTCATAACTCAAATGAACTCTCCTACTCAAAAGGTGTGTATAGTATGTGTGATTTGAAATTATCAGTAGTCAAACATGTTTTCTTTGCAGAGAAAGATGATTAGTCAGGCATCCAGTTATTCTTTCTTTTCAACATTTTACACCTGTTTATATTTTCCCCCGAGACAAATCATTTTTCTAAGTCAATGACAAGAATACTTTAACTGGTAATAATTACTTGTTGGTCAAGGTATATATTGTCACTGACAGGGTCTTCAAGGTGCTATGTAAAGATAAGGGGTGTAACAAAGTCAAAACTAATTCAATCATCTTCTCTGTACAGCCCCATGAAACTATACAAAGATTTCAAGCCAATTAGCTTCAACGTGAGGCGTAAGTCACAAAAACGAAGCCATACTTTTGGGGATAGGTGCATTGGAAGCTTGAATAATTGTGATTTTGTCATATTCTATACCAAATTCCCAGCTCCGAATTACCAACTTACAGAATGTTTTGTTAATTGCATCGTGTACACAAACGACATGCACTAAAACACTCAGAATCGATGGCATATGCCAGCACGATAATCACCATTCTTTCCAAGACGCTTGCACCTAGCTTCTAAAGTGAATTTACATATTTTATTCATTGTTAACAAGCCTGTGTCGTGCCAGCCGCCATTCCTGACCTTGGCCGTGACCTACTTTCCACTGAAAATAGCCAAGGATCTGAAATTATATATATGGCCAATCTACCGCCGTGAGGGAGGTAGGGAGGGACTGATGGATGGATGGATGGGATGATGAGCATTTATAAAGCTCTGTATCCATCCTCAAGGCTGTAGGATATTGACTCACAAATAGAAAAATCATGATTATTCGAACTTGTTGTGATGACCTTGTCACACCTCTTCCCTATTATTTAGTGCTAAGACTGACTGACTGAGTTTGGTTTTACGCTGCTTTTAGCAATATTCCAGCAACATTACGGCGGGCGACACCAGAAATGGGCTTCACACATTGTACCCATGTGGGTCTTCAGCGTGACAAGCCAACACTTTAACCACTAGGCTACCCCACCACCCCATTTAGTGCTAGAACTCAGTCAGGGACAATATTTGCCTTGACGACCAAAAGGGAGGCTTTATTGTTTATTTTAATGGAATGTGAAAATATTTGAACACTTTGGAATTGTTCACTTTAAAGTGGTGAAAGAGGTCAAAAGAATACCATGAAATGTCAGAACTTGAACCAGCACAACTAAAATGATGATGCTGACACTTGTCAGAATGTATGAAATTTACTGGATTTAGACAACTCAGTTGTGTGTGGAGGCTAGCAAACCTCAGCCTCGGGCTAACAGCACTCAAGCTTTGAATATTTATTGACACCATGTCATTCTGTTTTAACATAATTTTATCCCGTCATGTGTCGTGATAGTAAGGTTGTGATACATACAGGATACATGTAACAATTCTTGACATTTATCTCAAGGAAATATTTCCACCGAAAAAGGAAACTAGTAGTAACCTGTATCATGTACCTAGTACTTTTCTTTAATGGAGATTTGACTTATTTGATTAAACAGTGTCTTGAGACATGGTATAGAAACAAGCAGGAAAAGAACTTATTTATGTTGATATCAGTGTTCACAGCACAGACTCAATGTTCACAGTGCTCAAGTATTTAGTTGATGTTCAGAACTGTGGTGCTTTCCGGGTGATGGATTTGTATACATTTGATTCCTAAATTATCTAAGCAAAAATAGATCAAGTCAAAGCTAGGCAAATCTTTCAAAATAAAGTTTGGCTGTTTTCTGAGTGATAACGTTGACAAATATGATGTAACTGACGATAAGACTCAATATCAACAGATAAAAAATTACATCATATTTTCCCTCTGTCTGTTTTCGTGGTTAAAGATACTAGTTACAAAGTGCTACCTAAAATGCATGGCTAAGTGAATCACACCTGCAAACAGTTCCTGTAAAGAGATTCCTAAAACTGTTTAGAAAAATTATACAAACACCACCTAATATTTGAAAATGTAGGAAAATCTAATAATTTATTTACCCTTGTTTTTCAAGCAATTTCTTAATACTGAAATTTCCAATGAACATTAAAACCACAGTTAATGTTATTCATGCAATCTCTGTGGTAACAAGATTAAAACTCACTGATAGCATGTCATCTAATTTAAGAGTTTATGTTACTATAGTTTATAGTTTGAAATATTTTCCAATAATCTTGAAGATACCAAATATGATTAATACCTCGTGTACATGGATACAGTGTCATCTGCATGCTCAGTGTTGTGAAGGTTTTTTAAAAGACAGTAAAGCATGTTTGATTTAACGTGAAGATGAGAAACTGTTTTATATATCTCGGATATTTCTGTGTGATTATTTATATGCTCTGTACGGATCGGTTGTTGTAGTTAAGTTCTGTAGACACCTCTGTAGCAGTTTACATATTTTATTAGTACAATCGGAAAGAAACAGAACATGCAGGTGAAGTATTCAAAGGTCTGTTGGCCTAGTCAGAGCCATGCTCTGCTAAATGTGACTGCCAACACATATCCTGCTTAGACCATGTGATCAAAACTAATCACCATGTTTATCACCAGCAAAGTGGGTATTTTTTTCAAAGGTCTGTTGGAAGCAGAGCCACTTTGCAGTTTTTTAAGTAATTGTAGTTTATATTCCCTCAGCCAGATTGGCTATTCTTTATAAGTATTAGCACATGTGTCGGTCTTCATTAGTTATCTAAGGATAATGTTAATTATTTATTCTCTTTCATACTATAATAACATACATTTAATGCAGCACTAATGTCATTACTGGATACTTTTATCTGTCTCCTTTCATGCAACAGAGTGCCAACCTGAGATTTTAATCATGTTTGGAGATATTACATTCTATGCTTTTACTATGCTCACCACTTTGGTGGGTTTACTCTGTGTTGGTGGATTCAAATACCAGATTCAACCTGATTGTTTCGAAATTTGACCAAACCATACCAGAGGATTTCACCAATGTGATAAGCATCTGCGACTCCCGTCACTTCAGGCTTTACCCTCCTATATAGTGTCTTGTCGTACTGTAACTGTACTGTCAGAGGCAGGAAACACAACTCCTTGCTCTGAAAGGGTCAGGCTCATCTTGGAAAATGTATTTGTGTTAGTCTGTGATATTAAAAGAGCTTGTGACAAGAACATTTATATGTCTCATAGATTCTGGTTTTGAATATGTCCCAAGAAACTTATGCTAGTTGTAAGATGTAAACAAAGAAGCCGGTGCTTCATCTGTATGACTGGGTTGGTTGTGTCTGATCCTCCCCAGCAGTGTGTACATTGCTTGAATGTGGCATTCAGCTACTAACAAAAATTCATTCTTGAGCACTGATTTGGATACTGAGTTCTTGTGGTTTTCCTCCAAATGTCTCGCTTACCAAAGTTCTCAGTGCCACTCAGTTTTCAAAATCAAGCAAGGAAAATACTAATTACAGCTTCAGAATATGTTGCAGTTATTCAGAGAGCTAGGCTTTTCAACAATGAATAATCGTTCATTTATTACTTCAGTAAATCATGTTAATTGTAACATGTGTCTATATCAATAGTGACTAATAAAAGGGTGTTGATTACACAACATTTCATGAAATAAATAAGAAAGTTTTTACTAATATTCCAAAGACTAATTCATAAATGTTTGAATATGAGGTATTTGTAAAGAAAGCTGTTTTCAATTCTAATTGTTGCTGTGTAGTGTGAAAATATTGTCATATGCCATCTGTATTTTGTATTGGTCTTTATCAGTGACACCAACTTATACAAGTTGTTGTTGGTTAGTGGCACTGTATGTGAATCTTATCGGATTATAACTTGAGGGTGAAAGCTTTGTCCACAAATGCATCTTTTTGTGTATTTATATGCTATATAAATCTTTTGTTTTCTTTAGGGCTGTCATCAGCTGATGGTGAATTGCAAACCTCCAGTCCTCCAACATCCCAGCCAGATGTAGACCAAGGCAGTGACCACCCACCTTTCAGTGCTGACACTCTTAAGACTCAAACACCTCCAAATTCCCTCTCCACAGGAGACATCACAGATAGAACGTCCAATTTTCAGTGCAATACTAATAGCCCTGAGTGGTTGAACCATCCTGGGCTAACCTCCCAGCCTGTAAGCAGTGTATGTGATACAGATACAAGTGATCTGCATGAGCTAAGTCAAAGTTTTGCTCAGAGCGGGAGGCTAGAGCCCCACTCCCCTGGCGGGCTAGGGCAGTGTTTAACAAACAGTGATGGAAAGTGTCAGGCTTCATCTCCAAAAAGTGCAGCAGAGAAATTTTTCCCTGGTATTGCTGACATTGATGGGATGCAGACAAGTGCTCGAGGCATGCAGTTAAAGGGTGGTCATCCTCCAGATGGACTGAAAGGATCCAATATCACCAGCAAGTACTCCAAACGATCCTCTCCTGTGAATGTGAACATGCTTAACCACATATATGCACCAGGTTTGCCGCTTCCAAGACGATTGACTGAATCTATTCAGAGATTAGTTAAACCTCTGGGAGATCTACCTCAAATGCGAGCGTGCAAGTCTCCTGGTGCAAGTGGATCAAAGCAAGGACCAAATGGGGAAAAGTCACCACGGGCTGCTCATGGTACACGATCGCCTGGAGCGAGTGTTCCAAGAAGCAGTCCAAATGGTGGTATTCCCACAAGTCAGGCAGCATTAGCATCAAGTATGCCATCCAACTTGCCCAACCTACAGCAGAACACTTTGAGTGGAGGTGCTGTCTCAGTGAACTCTACTACTGGCATGCCAGTATCAGCATCTGTGTCACAAACTTTTATGTCCGTTGATGGGCAATCAGGATCTCATATGGCTGGCTCTGTTAACCAACAATCATCAGTAGCAGACAGGAACTTCTACTCCAGCCCCCAACAGCATTCCACACCTCACGGCACATATTCATCCCCGTCAGAAAACCAGCTGTTTGATAGTAACGCAGTAGCAGCTTCTCAAGCAAATGTTGTTGATGGCATCCCTCCTAGTCAGCATCCAGACCTGACAGACTCTGCAGTGATGTCGGATAATCAACAGACCAACATGGCTGATCAGTTAGTGCCTTTGTCTATGTCCCACAAGTGCAATACTCATAGTGGACCCTTGTCACAAGCTAATCCCTCATATGCAAAACCTGTTTCTGCTTCTGCAGATGATGTGTCTGACTTGACTGATGTGAACAAAACACACTCCCAATCTGATCTCAATGACAGTGCTGCTAGCCATAATAGTACAACTACAGAACCAATCAGGACAAGTAATGGGGGCAGCTGTCCTGTTCCTCTTCCTGTGAACTGTGTCCAGTCTGAAGCAGCATCTACTGCAGGAGAATCTCAGCATCAGGGTGAAAGTGTGTCCCTGACTGATGGGCAGCATCTCTCTCAGCATTCCACGGTGCAAAGTGCGGGTAGTAGTGATGCTGTAGGTGTAGCTAGCAGTGCTCAAAGGCAGCTTCATGCGCCCATCATCAACACACAGCCAAATCCAAGTGATAGTTCAGATGTGCCAAAATTGTCATCTGTTGATGGGGCAGATGTTGAATCTGTTGATCAAAGTCCACAAGATGCTGAGATGAATGAAGGGATACACATCAGCAAAGATGTCAAAGAGGAGGTTGACACAGCCTTAAGTCAGGACGCTACCATTGCAGAGTGCTCTCCCAAGGATACCAAACATGAAACTCAAGATCTATGCAGTTCAGAGGCAGCTAACATCTCTGACACTCCTCCATTAATTGAACCAATTGTTTCTCTACAGACTGAAAACTCAGACATACCCATTACAGAATACAAGGATGAAAACAATGAATTGTCCATTGACTCACCATTGGATATTCCTTCCAGTGAACCTGTAGAAGGACCACAGGATGGAAATGACCAAGAGGCCAAACCCGTCAAGAAGATGGCAGAATTACTTATAAAACCAACAACAAACTTAAATCCATCAGTTGAATCAATGAGGACTGATACAACAGCAAAAGAAGAAGATATGTATGCAGAAGACAAAATGAGTAAGACTAGTGATGATGTGGAGGATGTGGAGGCTGAATCCAAGGGTCAATTCAGCACTGTCCAGCCTCCAGTCTTGCAACCAGAGCCAGAGTCCATGCCCACAAGGAGAATCACAAGAAAAAGGAAGTCAACTCACAGTGAAAGTGATGGCAAAGAAAATGACACAGATGCTGCTCCAAGACCAGATGCTCCTGAGATGACTGCAAAATCAATAATTGCCTTTCAAAACTCAGAAGCTGCATCATCAGCAAAAACAGACTCTGCTGTGTCTGGCCCCAGGACAAGGGAAACTAGGAGACATCCTCATGGTGAAGAGAAGATGAAGAACACAGAGGAAGTCAATGATAGGCCTGCATCAGACAAACAGCAGGAGAAATTGGGCCATCTGGACAAACAGCAGCTGTCCCCAAAGGAAGGAACTCAGGAGAGGAAACTTGATGGGACAGGTGCATCAAAGGAAGATGACTTATCTACAAAAAGGGGCAACACCAATAGACGGAACAAAAGCTTGCCTGTTGCCGGCACGGAGAAGCCACAACCCTACTGTAAGTATTAGCTTGATTTCTCTTTGAGAATATATGAATAAGGCGTATAACATGGCTTGTTTCTGGTAGTTATTCTTGAGTGTGTTTCACCAGTTTCTGAGATGATGATGAAATACTTAATTGTATGTTCCTTTTAGGGTTTTTTTCAGACCATTGTTGGATATTGTAAATGAAGATCACTGATTTCATATTCGCATGAGATATTTTCAAATTGTGCCTTCTTCTCGCTCCAGCTTTTTTTGACATTTCAATCATCCGTGGACGAACCCGGAGCCAGTCAGCACCAATGACTGAAAACAAAGACCAGAAGGTTGAGAAGGAGAAAGAGGAATCTCCTGACTCTCAGAAAAGGTCAACGAGATCCTCACGACAAAAAGGTAGAGATTTCTGCTAGTAAAGGTACTGCTAACCACACCATTGCTGTTGTATGCTGCATGTTAAGTCAGCTGCATGTTTAGTCTGTGAAAATATATTGGTGCCGACATAGCTGTACATTCAACTGTAATGCATTTAAGTGAAAAATAGATTATTAATGTACTCTCTTTACACCTGGAATCATAACATTTTCTTTCCAATGCTTATCTTCCCTCCATGTCAAAATGTTGGGATTTAACTGGCTCTAGTGATCCTGATGAATGTATGTTGGAGGGAAACATGTTTCTCAGCAGGAAAATTTATTTGAATTATTTTACATTGATAGATACTTTGGGGTCTATGTATCATCTGAGGGAGACGAGACATATTTTATCTGGGTCCTTTCCTGCTGGTCCTATACTGTTCTGAGGCATAACTTGAAAACTGCTCAGAGTATTTCAACGAAATTTAGCATATGCATTGTTTATCAACTTGACAGGCCTTTTGCTATTTAAATATTTGTATGTTTCCTTGACCATGGCTAGAATTTGATTGGTCAATCAATAGAATAAGACGGTATCAATTTGGATTGAAAATGCGTCTGATTTCACGGCGCTTCACTGCGCACGTATACAACACTGCCGTACTACTTCAGCTTGGCCACCAACATGACTAATATCAACACAACAGACGTGATGGAAATGCTGATGAAACATTTATTAAAACTTGAAAAATACAATTATACGATTTATCCTTCACAATTATTAGGGAACCTCACTATCATAATTATTACCTTCTATTATAAACATATTCAAACTCAATAACAATAAACAGCCCCAAACATAAACAAACAACATCTAACATAAATCAGTAAACCTTGTAAAAATACATCCCTATCTATCCCTATGTGTGCGGCAAAACGTTCGTAAACATTTACCTACCTGGTAAATGGTATAATTGTTTCCCTTTAGAATGGGAAATTTGCAAGATAACGGTCAGGCGAAACACAAAATTTATGCCACTCATACTCCATCATGTCCCGTTGCATCGTTCAAAATGTCAAAAATTGAACCTCGAGAATTCCGCCCTCTGCCACCTTCCCCACAAGGCTGTCACTACTATGTTTGTACACTTTGAAAAGCTTGGCCACAATCCAGTCCCAAATGATGAGAACAATGTTCCAAGGAATCCTAAGTTAGTCGCATGTACACAAAGCAGCACTGTCACTCTTTCGTCTCATGCCGGGTTGGAGGCACGTACGTGAAATCATGATCGACACTCACTGGTCATAAAAATCAACAGTCTTTGATGAGTCATAGGTCGATCAGAAAAGGATGTATTCTTCGATTCTGCAGGGTTCAGGTTCGACAGTCAGTCAAGTATTTTCCACTATCACTTCGAATTTCAACCTTTCACAAAATGTAAACACTGGCTCGTCCGCCATTTCAAACTGTTGCGTAACTGTCTACTTCCAAGAAAATAAGTAGGTCAGACGATTCCATTATAGTGTGGCCAGGGGGGTACAGTAACACGGCACACAAAACAATAGGCTGGTTTCGGTCGTGTGGAGTTATGATTATAAAAAGCAAGCTCTTAGGTGTTACATTATTGCATTGAATAAACAGTAGTTTGTGTTCTTTGGACAGAATATTATGTTAAAAAAAATACTGAATGGCACCTACTACTCCCTTCACAGGCGAGTTCAATTCACCTCTCGTCCCATGCCGGATTACGCGGTGCCTTCCGCAGAACGAGGAAGTTTGATGTTAAATCGGTTATGGTAGAATGAGATAAACACACGTGATAAACACACCTCACGTGTTTGGAAATTAGATGAATGTTAGACTGAATTGATAGTCTCTAAATTTCATTTGAAGCCGAGCGCGTGGCGTGAGGTTTCAAATGATTAATTTCCAGACTATCAATTCAGTCTAACATTCATCTAATTTCCAAACAAAGCGCTTACCTCCTAAGTGTCTTGTGTCTCCATGGAAACAATTTGGAAATTTTAAAGGGTCTTTCTATTTAGCATGAAGCTGTTCATTACTTGCCAAGTACAAAGTGTAATCCAAACTGCTGTTACAAGTTTAATAGTATTTCCTGAAATAAAGATAAGTGTCAACATCACATCGGATATAAAGCTCCTTAACTGATACCTTAATCAGAATTTGTACATGGATTGTTTTCCTAATTTTAATTTTTTCGTTTTGATTTGTAAACACATTTATCGTAACAGCTCATCAATAAGTAGATGGGAAGACATCTGTGTTTATGAGGATAAACACATTCCAGTTAGGTTTGATGTGACTTACCTCTGGTTCACAAGTTGCATAGAACCGCTTTCTATTGTGATACTGCAACAGCTTCTATTGTTACCAGATGGATGCAAGTGACATTGAACTATACCCTAGTGGTGTTCCGCTGATCGATTATAATCGAAAATTGATTGGTTACCCTTTTCCGGCGACGCTGACAATCGATTGCAAAATTTCATAATCGATTGTCGCTAATAATTTTACGAAAACAGTAATGAATACCCAACTCAGACCACAAGACAACTGGCAGTTACAAATGATTATAACTTCGGTCCGCATTATTCACAAAATTCACAATCATATTGGGTCTACTTACTTTGAAATGAAGTGAAGTTGACTGAAAATGGATACACAGTGTATATATTTTGTTTCGCTTTAATGTCATATTTATTGTAGCTGTCGATCACAACAAACTGGCATGCACACCCGGGCGCAGCGATGACTTGCATGTTTACCTCATTCCATGAGCGTACAACTGCTGCTTAGCTGCTTACCTTGTTCATGACGGACGTATCTAAATACATAATAACCCAGCTGCAGAATATAAAAAATAAACAAAAGGAACAAAAAGTCTAAATAAATAATGATCTGCCAGTAATGTGTTAAGATAAATAAGCGAAGTTTTGGTGAAATCATAATTGTTGTTAGCTTTCGCGCCAAACAAAATGGCGGCTGACGACCGGTTGATGTCGATGAAATATTCAACTACCCTTGCGGGGAAGGGCAGATCCAACGCTTGGAAGTGTTTCAGATTTTGGAAGAAATGTCAGGGGTCCCCAACGAAGGAAAAACTTGACATGTCAAAGGCGATTTGTCGATTTGTCGAAAAGGAATACGCAAAACAAAGGTATCGACTCATAATTTCGCGTGATACTATCAAGTGAATGGTCTAATAGAAAAGTATCATCATGTTATACGTGCATGATATGAATCTGGCCCATACTCTTAAGTCTATTACTATCAGTACGAAAATTTGAAACTACACAATACATACAAACAAATTAAAACGTTATTGAAAACGAATGACATGTAGGCCTTGTGACATGAATTATCGTGAAATCAGGTTAAAACTTGAGTACCCTTTTACTTTGCTATGTCAGAGTCAATTTTGGATATATATCTACTTGCAAACATAAAATATATGAAATAAATCCTGAAAGTTGATTTCATAAATGATCAGAGATTATTTATTTGTCGAAATCAAGAACATAATTGATATTTGTCTTGTACTTTAGTCGTTTAAAATATATGTTTGTGTCTATATATTTCAATTTCAATGAATTTTCTTCCACTTTCAGAGAGTTTCTAGTGAAACATATTGGCGTAGTTTAGGCTAAAATTTGTAGTCACTAGTATGATAAAATTGTTGAGGTTGGCATCTCTGGCATTGATGGTAAATAAAAATAAACCATAAAAGAACAAATTCTTTTTCTCTTCTTTGTTCAAATTCAACCATCTGTCTCTGAACTGAACTTACTTACCTTTAGGAGTCTGAGACAATACCAAACACATGGTCTTGTGTAACTTGTTTTATTCAGAGGTTATTCTTGTCATTTCATTTAACCGATTATTAACCAATGATTGATCGGTTGAGCCAATCCGATTGTAACCGATGATCGATTATGAAATCACAACCGATTCCCAACACTACTATACCCAGCATCATTTTTGCGGGTCACACAGATAATTTGAGAGGGAGAGATATATATGAAGAAGATCTTGCATTTTCAACATGTAAGGGTGCCGTTCAGTTGCATCAGCAATGAACTATTATGTTGTCACATTAACAATTTCTTGTAATGCATTGAATGTACAGGGGCAAAACCAATCATTGAGTGAAACAAAGTGTGTTTTGTTGGTATTTGTTTTTCTTCCATTAGGCCAGACCAATTTTATTTCTTGTTTTACTGGTTTTTGTCCTCAGAAAACCTAAAGGCAGGAGGGGGAAAATAAAATAAAATAAATACTAAAAGTATTTTACTTTTGACAATTTACTGAAGTGTATATATATAAGGCAAAACACAATCTGAAAAAACCTTTTTGTGTAAATTTACATTTTCACCAATGAAACCCCCAAAACATTCCGATTTTACTTTTTGAGCTGGGAAAATTAACTTTTTCCTCTTTTTTCTTGAAAAATATGACCGGCGGATCCATAAAACAAGAAATAAAATTGGTCTGGCCTTACCATCAATTTTGAACTTGACAGTGTTTTTAATACTTGTCGTCCATTCTTCAAGTTTATTATGATCATCCATCCATTCAGTCAGTGTAATAGGAACATAAATATTGCTCAACATACTCAAGACATATTGATGTCTGATGGCACATGCTCTTGTTTGGCACCCTACTTAACAAGGTGGCCCTTCAATAATGATACTACCCGTGAAGATCCGGGTTAGAATTGATCTTCAGTAACTCATACTTGTCGTAAGAGGCAACTAACGGGATCAGGTGGTCAGGCTCACTGACTTGGTTGACAAATGTCATCGGTTCCCAATTGCGCAGATCGATGCTCATGCTGTTGATCACTGGATTGCCTGGTCCAGACTTGATTATTTACAGACTGCCGCCATATAGCTGGAATATTGCTGAGTGCGGCGTAAAACTAAACTCACTCACTCACTCATAATGATACTGAGTATTTATGTCTTCAGTGTTTTGTTCAGTTATCAGTTATTTTGTTGTTGTCCGTAAATTCTTTTGATTAGCAGAGATATAAGTCATGTAAATTTATTTTGCTTCCCGCCAAAAGCAGTACTCAAATTGTCTGTTGTTTGGATGACATATTTCTGGCATGAAATCAGTTTCCTGTTTGATTTGTGATTAACATGATGAATATTTTTAATGTATCTCCTAAAGCATAAACTTAAAAATCAAATCTACAGGATTATGCCGAATTTGTGCTCTGTTAGTTAGATTTGAAGATTGACTGTGCAATGATCTTGTTGCTTCTCCTTCCAGATCACCCTGAACAACCAGTTGCCAAGCGACGCCGATCACGTGATCACAGATAGAAGTCTCACTGTAGACCTAGACGAACTACTGAATACTTCATTTACATAGTCCATTGTAAATAGGCCAGTCACAGATGACCGTGTAGAACACTTCATACGACTTGTTTCGTTCAGAGAGTGCTCATAATAAGTATGCCAGTTTCCCAGAAATTCCATAAACCGATGTGGTAATTATCAGCATGTTGTACATAGCCAGAATGTAAATATCTATTGCCGACTATTTAAGTTTGCTGTAACTCTGTACAGACTTAAATCCTGACTGTTTCAAGTGATATTGACCCCAGACCCTTTTTGAGAATTTAGAGTATATATTATGACTAATTATTGGTTTCACTCGGTTATCGCTATTGATAATTCATAGGGGATTTATCTAGTACATGTAGATTATGTACAATTTTCCAAAACTATTTGTTATTTAAAGATATTTTTTTTAACAATCAAAACCCATTATTGATGATGTTTTGCTTTTGACCACACTTCATGCCAAATGTTTACATGCATAGTGTATGGGTTTGACACCCTGTTCGTGTTTTTGTGTGAGCGTGACAAAAATGTGATAGTTTTTGACAAACTGCCATGTGAATGCATAATTTGACATTTGTAATACTTTTGAGAGATACACACCTCTCAAACAGATTACCATTACTGTGTGAAGACTGTTTTCTAGCATCTTTCTCGTGTGTGTATATAACGCCTTTCCATAGTGATGTAACATACATACTCTCACGCGGCTTTTGCAGTTACTAAATCTTGTTAATATCATGAAATAAACATGTGTGGTACTAGAGTGATTTCTTCGAGAGACTTTATTGGAGGCTTACATTTACAACTGTTTTGCTAGTCTTTGTTGTACAGTTTTCATTATTAATATTTTTTTTCAAAGATTACAAATCATAGAGATACATTGACTGACTGTATATATCATTCTACATAATACATACATAAATGAGGATCCTTTAGAATCACTTATGTTGTCTTGTTGTTTCTGTTTTAGTGTGATTTTGAACTGCAGTGGCCACCTAGTGTTGAGCTACCAGACCTACTCATTGGCAGATCTAGTTTGCCTGCTCATTTGCTGACTTTCTGTTCTTTGTTAGGCTGGCTGTCAGCTTGGGCTTAGACGCTTTCCTCTGCAGTCTCTCGTCACTGAAAGGCTGTATATTTTTTATTTTTATATACAGTATTTGTGAATAAAGTATAGATCTTATTTCATAACAAAGTACCTATATCTTTGTGATACTTTGATAAGGAGGATAGAAGGACTGAAGACCATTAAGGTTAGAGTAATGAGGGATAGGCACCATCTGCTAAGTCCTGCCAGGTCACAATTCTTTTGTGACTTGATTTTGAAAGTACATTTTGGGAGAAGGCAAGTGTTTCTTCCAGAGTTTCATTGATCTCTGAACTTGTTGGCATGTCTGACTTATTTGATATATTAGGGATGAAACAGCATGTAAACTGAGATTGACTATAATTTGTGTGATTTTTTTATGAGTATCACATAGAAAGTCAAGACTACAAAGAAAGCTTGCATTTATGAATTAGAACATTCGCAGCATTTCTGTTAGTGTTTGGATGAGGCAAGATCATCTACATATACACAAAACACACTTTCTACCAGATATCGATGGATCTAATTTTTATTGTTATTGGTAGTATGTAAAACAATAAGGGTGATGAAATCCAGGTGTCAGTCTCATTAAAGCAGATCTTTTACTCCCAACTTGACCCAATCCTGCCTTAAGATGTCATTTTCTCGACAGGTAAATTACTGTTGTTCCACCAACCAACGTTGATGTTTCTAAAACGTAAGCATAACTGAGAGAAGCATTCAGAGCATGTTAGATTTTAATGCACAAATGTGTTATATCAAAGTGACAGATCTGATTTGTTGTTTTTTGCACACATCAAGAAGCATAGAATAACCAGGTAAGAAGGTTCAATGAGCTAATTAAACAAAGCTTCTCTTTTCACCCCTGCCCATAATGGTGTATTGTCCATTGTCAACCATGGAATGGACAAATAGGAAGCTGTTTTGATCATACATGATATACATGTATGCTCAAATTTTTACAAAACACACATTTAAGTTGCAGAATGGACCTTTGGCTCTGACATTTTGTTCTTCTCTGAATTTCTTGTTAAACCAGGAGGTGTTGAGATACAATCAAGCACTACCATAAAGCCAAACTATGTACATGAACATTAATCAAGTACGAAAGCTCTAGTTTTTGCTAATCCCCATATTAAAATGATGACTATAACACATTTTACTCGCATGAAAACAAACAGAAATTTGGTGAAAATTGACATTCAATGCGAGAGGAATACACAAAACCGTGAATATCAACAATGCCGGAGAGGAATACACTGAAAACCACCATTATATCAACAATGCCAGCAATGTTTTGAGGGCATTCTGCATATGGGCGATGGCGGCTGAAGAATGTTAATCTATGAACATCGGACCACTGGCTTGGGGTTATGTGGCACGACGGCGGTGTGAAGTAGTGGATCCTGGTATATGTGGTATCTCATTTCCTCAGAATAGAGCTATAACGGTGGCTAACAACACGTCCATGGTGGAAGCTGTAAGTCTCTCCCTTTCTGGTCGTTGTCAGAAGACGTCATCCATGTGTTTAGGCATTGTATACAACTGATCAAAGTCGTAAGTCTCTCCCTTTCTGTTCGAGTTGTCATTCCTTCATGTGGAATGTCAAAACAAAGCATTATTGATGTTGACCGTTTGCTTTTAAGTCATCAATCTTTTCGCTTTAGCTTTGTGGCAGGATGTATATTGTCTCAAAAACACTTTTTGATCAAAGTCGTATGACAAATTCTCAAATCTTTGTTGTCACAGAGTCTTCTCGGTCATTCCTCAAAATGTAGATGTGGAAAACAAAGCGACCCGGGAAGTACTGTGATATTGAACGACATGAACAGAAAGCTGAAGATTGGATAGTTTAAGTCATCAATCTTCACGCCGCCATATAGCATCGTATCCAAATTGAATATTGCTGATCACTGTGTCGGCGTAAAGACTAAACAAGACTCGCTCAGTGTGGAGTAAAGAGGGGACAAGAGAAAATCTGAAATTAAGATGGTCTAAATAAAGCACTGTTGAGAATTCAGTGAAGCAGCAGCAATACATCCATCAAGGCTGTCACAACACCTATCTACTGACTCTCTCATCTATATATTCTAAAACCTAGGTTATATTTGTTGGAAAAACGAAAATACATAAAATCCTGGGCAGGTAGGTATCTTGTGTAAAGTTGTTGGATGTGAGTTACAATGTTCAATGTCCAAGGAGAGATTTCACAATGTAGGTATGTGGAGGATATTAGTATATTTGGCACATCGGCGACAAAACTAATATCCGATGCCATTCTCTTATCGAACTTTCGCTATATCTTCTCGTGCTTTTCACGTGAACGTGTGTTTATGACGGCTGCCGTCGGAGAGACAGGATACTGTCACCGGTATTTGTTAGTGATACAAACTCGTAACTAATTTTTGGCAGAGGTTTCTTATGATCATTGAAACGGTTTGCAAAATTTATGAAGTATGTGGGTCTCCGCCAAACAGTTCCGCGATGCCGGGGTGTGTACCGTTAAAGCGTCCATAAAATATTACACACCGTTTCAATATTCAGGACTCCAGTTGTATGTGGTTCACAAGTAACGGAATATATTCTGATCTTTCCTGCCACTTTTTGTGATGGAGCCCCAAACCTAACCCTAGCCCAGATTTTATTCACAGCTATTTCACAAACTGCTTTAAGATATACAATATGTCTGGAATGAATAAATATAACATATAACTTTCATATGGAAGTCATATTTTAGAAGTCCTACCAAAATACAAACAATATTACAATGAAAGAAGGTCTGTCCAAATCGTGGTACGGACTTCGTGGTAAAGGGTTGATGGAAAGAAGTATTTTGTTGAGCTGGGTAAATTTAAGTTATTGAAGTTATTTGTTGAGCTGGGCAAATAAAGCATACCGTTTAAGTGTACAGAATATGCATATATACTATGTTCACGATCAGATTATGTGTGTATGATATGCTCAAGGTCAGATCATGCATGTATACCATGCTGAAGACAGATTATTATAGTTCACTGATGTTTAAAAGCTGTATTTTTGTTTCTTGGATCATTCAATTTTTACGAAGGTATTACAAAGGTAGTGGTTGGTGCAGTCAACCATACCATATGTTGTTTTAACCCGTATGACGTATGACTAATGGGAGGACACCGCGCAGTCATCTGGCGATCCATTTGTAACCATGAAGAAGTATTGCTAAACGTAAAGGGTGTCACAGTCAACACAAAATTTCCTGCGTGTCGACAAACGACAATACGGACTATAATCTTGTCCGATATGGTACTTCAGTCCAGATGTGCATTCTGATTGGCTTTCGCCGACCAAACTCGCGCTCGAGATGGGGACTTCCCTTGTGTGCGATGGGTGACTGGGAGGGTGACAAAGGATTCCTTTCAGCTCAAGCCCACAAATATGTCACCAATTATACACGTGGATATATCACAACACCTGATACTCTTTGCTCCCAATATCGTAAAACATGCCACATAACAACATTATGAAAACACTGAAAACAATTACCTATTACGTGTCTCAAACGCAATACATGATGATGCACGTGCTGCAGGCAACACGTGTGGAGCATATGAAACACTTGCACCTCTGAACTACATGAATGTCTTAACTTAGTGTGTAGAATATTCATCTTCCTTTCACCAAACAGGAAATGTTTAGGAATTTTATCAATTTTTTCATAATTTAAATTTAAATGATGGTAATGAATTGGTACATTTCATTGTGGGGGACAGATTATTCCATAAATAAGCACAGTCATAGATAAATGACTTTTGGAGAACTGTGGTTCGAAACTTTGGAATAGCCAAATAAAACTTGTTAGGCAAAGTGTATATTGAGAAATAGTTTCAGTAGATGGTAGAAGTAAGTCTATAAGGTAATCAGGAGCTTGCATGTTAACAATTTAGTAAAATATACAAAGTTTCTTATGTGTACGTCTAAATTTTAAAAGTAACCAGCCAGTTGCACTGTACAAACTAGCTCTGGAAGCGAATTTTGGCAGACCGGTTACAACTTCTGCTGCTTCAAGCTGAACCATTTCAAGTTTATCATAACTTTCGCTGGACAATTATCCCAGACCTCAAAAGCATATTCTAAGACAGATCTTTAATACATGCTTGATAGAATGTTTCTAGGTAGGACGTACTTTAACGCCCGTAATGAGGAGACTATTTTAGAGGCCTTTCCTATTACATCAGTTACACGATGAGACCACTGTATTGTCTGATAAGATAACACAAAAAATGTTTATGTCGATGTACACGCTCCAAATGTTCATTATTGAAGATCAAGTCAGGAACTTGTGGACAATTTCCATGGTTGAAAAGCATACATTTTGTCTTAGGGTTAAACTTAACTAAGCACTTTTCTGCCCATTTATTCTGTTAGGCTAAATCATAGTTGAGAGTAGCTTCTATGGATTTTACATCTTTTCCCGCAACACCGATTGATGTGTTATCGGCAAACATTCTTGTGATATTTATTAAATTTTCAGGTAAATCATTGATATATACAAGGAATAAACATGGGCCAAGGACAGATCCTTGAGGAACTCCTGCAGCAACATTTAGTTTTTTTGATAATGTTCCATTAACAGAGACACACTGTCGTCTATCAGATAGATAGTTAGTTAACCAACTAAGTACGTTTCCACGAACACCATAATTTTCTAATTTGTGCAATAAACCTTTGTGCCAAACCTTGTCAATAGCTTTTGAAATATCACAAAATACCTTAAAGTAAAGGTGCGATTTTCTAGGGCTGAGCATATATTAAGATAAATGTCTATGAGTTGAGATGTAGTAGAATGATTAGCAGTAAAACCTGACTGGAATTTACTTAAATGCCATGATCATGGAAATGGTTGTGCAAATGCTTTAACATTATTCTTTCAAGAATTATCCCAAGTATAGATAATAAACTAATATACTACCCATCAAAAGTTAAGACTCACTTAAAGCACTCACTATATGTTATGTATATATATACGGTTACATCGAAGATGAATTTCTCCACTAACTTAGGGGAACCATCTGCAAACCTTATGCAGATGAATTGCACGAGGATCATGCATCGATTTTCTGAAAAGCATGTGCAATTATCGTGCATGTGAACAGCTGCGTTTTGGTGTAAAGTTTTGTTAAGAATTCGCCAATTTTCACTGAGTTTCATGATTTATTGAACTGATGAAAATAAATTTTTCAACGTTACGAATTTGTTTTACAATATAATACATCAGTTCATGTGTAAACAGTACCTTTAAACATTATGGAATATTTAGCAAAATCTAGTTTAGAACAGTTGACTGAAGTAAGTGGCTACATTTACACTAGCGAGTCTAAACGTTTGATGGGTAGTATAGGTCTGTAATTAGTTGGGAGGGATTTATCTCCTTTTTCGAAAATAGGAGTAACATTACCCGTTTTCCACATTGTAGGAAATACACAGTCACTAAGTGATATATTATACAACAAACAAAGAGGTTAAGTTATAGATGTACAAATTCGTTTTAACACTCTCGTGTTAATGCCATCAGGTCCATATCAGTTATACCTCCTTTTCGGTTACAATGACATTTGTTATACTGTAAACACAGCGATGGCTAACAGGTGGCAAAGTCTTGCCGCCATCATTAACATTTGAAACAGATACAAAATGTTCATTTATTGTTTGAGCTTTATCCAAATCTGTAAAAACTGAAGGTATGCCAGATTCATCAGTTACTAGAGGTGGGATGGGTCCAGATGAAGTAGTACCTTTCAACACAAAATTCCTGAGATAGACTGAGCTGATAAAAAGTGATTTAAATTAGAATAAAAGTTTTCCTTGGCCATTCTTTTCAGATTATTTACTTTATTCCTTTGCTTTTTGTATTTAAGTAGGTCAGAAGTATTCTTAAACCACTCTGTGGGACCCCCTTAACCAACGTCAGCCAAAAGATGGCAGTTATAGGAATGGTTAAGGCCGTGTTGTCCCTGAGACAAATTGCCAGGCAATTAGGTCACCACCCCTCAACAATCAGTCGATTAGTGAGGAAATATCACCAAACCAACGATGTAAAGGATCTGCATCGTTCAGGCAGACCAGGCAAGACATCAGCTGGACAAGACGCAGCTCTACCTAGACTTGTTCGGCGATTTCCCTTTGCACCAAGTCCAATGTTAAAACGGCAATGGCTTCCACATCAGCAATTCTGTCATAAAACTGTCAGAAATCGACTGAAAACAGCATGGTACAAGGCTAGGAGTCACGTGCCCACATGGATGCCAGATTACGGTGGTGCCGTGTCCGGCATCGGTGGAAACTGGCTTCTTGGAAGAAGATCCATTCTTCAGACGGGAGTCGGTTTTGTTGTTTGTTACTGACGGAAGGACGCGTGTATGGCGACAGAGAAACATGGGGTATGCTCAAAGGAACATCCTGGAAGAAGTTTCGGAGGAGGATCCTTGATGGTATGGGGTTCTGTATCGTTTGACTGCAAACTTCAGTTTGTCACAGTGAGAGGAAATCTGACTGGACAAAGATACCAAGAGGACTGCCTGACTGAGTTTGGTTTTACGCCGCTTTCAGCAATATTCCAGCAACATCACGCCGGGGGACACCAGAAATGGGCTTCACACATTGTACCCATGTGGGGATTCGAATCCGGGTCTTCGGCGTGACGAGCCAACACTTTAACCACTAGGCTACTCCACGGCCCCATACCAAGAGGAAATCTTGAGGAGGCATGTAGTGCCTCATTTTGATAATCATCCCCTATAAACAAGGCCAATCTTTGTGGATGACAACACCAGGCCACATCGCACACGCAAGAAGTCATGACCACCCTTCCATGGCCAGCCAGAAGTCATGACCACCCTTCCATGGCCAGCCAGAAGTCATGACCACCCTTCCATGGCCAGCCAGGAGCCTTGGTTTGAACCCTATCGAGCATGTTTTAGACATTCTGGGGCGTACGGTTCGTCAGAGAGATCCGCCAGTCCAGAATACTGCTGAATTAGAGCAAACATTGCACCAAGAATGGAACAGGTTGCCCCAACATCGGATTCAGCGTCTTGTGCACTCAATGAGGACGAGGGTTCAAAACGTCATGCAGGTGGGCAGAGGTTACACAAGATACAGACTGTGTCTTCTGTTTCTGAAACAAGAGACCTTATTTGTGGATTGGGTGTATGAATTAGGACTATGCATCGTGTTACCCGTTTGGGAGGACCATACTTTCATTGACTCCTGACTCCTGAGAGTTTCTTGGACTTCAGTCCTGCCCCACAACAAGGCTCATTTGATACATGTGGTCTCACCTTAGGCAAGTGAGTGTTCAAAATTGCCCTTGTACACTCGACAGAAAATGGGTGCCCGATGAGATAAGTTATGCGCCTCACAGGCAGCTTGGGTTATCCGGGATAATAATAATAATCAGATTTTGATTACAGCCTCCAGTGAGCATCTAGTCAGATGGATACTAGGCGCTATATAAATGATTCATTATTATAGATACATGTTTAATCAAATTATACCATTCAGATTTTTATTGTTGGCTTTTGTGTTAAGGAAAAGTCTTCTTAGCTCTTTGGCTAGAAGATTTCCTGTGAAGACGATCATGACATAAACTGTGATTAGATATAGGTCATGTCATAAAACTTGGGTGCTGCGATACTTTTTTCCATTTGTATATTTATACCATCTATGTTATTCATCTCTATTAATCCGTTATGTGTTTGACAGTTCAAAGTAGGAGTACATGTTGCATTGTTTTAAAGGGTCGTTATGATACTCAATTCTTTTGTGTTTGAAAAGCTGGTATCATTTTATATGTATCACATATTACGAGGAACCTTAATTTTATCTGTGTAAATCGCTCATCGACAGGCGTGGTCGACAGGCGTGGTCGACGGGCGTGGTCGACGTTGGGAAGAGGTCTAAGAGAATAACATAAAAACCGAAAGTTTCGGGATGTTTAAAGGATTAATAGTAATAGTAGATAAGATACATGTATTACAATGCCTTATTAGCTGCAGGTTGCGATACACGTCAGACACGTCAGGGCGGGTCCAACGGATCATGCACCACACAAGGCCAATGTGGGAATCGAACCGTAAACGAATATCCGACAATTTGTTGTTGACCATTAGACCACCACGCCAACTGGGCTACATTGTTGGGAATATACACCTTGTTCAGCTTGACTTGAGCTACTCTACATTTTGCATGACTCGGGAGGTCAAATGGTACATACGGCAGGTCGAGTTAACTTCATCAAATAGGGGAGCAGAGAATGTTATTAATGTTGCGTTCGTGCGAATTGTTATAGAACTTGTTCCGGAAAACAACACTTCTGTAAAACCTAATCATTTCATGTTTTATTTGAATCGTTTATACAGTCATATGCTATCTAGTTTGAATTACTAACTCTACAACGTACGCCCAGGGTTGCTATGGAAACACCAGTTGCTGCTGCTGCCCGCTGCCTAAAAGCCTGAATCGGAAACATTAAACCATCTCTAGCTTCTTTTTTAAAGAAAGATAGGACATTGCTGACGATTTCTCGACACTGAGATGTCAAACGGCGACCTCGTCTTGGCTGTTCCAAGGTGCACCCCTTCACAATAATAGACCCAACCAGTTGTGACACGGTCACGCAATGCATTAGTATTCACTTGATCAGGTCAAGCTGTACCACTGAACTAGTGGCCATGAATACACCTGTAGACTTACAGTGAGTGAGTGAGTTGAGTTTTTAGCTTTTAGCAATATTCCAGCACTATCGCGACACGGGACACCAGAAATGGGCTTCACACATTTTACCCATGTGGGGAATCGAAACCGGGTCTTCGGTGTGACGAGCAAACGCTTTAACCACTAGGCTACTCCACTGGCCCTGTAGACTTACAGAAACTACGTAGAATGGTTATGATTAGCAGTAAACGGGGTTGTCTTTGCACCGAAGGTTTTATCAGATGCGCTGTCTCACATGTGAGAATGCAGAACAGGTTCACTGGTAGCCTTGTATCACCACCTGTTCCACACGTCATGAGTGTTCCTGAAGTCAGTCTATCTCCTCTTTCAGTTATTTCATTACAGCCAAACTAAAATTCACGAATGCATTTACAGCTATGCTGCGTTTGCCGCCCCTCACTGATCCTGATTGTATTCAGTGAAATCATAGCCATTCGTACTGAGGCACATACTCTCAGACAAGCATTGTCACAGACAGACTGTCCACTGACTGGGTCTGCAGCGACGTCCATAGAGCTTGTGCGTCCTGTATTAGACAAATGTATTTTGTGTTATACACACAATTACAAGTGGTCATTGTTTCTGGGAAATAGCTAACTTGGTTGTATTCGTATATGGCAGAAAACCTTCAAATACTGATGTAGCGCATATGCGTACCTTGGGTGGATGTTCAACAACTATAGTGAAACGGAATGAACGGCTTATGGTAGGACTATCAGGTCAGGATACAGCTTTTTGAGACAGGGGGTGGGGTTGCACACCATTGAGAAAGGGGGTACACACCTCATTTTCACGAGAGTTTCAATGGTCATTTAATACACTTTCAGGACAGGACAAAAAAAGGTGGGAGGGGGTGGGGTGGATGCGCACCCCTGCACCCCCTCTGGATCCGCCTATGCAGATGTTGTTGTAAACAAATAATACCAACGAGAGATACCATCACTTGTACTCCTGAGCTTTGGTTAAAGGTATTCATCCTCCTTGACACAACAGGGTATATATATCTGAGTTCCGGGTCTAAGGGACTGGTTGGTCATAAAATGTAAGTGGTGGTGGATGAGTGGGTGTAAGACTACATCACATGTTGCAGCCCCACATTCACCACCCCACCATCATGACACTCCCCAACCAATCCATTGGTCTCGTCATAAATACATTCACAAATGAGAAGGTCGAGCGTTTATTTGAACAATAACAATAATAATGAAGGTAAGCTATTAAAATGTTGAACCGTTAACAAATGACGAGGCTCTGGTACAGGTAACATTAACATAATGGGATACCTGTATTGTTCCAAACCCTGAATCAGTCTCCTTACACGGAGATGCTTACAAACACTACGTTGTTGAACTAATGCTTCTGAAAATGGTTAGAAATGTTTGATAACACAAGAACATTCAACATAGAGCCTGATAATACTGCTCAGAATGAGCACATCCAGCTATGATCTGGTATCCCAAACCATAGGCCTTCAGAAGAACAACGAAAAGCATGTGACTGCTTAGCAGAACAATATACATGGGGTATAAAGAAAAAATAAAAGTTAAAATCATAATGTATCTTCTAAAGACTTGTACGTTTCACAGAATTTGAATGTATGCATTATTCGCTTTCAAAACGTATACCCTTAATCACTGGCTAACCAGCCTAGGAAAACATCATTCAGTGTAAACCGTATCATGGACTGTAAAGATGTCGTCTGCCTATCACCGTGTCTATCGGAACCCACACTCGGCGACGGTCTGTTAAACACAAGACCAGGGAGACTTGCTTGGGCGGTCACTATTACTCCTCCACCCGTCAGTTCGGTACGACAAAGTCAAAGTGGGTGTAGAGATGTGGATGCTATCCAAAGCCTATGAAACAGTCAGTGTTGAGAAGAAGACACAGAGCAGCAGGACGGAGGAGCAGGTCAATACTGGGGGTCAATGAGGTTCACCAGCATCTTCTTGTAGTCTCCTCCACACTCGCTGGCCACGGCCTCGGACAGGGACGTCTCGTACATGTTCTGGTAGGCCTCCTTCACCTCCTCCAGGTCAACCTGCAGCACACACAAGGGAACACTTAACAGGAACTGACCCATATCCACAAGGACTTATGGCAACGTTGTGGGAGTAAAGTTGTCTTAGTAGACAGCAGCAGTAGTCTCGTCACACGACGGACACCCTGTTTATTGTTTAACGCCGCACTCATCAATATTACAGCTATGTGGCGTCAGTCTGTACAAAATCGAGTCTGGACCAGACAATTTACTGATTGAATTCATGAGCATCTATGTACGATGACATGCATAAACAGACTCGATTTATATACAGACCGCCGCCATATAGCTGGAATATTGCTGAGTGTGGCGTAAAATTAAACTCACTCACTCACTGTATCGTAATCTGTATACTGTTTAACGTCATCGTCAGCATTATCCCAGCTATATCAATGCGGGTGGGGAGTACATCAGATGAGCACCCGACAAACTAGTGACTGATATTCTGAGCAGCGACCTGGGTACGCCATGACACACAGTCAACCTAATCACCGAGCCCGAGGGTCCGTTAGTCGCACCCTTCAATAAGCAAACAGATATAGGGCTCATTCTGACCCAATGGAATCCCAATTGGGTTGTGTTCAGATATTGGAACAACATAGAACGTGCCAACATTCTCTCTCCCGCCCTCTTGTCAAGGTTTAGATCAGTACCTCTGGTACAATGTCCTGAAACAGACCTACATCCATCCCCGACCTCAGGAAGTAATTCCGCGAGTTAGTCTTGTATCTGAGTTCTTATGAGTTAAGTATAAATTACGATAAAAACCCATGTGTACCCGTTTACAAATAACTCGTGGGCTAGGTCAGGCCACCCTACCTCGCTTCTGGAGACGACCAGTCGGATCAGGTCAGTGTCGCTAGTTCCAAGTCCTGACATTGAGTCGTGTGCTCTACGAGCGAAGTAGGCGGGTTTGTTCTTCGCAGCTTCGACTGTAAGCATAGTAGGACAATTAGAACATTACAAAGAGTTGTAACATCATAAGAAACAAATCACAATATACCACAACGGTAAAGATTGATTTGACAATTAAATAATCCTGGGGATTTCATATACATGTGGCTACGTTTTATTCCAAAGATTGATGGAATTAGATTATATATATTTACCGGTATATGGGCCCGAGACTGGCCAAGCTTCGAATCACCTACTGATTCACGTCAATCTTAAGAATCATTTGAAAAAAGGTTTGGCCTTATCGAATTTTTATGGTGTTTTGAAACACAGTTAAACTTTCACCACTAATTTTCATGATAGTGTCTGTAATACTGAGCTGTCAATTTGGTCCTGAGTATAGTTTTACGCCGCTTTTGGTAATTTGTCCGCAATTTCACGACGGGAATCGAACTAGCAGTCGATATGATAAGCAAACACTTTGACCACACCACTGCACTTAATTTGGTCTCAATCCCAAAATACTTAAAACAAGGTTCCGACTGAGACACAGTGCAAGTGTTAACCTATAGACAGGAATCCGTTCTGTAGGTCCCCTCCACACTCGCTCCTGATAGCGTCCTCCATGCTGGAGCCGTGAAGATCCTCATACTTCTCAATAGTTGCCCGGATCTGGGCGGGGCTCCTCAGACACAACACAGCGTTAAACTCGGCCTCCTCAGTCCCCCAGCAGCCTTCGCCTGCCTGTAAACAGATTGCAAGCACGAGTCACACCGCCCTCCCAGAGTCTCATGCTTTGACATGCCACTCCTCATTGGGTTTTTCACTGTATCCCTACTGGTTTATCCCCTGGTATATTCGGTAAATAAACTGAGCGTGCTTACAAGTCGGCAATATCTCAAGAAATACCTGCTTTCGATCCATTCCTGTGGCTCTTACGATCACAAATTGCCTGCCCACCATTTGATTTGCTTCGATACTCAGTCTAAAGGACCAATCAGAACGCAAGTCACAAAACAGACTCAAAACAGAAAGTGTGGCTATATCAACAACATGGTGGTCAGTCCCACTGATTGCGATAGAGTTTGCGAGAAAATTATATTTGGAAAACTAATTGATAAGCAAAGGAAATCCTTAATAAACATTTTATTAAAACTGTTGGTGACTTTAGTTTCTAGGGCATACGAGTTATCCCCCTTACCCATTTCCGTTTTCTCTATCTCGACGTTTGATTGGTCGAAAAAATACAGTTGGGTTGCTTTGGTATGGTCAGCGTTACACAGGGGGCCAAGGTGGGTAAATTATGAATAGCAACAGGGAATGGACCCTGGGGTTACGGTAGGCATACCGGAATACGATTCCTGGAGATGTGGTGGATGGCCCTAACTGATCCCCTGCATATTCAGTACACGCATAAGCTCGCCCTTGGGGGCCTTCTGTTCAGTCATCGCACTCATAGCTTACACTAACTTGTCATCCGTTTATTCAGATTGTCAATACTCTCCAAGTTCAAAATCTGTCCTCACATCATGGAACTTTTGAGCATCTTCCACCGCCTTATCTTCGTCGACGTCGTCGCTCTCCTCCCTGCCCCCAGCACACAGTGACACAAACATCCTCTGGAAGTAGCCGCTGGTGTCGCCGCTCAGGTCGCTCTCCAGATCATTCCCGAACTCTGCACAAATGAAGATACACGACTCTCTTTACAGCTGTGGTAACTAGAAAGGTTCTTGAATTACATACGAAAATTTGATGCAGCCTAATACATTTTCCCCTAAACTCCCAAAGCGTTTCCACTAGAAATATGTATCATGAGCCATTTGTACGAAACTCAGAACATGGAAACAGAATATTGGCATGCTTCTCCATGCGTACATCAATATAGATGACACATCCTGCATACTTGAGAAATAACACGCTGTACGCAGTGTCACGTCAAAACGGTAAGCCAAATGTCTGTAGCTACATGTACCTTACTATGCACGTAGTAGGGGCTTTACACATGACTTCCGGCCAAACACCTCTGAGACAGATATCTTCCTTTGCAAGTTACTATACTACAGACTGTACCTTTCAAACACATTGTTTCAGGAGTGCCAGCATGCCCAGCGAGGTGTATTGTTACTTTTTCTATGACCTGAGGCAAATATATTGTTTCCTGTTTTTCCCAAAGAATAAAATAGTCGACCTCTTAGTACCCATGCATATACGCCGAACTGTAATTACATATTGAACCGGTGCGTTAAACCCGTGTGATAAACTCTCCTTCCCAATGCAAGGGAGGTAACTGACAATACAAGTATTGTTTCCATCCTTACTGAAAAATGTCGACACCCATTGGATTGTACACGTTTTGCAAATCTTGCAGTCGCCCGAAATGTGCATGGCAGGCACCATCTTGTTTACGAACAGGATTTTGCTTGTTTTGAGTATAAACTGGTGGTGTTGTTCGGCATAGGCGGAGGTTTTTCTTAAATAGTCGGCCTGTGAAGATCCGGGGTAGAATTGGTCTTCAGCAATCCACGCTTGTCGTAAGAGACGACTAACGGGATCGGGTGGTCAGGCTTGGTTGACATATGTCATCGTATCCCAGTTGTGTAGATTGATGCTCATGATGCTGATCACTGGATTGTCTGATCCAGACTCGAGTACGTACAGATATATAGCAGGAAGAATGGATTGTGGCTGTAAACGACAAACTTAAATATTCAGTTAACTCTCCTACCTGGAGAAACTAAACTCGCCAAAGGAGATTACCTTCTTTGTAAATCTCTTTTATTTGGTTTATCTCGTCATTGTTTCTTGTGCACATGATTTCTACGATCGTTGTTTCATCCGTCCCTGCACCCTGAAAATATTCAGAGTCATTAATTGAATGATTACAAAAAACAACAACACTGGTGCACCAGCATGCGTCTGATGGGTGACGGAGGAGGAACAATCAACAAATGGAATCTTTGATTACTCATTCTACCACGACATACTTCCCATCAAAAGTTTAGACTCCCTTACAGCAATCACTACATGTCAATACATATCTATGGTTACATTGAAGATGGCCTTTTCCGCTGACTTGGGAGAACCAACTGCAAACTTTATGCAGATGAACTGCACGAGGATCATGCATCAAATTGCTGAAAAACATGTGCAAATATCTTGCATGTGAACAGCTGCGTTTTGGTGAAAGATTTGCTAAGAATTCGCCAATTTTCACTGGGTTTCATCATTTATTGAACTCATGACAATAATCTTTTCATCGTTACAAATTATTTTTTCAATAGATCAGTTAATGTGTAGACAGTACTTTTAAACAGTATGGAATATTTTGCAAAATCTAGTTTAGAACAGTTGACTGAAGCAAGTGGCTACATTTACACTAGCGAGTCTAAACCTTTGATGGGTAGTATAGCATTAAAAGGGCTCGGTTCAAAATATAAATACGAGGCACCCAATCAAATATTAGACTAACTCAAATTACCAAACATAAGATTCAGTCAATTTTAATCCCAAAAATTGACATTTTACATTTTACTTACGTTCATTTCACATTTCAGATTTTCTTTGAAAAGACATAAAAATTCATGATTAAAATACATGTTTTAAGATTATAACGTGGCGCTCACTGCAATGGCGTTGTTTAACTGACGAGCGTCGTATACGCGCGGGGCCGTCATGGCAGCTACAACCACCTCCTCAAAGTCTCCCCGGAGTTCCGACTTCAGGTCGTCGATTAGATCCTAAAACATGGACGTGGACTTAAGGAAATGGGAATAGTCACAAATATTATAAGTGAACGCATCTCATGTATGACTACTGCCACACACCTTAATCAATGGCTTGAATAATATAACACATATGCATTTAGTCAAATATAGAATATTTCAAATGTAGAAATTAGTCGGATTTGTCATTAAACGCTAAGTAGGTATGAGACAAGTAAAAGTAAAAGTATGTTCCAAATGTCCTCGGCAAATGTGATTCAGTGGGATGTTAAATTATCGAGTCTGGACCAGACAATCCTGGGATCAACAGCATGAACATCGATCTGCGCAACTGGGATACGATGACATGCAACACAGTCAGCGAGCCTGACCACCTGATCCCGTTGGTCGCCTCTTAAGACAAGTATGGGTTACTGAAGATCAATTCTAACCCGGATTTTCACGGGTCCAGTCGACGACTACCAGAGAGTTATTGCAGCACGGTGTGACCCAGGTTGCATACCTTTACCATCTCTGCCCGGGTCATAATCATTGCGAATATGTGTGAGTAAGTGAGTTTACTGTTACACCGCACTCAGCAATATTCCAGCTGTATTGCGGCGGTCTGTAAATAATCGAGGCTGGACCAGACAATCCAGTGATCAACAGCATGAGCATCGATCTGCGCAGTTGGTAACCCATGACATGTGTCAACCAAGTCAGCCAGCCTGACCACCCGATCCCGTTAGTCGCCTCTTACGACAAGCATGGGTTACTGAAGACCAATTCTAACCTGGACCTTCACGGGTACATTGCAAATATGGGATTTGAACCCAAACTTAAACAACTGGCCCTGCGCACCCCTGTCCCAACCATGATACAGCTGTACACTGTAAAGTTTATAGAAACGATACCGTTCGGTACATTGCCTGGTCCCGATTATTTACAGACCGCCGCCATACAGCTGAAATACTGCCGAGTGCAGCGCTAAACAACAAACCAACCTTTCCGTACGCCTGCTTGAATGCGGTGGCTACTTCCTGCCTCTGCTCATTGGACAGATTGGAGACGGTCACCAGGATCTGATCCTCATCCGTGCCTGTGTGAGACAGACAGACACATTACACCATAGAAACCATGTCATGAACGAGGACGCTTACGTGGACGTAGCTAAAAAATCGTAGTAATGTAGATTTTTTAACGTGTAGATTGTGTCGTGTTTACATGACCCTGCACTTACCAAACCCCGTCATGGCGTTACGGAGGGTCTCAGCAACTGCACCTGCATCGAAGTCGCTAATTCCGCAGATTGTTCCCTAAAACATAATAAGTTTGTTACAAGGTGAGTAAGTGGACTGAATGAATGTTGTTCAATGCCGCCGTCTGCTATCTCAAAGGTGCATTACGGCGGCCTGTTGGTTTATCGAGATTTTGTAACCATGCGTGCAAACCACACACTGAAAGCATGAACAACCAGATACATAGTATGCAAGATTCCAAGGTATTGGGGACCTTTCCTGACCTGAGACCCTATCAACAAAACGTTCGTAGCACTATGTCATTCGTACCTATGGTAAAATATAGAGTTACGATAAGTCGTAACGTTACGAAGGCTTGGTGAATCGGGACCCAGACTTCTATATTGAGTGCATAACTACGGACCAAACAAACTAATCGTTTGTTCTCGACACACGCACCCATCCCAAAGGATGCATTACAGATGTGGGGAAATGGGGGCTAACGTCGCGGTCGGGATTAGCCCATTCACATAGCGACGAGTATGTACATGCGTGAGTGGATATGTGTGTCCCTTTGTACTTTTCCGACTTGGGATTGGGTAGTTGAGGTGGTGGTTGTCGGTCGGGGGAGAGTTGGGAGATACCTAATGTGGGAGCAGGGGAGACCAAGTCGTGGATTTATTAAGATTTATACAATCACATTTTCCATCCAGTGCAGATTTTAATAACTTTAATTTATTTATTACTGCGCCAAGGGTTCAACAGATTATCGCATCAACATCACTCAAATTATGTGTAGAAAGGTATGCTTATATTATACCCTCGATGGAGTAAGTGTACGAAATCGCCGGTGATTCCTGGAATGAAGCGTTTTTCTTAAGGATAGTTTGTGAGCCAGTTTCGAGTAACACCCAAAGGCCTCCTCTTCGGCCTTATCTTACGTGTACGTGTACGTGTGTGTGTGTGTGTGTGTGCGTGCGTGCGTGCGTGCGTGCACGTGTGTGCATGCGCGTGCGTGTGGTTGATTTTATTTTAGACAATGGAGTGGTGATGAGGTGGCCTAGTTGCTCAAGTGTATAATATAGTTTCCTCACGACACGGTTTCGTTTCGCTGCATACGACTTCAAGTGTCCGTCGTGCACTATTGCGTTAAAGCGAAAGACCTACAAACCCAAACCCCCTCTCTCTCTCTCTCCCTCCCTCTCTCTCTCACACACACACACACACACACACACAGGCGCACACACACAAATCCTCACTAATTATGTTTCTCCATCAAAAGGCAACGGGAGACATTTATTACATGTCATCAAGATAGTCTATAAACTGTACTCAAGATAAAGGGGCGTATTACACCAAATGTATGAGCGAACTCTGAACTGAGTCGTTGAAACATGCCCACTAGCTCATCACACGCCCCGCCCGTCATGTAGAGATGTGTCACTGTCGCCTCGGGGGTATTTATATCAGCCGCTATGCTACGTACAACCTACATATAGGTGGCGCTACAATGTTCTGGTTCACGGAACATATAGGTATTTCCGGTATTCGCCTCATCCCCGCGAGTTTGTGACTTTTGCTCTTTGCCAGTAAACATCGACCCCGCTCCGAGATCAGATTGTGGCTCGTCTAATCAAATGTCTAGACTTGCCCCGTCTTCTTGACCTTCATAAATCAAAGTTGCTTTCATCCGCAGAGATCTCTCAGGCTTGATGTGTCTAGCTGTAACACATACTTCTCCTACTGCTAGGTTCCAATCTCAGCTCCGGTAAATGTATTTATATAAAACATCGTTGCCTTGACCATCTGCTTGCACTATACCCTGCATATCATTATAGTTAGTAGATGCTTCCTAAGCCATATGTTCCAGCGTAAGGGGCTTCACGCAGTGTATCCGGGATGAGAATCGAACCCGATCTTCAGCATAAGGAGCCCACATTTTAACGACAAGGCTGCCCAATCCCCGGTGGCGCTATAAAGATTTAGTGTTCTGTATTGTATATCAGAATGATTGTGTGCAAAGCTGATATGATATGTCATTCTCCGATGAAGATTTTTAATCATGTTGAAAATCTCAAATGGTCAAGTCATACTCATAGTCCAGTCATTTCCTGAACACACCACGTCGACTTGAGCGGCTTGCCAAATCAGCATGCACTCACAAATATTACGCTTCTACAATAGCTGCCATCCCAGCGTGTGACCAACCCCGGTTACCCTCGCCTACACAAACATGATAAACGGCCAGACTGTCACGACTTGGTGACCAGCTCAAATCATACACAACCAGGTCGGCCTTGTTGTCCCAGCCAGCCCCCATACATCCGTCACAAAACGTCTAATCTTGTCATCTGGGTGTGGACAGGGTTCAGCATATCTCAAGCAGTCCTTCCCTGACATGGTATGTCTGTTACAGACATGCCACCTGTTTCTGCGAGTTGAGGAAATGAAAGCGTGGAGATTCATTGCTTGTGTGTCCAAAGTTAATGATTTAGCTCGTACCATAATACATCATCTCATCTGTCGGCTTGGAATTTGTGCCATGTGAAACCTAAATCAACATTAAACTTTTCACAATACCAGTTGAAAGAATCAGATACAGTTCATGTGTATGGTTTTAATGTTAGAAAGATTTACATATATTTGTATTATGTTTAACGCCCTTCTTTGATATGTATATCATGAATTACATCATGAGCATTTATCATCAGAGATACGATGAAGCACATCTACCAAGTCAGCGAGCCTAACCAACGGATCCCGTTAGTCGCATGACAAGCATGAGCTACAGAAGATCATTTCTAACCCGCATCCCATGTGATTCTTCACAGGGTTTGACACGTGTACTTTATTTGAGGCGTATGTTATTTACCCACCCTTTTGTAACAGGTATCTTATATATTGGTTAGTTGAAAGGGGCATAGCAGGAGATCACACATCCGTGACGAACAGAGTTGTCCCGCGGACTCCCCTACACTCACACCTGGGACTATATACCGATGTATGGCCTCTACACCAGTATGTGTCACACAAACATGGTGTACCGGATCGCGGGAAGCCATAACACATAATACTCCACAACTGTCTGTCACAGTCCCTGAAACCTCCCTTTCTCCAATGCTAAATGAAGCAAGTCTAGATTCCCCCAGGTTCCGAATCTCCCATCTCACTAGGGCTGCTCTACAGTTTAAAAGGAATTATTTGTTGTATAATCAGAGACTCGGGGTTAGTCTACACAACCACACAACTAGGTACTCAACAATGTGATGCTCACATCGATCTGAAATATAGATTTGTGTATAAACTAAACATGGGCGTGAGAGGCTATTAACGAACCTCTCAGCCGTGACCTCACCGGTGTGTCAGTGCAACACCAGCCATCGATTTATGCTAATACTGAATATTTTATAGGTGTGAAACTATGAATGTCTTCTCGTATTACAGAAGAGGAAAATTCTGTGTAAGATCGAGTTTGATAAAATACACTGTTTAATGCTGGTTATTTGTGATATATACAAGCTTTACATATTAGTTATTAAATATTGTAAGACATGTGTGAAATGGGGTGTGAAAACGTTAGACACTGAGTAGCGGGGTCAAAAGGCTCTACGTTTAATATCCCCACGAGGTATGAATGAACCGTACACTGCCTTGGAGCTGGTATGTGCACAAACACCTCAGAGCGACCCCGCCCACGAGAGAAAACATGGATCACTTTTTTATCCACGGTTCACAAATGCCCACCTCACCTCTATCAAAACCACGAGTATGTGAAAACACAATATCTACAACCACAACGGCAGTCTGTAAAATAGAGATATTGTCTTACCGGCATATTTAGCAGTTCAGCTTGGTATCCCTTCAAAATCCTAGGTCAGTCTGACAGGTCTGGCGTGTCACGTGATATCCGGCCAACCAATGAATGGCTTCACTTAGTCAATCGTGAATTTCGTGGCAGACGATGTTACTCCGCTGTAATCATCGTACCAACGGGATGCACCGACAGATTCACGACTCGGCGATAGAGTGAGTAATCTTGCTCTCGAAAGCCGAGATATTTTTCTGGAAGTTTATTCAAGGCCACGTAGGCAGGTGGACGAATGACTCACCATGGTTTATCTGTATCGTTAACACCTGTGCAGGGACATATGAATTTCAATTGTTACACCACGTTTGACTGCACGGTTGCAGTTTATTCATGGCTATTTGAGTCAAACGCATTTCCTGTCAGACAACACAGCCAGTCTAAAATTTACTGTTATTTGCTAATAACTTTCAAAGCGACTAAATCAATAAAATACACATACTATTGTCGTGTTTGTTCCCGGCGCACGATTTGTGGGCAATATGTATGTACCAAGCACGGTGCATACACTTAACATTGTGCGGCCTGTTGTATTCAAACATACTTTCAAAAACATTTGATGTTAAATTTCGGTACGTGGGACCACATTAGTCAGGAAACCATGCAGTCAGGATGATAACTGTACGACCCAGAATCAGTTAATCCAGACATTTTATTAATACTGAAGTTGCTGATGCTGCGTAAACCAACATTCATTCATCCATTCATTTATTAATACAGACCATAACACTGGTGCTGGATAAGTGGGTTCCGCTGTATATGGCGTTCAAGATATGCTTTAGTATTTGCTGCTGAAACCATATCTAGTGAGTTTGTATTGTATCATTCATTGTTTGAGTGAGTGAGTTTAGTTTTACGCCGCTTTTAGCAATGTTCCAGCAATATCACGGCGGGGGACACCACAAATGGTCATTCATAGTTTGACGAAGACTAATAGGTCTAAGTTCTGTAGGATGTTCAAGTGAAATATTTGCATCTAAGTCTTCGATGAAAACGATATTCGAGCATTCTAATGCTAAACCATTATTTGATTAATCTAATTAATATAAGATGTTATAATTGATACCGTCCACACTCGACACACTGTTTGCCGTTAGAATACCAACATTTGAGAAGTTGTAAAGCTAAGACTTTCTGCTTTAAATCTCGAAATGTGTGAATCCCTTATTTCCACCCGGAACGAAAGGATTGCATGAATTTGTGCAGGAAAAAATTATTGCATCATGTTAGGGAGTTCTGAGTCGTCATTTAACTATGTTTGATGTTTGAGCAAGGAAGGAGTGGGCATGTTGTTGCCGGCACCGATGATGTATGACGCATGTGACATATCGATACCAGCTACCGGTCAGCATATTTGTGTCAGTAAGGACCCTAGACGGGCTGTCATTGTCGGCAAATGCTGCATTGTTTGGTTTCCAGTCTAGCGTCATTGCCAACGGTGTTACTTTCAAGGAACAGTGTACTGGTCCATTTGAGATAACCAAATACTTTTGAAATACTATTCTCTTTAAACCTTTCAATTTGTGTTCACTGGCTATGAAGTGTAATGAATAAGCGCTGGGGTGTCTGTGTCGTTTCATAGACACTCTTCATAATTCATAGCTCGCTGACAGGTGTGTTGACGCGTAGGCATGTCGGCCGAAATATGGTCATCTGTGTCACTCTATGTGGCTGTGATAGTGACCGGTTCTCTGGACATCAGTTTATGGGTGAGTGAGTAACACTGAGTTGAACATTATAACCGAGATATCAAGGCTATTCAGCTTGATGAGGAAGGAGAGCCTGACGTCATGAAGTTCACATGTTTACACGTTTTGGGAACAAACTGATAAACGTTGAAACTGCATTCGAGCCAGAGGTCACATGTGTCTACCAGCCAAATGATCGCAACTGTAGGGCACTGTGCCACCTCGGACAACCAGGCCATTGTCTGTGGAAGGAGACGTTACGTCAAGTGGTTACTGCGTTGGTCACAATGCAGACATATGTTGGTGTCCCTTCAGTAATAACGATGTACACTATATTGAATACTTAACCGTACCAATACAACCTGAGAATCTACGCCTCTTCACCCTCTGCAGCTCGAAGCATGAAGGGACGGCCCGAACAGTGATGTCAGCTCCACTCCTCTGAGTGTATGTCACACTTTCACACACAAACATGGAAAATGAAAATATGCTTAGTTTTTCAAGTCGTTCCTTAACAGTACTGAAACATATCTAAAATATTAGGGACTTTTTGGTTGGAATACCAAACAGCCATATTTCAAGAAGCACGTCGACCACATGCTGTGCCAGAAAGTATGACCGTGTACAATTCTCAAATAAAGACCACCGCTTCTGCCCTTCCTCAATGGTTTGGTTGGTTTGTTTGTTCTTTACGCCACATCCAGCAATATACCAGCTATATGGCGGCGGTCTGTAAATAATCGAGTTTGGACAAGGCAATCCAGTGATCAATAGCATGAACATCGATCTACGCAATTGGGAACAGATGACATGTGTCAACCAAGTGAGCGAGTCTGACCACCCGATCCCGTTAGTCGCCTCTTACGACAAGCATGGGTTACTGAAGACCAATTCTAACCCTGATCTTCACGGGTCCCATTCCTCAAGGAGATTTTTAACAGGAGGATCTCTAGTTCAAACTTGGCATTTAGGATACTGCGAAAGAAGTTCGATGGGGTTCATATCGAGGCTCCTTGTGGGCCATGGTAATGTTTCGATAGCATTGTTAATGACGGATATAGAACGAAGAAATGTATAGTTGTCATTCACTAATATCGGACTACTGGCTAGGGGATGGTTGTCAAAGTGTGGTACGACGGTGGTATCCAGTACCTCCTGTTCATAACGTGATCCACTGAATGTCCCAGGTACTGTAATGGTATCCACCGTGCAGTCACCCCACACCATCAGTGCCACCACGAAAGGGTTCAGATGCATGGATCATCTGGTGATATCCCTGGTGATGACGTCTCCATACGCGACAACGGCCAATGAACCCTTCGCCATGTCCTCAAGGTCCACCATGCTACAAGTCAATATACTTCGACGACCACGGGTGACACACTATAGAAGCAATACCAAGGTCCACTATACTACAAGTCGATATGCTACGACGACCACGGGTGACACACTTTAGCAAGCAAAATCAAGGTCCACTATACTACAAGTCGATATGCTACGACGAGCACGGGTGACACACTATAGAAGCAATACCAAGGACCACCCAGTCTCGTCAGTTTACCTTCTTTACCAACCAACCAAGCGTGGGTCTGGTCTAAGGATCATCTCCGTCACAGAAAACTAAACTGAAATATTCCGTTGAGCCTTGATTGCCAGAATCCGGTAACCTGCACACCTCTTCAAGCAGCAGATGCAATATTTTAAAGTCAAAATGCACGCTCGGTGAGATTGAGAGATGTTACATCCAGTATCCTGTTTCCAAGCAGATTACGTTCGCGGGAGTCAGTTTCAAATCCCAGACAAAATGAATTCCCACGATCGGTGTTCGCCACAAGGTTCTCGACAAGGCTGATGTTGGTTTCAGATTTTGTTTACTGGTATTGTGATATGTCTCATTTGGAATTGAACTTTGTCGGCAAAGTACAGATTACAATATTTTCTGGGGTTGCGTTCCATCCGAGATTCGAACCCACACTCTCAGAGTCAAGCATCTAATGCCCAGTACACAACGTCACTGATCTAACCCGCTCAACTACCTTCCACAACAATGGACGTCGGACAACTAGTCCAGTCAAAGTAGTGGAAAAAATTACTCAACCTCAAAACAATTGGTACAGAAATGGTTTTGTGTTTATATCATTTAAAACAGTTATGTAAACAATATATAGAAACTCTTCCCTTGGATGTTAAGTGGCTTTTGGGGGGCAAAAGGGGCGGTGGGGTAGCCTAATGGTTAAAGCGTCCGATCGTCACGCTGAAGACCTGGGTTCCATTCCCCACATGGGTACAGTGTGTGAAGCCCATTTCTGGTGTCCCCCCGCCGTGATATTGCTAAAAGCGGCGTAAAACCATACTCACTCACTTTGGGGGGCAAAGATTATGAAAGATTATTTTTTTCTATAATTTTTTTTTGCAAAACATACCACTGAAGTGTAAAAGATAGTAAAAAATTAAACTTGACACTCCAGCGCAAAGGAAAAGTGTAAATGAGAGTTATCTCCCCTTTGTTTACAATAGATTGAAGCAGCAAGGAAAGAAATGTTCTATCTTTGATAAAACTCTAACTAGATGAGGCTAAAAAGACAGTTAAAAGGTACAATTAAAAGAGATGGTGAGGAGCGAGGTGATTCAGCTCCCATAATTAGTCCATAGAACTATATGCACTGCGGTCGTACAAGACCTAAGGGTCATCGGGACATTCTGTAATAAGATTTAACAGAAATTAAAGCAACATATGCTAGAATGATAGATTAGGAAAAGATCATAACATTAATGTGAAAACCACAAATAATAGTCAAGTATGTTGTATCACTTCCCCATCCCTATAAGCACCTACAAAGCACGACAAGTGTACTCTAACCCCAGTCAAAGTAAACTTAGGCCAGTATTATTCGTTACACTACTATACAGTAAAGCGGTGTAACGAATAACACTGAGCCCAAGTATACTTCGACTGCTCTCACCATTACAGTGCCAGACAGTTTACAGTCCATTCAATTTCATTTGAGACCGATGAATTGCTCACTAACCCAGATCCAATAGCTGAAAAAAACCCAACATTTTGCAGTCACATGAAATCGACAGACCAACTCTGATGATTTGTCTCATAATTTTGGACACCCGAATAAAAATAAGTTGTTTAACAAATGATCATTATTTTGTTGTCACTTTTCGCTAATTATTACGAGGGGGACCACTTGCTGGTAGAACAGCCAGGTGTAGTATGTAAAACAATTAGGATGATGAGATCCAGGTGTCAGTCTCATTAAAGCAGATCTTTTACTCCCAACATGACCCAATCCTGCCTTAAGATGTCATTTTCTCGACAGGTAAACTACTGTTGTTCCACCAACCAACATTGATGTTTCTAAAACGTAAGCATTACTGAGAGAAGCATTCAGAGCATGTTAGATTTTAATGCACAAAGGTGTTATATCGAAGTGACAGATCTGATTTGTTGTGTTTTGCACACATCAAGAAGCATAGAATAACCAGGTAAGAAGGTTCAAGGAGCTAATTAAACAAAGCTTCTCTTTTTCACTCCTGCCCCTAATGGTGTAATTTCCCTGGCCATTGACCACCATGGAATGGACAAATGGGTTTGCAGGGGTGCCCCCCTTTTTGTCCTGAAAGTTTATTAAATGACAAATGAAAGGCGGGTGAAAATGAAGTGTACAACAAACAAACAAAAACAAAAGAAACAAAACCCCCCACCCTTCTCCAAAAGGGGCGGTGGGGGTAGCCTAGTGCTAGTGGTTAAGGCGCTGGTTCGTCACGCCAAAGACCCGGTTCGATTCCCCACATGGGTATAATGTGTGAAGCCCATTTCTGGTGTCCCCCCGCCGTGATATTGCTGGAATATTGCTAAAGCGGCGTAAAACCATACGTACTCACTCACTTTCTCAAACAGCTGTATCCGCCCCTGATAAACAAGAACGTGGATATCAACAATGCCGGATAGTATAGTCCCTATGACTGCGCCACCAATCTGATTGTCCCACCGTTGTTGAACAGTGATTATTGTGACTATGAACCACCACTGGCCACCACATCACTACCAGGTGTAGCCACCCTTCCATGGATAACATCTGCCTGTCTCCTCCAAATACTGGCAATCAAGCGTCAGATTCTCAGCATCGGTATGAAGTACCTGCCTTAATTCCTGCAGATTTCGAACAGGTGGATCTCAAGCTTCAACTTGGCGTTTAGATAGTCTCAAAGATGTTCGATGGGAATCTTACGGAGGGGCTTCTTGCGAGTCATTGCAATGTTTTGACAGCGTTGTTCTGCAAATGGGCGATGGTGGCTCGAGAATGTTATGATCTAGCGTTGCCATCCATAAACATCGGACTGCTGGCGAGGGGTATGTTAAGATTTAGGACTCGATCATCACAGTTACTGGTCTCCTCTGTCTTCCAGATTTGAGACCATCCTTTACTTTACCGGTGGTTTTCCACAGGTTGACTAATAAACCTGTGGTTCATGTTCAAGTTTTGCACCTATGTCGCGACAAGACATCACTGCGTCATACAAGCCAATGCCGTCTTTTCGATCAGTTCAGAAAACGATAGTGCAATTATAAAATGTATACCCAAATGTGCGTGACGCCTTCGTAGCACGTGGATTAATTCAAGGAAATATTAAATGGCAAATCATAACTAATAAAGAACAAGTACGGTCATTTTCAAGATACAGGCATATAATCCCCAAGAAGTCACATAAGTATTAATAACCCATCACAATGTCAATATCTTGTGTTACTTCCGCCAACTGCAATAACATCCCTGACCCTCCTCATTGATTATCTGACGTTGAATGTGACGATGAGGTATTGCGTTCCATTCTTGATGGAACACTTGTTCCAATGCATCAAGATTTTGAACTGGATGATATGTCTGGCGTAGTCTATGGCTCATCATCTCCCATATCGGACTGAATTCTGGCGGGCCAAGGTAGAGTTGGTACCGCCTCTTTATGTAAGAAATCACCAACAGCACGATGTGTCTTAACATTGTCGTCCATGAAGATTAGCCTTGTGTTCAGAGGAAGGTCACCGAAATGTGGTACAACAACCCTGTCGCGGATGCCAGTGTTGTACCGTTGTCCATTCCGATTTTGTCTCATCGTCTTAATATCACGATGTACCGTCATATGAGAGGCGCCCCCACACGATCACTGAGCTCTCGCCAAACGGTACTTGCTCCAAGATATTCCGTTTCGAATATGCAGTGTTTCTTCGGCACCAAACACGAGCTGGACCATCAGTCGTGAACTTTCGTCCGACCAATGGACCCTTCACCGTGACCTCAAATTCTAAATTCTATACCCGGGCGATTTTATGCCATTTCTGTTGGACCACGACGATGTGGCAGCCACTCTGACTTTAACATGACTTTGACGTGAAGGACCATAACCTCCAGAGAGGTTGCCACGCGTGTTCGACCTGAACGCTGACGTCATTACTTTGCTGATGTTTTCTGACCAATCGGTCATGGTCGATGTACCTATGATGCGAAGCAGGTGAAGAATTCAAATGTTCAAGATAACAAAATTGTGTCACCCGAACACAGCCAGCTGCTGTTCAAATTAAGGACACGTGGTTTTAAACCCCATTAACCGCTGCGAATGAAGCAAGTGAAACAGTACGTTAGTTTCTGAGTGAACATCGAGACAGAACATTTGGGGTGCTGCAAACAGACAATAGTCAACGTCAGGTAGATCAGTTTAACGTGGATCAGAGTGTGGTTGACTGTGTCAGTTTACCGTTTTCTTCCAGATCCTTCTGCAGCGAGGCCCGAAGGGATGACCCTGAAACCAGATTAATGTCTGATGTATCAGGACCAGAATTAGTTTTCAGGAATTGAAGTCCAGGGGAAATTCGGGTTGATCACCTGTTAAACGGTACGCCAATCAGTCAAAGTGGGTTTAGAGATGTGGATGCTATCCAAAGCCTATGAAACAGTCAGTCTTGAGAAGAAGACACACAGCAGCAGGACGGAGGAGCAGGTCAATACTGGGGGTCAATGAGGTTCACCAGCATCTTCTTGTAGTCTCCTCCACACTCGCTGGCCACGGCCTCGGACAGGGACGTCTCGTACATGTCCTGGTAGGCCTCCTTCACCTCCTCCAGGTCTACCTGCAGCACACACAAGGGAACACTTCACAGGAACTGACCCATATAAACATTGACTTATGGCAACGTTGAGGGTGCGCGAGTTAGTGCTGTCTGTCCTAGCAGTCAGTAGCAGTAAGCTAGTCACCACGGACGCGTTTGTTTGTTGCAACATGTTATATTTGGGATTAACTTTCTCAATAAAGTAAAGATTCTGGTGCTTTTCTAAGGCTGAATCCCATCCGGGATTCGAACCAACACTCCCAGCATCAGGTACCTAATCGCCAGCGATCCAACCCACTCAGCCACCGACGCTTCCATGGGAGCCGTGGCAATTTACACTTGTCAGATTGGGTTAGATGGCTGACTCTTGTGTTCTGGCGATTAAGTGACTGACTCTGAGAGCGTGGGTTCGAATTCCGGATAAGATCAAAGTAATGAAAGTACTAGATACTGAGAAAGTGTAATGACACATATAACATATGTTGCATTTGACCACTTTCTAAATGAGTACCTTTAAACTGTATGGATTATTTTACAAAAGTTAGTTCAGAACAGTTGACTGAAGTAAGTGGCTACATTTACACTAGTGAGTCTAAACGTTTGATGGGGAGTATATATAACGACGGTCAGTAAAGAATTGAGACTGTACCAGACAATCCTGTGATTTAAATGATGTGCATCGATCTACGCAATTGGGATATGATGGCATGTAACAACAAAGGCAGCCAGCATGACCACCCGATCCCGTTAGTCGCCTCTTATGACAAACATAAGTTGCTGAAAGCCAATTCTCACCCGGATCTTCACGAGTTCGGAGGCATATTTTTTTAATATACATAATCGAGTCTGAACCTGGAAGTCAGAGACTGAAACAACGACCCATGCTTGGTGAGCTTCATCTATGGCCATCTACAGATATTGTACTTTATCATAGGAGTTGGTAATATGGTGTGATCCTGTCAATAATGACATCCAACTTTCGTTAGTCTGTATTGTAAATTGTATATAGTCTTTGTCAGCATTATCCAAGGTGTATTAATGCGGGTGGGGAGTAAATCAAATGAGCACCACGCAAACTGGTGACTGATATTCTGAGCAGCGACCTGGGTACGCCATGACACACAGTCAACCTAATCACCGAGTCCGAGGGTCCGTAAGTCGCACCCTTCTATAAGCAAACAACACTAGTGCTTATTCTGATCTAGCATCCCAAAGCCGTTGTGTTCAGATATTGGAACAACATAGAACGTGCCAACATTCTCTCTCCGAACCCCCTCGTCAAGGTTTAGATCAGTAACTCCGGTACAATGTCCTCAAACAGACCTACATCCATCCCCGATCTCAGGAAGTAATTCCGCGAGTTAGTCTTGTATCTGGGTTCTTATGAGTTAGGTCACAAGTATAAATTACGATAAAACCGTCTACACGTTTACAAATAACCAGTGGATTATGTCGAGTCTACCCGTGAAGATCAGGGTTAGAATTGATCTTCGATAACCCATGCTTATCGTAAAAGCGACTTACGGGATCGGGTGGTCCGGCTCGCTGACTTGGTTGACACATGTCATCGTATCCCAGTGGCGTAGATTGATGCTCATGATGTTGATCACTGGATTGTCCGGTCCAGACTCGATTATTTTAGTCCGCCGCCAAGGCCCGCCATATAGCTGGAATATTGCTGAGTGCGGCGTTAAACAACCAACCAACCACTGACTGACTGACTGAGTTTGGTTTTACGCCGCTTTTAGCAATATTCCAGCAACATCACGGCGGGGGACACCAGAAATGGGCTTCACACATTGTACCCATGTGGGGATTCGAACCCGGGTCTTCGGCGTGAAGAGCCAACGCTTTGACCACTAGGCTACCCCACCGCCCACCAACCAACCAACCAATGTCAGGCCACCCTACGTACCTCACTTCTAGAGACGATCACTCGGATCAGGTCAGTGTCGCTTGTTCCAAGTCCGGACATTGCGTCGTGTGCTCTACGAGCGAAGTAGGCGGGTGTGTTCTTCGCAGCTTCGACTGTAAGCACAGTAGGACAATTAGAACACATTACAAACAGGTCAGCAGTTACGTAGTTTGGCCTTTAGCTTGATATATGGATCCCCTGAACTTTAGAGTCGTAATATCATAAGAACCAAATCAGAATCATTGCTATACCGCGATAGTAAAGATTGATTTGACAATTAGATAATCCTGGGGATTTTATATACATGTAGCTAAGTTTTATTCCCAAGATAAATGGAATTAGATCAGCTATATATCATTTGCCTGTAGTTGGGCCTAAGACTAGCCATGATTGAAATCGCCTACTGATTCAAGTCAATCTTTAAAATAATAATAACAAAAGTTTGGCCTTATCCAATGTTTATGGTGTATTGAAACACGGTTAAACTTCCTCCACTAATTTTCATGATATATTTTACAGTATGTTAACTGACTATAAACGTCCTTTTACGAGAGCTTCGCTAGACAATTGTTTTGACTAGTGTATCGTTCACTTGATTAAAAAACAACTCTATTTTCAAACTACTCCATCAGTTCCTGTTTTATCAGGCAGATGAACGAGCTTTGGATATTCTGAAATTATTTATTTTCAATGGGGTTTCACATTTACTAAATGATTATTTATAAATTCCATAGTGTCTGTAATACTGAGCTGTCAAGCTGGTCCTGGGTATAGTTTTACGCCGCTTTGGGTAATTTGTCACGATGAGAATCGAACTAGCAGTCGATATGATAAGCAAACACTTTAACTACACCACTGCACTTAATTTGGTCTCAATCCCAAAATACTTAAAACAAGGTTCCGACTGAGACACAGTGCAAGTGTTGACCTATAGACAGGAATCCGTTCTGTAGGTCCCCTCCACACTCGCTCCTGATAGCGTCCTCCATGCTGGAGCCGTGAAGATCCTCATACTTCTCAATAGTTGCCCGGATCTGGGCGGGGCTCCTCAGACACAACACAGCGTTAAACTCGGCCTCCTCAGTCCCCCAGCAGCCCTCGCCTGCCTGTAACAGATTGCAAGCAGGAGTCACACCGCCCTCTTCATCCCATGAGCTCATTCCACGCGTCATTTACTGTTTTACTACACCCCACTGGTTTATTCAGTAGATAAATAGATTGTGCTCCCGTCGATTATATCACAAAGAATACTTTCAGTAAACCGATTTCACTCCTAGATCCATACCCGTGGTTCTTGCGATCACAAATTACCTGCCCTTCTTTTGATTTGCTACTCTACTCAGGACCAATCAGAATGCTAGTTACAAACCAGGCTGAAAGTTTGGCTACATGAACGGAACGTTGCGGCCAGTCCCACTGATCACGACTGAGTTTTCGAGAAAATCAACTTTGAAAAACTAATTGAGAAGCAAAAGAAATCCTTAATAAACCTTGTGGTAGAAGTCATGTCTTCACGTCCATTGAAACTGGCGGTGGTTTTGGTTTCTAGGATGTACAAGTTAACCCCCCTCAGGGGACCAAGGTTGGTAAACCGTACATGAAGATCAAGAGAGGGTGATTTGCAGTCGCAAAAAACACGGCCCGGAATTGACTAGGGGTTATGGTAGGTATACAGGAATACGATTTCTGGAGATGTAGTGTAGTGGATGGCCGTAAAAGATCCCCAGTCTAGTCAGTACACTCACAGCTTGCCCTTAGCTCAGTGGCGGATCCGGGGGATGGGGGTCGGGGGTGGGTTTAAGGGGGTTCGAACCCCACCCCCCTTTTGAAAATGACTTAAGACCACATTGAAAAAAAGAAATTGCGTTGGCGGAGCCAAGGGGGATTCAGGGGGGTTTTAATAGCCACCAGATTGTCCCTACTCTCCAATTCCAAAATCCTTACATTATGCAACTTTTGAGCATCTTCCTCCGCCTTATCTTCGTCGACGTCGTCGTCCTCCTCCCTGCCCCCAGCACACAGTGACACAAACATCCTCTGGAAGTAGCCGCTGGTGTCGCCGCTCAGGTCGCTCTCCAGATCATTCCCGAACTCTGCGCAAAGACATGACCCGCTTTACATCTGTGGTAACTGGAAAGGCGTTTGAATTACATACGAAAAAAGATGCAGCTTAATACATCTTTTCCCCTAAATTCCCAAAGCGTTTCCACTAGAAATATGCATCATGAGCCATTTGGACGAAACTCAGGACTTGGAAACAGAATATTGGCATGCTTCTCCATGCGTACATCAATATAAGTGACACATCCTCCTAGACACATAACGGTGTACACAGTTCCAGTAACCCAATAGTAATGACTTCCGGCTTTGGAAAACACAGGCCAAATAACTCTGAGACAGACAGACTGACTGAGTATGATTTTACGCCGTTACGCAATATTCCAGCAATATCATGGTGGGGGACACCAGAAATGGGCTTCAAAATTGTACCCATGTAGGGAATCGAACCCGGGCCTTCGCCTTTAGGAGCGAACGCTTTAACCACTAGGCTACCCCACCGCCCCCTGAGACAGTTTTTCCTTGCAAATTCCACTCCCTCTTAAACACAGTGTTTGAGGATTGCCAGCATGTTCAGTGAAGAATATTGTTATTTCCTGTATTTCCCTAAGAATATAATGGTCGACCCGTTAGTACCCCATATACACCGAATTGTAATTACACATTGAACTGCTGCGTTAACTGACCATAAAAGTATAGGTTCCCACCTTACCGAACCATGCCATCATTGATGTAGGGGTACACATGTTGTGCAAATCCTTCAGTCGCCCAAACTCTGATGCATGGCCTTCACCATGTTGCGTACGCGACTTTGATTGTTCGTAGTATAAGCACTTAAGTCCCGCCAAAACAGCCATCCGAAATGAAGTTCAGCATGGGCGGAAGCTGTACTTAAATAGTCGTTCGGGGTAGAATTGATCTTCAGCAACACATGCTTATGGTAAGCGGCGACTAACAGGATCGGGTGGTCAGGCTCGCTGACTTGGTTGACATGTCATCGTATCCTAGTTCAATAGATCGATGCCCGCGATGTTAATCACTGGACTGTCAGATCCAGACTCGATTATTTACAGACCGACGTCATATAGTTGGAATATTGCTGCGTTTGGCTGTAAACGCCAAACATAAACATTCAGTTAACTCCCCTACCTCGAGAAACAAAAGTCGCCTGAGTAGATTTCCTTTTTTGTAAATCTCTTTTATTTCGTTTATTTCGTCATTGTCTCTTGTACACATGATTTCTACGATCGCTGTTTCGTCCGTCCCTGCACCCTGAAAATAGTAAAAACCATTAAACAAAAAAAAGTCATTGATTAAATGATGACAAAAACACCAGCTTGCGTCTGATGGGTGACAGAGGAGGAACAATCAACAAATGGAATCTTTGATTACTCATTCTACCACGACACTGATTGGTCAAAATAGCATTAAAAGGGCTCGGTTCAAAATCTAAATACGAGGCATCCAATCAATAGTTCTAAATAAATTTTCATTTAACATTATACTGTACGTTCATTTCACATTTCAGGTTTTTATTTGAAAAGACATAAAATTCATGATTAAAAAGACAAGTTTTAAGATTATAACGTGGCGCTCACTGCAATGGCGTTGTGTATCTCACGAGCGTCGTACACGCGCGGGTGCGTCATGGCAGCTACAACCACCTCCTCAAAGTCTCCGCCGAGTTCCGACTTCAGGTTGTCGATTAGATCCTGAAACATGGACGTGGACTGAAGGAAATGGGAATAGTCAGAAATAGTGAAGTGAACGCATCTCATGTATGGCCACAGCCACACACCTTAATCAATGGCTTGAATATACACTCCTACTTTGCTAAGGATCACAAAATTTCACAACTTTACTTAAACGTAGATTTATGATTTGAGATTGTATCCATTTAAAACTGGATAAATAATAATATGGAAACCCCTCTATAGGCAAACAGCAACCTTATGCACTTGATACATGAGTAACCATAAAAATGGTTTTCATGGCACAATCAACCATTTTGCAAATCATGGAACGAGTAATATAATAATAATCTTAATTTGCACTGAAAAGGCCACAGGCCTACAGTACATAAAGTTATGTTACATTTGAGAGGAATTTAGATCGGGTAATCATAGCAAAGTAAATGAACATTGAAATATTCTGTAGAAGAACTGGATTTTTACTACTTAACAGTAAGAAGAATTTTATCAGGTTTGGATGGACATAGTAATATCTTTTAATATATTTGGTTCGCAACCGGTCATAAAATGGACATTGTGAGGAAGGTGAGTGAGTGACTTAGTTATAAATACCGGTTACTTGTTCAGGCATCGCAGTCGACGACCACCACGGAGTGACCCATGGTGCAGACGTTTATCATCTCTGCCCGGTATCGTGTATCCAAGGATCATAATCAGTGCGAACATGGGATTCATCCAACGACTGGGCCTTACGGACGCCGTCTCATCTAAGCCGCACTGGTACGCTGTAGTTTTATAGGAAAGTAACCTATCCATACATTGTCTGGTCCCGGTTATTTACAGACCTCCGCCATTCAGCCAAGTGCAGCGTTAAACAACAAACCAACCTTTCCGTACGCCTGCTTGAATGCGGTGGCTACTTCCTGCCTCTGCTCATTGGACAGATTGGAGACGGTCACCAGGATCTGATCCTCATCCGTGCCTGTGTGAGACAGACAGACACATTACACCACACAAACCATCCTCATCCGTGCCTGTGTGCGACAGACAGACACATTACACAACACAAACCATGTCATGAACGAGGACGCTTACGTGGACGGAGGTCATACATCGCCGTGAAGATTTTTAAAGATAATTTAAAAAAAAATATTGCAAAAGTGTACCGATGATTGTGTCGTGTTTACATGACCCTGCACTTACCTAACCCCGTCATGGCGTTACGGAGGGTCTCAGCAACTGCACCTGCATTGAAGTCGCTAATTCCGCAAACTGTTCCCTAAAACATAATAAGTTTGTTACAAGGTAATTGGACTGAATGAATGTTGTTCGATGCCGCTGTCAGTAATCTTCCAGCAGCCTTACGGTGGCCTGTTGGTTTATCGGGGTATTAAACCACACACTGAAGGCATGAGCAACGGGAAACGTAACACGTCAAGCCTGCAAGACTATCTTTATCCAAGACACAATTATGGTATTGGAGACGTTTCGTGACCTGGGCCTAGATTTTCGAAGCTCTCTTACCGCTAAGATAGTAGTAAGTCTATGTTAATGTATGGCATTTACGACTATCTTAGCGCTAAGAGAGCTTCGAAAATCTAGGCCCTGAATCGTATATTGTGTGCATAACTACGGCCCAAACAAATTATATCAATTTTTCTCCACACACGCACGCATCAAAATGGAGGCATTACAGGTGTGGGGACATGGGGGGTTACCGTCGCGGTGGGGATTAGATCATTCACATAGCGACGGTAATTTCCTTATTTACTACTGCAGCTAGATTTCAACAGATCCTTCCATCAACATCACTCAAATTATGTGGAGAAAAGTATGGTGCTATTTAGATTAAATCAAAGTTGCAACCATACCCTCGTTGGAGTAAGAGTACTAAATCGGCGGAGATTCGAGGAATGAACGAGTAGTATAACTCTGTGTGTGTGTGTGTGTGTGTGTGTGTGTGTGTGTGTGTGTGTGTGTGTGTGTGTGTGTGTGTGTGTGTGTGTGTGTGTGTGTGTGTGTGTGTGTGTGTGTGTGTGTGTGTGTGTGTGTGTCATATAAGACAATGTTAACGTGGTGAGGTAGTATACCTGGTCATGTGTACGGCTCCAAGTCACCGTCGCGCAATATTTCGATGAAGCGAAAGACCTACATGTCCCCACACACTGACACGCACGCACGCACACACATAAATCCTCATTAATCTTTTTCTCCATCAAAAGGCAACGGAAGACATTTATTAAATGTTATCAAGATAGTCTACACGATGTACTCAAGATAAAGGGACTCTTTGCCAGTAAATATTGACCCCGCTCCGAGATCAGATTAAATCAGGCAGAATAGAAGATTAGCAGATTATCCCTGGTCTAATTAAATGTCTAGACTTGCTCCGTCCACTTTACCTGCATGAATCAATGTTGTTGTTTTCAATGAGATCTCTCGGGCTTGATGTGTGTAGCTGTAACACAGATTTATCCTACTTGTAGGCCCCATCGTAAGTCCATTAAATGCATTAATATAAAACATCGTTGCCTTGACCATCTATTTGCAGTATACCCAGCATGGCATTACTGACTGAGTTAGGTTTTACGCCGCTTTTAGCAATATTCCATCAACATCACGGCGGGGGACACCAAAAATGGGCTTCACACAGTGTACCCATGTGGGGAATCGAACCCGGGTCTTCGGCGTGACGAGCGAACGCTTTAACCACTAGGCTACCCCACCGCCCTCGCATGGCATTATAGTTTGTAGATATTTACACTGCTTTCTGAGCCATATGTTCCAGCAACAAGTAAGGGGAAATAAGGTTAACCTTAGTAAAGGTTGCTTCGCCCCTGTATTGTATATCAGAATAATTGTGTGAAAAGCTGAAGCAGATATGTCATTCTCTGACACATGTTATTTAACCACCCTTTTTGTCTCTTATACAGTAGGTTGGGTAGTCTGTCTCACAGTCCCTGAACCACATTATTTTCCCTACTAACAAGCCCTATCTGCAGTGCTAAAGCCCTAAATAAAACAAGTCTAGATTTCCTCAGGTTCTGAATCTCTGGTCTCCCTGGGGCTCCTTTTTAATTTAAATGGGCTTGTTTGTTACTATCAAAATTATATATATTCAGAGACTAAGCGTGAGTCTACTGAAAGGGTCGTGTACCGATCCGTCGAATTTCTGATTTCAGAGTAGTAAAATGCATTCGACGGATGAGCACTGTGATCTTAGCTATTAAACATTGGATCATACAAAAAAAAAGACGCAAGGGATGTTGGATGATTTTACTCACTTTATTTTTGTACTTTTGAACTTGTCTTTGCCTTTGAGAAATTGATGCATTAAATATATGTTCTGACTCTCTTTAGTTTTGTACTTTTGTAGGAGGAGGTCCAGAATGAAATGTCGTCTGCAAATTTAGCTGTAGAAATTTTGGTTGTTTTCTTTTTTAAAATTAAATAAAGTTGGGGACAACTCTCCGAGTATAATGGTGTTGGGACCTATGAATTTCGATAGTATATCTAAATCATGGATAGTGAGTTTAATGGGTGGTTTTCTGTATACATTTATAATGGTAATTTCTTTGTTATTAAGATTAGTTGTTATTGCCAGGACTTCGAAAGTGTGAAATGCTCCGCATTAAATGCGTATATATAATCTTTTATTCCTCCATAGTGAAGAGTACAGAAAGAGACAATATTTATGCACTTATTTCAGGATTTTCATGCGCATTTGAGCCAATATCACGTTTTCTTAATCAGTCAAATGCAAGAGTCACAATGAGTCACTGGAACACAGCTTTGTACATCATGGTGATGTATTTTATGCACAGAGTGGAAAACTCAATCAAGTCCTCTTTGATCAGAGGAAAGTCGGTTGTACACGACAACAAGCACTCTGTAAGTTCATTTGGGTTCATGTTGTGAAGTTTCACGCTGAATTCGATTGGCCCAACATTGATTAGGCCTGTCCACAGTTCGTCCCGAGTTGCATCTGTGTATCCACACACAACTACGGCGTGCGTGAGGGGGTCATCGTACATCATCCCACACCGATGACACAGCCCTGCTTCACATAGGTCTCTCACTGTAGCACAGGCTTTGATGACAAAGTTAGCTTGCCGTCTGAGTGATGCATCAAGCAATGACACCTTCCATGCAGGATGGACTTCAAGCTGGCGATGTATCCGCTGGAACTTGTGAAGATCAGAGTCATCTGCCAACCGACTGTTCCATTGTGCCACATGATACTCTCTGACTGAAGTCTTCACTATTCTCCTCCACTTCGAACGCCCTAGGAAGGACCCTGATTCTAGGAATTTTTCCAAGTGACAATAGAGTAGGTACTTCTTAAGCACCCTGACTACATCAGGCACATATCCAAACGATGACGATGAGACGTTGTGCAAGTAGCCCATCAACCGGGATATGAACAGCTTGTGAGGTAGATATCTGTGGTCCATATTCAAGAGACCACCCAGGAAACACAACTTCCGCTGGTCTATAACTGCCTCTAGAGGCAACACTCCAAGGAGTCCAAGACAACTATCAGTTCGAGTGGTACGAGGCAGGTCTTGGATTGATTTAATGACGTGTCTGTAAGATCTCTCCAGAATTAAGATCTCAACTTTGGAAAGGTTAGTCCACAGTTCCGACCCGTACAGGGCTTTGGGAAGAAACACACGGTTAACAACTGTCAGGCTGATGATTGGGTTTGTAAACCGTGGGTGAAACCCACAAGCTGTCAGTGATCTCACACCGGACCGCAAGGAAATGGCAGCTAGCGTCACATGCTCTATGCTTGACATGTTTCCTGACAAGACTATTCCAACATGGCGGATTGATTCCTTCCACGGGAGAGGTTGGTCATACAACCTGACTTCAACCTGCTCTAGCTGCTGAGATCTCGGCCGGTATGGAAAAGTGACAATTTCACTCTTGGAGGAGGACAGTACGTATCTCCAGTCGTTGCTGTATTCCTCCGAAATCCTCACCATCGCTCTAAGGGCAGAGAGCCTTGATGAAATGAGTGCTACATCATCTGCTTGAGTGGGAGAACACACGCTTAAGTCCATCACGACAGCACCAAGATTCGACTCAGAGAGTTTCTGGAGTAGGGAGTTTATGTACAGCAGGTACAACTTCCCTGACAGCACACCACCTTGTCTGATACCCTGCATCATGGGGATAGGCCTAGAACACATTGAGTCAAGGAAAACTCGACACATCATTCCCGTGTACATGTCGTCAAGAACAGTCCACAAGGAGCCTTTAACTCCACACTCGAATAACTTGTATTTGAGACCACTGTGCCATACTGTATCAAAGGCCTTTGATGTATCCAGGAACACAACATGGGTATCCTCCTTCCGCTCGTGGTAATGGCGTATCGTCTCTTGCAAGTTGAAGGATGTGTGAAGGGCAGATAACTGAGATTGGTATGCCATTTGTTGTGGGTGAGGGAAGGTATCAGATTGATTTAGTCCGTCCAGTCGAGACAGGAGCACCATCTCAAACACTTTGGACAACACAGGGGAGAGTGATATGCCACGGTAAGAGTTCGGGTCTTTCTTTGATTTATTCCCACCTTTGTACAGAGGCACCAGGATGCTCTCGCGCCAAGCTGTTGGGATATGTCCGGATTCAAGAATGACGTTGTAGAGGGTTGCCAAGTGAAACATCAAGGTTCTGCCACCATACTTTAGGTGCTCGTACACGATCTTGTCAGCACCACCAGCTTTATTGTTCTTCAGCTTGGCACAGCACTCAGTGACTTCCAACTCTCTGAATTTCATTGGCTGTGAATCACGTTCTTCCTTGCATCTAACACGGATCTCCTCAACTAGGGATTCTATCTGCTCACAGAAGGAAGAGTTGAAATTGTCTCGGTCTTTGGCAGCATATACATCCTGAAAATGGTTAGCCCAAGCATCAAATATAGCCTCTGGATCACTGTGCACAGCTCCTTGATACAATATCGGGGAAAGTGTTGACTTGTGTCCCCCTCTGATTGACCGCACACAATTCCAGAAGGTCCGGATATCAAGGTCATGGGATTCTTCGAGTTCTTGAAAAGTCTGTGAGATATGGTTATCACTTGCTTGCCTCATGTGCTTCCTGAAGTCAGATTTTGCTGCCTTGTATTCTCTGTAGGACGTGTGTGCAGGCCCACGAGGTTTGCCATCAGCAAGCCAAACACGACGCTTAGCAGTCATGTGATTATGA